TTAGTTAGGTTGTAAATTTTGCATTTACCTCCACCCATTTAATTCATAATTTTCATGATAAAATCAGGATTAAAAAAACAATTCATTATTAAATTTGCTGATGATAGAGTGTTCTATCATATTCCAAGTTAAGAGTTCTGCAGGTAAATAGAACGAATCTGGGGAACTATAAGTGTCCTGGTAGTAGACCTTCAGAAGCGTTAACATAATATGTCAGGCCAGGAGTTTCTCCTTTTTAAAAAGATTTAAACTTTTATTAATCGTATCGTAAAATGACAATATATATTGTTTCTTTCTCATAAAGCTGTAAAGTTCTTTCTCATTCCCTGAACTGCTTTCCATCTATTTTACCCATTCCTCTTCTTTAATTAATTTATAAAAATCGCTCCATGGACGTCATTAATCAATATTTACATTCCACATGTATTTTGGCTCATAAAGTGTGTGAAAAGCTACTGCATACAAAACATCATAACACGGACAGGGGGTCAAAAGGTTTAAAGTATGCGTTTTATTTTGACGTCACAAACACTGAACGCCGTGGAAGTGCAATGTCATAAGCGAAATTCAAAATCCACGCTCACATTCAACAGAAGCTGTTGCAATGGCTCTTCCATTAATTGTAACTTACCCAAAGGATAATACAGTGATTTTGAAATCTAAACCACGTTTGCAGTCAAGGCAAGGAGTTAAAATTGTAAAAATAAGCATTGAATCATTATTTTTTTAAAGATATAGTCTCATAACTGCAACGGTGTATGCAAACAAATTTTCATAACGTGCTAACCACCGTTCACGGTAGCTCAGTCGGTAGAGCGCTCGCTCCGTGATCGGGAGGTCGTGAGTTCGAATCTTGGCCGCGACAGACCTAAGTCGATAAAAAATGGGTAGCAACTGTTCCTTCGCCATGCGCTCGGCACTTTTGAAGTGAAAGTTGCGGGTCCTTCGGATGAGACCTTAAAAACCGAGGCCCCGTGTCACGGCAGGCGTTGGCACGATAAAGATCCCTCACTGCTCAATGGCCCTGAGTGCCGAGTAAAGGTCAAAATTTGAAGTCCTTCACCGGTATATGGTGACGTCTCTATATGAGTGAAAAATTCTCTAATGGGACGTAAAACAACATACAATCAATCAATCAATCATAACGCGCTAATGCGCGTTACTCAATTTATTTGCACACACTGTTGCAGTTATGAGACTATATCTTTCAAAAAACAATGATTCAATGCTAAAATAGTGTATATAATAGGTCCTGTATTTTATCAAACCAAATACTACTTCCATATATCCTGTATAAGGACACTTCCCAGCAGTCTTTTTTATTTCCAAATTGGGCTACTGATGCAACCCACCTTTTGTTCTTGTGAAGATAATATTTTTAGTGGTGGGTACCTTTACAATTGTTTTGAAAAAAAACATCCCTTACATTAAACTTTTTCAATTTACCAACAGTTATACAGGCAAAACTGATTGTTTTCATTTATTAACATCAGTGTATTGTACTTTACTACCAGTTTGGTTTTTTGTTTGTGACAGGAAAAAAGTCATATATATATATATATATATATATATATATATATATATATATATATATATATATATATATATATATATATATATATATATATATATATATATCCGCTTGGTCAACATTTATTCATTGCTAGTATCATTAATTTAAAAAAAATATTAATTTGTGAATAAGAACAATGATTGGCGGAGTGGTTAGAGCGTCTGCTCTAGAGTCGCGGATTAAGGAGCTGATCCTTACGTCGAGGGTTCGAATCCCACTGTGGGACGTGGAGACGGGTCGTTCGGATGAGACCGTATAATCCGAAGTCCCTTGTCGCAGTTGGTGTTGGCACGAAAAAGATACCTCACTGCTCAATGGCCCTAAGTGCAAATTTGCAGTCTTCCACAGGCAAGTGGTGGCGTCTCCATATGAGTGAAATACTCTCGAGAGGGACGTTAAACAACAACAAAAAAAAACACGTAACGTATCTGTTTCCAACGCATATTAATGCTATTTTTGATATTTTTTATTCCCTGCTAGATGAAATCCCACGCAAGAGCAGGTAATTGATTATACCACTACCGACAGAAAATATATTGTAGTTTCTACTGACAACCTACGGGCTTGTAGAAAGAAGAAATACTTTGTTCAAAATCCCGCATGAAGTATATGTCTGTCTTTCTCCCTTCTTTTTTGTAAAAACTTGAAAAATAACAATTTCATTAATTGACGTTTATTGCGAATCCTGTTATACTATGCTCTTATTTCATTTCCGTCAAGGATAAAAGCAGGGGATATGCACATTTTACTGATAAATTGATTTCTTTTTTTGGGGGGGGGGATTCACAGGTACTTAGGTCTTGGTTTATAAATATGTATGTATCTTTTTGATATGTAAAAAATGTATTTTACTTTTTTTACGTATCAATAAGGTACATACATACTTTTAAACAGAGACCCAAGTACTTGTGTAAAAATTAGCTTTTAACGTCCTATATTTACATTTCAAATTTTTTGCCTTAAGATTCTTTGCAAAGAAGAAAAAGTCACGCTCTCATGAACTACCGTGGGATAAGTAGGAATATTTCCACTGTGAGGTAATTGAAGTCAAAAAATACTGCAAATTTTTTTAATTCAAAAATGATCGTTGAATGACTAAAATATGTGGCAGATCATCAGAAAAATAATGTAAATATAAGAAATGAATTTAATTTTTGAGAATTCATGAGGAACATGAACTACAACGCTTCACGCCTGCATATTTATCATGAAGTGCCAACGCGCTTTGTGAAATATGCCGGCATGAAGCGTCGTAGTTCATGTCCTCATGAATTCTCAAAAATTAAATTCATGTCTTAAATGAATACGCCGAGTATTGGATAAAAAAGACTGTATTCAGAAAAAAAAAATGAAATGTATTGATTAAAGCACAGAATTTTACAGCTTTAATAGTATTTGAACAATACCTTATTCGTTATCTCTTTCCATGTAAGCAAGTTTATTACGAAGTACAAGTTGTACTTCGGGTTCGTTGCCACGATGCTCTCAGTGAGGAATATATACACATTTTACCGATAAATTTATTAGGAAAACATACCACATATATGTAATAGTCTTTCGATATATAAATATATTCACAACTTATATTGTTATCAATGATTTACTATTATTTCAATTACCATTCACACAAAAGCTTTTTTTATGTTCATGCAGCTATAATCACCTCGTTTTTCTTTTTAACTTCGGGCTCGATGCTATATGATGTTCTAAAAGCTTCCGTCAATATTAAAGATCGGTGAATGACGAAAATAATTTGCACCTTTCCCTTTTTAATCGGTTATCATAACTTATTTCTTTTACATTATTTAAATCAAGTTTTGATTGAATAATTCAATGATGGCGTTTTATGAAATAAATAAACGATTGCTTGTTGTCAGTTTCATTAAAAATTGCCAGTAACTTAGATCCGCCAACCGGAAACGCCACCGTACTCACGTTTTTACTATTTCATGGGAAGGAATAAGTAAGAACTCTGGTGCACTCGTTTCGGAGTTTATTTGCAAAATTTATTAACTTATAAGTATAGATTTCTGCATCCTAGATAACCACAATATTATGAGGTTTCCTCTCTTATTGTGAACCTCTTGTTCAAAACTTTTCATCTTAAATATTTTCACTTTAAATTTAATTTGCCTGCTTTTTTATCAAACAAACAGTCAAACCTTCAATTTGTTTTCTTACATGTTTATCCTTACATATTTCAATCTTTTTAACCTCAAAATTTGGAATTGGAGATTTTTCCCTGACTTTGTTTAAATTATAACCATTATTATCAAATTAATTTTTCTTTGTGTTTTCGGTAATCCCTGTGGTCCCATAACATAAGCTGAATTCTCACAGTAGATGTCACTTGCAAAATTTTGCGTGACCAATCTTTTTTTTTTTTTTTAAGTCATGCTATATAAAATATGGTGATCGGAGAATTATTAAGGAATCGCTGTCTAATTCGTTGGGTATGCCGTGACATCAACGACAGTTGGAAACGAGGGATAATTTATACATAACGGGCTTCGCCCGTGAAAATAAAATTGTGAAAATGTGAAATAAAATTGTAAATATAAATTTTAAAAATGCTGTCAAAAAGATTTTAAATACAAGAGACCTCTCATGTTAATTTCAATAGTCCCCGCCCACTGACGTCAGACACAAAGACAGCCGCACGAGACTCCAGACATTTCACTCGGCGAAATTTACATTCAGGTGTAATTATCAAGAAATCAACACATCTAACTCCTGCATACGGGGTTTATATCTCTCAGTTGATTTGATACGCCAGAGCATGCTCTACGTATGAACAATTTCTAAAACGAGGTAAGTTATTGACAAACAAGTTGATGAAACAAGAATATCAACAATCTCGTTTAAAGTCGCCATTTCGTACGATACAATGACCTTGTCAGCAAATACAATCTATCATTAAGTCAAATGCTGACTGACTTTTTTCATACCAATTGGTAGGCCATTATTTACACTCTGAATTGTCGACGGATTTTCCCGTTATTTCCAGTTCATGACAAGGAGCACACGGCGAATGTGACCGGTCGGCAGGGGATGCTCACTCCTCCATGGCACCTGATCCCACCTCTGATGTTTTGGAGGTCCGTGCTTGCTCTGCACCTATTTTGTAATGTTTAATGGACTTTTCAGCTTGAATATTGTTCGTTATCTCAATATATTTCATTTCAAAGAGTTATCACATAGAAAACAATTAGAAATGTAAATGTGCACACATTAACAAAAATATATCCGATATAGACAACAATGTTAGTGTTTTTGCACTTAACTTCTTCCCTTTTTTTCAGCAAAATATACATATCGCAAAAACGTCTATAAAATTAAAATATGGGAAGGACTTTAGGAACATTTTTCATACAGATCAAAAACTTAGTTAAAAAATAGCTACACGTGTGATTGTGATTGTCTAAAAATGGGTAAGTGGTAGCCAACAAAAGGGTAACAGGGAGGCAGCAAAACAGCTAAATTTACCATTTTCTTTATTTTATTTTTTCATCAATTTTTTGACGCAAATTGCTTTAGAAAAACAAAGTGCAAACTATTATATCTTCCAAAGTTACATATGCTGTGCATAAATCGGATATATCTTTTATATAATAATTTCAGATCCGTAATTTATATTTTTTTGTCAACATTAAAGAAAATCCATTTACTTTTGGCGAAGGCGAAAAACATTATTATAATATGCCACACTTTTATGATTTTTCTTTTGTTGTGAACTTGAGAATTAAATAAATCAATGCTAGACGTGGACTACACAAATTTCAGATTCTTGATTAAATTAAAACAATGTTAATTTCGTTTTGATTTTTATGATCAATCAAGGGTCATATCTGGCCTTTGCCGTACCTTATCCTTCAAGGCAATGGATCTTACCTTTACGGATTTTTTAAACTCGTGCACACCCATACGATAATCATTTGACGAAGTTACCCGTAGGTATGTAGAATTTTTCATGCAGAGGTTTGATAGAAAAAAATATTTTCCTTGCTGGACAGATTAATTACCACATGCGAAATACTGGTAGAAATACTTATCAAATCAATGTTAATTTTTACACTGTTTATAGCCGAACTCAAAGTTCATAGATGAAGGTTCATTATAAGACACGTTTTGTTGAATTAAATATTGGTGTATGTGAAATTGTAAAGTGTGTCACGATAGATAAAGCAGTGTTCACTACTGTCAAAGTCTTGACATGCACCTGTAACACCAGATAAACCTTTGAGTTTGATTACAGAAACTTCATTGTTTGTATAGATTCTGTATATTGAAATAAATCTTATTAATAAAACATCGCTAGAGTAATAAGTGAAACCTTGCACTTCATTGAAAAATTATAGCTGAAGGTCGACAGGTCAAAACAGTAAACACATTTAATATTTTTAATATAAATATTTACAGCCAGTGTGTTTTGAATTTTTTTAGGTATGGAGGTCACAAAAACTGTTTTCCTTCTGACTGCAATATGCTTTATCATAGCGGAATGTCAAGGAGAGTCTGAAGTAACAAGAAGCTCTCGTCTTGGTGACATAAAGGGATTAAGAGCACTTGTTCCGGGAACCAAAGACAAATATGTTGACCAATTTCGAAAAATCCCTTACGCCGTCCCACCAGTTCGGCATCTGAGATTTCAAAAACCTCAACCTTTTGGAAACTGGGAGGGAACACTAGATGCCACACAATTTGGACCTTCATGCATACAAGGTGACTCTGCATATTTTGTCGATGTTCCAAATAAAGCAAGATCTGAGGATTGCCTATTTTTAAATATATATGTTCCAAGTGACGTCACTTCTGACGAAAAACTCTCCGTTATGGTGTGGATTCACGGTGGGGCTTTCCTTTATGGACAAGGCATGTTTTACAATGCTTCCAATTTAGCGTCAGTTGGCAGAGTTGTTGTAGTCACTTTAAATTATCGTCTTGGAATATTTGGATTTTTCACCTTGAATGACCCAATTGCAGGTGGAAACTATGGTATAATGGATCAAATTCTAGCTCTTCAATGGGTAAAAGAAAACATTTTTTCATTCGGTGGTGATCCCGATTCCATTACTTTATTTGGGGAATCAGCGGGAGGAATGTCTACCAGTCTGCTGTCCTTGATACCTTCTAACCGTGGGTTGTTTCACAGAGTCATCTTGCAAAGCGGTAGTAGTAACAGTCCTGCTCTAATGGTGGAAAACTCTTACTTTATGTCTGATTTAGTAGGTACCACTGCAGGGTGCAATATTTCATCAAGCAGCAATAAAGAATCTTTCTTGAACTGTATGAAAAAAATTTCCGCAGAAACATTACAAAGAACATTTGAAATGATAATTTCTTCTCCTACAGAATTGAGCATGGTCCTCGGATTTGGCCCTGTTGTAGATGGTGATTTATTTCCGGATCAACCAGTTCGACTGTTGTCAGATGCCTATCCTAACCATCATTATTTTTTTCGATCTTTAGACTTGATGACGGGGACCACTTCTGGAGAGGGATCACTCCTTTACATTCAAATGAGTAATCCTCAGCTTCAAAGTCGTTTTAATTACAACGTTTCAGAAGGATTGTCCAAAGAAGTCTTGTGTAACATAGTAGCCCCATCTCTGGCCAAAGCTCACTTTAAAAATAACCCAGATGTTGTGAATATGATATGTGATGAATACAGTGTACATCCATCAAAAGGTCTTTCGGCTCAAAGTATACGAACAACAGATGCACACGGTGATTTCTTCCTCACGGCTCCAACCATTGATATTGCCAATATCCATTCGGAAAAGAACGGAATGTCAACAACCTTAGTGTATATGCTCTCACGTATTAATCCAGTACATATAGGCCCACCGTCACCTGCCTGGTTCACTAGAAGTGTCCATGCAGATGATTTGATGTATTTGTTTGGTTTACAGAACTATGCTGATGTAAATAAGGACGACTTGGAACTCTCCAGAACTATGATGACCTACTGGGCAAATTTTTCACGTTATGGGTAGGGATCTCCGAGTTTATTCTCATGACTAATTTTCAAACATTTCTATTCTTCTCGTCCTTAACACAATCAGACTTTCCCACACATCACAACCTTTTCATAAAAATGTTTGAGATGTTTTGAGATGTTGTGTTTCTATAGTTAATAATATTCACTTTGTTTTTAGAAATGTCAATAATGCGGAAGAAAACTCTGTACCAGTTTGGCCACTGTACAATAAAGACCACCAGCTTTACATCGATTTTGATTCAGAAATAACCGTTAAAAAATCCCCAGCTGAACAGGCCTATCAGTTCTGGTACAAGAAAGTACCAAAGTATGTTAAGTCAGAAAACCATTCACATGACCCTAGTGAATTATAAAACAAACTTGATCGCATCATTTCTTAGAATAAAAAAATAGGAGAGGATTCTTTATTTTGACATCTATAGACGACGCTGATACACATGCACAGGTTCGCTACATACTATTAGGGAGTGAAGGAACACCCACTTCTTGTATGGACTTACCGTAATTTGATATTTGTGACAATAAGTATGTTATATGGAGAACGGAATGTTGTTTGACCTACATGTATATTCTAGAGATTCAATAGTATTTTGAAAGCATATTGTCCAAAGTATTGGAGAAACTATCATTGTCAATTCTAAGATGATTTGAAGTGCATTACATTAAGCGTATATATGTATGTGATTAGTTTAATTTCCAAACCAAGTGTTAAGTTAGTTATGGAATGTTGACCGCGAAGCGGTTTATAAAAGAACGTAAACTGTTCTAACACAGGTTACCAGTATACAAGTATACCTTGGGTAGGTATTAAAAGTAAAGATAGAGTAAGACAACTTTTTGGCCCTGGTTTGTGGTTTATCTTAGAACGATGCAATAATTCATTATCAAAAATCTGTTGTCATCCCTGTTATCAAACGAGTATTGATTCCAAGTGATAGTCATAGATAGGTCACAAAATTTATCAATTTCCAAATTTTCTTATTTTCATCCTTATGTTCCTAAATTTTGAAATAAATTTTGTTTCAGAAAATGCTGAGAAAAAGCTTGCCTATCTACCAATTTATATATTTCATGCACTACTTTAAGATATGTCTTGTATATAAAAATCTCAGATAGGTACTTGATGCATATGACGAAATGGTGTGCAATTAATTCATGAGAATGTTTCCACTTGATTTGGTTCTCGATAACATTCATAAGATCCTGCTTAAACTCAGAATTCCATTTTTTAAAATTTTGATACTAAAAACAAAAAGCCCGGTTTATTTTGCTTTTTCTTCAAGCCTTGACATCATACTTAAATGGATAGAATTTTTTGTGATTAAGAGTTGACAACTCAGGATACCGTAATTTTTATCAATAAGTAGGTCCTACTGATGCAAGAAATTGCGTTTTCAAATTAAAAAGGCGGTCGTTACTTTTCACGAAAAGATGAATCATCTGTATTTTATCAAATTAGGCTTTCTCCTTTCACCTATTAATTCGCGGAAGGACTCTGTCAACTTGCAATTAAACACTTATAGCGCCGCTCTCACTGCAAGCTCTAAAAGCAACGCATGGGTGAAGTGATCCAAACGATTTTTTTTTCTGCAGTAACCTTTGGGCCCACAATGCAACGTGAATGCATTTTGCTGCTTATTGTGTTCTCGCAGTAACAACAAAAGTTCAACAAATATAATTAACTCACTTTGACTCATTAGATATTGCAGATTTAAAGTAAAATGGACGTTCCTTGTTATAAATTGCACTTTTTAGACTTCGTTTTGGTAATGCAACTAACAAACTATAGTACGACGTCATGTAACGTCACGGTCTAGACGTTCTAAATGTCGTGCGGAGTCGCCTGTGGTTAAAGCGTCTGCTCTACAGTCGCGGAACAAGGAGCTGATCCTTACGTCGCGGGTTCGAATCCACTGCGGGACTTGGAGACCCGTCCTTCGGATGAGACCGTATAAACCGAGGTCCCATGTCGGAAAAAGATCCCTCACTGCACAATTTACTTCGTCGGCGAAAACGACGGAGAACAAACCAGTCTATAAATAGAGGCTTTCTCATCAATTTATCACTGACCAGAGAGTGTGCATGAAGAAGCGCGTCCTTTGATGAGAGAGTAATATGAATTTCTTTAGTACGACTCGTCTAACTATTTTTCTCAGAATCCCAATCTACGCAAGCGCACTTGCAGTCTCACCCAACGTAACTAGTCAGCCCGTGGGCTAACTAATAAATGACCCAAACAGTGGCATGTCTTAGATATTCTTTAATCTGTAATATTCGGTTATGGCATTTTAAAAAGTCAATTGTACATCTTGTGTATAGAGGAGTATCGCAACGTCGCTCCTTGATGACGGAAACATTTAGCACTTCTCTTGCTTATACGTTCCATAGATATTGATTGATTTAGTCGGGCAAGCTTTTTGAAAAGCTATTACTTGTAACTGAATAAGAATCGAGTATAGCGTACATGGTTATAATAATACACATCTGCGCTCGCACTCACGGTAGCACCGTCAACATATTATTTCATCACCAAAAATGATATATAGACCTACGCCAATTCTGTTATCTTTCCTTCAATAAATCAATATACTGATATAAATTAATTACTCCAGCTTCGAATTTTCAAATCATAAAGGTAGTCGCAACTTTCACTTTGATATCAATCTTGCCATTTCCGGTAGAAAATATTAAGAAAATCAAACCATCGGCGGAAGAACTTTATCCGAAAAAGTATTTTTAAAAAAATGCGTTACAAAGGGAATTAATCATTATGAGATAATACTTTTCTTTATTTCGAACTTTGATGTGTGTTTATAGAAAGGAGAAATGGGGGGGGGGGGGGTAGTGCAATGAGAAAAATGTTATAGAGTGATGTCGATCAAGCAAAACTGTAATGATGTCAATCAAACTAACCTAGCTGATGTCGATCTGTCTAGCCTAGCTGTAATGAGTCGATCACTCTAGCCTTGTCGTAATGATGTTGATCCGTCTAGCCTAGCTGTTGTGAGTCATCCGTCAAGCCTAGCTGTAAGGAGTCTTCTGCCTAGTGTAGCTGTAATGATCTAGATCACTATAGCCTAACTTTGACTATGTTGCTCCGTCTAACCTAGGTGTAGTGATGTCGATCCGTCTAACGTAGCTGTAATGATGTTGGTCCGTCTAGTCTAGCTGTAACTATGTCGATCCGTCAAGCCCAGCTGTAATAATGTTGGTCAGTTTAGCCTAGCTGTAACGACGTCGAACCGTCTAGCCTAGCTGTAATTATGTTGGTCAGTCTAGTCTAGCTGTAACTGTCGATCCGTCAAGCCCAGCTGTAATGATGTTGGTCAGTTTAGTCTAGCTGTAACGACGTCGAACCGTCTAGCCTAGCTGTAATGATGCTGGTCAGTCTATCTGGCTGTTATGATGTCATTCAACCTAGCCTAGCTGTAATGTCGATCCTTCTAACTACCTTTAATGATGTTGATCAGTCTAGTCTAGCTGTAATGATGTCGATCCTTCTAGCTAGCTTTAATGACGTTGATCAGTCTAGTCTAGCTGTAATATGATGTCGTTCTGTACAGCCTAGCTGTACATGTAATAATGTTGGTCACTACATTTTATTTGTAATGATGCCGATCTGTATAGTCTAGCTGTATTTATATCAGTCAGTCTTGGTTTATTTAATGTGTCAATATGTAATCCACTTTTCTTTGTTTTGAAACTTAAGCTCAATGTTACTTTTAATTATAATTCTTTTTCGACAGAACTTGTGTTGAATGAAACTGAAATATTTCATTGACATTCCTTCCTTGTCGCTTTGTATAATCGAGTTAACCTCTTGAATTCACACTTTCAAAATAATCCGAATTCTCAAAAAAAATTGCTGAAAACATTGAATACCACAAAATAAACGCGTTGCTTGCGCAACCGAGTACTTTACTGGACCTTGTGAGATAATGGTCCTGATATCAAGATAACTGATGACTAATCTGAACAATGCGGCGATATTGGGCGTTTTAAGATAACTCACTCTTTTTCCTGTCTGTCTGGTTGAATTAACATCATATCATCTAAAAGAGGCAAGTAATTTTATTTCTTGCAATCTGTTGGCTATGGTAATTACATGTGTTTATAATAGTAATGGCAATCGGATAGATTTTGTAACAGGTTAGTCGTCATTTTTTTCTGAGTAACCGGTCACTCGGAACAGATAATTTTTTTTAATATAAATTATTCAAATTCAATTCTTACAAAGTAATTTCTTGGGAAAGTGCTAAACTTGGGAAAGTGCTAAACTATGATTATAAGAATTATTTACTTTTTTAAATCAAATTAGAAAAATATATACAAAAACATTTACTTCGCTATTTTTTGAAATTAGAGACAGATTTTATTCTGATTTTTAAAAATATTTTTCATTAACTCAGTGTCGATTTTACCATGCACATTCACAGAAAAAATCGCTCTAACGGTACAGATGATGTTCAATGAATCGTAAGATACTTACCTGATGTTACAGAATGAGTTGTGTGAAGTTTACTTTATTATCATGTCATCATTGAAGGAGGGTCTAATAGATTTCGCTCTCTCTCTCTCTCTCTCTCTCTCTCTCTCTCTCTCTCTCTCATTGTCGGATATAATAAGTGAAGAAATGTAAAGGTTGTTTGGTCTTAGGTTTTCGTACTCTTAGTCGTAAAATTTTGCAGTCCAGATCTCTCCTAAAAGATCGCCGAGCTGTCGATGGTGGAATTCCACTGAATGAATTGAAAGGTTTTGCAATGATTTATAAAACGAGAATATTGTTATAAAGCATGAGTTGGAACAAAAACAGGTAGATTTTTTTATCCGAGGGTACATAATCTTTGATAAATATTCAGAGTTATAAATGACATGTATTTAAGAAATATATATACTGCAAAAAAATATGGACTAACCGCTTATGAAAATTGTAACCGGTTACAATCCTTACCACCGATAAGCAGTTATCCGTTGCCATCCCTAGCTAATACGGGTTTTCAAGATGTTTATACAATAGCTAATGAGAAACATAATCAAATCATGGAAATAAGGAAGAATTTGTTATTGTTATGAATAAAATACCTGTGTAATCAAAAAAACTTCACACTTCCTTCCATTAATTGTATATTATTATACCTCATAATTATTCTATACAACGCGTTATCTGATTGGTTCTAGATTATCACGTGACAGGGCCATAAAACCTCATATTTCCCTGTTGTCTTCATGCTTTTCATCATATTCAACCTCTTCGGAGGCCTAATGCATTTTCCCGCAATGGTTATCGTTCTTTGAATGAAAACTCCCGAGAGTAGTAGACCTCACAATAGCCTGGTTTACGTCACAAAATTGCAGATGGACTTCTGTGTTTCAGTAATACTATGTTAAAATTGAAAGTGAATTTAAGAGCGGTGCCCAATTTGAAAGTTTATGTTTATTTTTAAAGTATTTGCTTGTTTCGGTATAATAAACAATTTATTGCATGAATGTTCGGGAAACATGAAGATTTATTCAGCCAAGAAATATCATATTCCCCTCGGGCGAAGCCCTCGGAGAATATGATTTTTCTTGGCTGAATAAATCTTCATATTTCCCTCACGGTCATGCAATAAATGTATAATAGCGATGTTCCTTAAGACAGTATTTCCATGAACAAGCCCTGTTTTGGTACAATCCTACTTTGGAATTCAAGAAAACTTTGATAAATATACGAATTTTAACATATTTTATTGATTTTCCTATTAATACTTCATATTTAAGCTGGAAATATTATTCTATTTTTCAGGATGTCATCTCCATTGATAAAGTTGCTTTTGGTGTGCATGCTTTGTTATGTAATAGAGGCAGCAGCTACAACCACCAAAGCTTCAATAACAACAGCTACACAACCTAGTTCTAACACTACAACAATCGCTAATCAAACATCACAAAACCCAGATACTGTTCCTCCAGGACAGGTAACCACTCAAGGCCAGGGAACCAGTCCTACAACACGCGGATCCCGAACCCGACCTACAACCAAAGGAGGCACAACTCAATCTTCACATAAACCACAAACGTCACAGGGAAATACAGGAACAACACAGACTACAAAAACAACCACCCCTGCATCTGCCACGTCCTATACTGTCTCAATTGTAACATTATTATTAAGCGTTGGCTTGTCTCTCTTGCATTAAATTTGCATGAAGATACCTCGACATCAAGGACGTTCTGCGCTGGCGTTTAGATCGTTCCGAACAAAGCGATTTAAAAGAACAGAGAGAGTCGTTACTATAGTATTTCTTTTGACTGAAATACTAAATGATTATATCTTTTACCATATTTTATTTAAATTAGCTCAAGATTGTTTCATTTATTTTTTCTGTATATAAAAATATCCTTTCAGTGGTTTTGTCACTTACTTATCAAAAAATTCAAAATGGTTGAAAATATCTGCTTCCAGAAATCCATTTTGGAAAAAAATCTACTAAAGGAATAAAGGGGTATAGATTCCTACAACAATGCAAGGAATTCCCTGCCTGCTCATCAAATGTAAAGTGAAATTTCATTATAAATTGTATTTATAAGATTATGAAGAATTCAGGTAGTAATTTTATTCTGGAGTATTAATAAATGTTTTCCTACAGAAGAAATTCAATGTGTTCCGTGTCAGTAAGAGGTTCAATAGTTCAGTGAAGGGGTGTAGTAATTTTTATGGTGGCATATTTCTGTACCCTATCTGACAGTTATCTTTGCAGAGATAACTACGCCGACATAAGGCTGATCTCTGTACATACATGTACAAAATGATAACATGCAACATAAAATTATCAAATGTAAAAAATAATCATTTTAAATAGAATAAATTGTGCATAGATGTGTCATATTATTTACAGGTTGCAATTTATTTATATCTACATGCATTTTAATTAGGATACAGAGTAACTTCTATATGTATGGGGTAAGGAGATAACGAACAGTATTCAAGCTCATAAAGCCATTAAAACAGTACAAATCAGAAGCAGAGCAAACACGGACCTCTGAAACATCAGAGGTGGGATCAGGTACCATGGCAGAGGAAGCATCCCTTGCCGACCGGTGTCGCATAATATTTGGTCCGCCTCTTTTAAAGGTCCGGGGGGACCTAATACGATAACATATAAGGTCCGGCCTGCCTCTATAATAAAAGGTCCGCCTTCGGTTTAATATGAAGATTTTTCTCCTTTTTTGATTCGAAATTAATAAGCTTTATTAATCTTTTTTAAATTATTTAAAGTATAGTTCCTCCCAGCAAAATGGAGTTCCAGGGACGTACATGTATGTACATTGTATATACATGTATACTAAGAGGATCAAGTCTCGCGATATCTCGCTAGTTGCTGGATTTCGTTAATCAATTTTAATTAATTATATTTCTAATACTATGATATATTTCAGTACAAAACCTCAAAATATCTATCAAAAAATTATTCAAAATTTGATGTTAGCACTGATTAACTGTTTGCTTGTAATCGTAGTACATACCTCCCAGGTAGTGCACAAAACAAAAAATATAAAGATGCAAAGATCTGTTCATCGAATTACCTTTTGGGAAAATCATGTACGACATGTGTCTTTTATAGTTTAAGTGATATCAATATTATCATTGCAAAATTAAAAAAAATACAGATATATAATACGCATACCTTCACTGGCACATTGTTCAGTATATAGTGTTCGTAAGTCCAACAATGATCATTTCATTACAGTCTCTTTCCTAACAACGTTCGACTTCCACTTCCAAAAAAGAATTTTCATATCTTTCGAAAGATATTTCATTATATTATTAATAATAATTATGCATAATTATAACGATTCATATTGTACCTAACTATGAAATAATTGGAGGGTCACTGTAACAGGGACTTGTGTTACGGTGTACTAGCCTATACCGCGTTGTTGTTAAAACAACATGTCTGTGCATTGGGGGTAGGCCTATTGTCTCACTTGACGAAACTTGAAGTCGCATATCCCATGAGTTTTTATAACCATCGTTTCTTATCCAGTTAAAGACTAAAGATTATATCATTCCTACTTGATATTACCCCGGGGTTAACACTGGTGAAGGAAGATGTGCATTAATTGGCAAAATCAAACCTAAGTCAATCGATTTGAACATTTTAAGCAATAAAACACACCCCCCCCCACCCCCAAACGGAAAAGATTATAAATGGTCTTGTTGTTTTTTTGGTGGGTGGGGTATAGCAAAATTATGCTGATACATGTCAAATAGTTTAAATAGTACTGATGTTGTAGACTTTCCTCCCGCATTAATATTTTTCCCAGAAAAACGAGCTTGGGTTTAAAGACCCCTCCCCCTTTTGGAAAATGAGCCTAGCATAGGATTTTATTTCCGGAATTTTTTAAAATATTGTTCATTTCATTCCTTACATTTTGTAGTTTTCATTTCTGACATTTTAAAATTTTCATCTCTGACATTTATCATCATAAAGTACTTTTCCTGCAATGAAAACAGAATTATTGAAATTTCCCTTATAAAAAAATTAAAGAATAAATCAAGAATAATTCATTGATTTCCAAATAATAAGTTCTGTATATATTTAAAAGAATCTTATGAAGATTTTATCCTCGGACACATATAAGTGTAAGTTGTGAATTTTTATTCATCTTTTCAAATCAAGATAATCAGACTGAATTTGAGATCAGGTAGGTTAAGATAGAATTTATGACATACAGAAACTATGTTTGAGGGAATAAAGTAATCAAAGTTGAGGGGATTCTTTTTTTCGGTGCTTTCAAACAAATATAATTCAGTGGGCATTAAAATTTGGTGATCAAAAATTGCATGTTTTATTATTGAAATTATTACATTTTATTACTAGACTTTGTATTTTTACTAGACTTAGTGTTGATTGTATTGGAAAATGAAAACAAAAAATGTCGGAAATGCAATGCAAAATTTAGGAAATGACATGCAGCGAGCTTGGAAGAAACAACCCGGCTTTATTATCCACCATAGGAAATACCCAGTACGCTTCAGTACAGAATTTTCTCCTTTTCCACCTTCTTACTAGGGAGAATCTTATCCGCCCATACTATTTACAGAGGAGTTTTACAGAGCAACTTGACATGTATTTCCCCCTTATATAAAAAGGAAAGTGTCTGTTGAGATCGTGACTGATATAAAAATTCATAAAACACCACCAAGTCGTGTTCTTTTGTTAATATTTTTATATTTATTTTGATTTTGGTTTAAATTAGATTTTCTTCGACTTTTAGCGGCTATTTCTTTTTTATTTATGTGTGTGTGATGGGGGTGGGGTTATAGTTCTCTTGTTGCACGTCATCAACATTACTAATTAAATAATAATATATATCTGTGGTCCCTTCGGACAAATGTTTATGGTTGCATATAGATATTATACAATACAGTAGACACAGGTGTAGTGGTACTAAACAATACACTTTATTGGTTTTCACCGCGTAGAAAATTCTACACGGGAGATCACTCTCAATCAAGCTCCAGACAGCTCAGTATTATTCCATATCATTATTCGTAGGGAAAGTAGTTCCCGAAGAGTATGGAGTATGACTCTCAGTCATTCTCCATACAGTGTCAATTCTCCGGGACTACTTGGTATGGAGTTGTAGCGTAACGGAATACTGAGCTGTCTGGAGCTTGGATTCTCATGATGGAAAATCCCATGAATTACCTTTTTCTCCGAATAACCGTGAGTTGCCTCTTTCCATAAATGAATAAAATAAATAATCATAAATAATCAGCATTATTTAAATGAAATATATTTTTGATTTAAAATTAGACTGAAACGCTTCTAGTCGACATAACGAAAATGTACATATCATGTAGCTTGAAAAATACGACGCACGCTTGACAACGTCCCCAGAAACATTCAGTCAGTATATTTCTGGGTGCATTTGGGGGATGGGGGGGGGGTGGTTATTGCACAAATTAATGTACAAAATAGAAATTCCTTGATACTCAAAAAAGGAAGAGGATCAACTGATGCCCCCCCCCCTTCCCCCTGTTCATACAGACGTGAGATACATAAATTACTTTTATATAGAACTTGACATTTAACTTTGCCCAAAATGCTTTATGTCGGTAATAAAAGAAAATATTTTACAATAATGATTTCAAATTTTAATCGGTCATGCAATACAACCACAGGCACTTGTTTCGGTAATAAATTTTTAATCCATAGTATAATAATAACACAAGGTATCTAACTCCGAATTACACGGAGTACCCCCCTCCCTCAGAATCGCACTCATTTACACTTTCAGAGGAAATACACTGACAAACTGTTTATACATATGTTTTCTACGATAATTTATCTACACAACCGTATATGGCATGTTTGTCTTTATTTTCTTTAGTCTCCGTAAACAGCGTCAAAACTCTGCTCGCCGTGTGGAAAAGTCCAATTCAACCATGAAATGGTATCTGCTAATCCCGCACAGAGAACAAAAAAATGAGTGGGTTTAAAAATTCAATTCCAGTGTTTAAATATTGCATGAGTAAATAGAACTCGTTTACATCTGATTTTCCTTGAAAACATTACGATGTTTATCCGATGTAATTTTAGAAACGGATTTTTAGCCAATCAAAATCTCTGTGCGGGACTAGCACATACCATTTCATGGTTGAATTGGACTTTTCCACACGGCGAGCAGGCTGTTTACGGAGACTAAAGAAAATAAAGACAAGCATGCCATATATGGTTGTGTAGATAAATTATCGTAGAAAACATAGGTATAAACAGTTTGTCAGTGTATTTCCTCTGAAAGAGTAAATGAGTGCGATTCTGGGGGAGGGGGTACTCCGTGTAATTCGGAGTTATATACCTTGTGTTATTATTTTACTATGGGTTAAAAATTTATTACCGAAACAAGTGCCTGTGAATACAACCTGCTAGATTATCCCAGTCTGTCTATTATAGCCACAGTAAAATGTGTAATTTCTTTTTCTTTCTTTTTCCTTTGGCAAAAAAAATTTACAAAAATGAAACATTATTTCTTTCGTAGTTCATTATGACGAGGAAGAGTGATATTTTTATAAGAAAGAATTAAATCCAAACCATGATTATACTTTAAATCTGATGTATTTGTTTTCAACATTGAGTTACCTGTTTTAACCTTTAACATTACATGTATTTTGTTACTGCAGTAAATATAGATCGAATACAACATTAGGCTATATATTACCCTATCCACAAATAAAGGGCAAAATATGATTATAAACTGAAAACAAGTTAATTGTTAAAACTAAAGGTAAGCATATACATACTTTTATTTTTTATCGGTCTTATTATTAAACTCTACATTTGGAATAAGAAATTTCTTTAAATATTGTAATAAAAATAGACTAATATATACGTATAATTATATATATCACAATTTTGATGTGTACGCATGAATATCATAAAAGTATTAAAATTTGTTCTTCAGCATAATTTATTAAAATAGAGAATTCATATCTATTGATTTAAAACAAACACATGACCATTACATTGTCATTGCTATCTGCCGCGGGCTCTACCTGCGGGTACCTCTCAGGTATACGAATACTTCACACCCCCATTGTTCTATTGCCTAAACACACCGGCAGATTTCACACCTTTAATCATCCTAATTCACACAAAGCAAATGCTGGGGAAAAACAAACACAAGCCCAATAAATGCGACATTTTTTTTAAAAAAAAAATCATTGCCCTAAACGGCATTGCTAAAAGCACACTAAACATGGAGTAGCAATTCTTGCCCTAGGAGATATATTGTACAAAGAAATAAACACAACAGCTAGGGTAAATCCTTAATCTTTCTTCATATGATGTAAACAAACTCTCTTTAATTTTATGTGTTTAAGTCAAGATTAAAACATTTTCCACCACCCGGACCTTTAAACTTCGGCGGACCTTTTCTTATACGGGCCGGACCTTTTCTTATAAAAGGCGGACCTTATATGTTATCGTATTAGGTCCCCCCGGACCTTTAAACGAGGCGGACCAAATATTATGCGACACCGGTCACAGCGGCCGTGTGCTCCTTGTCATCATCGAAAAAAAAAAGTCCGTAGACAAATCAGTTTGTAAATAATGGCCTAACAATTTAGTATGAAAAATATCAGTCAGCATTTGACTTAATGATAGATTTTATTTAATTGCTGACAAGGTCATTGTATCGACCATATCACTTGCTAAATGATTAAACGAGACTGTTGCAGTTTCGAATCAGCTGAAAGACATAAACCCCTATGCAGGTGATAAGGGTCTATTGATACACAAGTAAGGGAAGTTACTGATTGAAACTTAGTTGAAGTCATCACGTTTATCACATAGCTTTGTTGTTAAGTTACCATTAACGTCCTTTCCTAGTGAAATATCCAAATATGATGCCATATTTCTGTTATTTATGCAAGTAATTTTTCTAACAATTATATCGACATGCAAGAGAAATACTCAGTATGTCAAAATGCAGCATTAATGTTTCGACATGCAAGATAACGATGTTGACAAGCAGTGATCGGAGAAGATTTCGGAAATTTTTCATAAAATATTAATTATTTCCCACATGTAACATTCAATCTTCGCGATGCAGTTCAAAAAATATTGACATATAACTTACTATATTTACATGCAGCTTATTTACATGTGTGTTGACATGCATCGTATTTTATATAAGTAAAATTATTAGTATCCTATTTCTATAAGTTCAAGATTACAAACTATAGAACATTCTTGCAAGCTGACTTTGATAAGTTGCATGTCGACAAAAATGAAATGCATGTTGACATTAATAAACTGTATGTCAATATTAATAAATTTTATCATACTTTTAGTTTGTCCAGATATTTATCTTTACGATATCTTTAACGTAAATCCTGGATCCGCCCCTCTCTTTTACAAAGAATTTACCTGATCAAGTCCGACAATATTAACAAAGGATGTTATCTGTAGATCCCACTTACTCGTGGTGCGATAGACGAAAAGAAAACAGTTTCATTATATTAAAACTAATAATCAAAAATACTGGAATATCAAAGAGTGAAGAACAATTTTGAAATTGGATATCAAGCTGGAATCATTTTTGAGTAATAAACTAATATACATTCCAGAATAACAAAGATGGAATTAAAGGTAAAAACAATGTTTACTTCTTTGTCATTTCATACATACAAATCAGATACATGTGAATTTTGCAGGGAGGAAAAAGCCAAACTAGCATAAGGTCTTAGTCCAATTTCCTTTAATGTTTGTAAAATGTGCATCTGTAGGTGTGACACTTATGATTTTATTTATTTATTATTTTCATCCAGGTTTACAAGAAATTAAATTAATATTGTTTGGAAATGATACAAAAGCGACATATTGTTGGAAACTAAAAATTTTTATGTCCAAATATGAAAGGTAGACCGTGCTCTGCTATCTATGTGTATACAAAGAAATGACCTTGACAAAAATTTAATACTTATATAAGGTATACTTTTTTAATTCTAATATATGCTTCACAACCATTCAATCATTGCTATTGTGTGATTTAGGAGAACTTGGTACAACAGTGAATATGAAATAAAACAAAAAAATGAAGATTAAGTTCATCCTTAGCATGACAAAGGTTGTTAACTATCATTTAAATTTCAGATGTGGTTGTCAAGTGCAAGCATTCTCTATATAATATGTTTAACCTTCAAGATTACTGAGGGAATAGGAGAAAATGTTACAATTTCAACAAATTTAGGGAAAATAACTGGGAAAAAATTCACCGTGCTCAACAAAACTGTCGAAGTTCTGCGATTTTTAAGCATTCCCTATGCCGTCCACCAGTGGGAGAACTCCGCTTTGCCAAGCCGCAACCATTTGGCAAATGGACTGGGACCCTTGATGCAACCATGTTTGGTCCTGCGTGTATACAACCAGAACAGAAAGGCTTCCGTTATCACGGTTTTTCTGAGGATTGTCTCCAGCTCAACATATATTCACCAAAACGCAAGACTTTAAACGGTAACCTTCCAGTTATGGTGTGGATTCATGGTGGTGGCTATGTGACCGGTTCCGCTACATTGTATGATGGGCTTTTTCTGGCCGCTAAAGGTGGAGTGGTAGTTGTTACCATCAATTATCGACTAAATTTGTTTGGATTTTTCACATTCAATAATAACATTGCCAAAGGAAATTATGGACTTTGGGATCAAATTCTTGCACTTAAATGGGTGAAAACTAACATAGCTGACTATGGTGGAAATCCAAGTCAAGTAACAATTTTTGGAGAGTCTGCAGGTGGATTCAGTGTTGGTCTTCAAAGTTTAATTCCACAAAACAAGGGACTTTTTCAAAGAGTTATAGCCGAGAGTGGGGTTGCTAATTCTTTTCTTTCTGTTGGAAAAACTAATCTTACGTCTATTTTAGTGGCCGGTGATGCTGGCTGCAGACTCGATCCGCTATTGCGAAACTTTCAAGCAGTTTTAAAATGTTTAAGATCTAAAACACCGAATGATCTACTACAAGCTGAGAATACCTTTGCAAAGGGCATGTCAACATCAATTCATTTAGGCATTAAATACGCCCCTGTCGTTGACGGTGAACTCTTCTCAGAGTCACCTGCTGACATTCTTAGAAACAAAAACTCGTCTGCCTTTACTTTTTTCTCATCTTTGGATATAATGGTTGGGAATTGTAACATGGAGGGTTCGTTACTTCTGTTAACCAACGCAGCTGTTGAAGAAAAGTATCATTTAAATATCAGCACAGGCTTTCCAAACACATTCTTCTGTAAAAGTCTCATTCCTACGTTATCTGCAGACTTTTTTCAAAGCAGTTCCAAAGTATCTGAAGCAATCTGCCAAGAATACGGCGTCTTAAATAATATATCAGAGCAGAGTAGACAAGTCTTGGAAATGTACACAGACTTGTTTTTCATTGTTCCGGCAGTATCTACCCTTATGTCGCATGCCCAGTCGAAGTCTAGGAACACACGTTATCAGTATGTTTTTACAGAGAGAAGTCCTCGACCTTTAGGTCCACCTCGTCCTTCATGGTACCGGGGTGCAGGGCACGTATCAGAGCTGTTGTTTCTTTTCGGAATTGAGGACCTCTACCTTTTCAATATAACAGTGCCACCGAAGGATTTTGTATTAGCAGATAAGATGAAGGCCTATTGGTCCAACTTTGCAAAAACTGGGTACGATTTAACAATGATACTGATCAATTCAATAAAAAATATAAATATTCACTGCTAGTAATAATACAATTCAGACTATAAATACATTTATTTCATCGAGACATGTACGCGTATTTACAGCATCATTTTCTAGCTGCTTTGCGCTTTTTCATTAAATATCTTTAAATATTTTTTTTTCAGAAACCCAAACATGGATGGACTGCCTCAGTGGCCTCAATATGACGTGCGAGAACAACAGTACCTAACCTTAAACGCTGAGAATATATGGTCAAACAGTTCATATGATTCTAGGAGAACTTCATTCTGGATAGATTATATTCCCTCACTTCTTAAAAAACATAGTTAAATTCTAAACAAAAAAGACAGCAGTAAAAAAATAAAAATGTTACAGATCTTTTATTTTTTTTTAAATATGTACTGACTTTTATTTGTTTGATTTGATAAACTATTTCTTTAAAAAGTAAGCAGATTTCTACTCAATAAATTCGTCATTTAGCTTTCAGTGTGTGTGTGTGTTTTTTTTTTTCATCAATTAACTTCGTACATGAGAGGCCTGCAGTATAATTCGTGATATCATCAAAATCAAAGTCTTATTTTATATCGAAGTTACCTCAATAACCTACTTAATAAATTTACATCTTGCTGTTCTAATGTCCTGTATTTCGACATTAATTTGACAATGTTATCAATAAATATTTGTTGATACATGCAACTTTGTCAACAAATACGACTAAAATATCGACGATAGATGTCATCATTTAGATTAACTAAACCATGCAAGTAAGTTTTTTTTTTTTTTGTTGTCAGTATGAATTAATCAATGCATTTCAATGTTTTAAGTGATATGGTACGTACTTTTGTATATATAATTTTATATATATATATATATATATATATATATATATATATATATATATATATATATATATATATATATATATATGACATGCATGTGTTTATTTCCTTACTAGCTAATTAACACATGATGATTACTTAACACTGCAAATTTCTCTTGAGTAACAGAAACAAAGGTAGTTTGGGGACATCTATGGATTTTGGCCATAGCCCTATATAAAATTAAAGCAATTCCTGAGCGTGATGCTTCACGGAAATGCTTGGTGGTCTAGCAAGTTTTACTTATTATTCCGAATGCGTCATATGTAGACATTTATTTGACCCTGGACCATATTTTTTACCGATATAGCATAATAAAAATTCAACAAATATATACGGACTATATCACTTAAAAACATAGCAACTTTCTTTTTGTTGTACATTTTCTTACAATTTTTTTCATCGTGTTGCTTTATAGAGAGGGTTTCAAATCAGTTTGTCCATAGTGGCGATTGTGTTTCTAAGTGGACTTGCTTTAGGACAGCAGCCTTATACAATCGGGTCAAAACTTGGTGACTTGACAGGCATTGTGAAAACGGTCAATAATGGTACAACAAAGGTTTTCACCTTCCTCAATATACCATACGCCAAGGCTCCAGTTGGTGCCCTAAGGTTTGCCAAACCAGAGCCATATGGAAGATGGGAAGGAGTACTCAATGCCACAAAATTAGGAAACGCCTGCATTCAGCCACCGGATCCTTTCAACAAAACGAAATTTGAGAGTCTATCCGAAGATTGTCTTCAGTTAAACATCTATGTACCTAATAATTTTACGTCAGAAAAAAGAAGTGTGATGGTTTGGATTCATGGTGGGGCGTATATTTACGGATCAGGCACGCTTTATAATGGCACAATGCTGGCAGCTCAAGGTGACGTCGTGGTGGTCACCATCAACTACCGTCTCGGAATCTTTGGTTTCCTATCCTACAATGAAACAATTGCCAGAGGTAATTATGGAATATGGGACCAAATGTTGGCATTAAAATGGGTGCAGGATAATATTGAAGATTATTCGGGTGATCCCTCGTCTGTAACAATTTTCGGAGAATCTGCAGGTGGTTTTAGTGTTTCGCTTTTATCGTTGATTCCTAGGAACAAGGGGCTTTTTCACAGAGTTATAGCCGAAAGTGGAGTGTCTGATACTTTCCTATCTTTATCTCAGCATGCAAAACTCACGGCTACTGCCATGGGAGATGCTCTTGGCTGTGTTTTCGACCCAATAACAAGGAATTTTAGAACAGTTCTTTATTGCCTGAGATCCAAATCAGTTGATGAAATATTTAAAGTTTTAAATACCTTTGGAACTTATTTTATATCTTCCTTAACGATTGAAATACCCTTTGCCCCGGTAATTGACGGAGAATTATTCAATGACTTTCCTTCAAAACTTCTATCCAATCCTTTATCGGATGAACTTGCTTTCTTTAAATCATTAGACATGATCATTGGCAATTGTAACATGGAGGGGTCATTATATTTAGCAATGACCCCGCAAGAACAGGACAGATATGGATTTAATATAACCACCGGGATACCTCAGGAATTCTTTTGTGAGAAGTTCATTCCTGCTATTGTGCGAACTTACTTTGACTCTAATTCCAAAGTTTCTAAAGCTATTTGCGAAGAATATAAAGTAAATAATGATCCGGATGAACAAAGCAGACAAGTTCTCCAAATGTATACAGACTTATTCTTTATTTCTCCAACATTTTCATCTTTATTTGCCCACTCCAAGAGTAAAGCTTACAAAAACACATATCAGTATATGTTTACCAACAAGACCCCATTGCCTTACGGTGCTCTAAGACCTGCATGGTACAGGGGTTCTGGTCACGCATCAGAACTGCCATTCCTCTTTGGAATAGAAGACCTTCATTATCGAAACATAGATGTAACAGTAGACGAATTTAAATTGGCTTTAATAATGAAAGATCTTTGGACAAATTTTGCCAAAACAGGGTAAGCCTTTTTTCCCTCACTAAATGTTATTAAAAGTTTAGTGTGGGAGCATGTCTGTTTAAATGGCAACCAAGGTATTGTTTGTCAGCATTTGCAATTATAAAGTATCGGGGTATAAGGACTGGGTTTTTAAGTAAAAAAAAATCCTTTTTGTTCTTTTTTAAACATAAAAACACATTTTTCTTGTCTTATCGTTTGTAGGAATAATGGCATGACATAAAGTACATTTTATTTTAATCTTACAGCGACCCGAACGGACCAGGACTTCCTAAATGGCCCCAGTTTGATCCTAACATGCAAACTTATCTACAACTGAACTACTCTAACTTGACAGCTCTCAATAAGTATGAGGCAGAGAGAATGAAATTTTGGTTAAATACTATACCTAATATCATTACTGGTAATAAATACTAACCTAATTTTACATTAATGATTATGTTGAGCTTATGTCTCTTTTCATACTGAACAATATTTTGTCGTTTTAATAAATTGTTCTAAAAAATAGCTCAGTTTGTATTTTTTAGTGTTTTCACAGTGTAAGGGATAGATTTGCCTTATCTGTCCTGCAAAATATTAATATTTTACTATTTTCTCCTGATGGTCAATTACAGTTTATTTCTTTTTACATATTACAGGCCAAATTGCATCAAATGAATAATTGATTAAGATTGTACAATTTTAATAGGGACCGTAGTAAAATAAAAAAAATCTTACTTCTTTTTTTCAGTGAAATTTGTTGACTTTCACGATTAACTTTATTTTTATGGTCCGAAATCTGGCAAATTATTTATAGTGCAATGGGAATGTTAAAGATACGGCTATTACTTTTTCAATGAGATTCCCAAGAGATTAAAATACCATGCATTGCGCGATCCTGTTGGTAAAAAAAATTGAATAATCATTATTGTAGCACTTTGAATGACCACACTTGTCAACTGACCATAAATACTACTTATTAAAACTTGCTGAACTACCACGCCTCTTTCGAAAATAAAAAACCGTATAGAACTCAATTCATCACAGTATTTATTGCTGTAAACCATATTCTGATCGTATTCGCACCTTGTTTAAGTCTTCGTATGTAGATACATACATGTAATTACAGTTTTGTTGATTTGCCAGACACTAGCGGCTAAAAGAAGTTTTGGTATGTATGTTAGAGTTTGCTTTATGTTTTCTGAAGCAATTAAAATGCACTTTGGAATTAATTCAATGTAATAAAAATTGAGAAATTGAACCATTTTGTTACCATCCAGTTACCTTTGATTATGTCATTACTTAAATTAAAATCAATTATATTTATACTTTTGCGACATCATCCTTATGAAGATTTGATTGTAAACTATTGCATTGTTCAAAGTAAGGGCACAAAAGACCCTTATCCTTCTTTATTTTTATTATAACTTGCGTTTCACATTATTACTTAACTTGTTTAAGACTGAAAATGAATAGGTGAAGATAACGAACAGTGACCGATCTCAAAAAACCTACAGACAACACAAATCTGTGAACAGGGCATAAAACACGGACCCCTGGAAATTCCAGAGGTGGGATCAGGAGGAGAAACCATCTCCTGTCGACTGGTCACACCCATGGTAGGCCCCTCAGATAGACAGAATAATTCGTAGTCAAATTTAGTATAAAAACAATGGCTTAACAATAGTATGAAATATGTCAGCCAAATACGATCCAATGATAGGTCTTATTTGCTAACAAAGTTATTATAAGAACCATAGAATACTCAGTATACGAAATGCTGATTTTAAACGAGGTTGTTGAAATCCCTGTAACTTCAACTTTCTTGTCAGTAGCCTGCCTCGGTTTAAAATGTGATCGTATTCAGAGCATGCTTTTGAGTATCGAGTAAGCTGAGAGCCATGCATAAACATAATATCAGGTGATAGTGGAATATTACTACTTAAATAAGGAAAGTTGACGATGGAAAATCTATAGTCAGAGAAAATGAAGTCATTTCGTTTGTCATACAGTTTAGTTGTTAGTTGGCCCATATCGTTTATAGTCTGTAAAACATCCAAATATGAAACAGGAAACAGATGTGACAGACTCTGTGCATGGTGTCTTTATTTCGAGTTAACTGGGATATACTGAGTCGACATATAAATGGAAGTAAGGTATGTTTAAAAAATTGTTTGGTTGCCCTCTCCCGACCGACTGGCTAAAAATGGCCCGACTCAAAACTTTGTTTAACCTCCAGGAAACAATTGGGTTTTTTTATGCATTCCGGAAAATAGATCTTGAATATTCAGCACTGATGTTGAAATTTTCTGGGGGAAAAATTCCCCACCTACCTCCCGACCCATCTTTTTTTTTCATCCTGAGTCGGGAGAGGGCAAACAAACATGATTTTAAAGTTGGCCAAACTGTTGTCAAATGATAGAACGTCGTCGATATATCTGAATGTCGAGTTAAAGTCCACAACAAGTGGGGTTTTTTTTTCTTATGTAGAAGTTTTTGAATAAATTCTGCTTCATAAGAATATAAAATCAGGTCAGCTAATAAAGGAGCACATTTAATGTCCACAGAAATTCTAACAGATTGTTTGAATACCTGGTCTCCAAAGACTACATAGATGTTGTCGATGAGGAACTCCAGCATCCTTTTTAATTTAATATCAACTTCGAATAGTCATATATGTGTTTAAATGTTACTGACATTTGATAAGTTTTGTGATTTTCAGTTTTCTAAAAGTTCTTTAGGATTTTTGAGAATCAGCATTTGATTTACACCGCTTCTAGAATATGCTATAGTACATACTGAAGTTTCTCCTTTACAACAGTTAATATTTTTGTGAAGAGTAACGATAGGGGCTTGGTAGAGCAGTTGCTGGACCCGGTAATGTATCTTTGTTTGTAAGGATCTCTATGAAGTTTATGTATTCTGTTTAAGTAGAGTAGATCGAACTCACTTTCGTTGACTTTAATGTTAGAAGTTTTAAGGATTGAAATGTGATTTTGAAGAATGTCATCCTTGGAAAACCAAGTGGGGCAGACTGGCAGACAGACGGACAGACGAGGAGGAACCCTATACTCCCCTCTGGTTTCACCGGAAGCTAATAATATTTCAAAATTTAAATATTTTTAATAAAATTTAAAAGGTGAGAATTTTCGCTTAAATCTGAAACTTCATGATTTTGGGGCCGTATTTATTCAAATTGTAAACTCAGTCTATGGATTCTAGCTTCTATATAAAAAAAATTATAGAAATGACAAATAAAACTATACATTCAAATTAGTTACCTTGACTATCAGTATGGTTAAATGTCATCTGTTTTTGCAACAAAATATAGGCTCAAAGATGTATAAAAAAAAAAGAAAGAAAAAAAAAAGAAAAAGAAAAAAAGGTGATATACTAGTAATAGAAAATACCTGATTTGGGAAAAGGAGTTAAGTTCAAAGTTCTTCCTGCAAATGTCACTTTCTACATAGCTTGTTTAAAGTTTCTAGAGGTATTCTTTTGTGAATTGTGTTTATAACATTGGTATTTCCTCATATTCTTGATTAACTATAGTCAGAGAAAATGTGGATAGTAAGAATTTACTTATGTGTATGTAAACATCGTTACGGTAGACATCGTTACGAGTTAGTAATTATTTGCAGTTCTTGCCAAAAATTACATCATACTGATATCATATGATCAACATGAAAATTTGTCTGCGTCTATTCATATGAAGTATGAAACAGCTGTGCTGACATAAAACGTGAACATTGGGAGTACCACTGTTACTCTGCATGGACCAAGTGTCAGCTGCAAGAAATGGTTCATATAGGGGTTTTTTTTTTTCTCGTATATCACACAATTTCAACTTTCACATCAATAGTAGTAAGGTTTAACTATCTTCATCTTTTATTTATGCAAAATATTGTTGCATTATAATGACATTTTGTGCATATCCTTCTTTGGTGTGTGATAGATTTATTACAGAGTATGATTATACATCGGGTTCAAATCAGAGTATACAGGATCCTAAAAGCTTTTACTTCAAATGCATTAGCAAAAGAACAAAATGCATTTGAAGCTTTGTATTTGTTTTGTGTATTTTTTTAATAAAAGGCATACTTGGAGAGGTACATACAGTCTATGGAATGCAAACATATTTTACATGATGAGGACCTACTTCATTAATAGTAGAAATATAGTAAAATTTAACAGATTATTACAATCCAAATGTAACAATATTTAACATCTTTTGCACAAATCCACATTGCCGATTTTTTCTGTACCGTGCTATGTGCAGATTTTTTTAACACTTATGGCACGCAGATTGGGTCAAAAATATTTTGTGTATCAGTACCAGATAAATGTAGAGAAAGAAATCAACATATGAGGAAAAATTTACAGTTTGAATGTTTCAAACATGTAAGAAATCTATTTAATCTTTTCCAAGAAACTGGGATAAAAATTGGAGTAAATACACACAAACGCTAAGAGTCTGAGGAACAAATTAAAAGATATATACTCGGATAGCAGTATATGTGTATTTTATTTTTTAAAAAAATTAACATTCAAACTATATGGAAAAAATGCATGATACTTTGTTGAATTTATTTCTAACTTTTTTTGGACTGGGGATATCATTGGATTATCAATATATGCTTATGCATCGTATCTCTATATTTGCTCTCTCCATTAGTATTCCTTTATCATTTCCGAGATGATGTTCTTATGTGATGATACAACTTTAATATTAAATAGAAGGGTCCTTCACCAATTTGAAATACTGAATAAAATCGTAAACATTAAAAACTTTCCATAGATATCAACCAGAATCCTATACCTATCACATTAGCTGAATTAAAAAGAGTGACCAATGACAGCGTCATATCAAAGAGTTTGTCGCCATCTTCGGGATACATTGTGATTTACATATTTTCCACATAGTAATCCTCCCATTCTCATATTGAAACGAAAGCCGTTTGTCCGCTAAAAAAATATAATAATTACGTTAAAATTCAAATAAGTCAATCATTAATTCTAGAAGATTGATGCCAGAGGGACACTATTTCAAATTAAGAAGGGAAGACAAACACAGAAGGGCAACTACAAATTAATGTGAAATCAGGGTTTTATAACTGAAATTCTACTTTCTGTCAAAAGAAATGTGTATGAATGAACTCCACGAATACTTGCAGAAAGTCAAAGTTACATATTATAAATCATATACGGTACCAATTTTGATGCACCAGATGCGCATCTTGACAAATTATGTCTCTTCAATGATGCTCAAGCCGAAACGTTGGAAATCCAAAATATTTGACTTAAAAAAACTTGGAAAAGCTGAAAAAGGTGCCAAAGACTGGAGCCAAATACGTCGAAGGATCAGAGCTATGCATGAGGGATAAAATCCTTAATTTTGAAATAAATTTCGAAATTTTATCACAGCAATTTAATATATATCCGTATTTTCAAGCTAGTACCGAAGTACCAGGTTACTTGGCTGTAGAGACCCTCGGGGACTAACAGTCCACCAGCAGAGGCCTCGACTCAGGGGTTATGATATAAATCATATACGGTACCAAATTTGATGCACCGGATGCGTACACAGAATTATGGATATTCCAGTCGGTGTAATATTTTTAGCCCTATTAGATGTTACAAGGATATTGAGATTTCTTGTTCAAGTCTTGATGCAAGTAAAATCACTGTAAAGGTGGTTCTACATACCGAATTATTAATACTATAAGCTATACTTTTGTATTTTTTCTCTGCTCCTTGTACATAGAATATTTATGTTGCATTCGGTGCACCATATGTAGCTATGACATTTAGAATCTGTAACTGGATGGTGGGCTCATTGCCACAGTTGTTGTGCGCGAAAGGGAGTCGCATTTAATAGAGGACAGGAGATGCTACAAGTGCCAGGTTAGTTCTAAAACTTTTTTCATCAAGTATTTTGTACACTGGAGTGTTTTACTGTGCATGTTTCCAATTGCGTGATGATGTTAAACCTGCTAGGGGAATAAATTCAAAAATTTGATACGATTTTACGAATATTTTGAAGTATGTGTTCTTAATAGCTAACTAAAGAATTCGATTATTTAATACGGGGTGATGGAAATTTTAGGGTGAGCGTTAGCATCCCAGGCTTCCTTTCTTTTTCCCTAACCCTGGGACCTTAAACCTTGACCACCTTGACATAAATTCCAATTGTTTGTTGTTGCTTATTGTTCAACTAAACGCAGTTTGTTTGTTAGACTACTGTTCAGGGTGAAAAGCTTGAGTACATTTTCAGTCCTTGCTGAACTTGCTCCACCTTCGAGTCTAAACTCGTTGATTGATCACTGTCATAAATTACGCAGTTGTGTGCCAGGTATCAAAGAGTAAGGAGAAACTATGATCATGTTGAATTTGTATGATTTGGTTCCATCCCTCACATGCCCCCGGGAGATGAGATTAAAAGTAACATTTTTTTCTTCCTTTTTAGCTTACCTGAACCGAAGGCTCAAGTGAGCTTTTCTGATCAAAGAGTGTACGACGTCCGTCTGTCGTCTGTAAACTTTTTCACATTATCTTCTTCTCAAGAACAGCAAAGCCATGATTAGTTTAATTTATATGGAAGCATCCTCTCTCAGTAGTGTAGATTCTAGTTTGTTCAGATCATGACCCCTGGGGGTAAGGAGGGGCTATAATGGGGTTCCGAGTTTTACCTAGGAATACATAAGAAAATAATTGAAAATCTTCTTTTCAAGAACAGCTAAATCATCATGATTGGTCATATTTATATGGAAGCACTCTCAGGTAGTATAGATTCTAGTTTGTTCAAATCATGACCCCGGGGGTAAAGTGGGCCACACAGGGCGATCAAAGTTTTACATAGGAATACATAGGAAAAATCTTTCAAAATATTCTTCTCAAGAACAGCAAAGCCATGATAGGTCATATTTATACGGAAACATTCTCAGGGAGTGTAGATTCAAATTTGTTCAAATCATGCCCCCTCCCTTGATTTTATATTTATACTTTTTAATACTGAACTGATTTCTGCTTTTTCCTAGCCAAAGTGCCCATGTGGGCGATGTGGCCCATGGGCTTCATGTTCTATAGATGTTATATATGCTAAAATTATTATTATCTAAGATTGTTTGATTTTGCAAGATTTCATTTTAACAATGGGTATAGTCTCTAAATGATCTCAATAAAACATCGATGATCTTTGAGATATTACACCTTATGGTCAATGACAACAATAATTCTAAAGTCATATTCCTAATGTGATAATGGGACAGAGACTGGCATACAATCAAACAAATAAACAGAAAATTATGAAAAATAAACAAATTTTCAGCTTTAAATTGTTGGCTGAATAATTAAATGTAGATGTGCAATTCTCAATATTGATCTGTTGAAATGAAATAATGTATTCATAAATATTTCAATAACAATAATCAAGTCAAAATGTTCTTTTGTCAGAATGTCTGAAACTGCGGATTTTTTTTTTTTTTTTGGGGGGGGGGTTGTTTCTTTTTATGTTTGTTTGTTTGTTTGTTAGTTTTTGTTTTGTTTTGTTTCTGTTTTTGTTTTTTGTTTTTTGTTTTTTTTTTTTCATTGCTTTAAATATGGGGTAAGGTGCGCCTACGGAGAGAATGATATACTTATTTATAATGGGAATGCAGGTTGATTTTTCCTTTTTTCAATATTGTCTTAACATTTAATACAGATTGGACACGCAGTGAAAAAGGAAATAAAGGATAAAAGGGATGTAATTTTTCTCTTCTTTCTTTATAGAATTAACATACATTTCGGTATCCTTTTGCTGAAGTTATACAATTCAAGTTTTATGCCTCTGAAAAAAAACAATTAAGACGTTTTAATTTTGTCTTTTAGGCCAATAAAAGCACAGTCTGTGGTATTGTAGAAAGAAAACAACAAAAACAACAAAATGAAGGTAGAAGTATTGCAGGAGAATTTATCAGAATGAAAAAAAATCAAATATTCTTGCAAATGTCCGGTATCAGCTCCAGTCACATGGATTACAGTTAATATATAATGTCTTTATCATGAACAAAATACAAATAAATATGCGTTGTTTTTCAGATAACATGCGGGCTGATCTGGCAATCGATCATAGCAATAAACCTGATTTTAATTCGAGCTCAGAACACTAGTAAGCAACAGATCACTTTAAAGACACAACTTGGGAAGATAAATGGTTTTATAGATATCAGAAATGCCAGAATTTTTTACAGCATACCTTATGGGAAATCCCCAACTGGAAATCGAAAGTTTGCAAAACCGGAGCCGTTTGGGAAGTGGAATGGTAACAGAAATGGAAGAGACCCTTCACCATTTTGTCCACAACGTAAAACCAGGTGGATAGACCTCTTAAAAGTCAAAATAGATGTAGATTGTCTTAAACTCAATATATACACCCCAGTCAATATTACAGAACAGCTTCCCGTAATGGTCTGGATTCATGGAGGAGGCTACGTTGTTGGTGGGGCTATGAGTTACGACGGTTCCGCATTAGCAAAAGCTGGTAACGTGGTGGTAGTTACTATTAACTATCGACTGGGATTAGAAGGGTTCTTATCCTTTGGTGACACATTAGTAAAAGGAAACTATGGAATATGGGACCAAATCTTGGCTCTTCGATGGATTAAAGACAATATCAAAGATTATGGAGGTGATCCGAATGAGGTGACAATATTTGGAGAGTCCGCTGGTGGTATGAGTGTATCACTACTGTCGTTGATTCCGAGTAACAAGGGTCTGTTCAAGCGAGCAATTATGCAGAGTGGAGTTGCAAACTCTTTGATTGCATTTCAATACGGCTCACGTAAATCACACAGAGAAATAGGCGATCTGCTAGGGTGCCCATTTGATGACGTGAATTCTAGTTCATTATTACATTGTATGAGGCAAGTGAACATGTCAAAGATTGTGAGCGCGACGACAGCTATCTTCAAAACAGCTTCAACTCAGCTTCCAATAGGTCCAGTAATTGATGGTGAACTATTTAAAAGACCAATCAAAGAAATTTTTAATGATGCTTCTTCAGAAGAAATTCAATTTTTTCGTTCCTTGGATATCATAGTTGGAACCTCAACCAGCGATGGCTCTGTGTTGATAAGGATGGATCCAGCTATTCAAAAACACTATGGATTCAATATCTCGAATGAGGGTTTGTCTTATAATTTTTTATGCAATGTTTTCCTTCCCAATATAGTTGCTGATCACTACAATGGAAATCCCGCAGTTTCCGATGCCCTGTGCAAAATGTATGGCAAGCCAAATGACCAGGCCGAGAACAGTCGCCAGGCTATCAAAATGTATGGAGACATTTTCTTTCTTTTCCCCGCTGTAGAAACTCTTACAGTTCATGCAACAAATAATGAAATATCAAAAACTTACCAATATGTCTTTTCCGAGAGTAGCCTTCCTTTCTTTTTTGAGGCTGCTGTCTTACCGCCCTGGTTTGAAGGTGCAGGGCACGCAACAGACCTCATATATCTTTTTTTCATAGAAATTATGCAATTACTTAATCCAAACTTAAGAACTGATTTCTCCGATTATGAATTCGCAGCGAAAATGAGGACCCAATGGACAAATTTTGCAAAATATGGGTAACTCTCTCTCTCTCTCTCTCTCTCTCTCTCTCTCTCTCTCTCTCTCTCTCTAACATAATACATATGATGTGATCATTCTTTAAATGGACACATAACTTGACCCTCTTTAACCTCCTTTACAATCTTATCTCTTAATCGAACCAATTTGCTGACTAAGAATATCTAAAAAAAACTAAATGTCTTTGACCCCATCTTGTTTAATCTGAACCATTTAGATGAACCATCAAGCAATATAGCAGCTAGCCTTGTTGGATATTTAGGTACATGTAATTATAAAGACTGGGGAATCCTATCCACCCTAACTGGTGAACAATCTAGGTCCTAAATTCCTATCTCTTCTTCAATTGATCTGGTGGAGGTGGTTTCAAGTAGCTTAAGACCCCCTTGTCTAACACCTTAACAGCTTAAGAGAAGTGATATCCCGGTAGACGAGGATGCTGCTATATTTATAAATGTAACTATGCATTGACACAATTTCATATTTCAGAAACCCTAATGGTCCAAAATCTAACAGTGAAGATTGGCCAACATTTGAAGCAAATGAGAGGAAGTTTCTACAGTTGAGCAAAAACAATATGACTGTTGGGATGAATTACAGAGGCGATCAAGTCCATTTCCTTTCAAAGACGGTCCCCGGTCTTATTCAATCCGCAAATACAGCAGAGCGTATGCGTGTTCACTTGAATCAGAATTCTTTTTTCCTATTTTTGATTGTATCTGTACCTGGATGTATTTTATATATGCGTGGCTAATTATACCCGCACTTTCTAAAGAAAGTTCGGGTATGCATCTGTACTTGGATGTATTTCATACATGTTTGGCTTATTATATCCGCATTTTCCAAAGAAAATTCAGGTATATTGTTGTTATCCTAGTCCGTCCGCCCGTCTGCTATTTTTACTCCTTCCTCAATACCTCTTTTATTAAGCAGTAACTAATTTATCTTTTGTAATATAATATCTAGTGTCCTTTAGAAATAAAAAGCAAGAAAAAACCAATTATGTTTTTAAGTTTTCATTTTCAACCATGGGGCCAAATGGGGTTTCAAAAAGACTTTTTTCCTACAAAAATCTGGTTCCCATAACTCCTCTTACAATAAACGCAGTAGCTTAATCATCTGTGGGGGGATGATGTGTGGTGTCCTGTAAATTTGCAATAAGGTTTCAGAATTTACATTTTCATCCTAGGGCCCAAATCGGGGTCGAAAACGGTTGTTTTTCTACAAAAATCTGGTTCCTAGAACTTCTCTTACATTTAATACAGTAGCCCTCATCTTCGGGAAGATGATCAGTGGTGTCCTGTCGATGCGCAATAATGTTATGGAATTTTTATTTTTCGCTGGGGCTAAATGGAGTTGAAAACTACGAAAACCTGGATCATATAAAACTCCTCTTACATTTATGCCGTTGCCAAATAATCTTTTTGAGGTGATTGGTGGTATTCTGTAGATGTGCAATAAGGTTTCGGAATCTACATTTTCATCCTAAGAGGCCGAATAGGGGTAGAAAAATGACTTTTCCACTAAATCTGGTTCCTAAAATCTTTTATGCGGTAACCACATCATCATTTGAATGGTGATATGTGGTGTCCTGTAGATATCCAATAAGATTTTCGTATTTTCACCCTGGGGACCAAAATGGGGGTCGAAAACGATTTTTTTTTTTACGAAAACCTGGTTCATTAAAATCCCCTTACACCTTATGCAGTTGCCAAGTCATCTTTTGGATGGTGATTTGTGGTGTCTTGTAGATGTGCAATAAGGTTTCAGAATTTAAAATTTCATCCTTAGGAGCTAAAAAGGGAAGGGGGGGGGTAGAAAAACGAAGTTTTTTCTACAAAAACTTGGTTCTCAGAACTCGTATTACATTTTAGGCAGAAGTCAAATCATCTTTGGAAGTTGATTAATGGTGTCCTGTAGATGTGAAGTAAGGTTTTGTATATCTTCTTTTCATTTCAAAGACCGATTGGGGGTCGAAAAATTACTTTAAAAACCTTCAGCTCAATGCACTATGTCATGGACAGCAAGAATATATTTGTCTTAAGGGTGGTGATTTCAACTAAAACTTCAACTGTTCTTAAAGATATTTGAAAAATCATCAAATGAAGAAGGAACGATCCCTGAGCACTTGCCTAACAGAATACTACATGAATTTAGACAATTGCAGCAAGAATACTAGTACATATGGTTTAAGGGTGGGGATCTCAACTATTTTAAACAATCATGAAACTTAGGGGGAGGGGATGACCTAATGTCATTTGCCCAACAATAAACTAAATGTATATAGACATCTGGAACAAGAATATAATATATATGCTATAAGAGAGGGGATCTCAACCGCTTTGAAGTTATTTGAACAATTTCTAGTTGAGGGGATAGGGATGACCCAAGGGCATTTGCCCAAACAGAGTAATTTACACATCTTGACATCTGCAGCAAGAATATAAATAGTTTAGGGTGGGAATTGCAACTGTTTTAAAGATATTTGAACAATCATAAAATGAGGTGGTGTAGACAACTCCTAAGCACATGTCTAAAAGAATACTTCTTGACATCTGCAGCAAGAATATAAATAGTTTAGGGTGGGAATTGCAACTGTTTTAAAGATATTTGAAAAATCATAAAATGAGGTGGTGTAGACAACTCCTAAGCAAATGTCTAAAAGAATACTTCTTGACATTTGTAGCAAGAATCTATATGGTTCAGGGGAGGGATTGTAAACTATTTTCAAGATCTATATAAGTTCATTTACATTTCATTAGTGTTGCAATGACCCTAACCATAACATACACATCACTTGGATTTGACTTGCATATCAATTAAGAACTGCTTGTTATTGCTATGCACTCAGTTTATCAGCTAGATACATGTATGTCCAGAGAAATCATACATGCATGCAACCTTTCTTTAAAGAATTCAATGCATTGTACTCAATAAATATAATATTGGCTATTATGCTTAAGTGATCACATCTCAGTAGGATTTAAGTACCTATTGTAATTAAATATTAGAACACTAATGCTGGTGATGACTAAGCAGCAATCGGAAAAGAGAAAAGAAAGTTATGTTTAAAATATCAAAATTAATGCTATAGTACTTCGTGCTTGGTCGATATTCTACATATCTATGGATTTACCTAATCAACAGTTATTCACGATCTGGTTAGCTCCAGATTGTGGCTAAACTTCTTACGCAGTAGATCTTTATTTCACATACATTGTATTGCGTGGTCTTTTTTATTATATCACTTGTTTGAGACTGATTTATAACTTTTACAAGAAAAACAAAGCTGTTAATTGAAGGTGTAGAAAACACACGAGTTTAAACCACACTGAAACATGAAGGTAATACAAGTGATGTGGGTGATCTAAAATACTGAAGTGGCTTCATTTTGATTAACAAAAGAAAAAATAGCATTCTAAACTTTTAATTTCATTGCATCAGCAAACCAGAAGTTTATGATGAGACTGTAGTTCTACAAGTTTGTACTCATAACGAAGGAAAAGAAAAGTAGCACTTGGACTTGAAACTTTGCAACAGCAATAAATAGAATAATGATCCTTGGTTTAGTCTCTTTTTGTGACAAGACTAAAACTGTAGAAGGAGAAGGCTTTTGAAAAATTTACACGTATATAATATACATATTCAGAAAATGAAAATGAAAGAGGACAAAAAAAGAAGAAAAAAGATAAATACATATAATAGATATAATAATGGTATAAATGAGGAAAAAACCATGGAGGACAGACTAAATCATATATTTTTAATATAAAAGTACAGGTTTTTTTCAGTGTCCTAGCATCTTGTTTTGTCATCAACTGAGAAAATTTAAGTATATTTGGTCTAGTAAAGTAGTATTCATTAATATACTTTTTCCTAATGTTTGACAATGCAGTGCATTCAAGTATAAAATGAAATTCATCAGCAACGTGTTTGGTTTTACAAAGTGTACTTAATCTTTCATTTAATGGTATACCTGCCCATCTTCCCAGCTAAACTGTTGGAGAAGTAGTGTTTTGAAAGTATTGCACAGAAATTTCTATTTTAACTAACCATGGCAACTACGTTCATCGAAATCAGAAACCGATACATAGAAATGTGTGTTTTAGTTAATTCTACTTGTGTGCAAAATTATATTGAAATCAGACCAAAACTGTAGGAAGAGTAGCCTTTTCAAAGTATTTCACAGAAATTTTTATTTTTCGTAACCATGGCAACACCGTTTATTGAAATCAGAAACCAATTTTTAGAAATATATATATCTTAATGTAGTCTACTTGTGTGTCTAATTATATTGAAATCGGGCCAAAAGTGTAGGAGGAGTAGCGTTTTGAAAGTATTTCCAAGAAATTAATTTTTATGTTTAGTAACAATAGCAACACCGTTTATTGAAATCAAAAACCGACACACAGAAATACGTACTTTATTAAAGTCTACTGATGTGCCAAATTATATTGAATTCAGATCAAAACTGTAGGAGAAATACCGTTTTGAAAGTATTTCACAGAAAATTCTATTTTTTAGTAACCATGGCAACATTACGTTTATCGAGATAAAAAAACGATATAAAGAATTATGTATCTTAGTGTAGTCTACTTGTGTACCAAGTTATATTGAAATCTGACCAAAACTGTAGGAGGAGTAGCATTTTGAAAAATTGCTTACAGACGGACAGACAGACAGCTAAGCGGATGGACGACGGACACCTTACTATCGCATAAACTCTTCTTGAGCTAGAAATAAACTTCATTTGAAGATCATGGTGTACTTGAAATCCAATGATGCTTACTCCTACTACACGTTAAAGACATTACTTATATCACATAGTTATAGTATTAATGAGACATGTACAGATATAATCCAAACATCACATGATTTTGCAATTTTTTTGGCACACATTCATATCGCTGGCAGTTTTCTTACAGTACGGCTTGCGGCTTCCCTGTACCTATGATATACCGACTGGGTCAAAAATAGTCTCTGTATCAACCATAGAAATATAGAAGTTTTTAAGAAGAAAAAAAAGAGAAGAGGAAAAATGCACACAATTTGATTGTTTCATGCACATAAGAAATTATATTAATTACTTAATGTGCATTGTTACAAGATTTAAGAAAGCACATAAAAGTCACATCTCTTTATGAATGGTGTAGATTTTGGCAATAGGAAGTTGTGATTCCCGCTAACTTCCTGCTTAAATTGGACAGCTCAGCATTGTCTCCAAAGACAGTATCACATATTTATTTTTAAAAAAGAAAAATAATTACAATTTGAATGTATGAAATTAGAATTTTGTAACATTGTCTTTCTTTACAACAATTTGAAAACTTTTTTTAAAATTATATATTTTTATTTTGTTGTTGGAGAAAAATATTAAATTTTCTGTATAACAGCTAGTACAAGTACATGTATCTAAATGTAGACTTCATAATTCACTTTCTCCCTATTAAAATTCATTTGTTGTTTAGTGTGAACATAAATTTATTTAATTTCGTCCTGAATTTGAAGCGTCCGGATTATTGGTGTCAGGGTTAACGAGGCTACACTGTATCCATATACAGGGTGTTTCACAATATATGTCACACATCTAAAGGCAGAAAGAAAAATTACAACAAAAGCTACATATACATTTTAAATATCATTTTAATCAGCAGATATTCAAAATTATTATTTTAAGTCAGATGTATCCAACATTCTCCATTTCAGTTTCTATGGCAACGATTTCCTAACATGTTATACTGCACGTGTTTTCCTTACCATTGTCCAAAATATCTTAAGAGACTCTTGTTCAGAAATTTCTGACCACTGCTTCGTACGTTTCACATGATACTTGACAGATTTCCTGTTTATATCTAGCTTTTTAGAACCCCAAAAGTGCATGTTTATTTTTTTATTTAAAGACGCATTTAAATAAATGTGTCCTTTCAGAACCACCGGTGAGTGCTGACGTCCACTCCTCTCGCTCTTCCTTTCAATCAATTTTGCAAACTTAACCGACTCTGAATGTCAGTTGGCTTTAAATGCTGCAATGCTGAAATCTTGTATGCAGACACACTCAATTCAAATCGAAAATTTCTAAATACACCTAATACACTTACATAGTCCCAATCCATTTCCCTAAACTCAGATCTAACTGACTTTCTTAAGGTTTTCTCAATGATTGACTTCAATTTGACAATGATCTCATTGGGGGGGGGGGGGGGGGGCAGGATTTAACTGTCTGTCATCTTTACATTATGTTTTATTCAAACTTCTTAATTAACCTTAATAAATGAAAACTTGAAGAGGGCTTTCTGGTCTGGATATTTTTCTTCATCACAACTTGTACAACATTTAGGATATCGTGCTTATAATAAAAGTTTACAAATTCAAATTTTTGTTGCTAGTTGTACTCCATTTTGAGAACAGCTGAAATCATGACATCACTGATTACATCATCAGTTTACTTCATGGTATTATAATTTTCCCAATATTTTTGCAATATCATAATTTCAGATCAATATGCTTGTCTATGGCATTTTGGTGTTTTTGGTATCATGCTTGATATTCAGATTATGCCCATTTAGATGTGTGACATCTATTATGAAACACCCTATATATATATATATATATATATATATATATATATATATATATATATATATATATATATATATATATATATATATATATATATATATATATATATATATATGAATACAGTGTATATGTATATATGTATGTATGTATGTATGTATTTGATATTTTTCATGTAGCACTATTGGCTATCTTCTATATCTGGTAAAGATAAACTTGAAATTCTTAAATTCAGTTGCAGTTAGATTAGATTCAATTATTTTCATGTAGCTATTTGTGTAGGCATTTAAAACTACTAGACTCTCATTACTATCACATAATTTGAATCACCCGTAGTTTACTTCTTATAGCAGCACCGTGTATCTCTACTATTGTAAACAGGATGGGTGTCCCCACATTGTATGACTTTCTGAAGATTGTAATTCCTGCTAATATTTGAGTGATAGGCATTTGCTAATACATGTAAATATTAATAATGAAATAAAAAATTCCCTGAGAAAGATTGATAAAAAGGTGAGCAGTTTTACACAAAAGTAAGGGAGACAAACACTGCATATAAATCTGGATACTGTAGTATATGATGAGGAGTATCTGGGGCGCCAGGACACCAGAAATTGTTTAAAATTGAAGTTCTGCCTCCTTCCATGTCGTTGTGAACATATTTGCGAAAATGTCAAGCAAAGTTTGACATTTTGAAAAATCTTAAGAAATTGATCATTTAATGCTGATTAAAGGATGATTGCTTTAATGTCGTCAATAAGTCACAAATAGAGACTAATAGAAGTAAACAAATAAGCAGTCTAAGTTAAGGTATTTCAGTCGGTGTAATTCTTCTTATGAGTCGACATTAGGCAGCTAGGTAATAAGATTCTTTTGCCAGTATCTGTGGGTGAAGGGAAAACATGCATGTTAATGGTTGTATATTTTATGTGCAAGTGGCACACCATATAGGCAAGGTTAACATCTGATACTGATGATGGACACGCGGCAGCTGTTAATTGTGAAGGTTTCAGAAACCTCCAGGAGGCTCAGGTTTGTTCCAAACTTTACATTGTCAAGTATATTTTGAACATTACATAATTATATTCTGTAAAACTAACTCGATTGAATTAAATGTACATGTACATTTTCTTTGATTGCATGTTCATTAGATGAAACATTTGGAGGATTTCATATCAAGTCAGTTCAATTATTAATATTTTGGCTAGCACATTTTCAACAACTTTGGGGGGGGGGGGGCGACTTTTTTTTTTTTTTGACAGGAGTAGTAAAACAAGTATTTTTCTTTAAGAGCCCGATTATTTCTTAGATCAGAGCTTTATTTTCTAGTTCAGCAAATTCAACAATTTATTATAAATGTTTATGTACGTGTATATGAAAGACAGATATTTATATAAACAAAAGTTAGCCTTCTTATGCATGGTCAAATGAGCACTCTTTCTTTTTAAATATAAGATGATTTTTTTAACGTAGTCTTTCCTAGTTTCTGTTCTCTAGAATTTTTCATGTTTTGTATACTATACATTAGGTTCATTGTACATCATAAAATATACAGTTTTTCTGCTATATTTTTAAATAAATTTTCAAAAAGTGCTATAATTTCTTAACATATAGACAACACTTTTGTACGGAACATACTTTAAAAACAGAATGCTAAAAATATTTAGAAAACTAAAAAATAGATACTTTTTTAAGTGAATAATTGTGTTTCTAGGTATTATGACAGACGCTTCCATCATGGAGTTCTTTGTTTTGTATGATTTATAATGAGAAAATAATGTATAACCTCTACTTAAGCGTACCGTACGGAAGCTGTAATAGTATGGCTGACACATTTCTGAAATGATTCGCCCTAGTTGCTTTGACGATTACAGCGAAGATATGGGATGTCAGTCTATAGGCAGGTGTTGTTTATGGTCATCTGACGACTGCGCTGACAGGCTCGTTTGTAATTGTTGCTGTGTGTCTTTTGTGCATATTTAGGATTTTTGAGTGTTTATATCTAGTTTTCATCTTTGCGTGTGCTCTAGTAAGATGTGTTTCCGGGAAATCGGTAAGATTTTATTTTTGTTTAAAAATAAAAGTGCATCCAAAATTGGTAGAGAAGTCGATTACAAATCTTTTTACTTTCAATACTATCAGTATACCTCAAGAGTATTGAATAACTTAAATTAAATCTATAAAAGGGAAGCCACACATCCTATTCATTTTGCAGGATAGATGAATTTTGACTTTGGAGCATCTAATGAAAAAAGTGAGAAAGAGGTAAAGCCTATCTTAACCTTCGGAGTTCTGTTGAATTCATAGAGTAGGTAAGATATGCAAAGCACAAGACTCGACAATCGCATGATGATCAAGACATATTGTTTTGCATGTTTTTTGTTCCAAAGGAAATGGAATTGATTTATTCCTAGTATGGTGTTGTAAATTTTGAATTTACTGGGTGCAGGTAAATATACGATTCATTGTAAATTTCGTACCCCTACCTAGCATACAAATTCAGAATTTACAGCATGATACGAGAATTTATTATCTATCTTGGGGAGGATGTAGATACATAAATTTCAAAATAGATCCATGATTTCTGTGCTGCATTAATATTTCCAGTAAATGATGCATGTGTAACGTGTATGATTGGGTTCTTACAAGGGATATATATATACTAAGTTTTCCTCTTACTCTGTCTGAGTTTATAATTACAATGATTGATAAGACTGCTCTGTCTCAGGGTAAATCACACGGTATTAAAAATTTTTCCTCTTATCTAGAGACGGGGACTGGGTATGCTTCTTGCACCGTGTTTCTCCTCCAAGGTTCCTATTGATAGGAAAGAACTGGGTGTATCAATCATTGTAATTATAAACTCAGACAGAGTAAGAGGAAAACTTAGTATATATATATATCCCTTGTAAGAACCCAATCATACACGTTACACATGTATAATATTTTTAGTAGAATATGAGTAGTGACACGATGTCTTATTATCTACTAAAGTAACTTAGTGTACTCCGTTTACTCCGCTCTGTTACCTGTTCTTAAATATTCGGCAAATGCGTGTATTTCTTCGACAAATTAAGTTTAGCCATTTGCGATACCTTATTTACAGTAACTATATATTTTAATAATTTATTTCTTTATTTAAGGTTAGCAAAACGCCATCGGTAAATGTTTGTAATGTGAAGATGATAATGATGATGGTGGTGGTGGTGTAAACGTTGCTCCAGAAAAAGGCAGCAAAATGAAGGTAAACCATTATATGAATAGTGCATGTTTTTGAGGTTATAAAATTGAGAGAAAACCTTTGTCAACCTCGTCGGTTGTCAGAAGAGTTTGACAATGGTATTCCGAGGGGTGTCAACTTTTACTCTCAAAATCATGCACTATTTATTCATTCTTCTGAACTATCATTTATGGTGGCATATTTCTGCCCCATATGCAAATTATATGTAATTATATGCAATATAAATATGTGAACGTGCAACATCATATACGATATGATGATATGATCTGATGAAAATTTGAAAATTTTCAGAAATTATTAAGTATCGCCAACAGGTGACTTCCAACATGCTAGATACAACTTACGTTGGCATGCAACATTTATGTCAACATACAACTTATTTACTAGTATGCATATTGTTAATGTTGACATGAAACTTATTTATGTTAGCATGCGTATTATTTATATGCAAGGTGAATATGTTCACTTGCAACTGTACCACACAAAGTAGGTTTTAGTTCGTAAAATATGTTTCATTGATGAAATAGTCCAGTTTTCATACAGGTTGCCTTGAAAAACTAATTTTGCGGCGTTAATGGATTGACGAAAGGAAGTGGTTTTCATTAGATATTCAGTGGATGTAAATATTACATAATTCAATGATTAAATGAAAAACTCTTTAGCAAACCTTGCCATCTTTCTTGATTGTTTATATTTGTTGAGTCCTATGGTGAAAGAAGCCGGATTACAATAAACATAACCAGTTGTACTAATTTGAAATTTCTTGATCGAATTTTGGTGCGATGTAGAAAAAAATGAATCCTCTGTTCACCTGGAAGTCGGGTGTAAGTGAAATATCTTTCCATAAGTTCTTGATTTATTTTTAGTCCAATATAGTAGAAATAAATTTTATGTTCACCTCGAAGTTCTGGTGCATGTGAACATAACTTTTCATAACTAATTGTATCAATTTGGAAATTCTCGACCTATTTTTCGGTCTTCACCTGGAAGGTCTTAATCAGGTGAACATAAAGGTGTGATTTCTACATTGTTGGATCTTAGGCAACCAAAGAGCTAGAGATTATTAAATAATATAATGATATCTTATGGTTGTTTCAAAGATTCTGGTAAATGTCTGCAGACTTACAAACAAATTTGCGTCATCTTTCAGATTAGGCTGATGATGGTTTTGGTTCTAATAGCAGTGCTCTGTCTCTCAAATCCAGTACAAGCTCAGAGTAAGCGGGTTATCACCCTGCAAACAAGTCTAGGAAATATAACCGGGTTCGTAGACTTCAGAAATGCCAGGATTTTCTACAACATTCCATATGGAAAATCGCCTATTGGAAGCCGAAAGTTTGCCAAGCCTGAGCCCTATGGGAAATGGAGTGGAAATAGAGATGGAAGAGACCCTTCACCATTGTGCCCACAACCAAGAACCAAGCAGTTGGATGCGCTAGGATTAAGAATGGACGAAGATTGTCTTATACTTAATATATACACTCCTATCAATAGTATAGATCAGATTCCTGTAATGGTGTGGATTCACGGTGGAGGTTATGTTGCAGGCGGAGCAATACAATACGACGGTTCTGCTCTAGCAACCGTTGGTAACGTGGTGGTGGTGACCGTAAATTATCGACTGGGATTAGAAGGGTTTCTATCTTTTGGTGACAATTTAGTGAAAGGAAATTATGGAATATGGGATCAAATCTTGGCTCTTCGATGGGTAAAGGACAATATCAAAGACTATGGAGGTAATCCGAATGAGGTGACGATATTTGGAGAGTCTGCTGGTGGTATGAGTGTATCACAGTTGTCGCTGATTCCGAGCAACAAGGGTCTTTTCAAGCGAGCAATTATGCAAAGTGGAGTTGCAAACTCTTTATTTGCATTTCAGTATGGTCCACGTGAATCACACAGAGCAATATCCGATCAGCTAGGATGTCCATATGACGAAATGAATACTACAGCCTCATTAAATTGTATGCGCCAAATCAACACATCCTCCATCATCAATGTTACAGCAGACTTTTTCTCTAATACACTTTCGAGTCGGCTTTCGATTGGTCCAGTAATTGATGGTGAGTTATTCAAAAGGTCCATCGAGAAAATTTTTGCCAACAATAATTCTGAGGAACTTGAATTTCTCCGTTCATTGGACGTTATGATTGGCACTACTGATAGCGATGGCTCTCTTATAATAAGAATGAGTGAAAGCGTTCAAAAAGAGTATGGATTTAACATTTCGGATGACGGACTGCCTTATCAGTTCTTCTGTGATATGTTCATCCCAAGTCTTGTTAATGATTACTACAAAGGAAATGCTGAAGTTTCAGACGCTTTATGCAAAATGTATGGTAAGCCAAACGACCAAGCGGAAAACAGTCGCCATGCTGTCAAGATGTATGGAGACATTTTCTTTCTTTCTCCGGCAATGGAAACTCTGACTGTTCATGCCAAAAATAACAATTTATCTAAAACTTATCAATACGTGTTTTCCGAGTGGAGTCTTCCCGTATTCTTTGACGCAACAGTATTCCCACCTTGGTTTGAAGGTGCAGGCCATGCAACAGAGCTTATTTATCTTTTCTTTTTAGAGTTCTTACCCATGCTTAATCCTGAATTAATTGTTAATCCAGCTGATCATAATTTTGCAAAGAACTTGCGTATCCAGTGGACAAATTTTGCTAAATATGGGTAAGTTTCTGTGTGTGTGTGTGTGTGTGTGAGGATGTGTGTGAGTGAAAGTTTGTGATTGAGTAAGGGTGTATGTGAGAGGGTGTGTGTAATTAACATCACAATTGATAACATCTTTTTTCCCTAGAAACCCCAATGGTGCAGAGACTGTCGTTGAAGATTGGCCACAATTTGATACAACTGAGAGAAAGTTTATGCAGTTGAACAAAAATAATATGACTGTTGGGGTGAACTACAGGGGAGATAAAATCAAATTTTTCTCAGAAACGGTCCCTGTCATTCTTCGGTCCACAAGCTCAGCTTCATTTATGTGTGTTTACTTCAGTCATTATGCTCTCTTGTCATTCCTTGTTGTATTACTTCGAAACATATTGGACATCTAGCCTCACGTACTTCTATACATGTATTTGTTTCTTGTATATTCCTAGTCTCTACTTATGCAAATGAATTGAAATTAAGAGGCACAATTTATTTACATAAGAAAATTTGTTACAGTTTAAAACCTTTTTAAGGAACAAGAATAGCATAACATAGTGGAATGTTTTTCACAGCACATGTGTTCATTTACGTTGTTTGTTAGAAACAATAAATGTATAATACTATTTAAATTTTCATTTTACTTTTTTATTTTAAATTTAAATTTTTGAGACAAGGATGCTATCCTGAAATATTGAAACTATTTTACATGCATAAAGAAGGCAATTCTTCAAAGAAAATCCTTCCAAAAAATTGGAAGATTTCAATGTACAACAAGATGCTGTCATAAGATAATATCCACAATTATGTATTTGCCCCTTGTATCTGTTATGTTAATATTTTAAACAATAAATTCTTTAACAGTCTGATATTAATTATTGTAATGATTTAATTTCAAAAGTTTCAGAAAAATATAATTCTGTAAAAAAAAATCGGTCAAAATTAGAACTTGAAATTCAATTTTTACCCCCATTTGGCCCCAAGGGTTACAATGAAAATTCCAAAACCTTATTGCATATCTGCAGGACACCCCCAGTCATCTTGCAAAAGAAAAAGTGACTGTTGCATAAAAAATAAGAGAAGTTCAGGGTTCCAGGTTTTTGTAAAATGAAAAACGTCTTTATATCCTCGTTTGGCTCCCAGGGTAAAAATGAAATATTGCACATCTACAGAACACCCCCAATCATCTTACAAAAGATGAAATGGCTACTGTGTAAAATGTATGAAGAGTTCTGGGGACCAGGTTTTGTAAAATAAAAAATCGACCCCCATTTGACCAAGAGCTGAAAAATGAAAATTCCAAAACCTTACTGCGCATCTGCAGGACACCATAATTCATCTTGCAGAAGAGGAAATGGCTACTGCAAAACTTGTAAGAGAAGTTCAGGGAACAAAGTTTTTGTAAAATGAAAAACGTCACTTTTCGACCCCTATTTGGCCCCAGGGTGAAATTCTAAATTCCGAAACTTTATTGCACATCTACAGGACACTCCCAGTCATATTCTAAAAGATAAGTTGACTACTGCAGAGAATGTATAAGGAGTTCATGGGACCAGTTTTTTGTAGAAAAACGTCGTTTTTTGATCCCCAATTACCCCCAGTGTGAAAGTCAAAATTCCGAAACTTTATTGCACATCTACAGGACACTACTAATCAATTCCAAAATACAAATGGGCTAATGTTGAAAATGTAAGAGGAGTTAAGGGGACCAGATTTTTGTGGAAGAACGTCTTTTACCCCTAGTTGGCCTTAGGGTGGAAATGAAATTTTCAAAATCTTTTTTGCACATTCAAGGCACCTCCAATCAAATTCCAAAGCTTAAGGAAGAAGATAGTGTGACAAACGGACCAGCAATATACCCAAACTTTCTTAAGAAGTGCGGATTTAATCACATCCTTGACCCCAAGTAATCCTGGTGGGTATGGATACTGGGTTTGCACAAGCTTTCAAGTGAAAAGCTTAAAGCGTCACTAATTTAAAATTTGTTACTGGAATAAAAAAAAAATACCATGAACTATTACTTCAATAAGAGATGGATTAAACCTGGAAGAGGTCTGGTGCTTAGGACCGGAGTAAAGAAAGTTTCTAAATATTTGCTACCTTTCCAGTGTAAGCTCAACTAAGCAATCCTAGACCCAGCAGTGAAGATTTTCAAAATTTTAATACAGGACTAAGTGCTCATTAAAAGCAATCAAACAGGTTGCTTACTTAATTGTAGGAGTAAAGGAATTTTTGAAAGTATAATGAAGCTTCCTTTTAAGACAATTTGCCCCATTCTGTCCTGAAAACGGGACCAAGGAATACGAATTTCACAATTTTCGCTCCTTATCATTACCTTGGAAAGAATGTCCAGGAATTATGATGTTCAAGTAAAAGTTACAATGCACATTTCATTAATTTAAGAGAAAAAACCTCAGTCTCAACCCCTAGTCAAGAGATTTACAATATGCAGTTGAAATTCATCATCTCAAACACCGGTATCTCGAATATCAAGGATACGTTGAAGCGAGTTGGCAGTCCAAATCACTTTATGGTTTTTACCCTCTTTCGATCTAATCATTGAATCCTTGGATATCTCTCAAGTTTTATCTTGGCCCAGCCCAGTTCGAGATAACGAGGTCTGGTCCCTTACCCTGGGCCATGAATTTCACTATTTTGGTACAGGACTTATTTTTTGTTATAATTATTAAACAAGAGGCCCACGGGCCTTATAGGTCACCTGAGTATCATGCAACAACTTCGCCACAATGGATTCATGTTTTAAACCAGAGGCCATGAAATTCACAATTTCGAAAGAGGCACACTTGCTCATCATAATTTTACATTGAGTAAGCTTACTTAATACCCAGAAAGAGAGCAGAGGATTATCAATGAATTAATGCATTTTCACTATGTAATCATTAGAGCCCTGCCCTAACACCAGAACCATGATGCAGGGGCCATAAAATTCACAATTTTGGAAGAGGCATCCTTACATATCATAACAATACTCTTAGTTCATCAGCTTAATACCCAGGAGAAAAGAAGATTTTCAAAGAATTATTGCATTTTTACTATGTAATCATTAGAGCCCCACCCTAACACCAGAACCCCTGACCCAGGGGCCATGAAATTCATAATTTTGGAAGAGGCACCTTTACTCATCATAACTATGCATCAGTTTGTTTGTTAAATACCCAGGATCAAAGAAAAAGATTTTTAAAGAAATAATGCATTATCACTATATATTCAACAGAGCTCCACCCTAACCCCAGAACCCCTGACCTAGGGGCCATGAATTTCACAATATTGGAACAGGCACCCTTACATATCATAACTATACTCTTAGTTCATCGGCTTATTACCCAGGAGAAAAGGAGAAGATTGTCAAAGAATTATTGCATTTTTACTATGTAATCATTAGAGCCCCGCCCTAAAACCAGAACCCCTGACCAGGGGGCCATGAAATTCACAACATAGGAATAGGCACCCTTATTCATCATAACTATGCCTTCAGTTTGTTTGCCCTGGATCAGAGAAGATTTTTAAAAAAAATAATGCATTTTCACTATACATGTATATTCAACAGAACGCTGCCCTAACACCAGAACCCCTGACCCTGGGGCCATGAAATTCACAATTTTGGAAGAGGCACCTTTCATCATCATAACTATGTATTTATTTTGTTTTCATAATATCCAAGAGCACAGAAGAAGCTTTTTAAAGAAATAATGCATTATCACTATATACTCAACAGAGCCCCACCCTAACACCAGAACCCCTGACCCTTGGGCCACGAAATTCACAATTTTGGAAGAGGCACTCTTTCTCATCATAACTATGTACTTAGTTCATCGGCTTAGTACCCAGGAGCAGAGGAGAAGATTTTTGAATAATTAATGCATTTTCACTATATAATCATTAGATACCTGCCCTAACACCAGAACCCCTGACCCAGGGGCCATGAAATTCACAATTTTAGAAGAGACACCTTTCCTCATCATAACTATGCATATTGTTTGTTTCCTAAATACCGAAGAGCAGAGGAGAAGATTTTTTAAGAATAATGCTTTTCACTACATATTCAACAGAGCCCCACCCTAGCACCAGAACCCCTGACCCTGGGGCCATAAATTTCACAATTTAGGTAGAGGGCTCAATGCTTATTACATTCATGCCAACAGTTTGCCTGCTTGATGCCCAGGAGTAAAGAAGAAGATTTTTAAAGATTGCATTAATTCTGATAGTTTTAGCCCCACCCCTCAGGCCCCAGGGGGGTAGGGGTCATGAATTTCACAATTTTTACTCCCCTTCACATATAGATGCTATGTGCCAAATTTGGTTGAAATTGGTTCAGTGGTTCCAGAGAAGAAGCTGAAAATGTTCAAATGTTAACGCACGACGGACGACGCACGACGCACGCCGACGGACGAAAAAAGATAGCAATAGGTCACCTGAGTAAACTCAGGTGACCTAAAAAAGTTTGACGTTATTTATATTTCTAAATGCTATAAAACCCTGCTCTTTGTTCTATTTCATCTTCTCTAAGTAGGGAGAAAGTATTAAATGCAATACATGCATTATACAATGTACATGAATAAAATCTGCTCAATTGTAACCGGTGAGGAGAAAAATGTGACAGACCAGAACAGGCTGTGAACCTGTGGGCCCCCTGAATCACTAGACAGGTCTTCTACCAAAGAAGCCATCTGGCGACCGGATATCTAACCTGCCTGACCGCCACATTCCTCCCTCCTTAAAGTTCTTTGACCCAGGAGACACCAACCCAGGCTCTTCCCTGGTACGTCTTCCAGGATATGGTCACAGCATCAAACGTAACCGCAGAGCTAAAAATGCGAAGACCAAGATTCGGAATCGTTAGTTAAGTGCTTTGCCAACTGAGCTGAGCTGGCCATCAGTGATCAAACCTGCCTGGTGCCACACAAGTAATAAACACAAATCAAGTTGATTTTTTTTATTACCTGCAAGTTTTGAAGAAAGAAAAACATAACATAAAATAAACAAACTAAATGACTGTATGGAACAATTACAATGTAAACATGATACATTCTACATCTATGAAAAGTAAAGTAAATTCCCTTGCCACAGGAAGTCTCTGATCATCCATAATTCCCTAATTAACATACAACATGTAATATCTGTAGAACAGTTTTTCTTCTGTGTTTTTATAGCTTCAAAATAAGAAAGTCATAGTACACACTTTACAGTGATGACTGTCAAATCATGTAATTAAATCTATGCTTCCAATATTTCCTTCCATTTTAATAGAAGAATTGGACAGAGCATATCACAGGAGGAAATCTAGCATATTAACAGAAACAGGATTTCATTCATTTACAGAGCTCTGTGCTAAAAAAAAAACCCACTACCTTCTATACATACATTTTAGTGTATCGGTATAAATATTTCCAGCATATGCTTGATGTTCTTTAAACCACAAAATTTATTTTAAACAAGAGGCCCATGGGCCACATCGCTCACCTGAGTAACTTTGGCCATGCTGTTCTTTACCAGATTTCCCCCTTGTAATACATGTATACCTATTGTGGCCCCGCCCTACCCCCAGGGGTCAAAATTTGAACAATTTAAAATTTACACTACCTCAGGATGCTTCCAAATATGTCTCAGCTTTATTGGTTCAGATGTTCTTGAAAAGAAGATTTTTAAAGATTTTTCTTATATATTTCAATGTAAAACTTGGATTCCCTATTGTGTCCTGCCCTACCCCCGGGGGTCAAAATTTGAACAATTTAAAATTTACACTACCTCAGGATGCTTCCAAATATGTCTCAGCTTTATTGGTTCAGATGTTCTTGAAAAGAAGATTTTTAAAGATTTTTCTTATATATTTCAATGTAAAACTTGGATTCCCTATTGTGTCCTGCCCTACCCCCGGGGGTCAAGATTTGAACAATTTATAATCTACACTACCCCAGGATGCTTCCACATAAGTTTCAGCTTTTCTGGCCCTGTTGTTCTTGAGAAGAAGATTTGTAAAGATTTTTCTTATGTATTTCAATGTAAAACTTGGATTCCCTATTGTGTCCCACCCTACCCCCGGGGGTCAAGATTTGAACAATTTATAATCTACACTACCCCAGGATGCTTCCACATAAGTTTCAGCTTTTCTGGCCCTGTGGTTCTTGAGAAGAAGATTTGTAAAGATTTTTCTTATATATTTCAATGTAAAACTTGGATTCCCTTTTATGGCCCCGCCCTACCCCCGGGGGTCAAGATTTGAACAATTTATAATCTACACTACCCCAGGATGCTTCCATATAAGTTTCAGCTTTTCTGGCCTAATGGTTCTTGAGAAGAAGATTTTTAAAGATTTTTTTTATGTATTTCAATGTAAAACTTGGATTCCCTATTGTGGCCCCGCCCTACCCCCGGGGGTCAAGATTTTAACAATTTAGAATCTACACTATCCCAGGATGCTTCCACATAAGTATTAGCTTTTCTGGCCCAGTGGTTCTTGAGAAGAAGATTTTTTAATTACCCCACCCTATTTTTGTCTTTTCTTGATTATCTCCCCTTGTAAGGGGACTTGGCCCTTTATTTTAACAATTTACACTCCCCTTCACCCAAGGATACTTTGTACCAAGTTTGGTTAAAATTGGCCCAGTGGTTCTTGAGAAGAAGTTGAAAATGTGAAAAGTTTACAGACGGACGGACAGACAGACGGACGGACGGACAGACGGACGGACGACGGACAACGGGTGATCAGAAAAGCTCACTTGAGCTTTCAGCTCAGGTGAGCTAAAAATTGAGAAAATTCAAAAGATTGTTCAATTCCATCTACCTCATTTATTATGTATGCTATTTGGGAAGTCAGTACTAGACAAATGCAACTTGTTTCTTTTTTTCCAGTCTATTACAGTCCTTATTTTGTTCTCATTTTAAAGTCAAATGGGGAGCTAAACTGGATTAATCACAGACCTTGTCAGTCAGTCTTACAGGGGATATTTTGCTTTAATTCTAATTTTGGTATTTTGACTAATCTGCAAAAAATATTGAACAACCTCAAAAATTATCTGCTGTAAGTATATTTATATCAAACACTTTATGCTGTTATGTATTACTGTAAGTAGACTCTCGCACTATTCAGAAACTTGCAATAAAATACTTCTTCCAAATAACTGAGCAAATATGACAAAAACCTACATCCATGTAATATAGGAAATGAAACATTTTCTCATTTAGAAAATATTCTCATGTATTAAACTTGTTTGAATTTATATTAGCATATTAAATTGGATCTTGCTGTATACATCACAAAATGATTTTCATATGTTCAGCAGTACATGCATTAAACACCTGTAATAAATTGACAAAAAAGAATTATTGAGGCAACACCGGGCATGTTTTTGGATACAATGCAATGATACCCTTGTTTTCATACATTCATTCTTTAAACTTTTAACAGTGAGGCTTGGAAATGTGCTTGCTTGTTGAGTTTACTAGCAAAACACACCCACTGCCAAAAATACAGGAAAAAATGCACTTTTAACTTTTTTCCAGAAATAGCGCAAATTTTAATACATATCAAATTAACAGCAATGGAGCAATATTTCCTTATTAGTTACACTTTCATTGCTGAATGAAATATTCTCTGCAAAACTTTAACACATGCCTATTCAGAACTTACTCATTGGCTCTTCTTAAATATAAAGGGGAAATCAAATAAAAAGGCATTGGAGGCTAAATATGCAATTTACAAGCTGATTTCAAATATTTCATATTGATAATCATTGTAAAACAGAGAAAATTAAACATTTGTTTTAAACAGAATACTCTTCTTAATCATATCAACTATAACAATCCTTCTGGTGAACAAAGATCCACAATGAATGTGTAATCTTTGTGGTCAGTAATGTTTACTTTAGATTAAAATAAGGATTCCTTGTACAGCTGCATTAAAAAATATCTAAACAAAAAAAAAAGAGAAAAAATAAAAAAAGGGCATGGGCCACAACACTCACCTGAGTCACAAAGTTCCTTCTATATAATCAGACCCCTTCTTGTGGCATCAAACAAATGACCAATAACTGGTTCTTCATGACTTGGATATAAATCTGCACTTTATGGGGATGTTTGCCATTAAATACCTTTAAATTTTGTTAATCTTATAGTTCTACTGTTTTGTAGGTAAGGAATTTTCAAAGAACCTTCACATGTAAAGCTGTAAATTTGTAATGATGCTTGAACAACCTTGAATCTTACCTACATGGGGGTGACATTATTATCAATGTGACCTATTACATCCTTGTTATTGTTTTGACTTTTAAGGAATTGGCCTTAAAACATGTAATAATTTCTCTTATAAATACTAGTATGCATGTGATGTGTAAAACTGAACCCACTTTCTGTCGCCCCATCTTGAGATTAGGACTTGGACATTTTAAATCGGAACTAAATTTTTATAGGATTTTCCAATACATGTATATTCCTATACATTCTTCAGTTCAAACTGCAAACTCATAATTAGAACAAATTTCAATCACACCAACAGTATTTGTTTATATACTAATTGTAGCATTTGACAAGCTGTATTTTTCTGAAGAATATTTTCAAAGTTTTTTTTTCCTGAAATATTCATGTGTTACAGTGTATTCCCTTACTGGGGCCCCTTCCAAACTTGACTGGGAATAATTCGAACATGCAAGCTTTCACTAAAGTTTATTCCTTTTTAGATCTGAGATTCTTGGAAATGTTTTTAAATGACACCATCCAATTACATGTGAACAAATTTGAATCCCCTTCACTCAAGCTTCATCCAAACTTGCTTTGTAGCAGGTTGAAATAAGCCCAGTTGTCTCTCAAGTTGAAAATGAAAATGTGGACACAGACATATTTATGCTGGACAACTTTGATCAGAAAAGCTTACATACGCTATGGGCTCTATTACCCTAAAAACTCAACACAAACTTTCTGTAAATATACCATGAATGATCTGCTTTACTGAGCAAATGTGTTCCTATCAAAGAAATGGAATGCAAAATATAAGCTTAACTGACAGGTAAAATTAACAAACTGTCCAAATCCTTATCATTTTTTTTTTACGGTAGGAGCTCCATGTATAACTGCTGTTCTACATGAGATGTGTAGACAAAAAGTCACTGATGGTACCTGCACCCCATAATGTCAGCTGATTCTAAATAAAACACAAAAAATATGGATTACATAAAACTCATACAAATTTGTTCTCTTATCTTGAAAGTCTGCATAGTAACACTGTATATTTTAAACTCATGGCACTCTGCCAAAGTAAATATTTGCACCACTCTAATAAAACTAATAATACTTTATTTAAAGAGGGTAACCCAACTAATGCACTGTGAACCAAACTTTTCAGGCTTTACTTCTTATAATTATTAATCAAACTAAAACAGCCACTATTTTAGCATGTTTAGGTGTCATTATATGCAGGTAACAGAACTTACCTGTGGGAGATACAGACAGACACTGGACAGCTTAAATACAGTCATCTTGTTTGTGGATGTCTAAAACATACATTCAATATGGTTACAGATTTTACCATCTGTCCATGATGTCATGTGGCAGGATTGTTCTAGTGACATGATAAAAGCTGATATTTCAAAATATGTACACAATAATTAACAAAAATATTTGATATATTGATTGCATCTTAATCTTTAATTAATTATAATAAAACAATCAATAATGTGACACCAATCTTAATTTATTTTAGACATATGAGAGAAGTCATCCAAGTTCCTATTTAAAAACTTTACAGAAGACAAAAACAAAAAAATAAACTAAAGTAAAAACCCCTTTGGTTTTTTGATTATGCAGAGTTAGAACTGTACCTGGATATGGTGCTTATCCAGAAACAAGAACATAGACTGTTTAGGGTCATTAATTATCAGAGCCGATCTCTCCTTCTTGTTGACCAAACGAGCAAGTTGTCTATCATAGTCCTCTTGAGTGTAAACAAAATCTTCCTACAAATAAAACTTTACATTAAACATTTCTTCTATTAAATTTGTAGAATATACTACTACTTTAGTAAGACTAATGGCCTAAAAAAATATTATAAAATATATAGATTCATAGATACATGTGTTTATAATACAAACTAGAAATCTGACCAGTCAGCAAGGGCCATGCCGAGGGGTAGAAATAAATTTAAGGGATGAGAATTTTACTTGATTACAAAAATCTAAAAATATAAAAAGAAGAATAAGCAACAGCAACTGCTAAATATCCAACAACCTGTAAATAGTATCCTTGTATTTACATAAGGCAGTAAAAACCATCCTATCTATAGGAACTCAATTAAATGTATATTTAAAGAAGAATGAAGCATGTGTTTTCTAAAATATCAGCCTTCAGTGAATGCAAATATCACCCAGGCTTGACCTTAACTTCAAAACAAACATCAGTTGCAGACAAAGGTGTTAATCAATCTTAAAGTTACAGAAAGATAACCCTCTAAAATTTTCTGCAACCAGCAAGATAATCAAATCCAGGGGATTAATTATACTGCTCTCTCAACCTTTTCTTCTAAGTTTGCAATAAGAACTTTTTCAGCAATGATAGAATGAGGTTATTATCTGAATACCTGTTAAAATAAATAGTATGCTTGAGTTTACATAAGGCAGAAAAAAAAAGAAAATAATAATAAAAAAGATACCTTTATCTATATCTTGTTTTTAGAATTCAATAAAATCATAACTCTTGTGTATTTTACCAAAATAATGTATGAACATTATTTAAATCCACATTTCAGAGAATATAAACATCATTCAGAATTGACCTTAACTTCAAACCAACTTTGTTTGCAGACAGAGGTGTTAATTTATCTCAATGTGGCAGATAAAGATAAATGCTATGGATTTTCTTCAAAAGGAAAGTTAATTAATCCCAAGAGACTCATTGCAGCCTTTCCTAGCTTACAATAGGAACATTCTCAGCAGTTGTCTCTCTTTGCCCATTCACTCTTATATAAAGTTAAGGAATCTACACCACCACCCCAGCTCCAAACTGGATGACATAGAGAACCAAACTTAGCATTAAAACATGTCTTACTGCCTAATCAACCAACATACAAAATTTGAAGTTAATTGGTCAACCCTAAAAAGGTTATTAGAAAAAACAGAAAATTTGTGGACAGAAGAATGACAGATGGACAGACAGACGGACGGACAGCTAGACAGACAGACAGAGTGATTACTATAGGGCACCTGCAAATCCTTGTGTGGCCCTAATGAAATATACACAACTTTTAGGTCCAAGTCCTTTTGTAGTCCTTTTGTAGTTAAATCAATGGGTTGGATTTCTCTGAACAAATTGTTAGAGATTATAGTGACATATCTTTCTAAATCTCATATTCCAAATGAATGTAGTATCCTTATACTAGAATTTTCCTCATCTAAACTACATACATTATAGGTTAAAATAATAATTTTTATAAACAAAATGACTCTAATTCACAAAGAATTTAAGATGAATTTATAAAGTGCTCCTTTTCTAACCATGACTGGCTTGAAAGGCATATCCTCTCCCTTCCATCTAGAAAACAACCTCCCTTCAATTTTTTCAATGTCATTTCTTGGCCACAGAAGAAAATCTACATCAGTAGTACAACCAAGAATATCCTGGGTAAAAAAAAAAATTCAAAATAAGGTAATAAGATAGTCTGATTAACACATTTTTAATCATTGTTGTTATATTGTAATATGCAGAAAAATTATAATAATACTCAAAGTTGACCGTTAAAAAAATGAAAGTACATGTATATTTAAGATATTCAATATAATTTTGTATTCAGAAATCATGTCTTCTGAATATAAACCTAAATGATAAATGGATATTGCAAAAAACTTTGCTATATCTGTAAATTTGCTATATCAATCTTTGTACTGAGTTTTACTTATTTATTTTGCACAAATATTAAAAAACAACCCTGTGATTTACACATCAGAAGATTAAAGGAAGTTCAATATGTATGTTTCATTGTACATCTGATCACATGAATACAAAATCATACTTGCACATCATTTAATACAATTGAATTGATTACAGGAAGTTTAATACATACACGTCTCAGTGGATGCCAACGAGGAGCATGGAGCTGAACAATATCTTTTTCTAACAGTTCCTGAGAACTTTCTAAAGAGTAAGCTTGATCCTGAAAGAAGAAGCAAACATAATATTTAACAGTTATGCACAGATTACAACTTTATCTCCAATGCCTTTCAGATTTCCTAAATTTCAAATTCATAGTTCTTCTTAAATGCAATATTTGTGTTAATAATTATGCAGTTTCAGTTCCTCTTTTTGTCAAAATTAATTTTGATTTCTTCTAGGGCTGTCATGGTTCCCCGAAATAACCGAAAACCGCAGTCCAAGTTGTTCGGTTCGGTTTCGGTTCCATTTTTCCGGATTTCGGTTCAGGTCTGGTTTATATATTAGAATATGTTTTATACAAAAAATGGCGTCAAAATCAAAAGAATGCTGATGATAACAGTGATAAATAAACATCGCAACTGAATTATACTTCATTCCATGACAAAACACTTGTCACGAAAGAACTAGATAATTATCAAAACAAGCAAGAATGATCAGATTGTAGCTAGTAGTCAGCCTAATAGTCTTAAGGACAGACGATACGTTCCTCAATAATATATAATTTTTTCTAAGATTTCGTCATTGAAGTATTACTACTTCAACATGTTTACTCACAAAAAAATTGAGGTACCTTACCAGGCATTTGTGCAAGATACCAGAGGATGGTGTTTCCTATAAAATCCTTTTGGAAAAAAATTAACTTGCCAATATCACATTTTAGTGTTTCAAGTTTTAAAAGACAATTAGAAACCAGTTTAGAAATCAGAAGGCAATTATAATTTTGAATATTTTCCATACAATACGAAGATATACAAAACAGATATTTAAGGAACGTCTCGTCTGACCTTAATCACCGATGTCAAGACGTTAACATGGATAAGATTTGTTTTAAGGTATTCAATGTATAATGAAGGGATATTGAACAATTTTGAATCATTTTAAACTAGTTAAATATGTATTGCTAAATAATGATGAAAGTGAAATGAATCAAATTCACATGACTGATAACATGTAAGAAGCTGGCCATTTTGCACCTTAAACTATTTTGAAGAGTTATCTGCCCTTGATGAAAAAAAGAAAATTTTAAATTCTATGGAAAACGATTCATTTTATTTCATATTTTAATAAAGAGAGAGTTTATGCACTTTTTCACCAAGAGATTTGGATGAAGTTCAAATTACTTTTTACAATATCTTAATTATACATATGCTGCCCATAGACTTCAATGTAATATTCACGGTGCAATTAATTGGACAATAATCAAAATTTTGTAAATTCCTTTGGTGGAGTATTTTTATTTGATAACACCTTCAAAATGCTACTATGATTCAAAATATTGGATCATTCATTTATTAGGTTCAAAATATGGTCGTTATACATTGAATACCTTAAAGGTGAATGTAACGTAACAAAAGAGATTTTTTATGTTAAATTCATAAAATTAAGGTTTCAAATAGAGGTAAATAACCGAACTGAAAAACCCAAAACCGAACCGAAAATTTACAGAACCGACCCGACCTGAAAAATTTTGGAACCGTGACAGCCCTTATTTCTTGTTTTAAAAAACCCTTAAATTAAACTTAAATTTTGGGAAAATAATATTTAAGAACTAGTGTTGTCAAATCGTAAGACTTTAAGTAATTGGTTAGCTGCTTTTTTTTCTGATTGAGGAACTGGTTACAGGATGGTTTTACATAAAGAAAGACCTTGGCCACAAAATTTAAGCATTGAATTATTATTTTTGGATGTTGTCGATCTTATAACAGCACCTTGCCATGCCGACTAATTAAATACATGCACCATGAGTTAGCGCAGTATGATAATTTATTGGCAAGCACAGGTGCTGTTATAGGACCACAGGGTTCGAAATTCACTATATACAACTCGCAAAACGTGAGTTAGAATTCCCCAATTGCGAGTTAAAAATTAGGTAACTCGCAAAAACTTGCGAGTTGTTTTTTTTTGCATTGAAACTGTAGCAAAATTATATAATATGACAGAACACAATGCCTTTGATTTAAATCAGTAATTTAAATAAAAGTCACACTGTAGTTGTATTTTGTGTATTGTACAGTAGTTACTTTTTCCTTAAGTTACATGTATTTAATTTATATAAATTTAACTTTATATGAAAATTGCGAGTAGTCTTATAAAATTGCGAGTTCACTTTCTTGGTACTCGCAATTATTTGCGAGTTGTAATTTTAGGGAGTTTCTAACCCTGGACCAAAGACATCCAAAAATGAGAATTCAATGCTTATATTTACATTCTCTAATTTTCTCTCTTCATAATTATAATGATAATTTTTCAGCAAGGACAGGTGCTGTTATAGGACTGGACCAAGGACATCCAAAAATGAGAAGTCAATGCTTATATTTACATTCTCTAATTTTCTCTCTTCATAATTATTAATTTCCTTCATCTTCATTATGAATTTATCATCTTTCAAAACTTGTGTGGTTAATAGACATAAGTTAAATAACGCAAATGATTTTTATGAGGGAAAAAAAATGATAAATTAATTTTGAATAAACAATTGTTATTTTTACAATAATTTAATAGGATAATTGCTTGTAATTAAATTGAGCCAAAACAATATACATTTTGGTGTTCCTAGCGTATTAAATAGACTCTAGGAACACCTAGAGCATGCTATAGTATTATGTACAGGGTTTGACACTAAGGCACATCTGACCGACCCAGTCTAGTAAATGTGTGGTCCTGTCGTGTTAAATGTTCATGAACTAGACCGACTGGTCGTGTGGATGAAATGTTAACCCTCATTTCAGTCTTTCAAATAAATGCTCTAAAAACTTTTTAAAGAAATTTTCTTAATTTTCAGATTGCAAACACAGCCATTGCTCTGAAAAAGAAAACTTCCCTGCATGACACAATCGCTATTTTTGAGCCCAGCTGTAATCGACAAGTCACAATCGAAACTATCTTCGTTCAGTATCATTTAATTGGTATGAATAGTCATTGAATAATATAGTTTTTAATTTATTTACATGTATATTTAGGGTAATAATTTTATATAAGTTCCTTGAATTAATGTTCTTTAAAGCTTATAATATTCGCAAGTTGACTCATTGGGCTGCTACCTATGGCTATGGGCTCAATGGACTGCTACCTATGGAACAGTCTGTCAAAATGTGTACATGAATACGTGCGAAAGATACACTGTAGTATGGTTTCGAAACTTTTTTCCATTATAATAGCAGGTTATAAAAAAGAAAATTTTCAAGTTTGGTCAGGGCTAGTGATTTTATGGTCAGGGCTAGTAAAAATTATGGGAAGTAGTCCGACTGGTCTAGTATTCATAAAAGTTAATGTCAAACCCTGATATAGTTCCTAGAGTATACTGTGTATTCTACTATGTATTCCATTAGCTTGGACAATTTAGCTGTCTTTTACATACCTTGACACCTTTAAGAATACAATCCTCATAGTTGTTAGTCATTACTGGAACTACATCTGAAACTTCAAATAGGGCAGCTCTCTTTTTCTAAAAAGAAGTGACAAATTGTTTTAGATACAATGGAAAAGATAATCAATGTATGATCAATCTTATATTTTATACAATAACAAAATTGCTCATACCTGTAACCATGCACATTATGGATTGAGGAAAATAACATTTTTTTCCATTCACATTAATATAATCAATATATTTACAAATGACTTTGTTGTCTAAGTCTCATAAAACTTGCCAACTTTCTTTGCTAACATTGCAATATAATTCTATAAAACTATCACACTTGGGCACTATAAGTTTCAGTATAATAACTTCTCATACAATCATTACTACCATCTTATTAGAGCTGAGCTCTTAATAATCAGCACTCATAAAAAACATTAAGTTCAAATCTTAAAGGGATTTTGTTCTTTAAGTTTGCTTACTACAGCAGGAAGATGCTCCATTCTAAAACATTAACTGGTGACATATTCCACAGGCACCTGACGAATGGTTGGTGTAACATTCCCCCCCACCCTGAGAATTTTTTTGGACACGATAACTTAGCAAATATACATAAATTCCTAGTCTATCATACCAATACCTTGATATTAAATCTTGTAAACAAACAAGGTGCCCCACTTCGAGGGAGATTTTCAATGTTAACACAGCATTTCAATGAAATTTATGCAAGAGGCAGTTTTGGGAGATGTTGTTATACAAACCTCTTATAGTCACACCCGGTCGAAATTATTTATTTGTCCTAAATTCAGAATTATTTACCAGACTTCCTTCCACTGGCTGCCAAACAGGAGGTCATCAATTACTATGTTTAGCATAATGAAAAATCTAGAGATAGCTAAACAAAACTCCTTGGATGTTTTCCACAACATACAATCAAAACCTCCTGTTTGATTGCCAGCGAAAGGAAATTGGGTAAATAAACGTGATTTTAGGACAAATAAATCATTTTGATCAGGTGTGACTACAAGAGGTTTGTAAATTAACATCTCCCTGAACTGCCTCTTGCATAAATTTCATTGACAATGCTGTATTAACATTGAAAATCTCCCTCGAAGTGGGGCACCCAGTGTGTTTACAAGATATTGTTGATTTAGCATTTTTATATACCGTAGGGAAAACCTCTAAAATTTGGTTGAAATTGGCACAGTGGTTCTTGAGAAGAAGATGAAAATGAGAAAACTTTACGACAATGACAATGGACCATGGACAAATTTTGGTCTGAAAAGCTCACTTGAGCTTTCGGCTCAAGGTGATCTAAAAAGCAAGATATTAAACTATAGACTTTTTAATTAGATGGACCGTTATGCAACTTTTCAACACTATCCAAAGTTAAATTATGGGGTTTTTCTTAATTTAGCATAATGAAACCATTTTTTTTTTTTTTACCTTTTCTTTGAAGTGAAAAACAATGTACATTTTGAACTCAAACTGGTCTGCAAGAGACTCTCGTTTTTTCTTCAGCTGATTACGCAAACGATTAACGGCTGAATTTTTTCTGTTGTGTGGATCGCCCATTTCGATATGTGGTACTGTCTACATTATTTATGGATTTCTATAAGTCTAGAACTGATTTTCAGAGTAAAATTTCGATCCTTTCCTTCCACAGCGAGCAATATTGAAGTCTTTTAATAACTACATTTCGGCTTTAAAGTTTCAAAGGGGGAAATGTGTAATTTACTAATAAATTAACGACTGTTGATCCAGGATGGAGTCAAAAGGTTGGTGTTGTTTTTAGCATCCTTCCGCCTCGGCCATCACGATTGATCTCTGATCCTTATGCATTCAATCCGCTTTCCTTGCAAACCATGCCCTTTATCTGTATACCGTAGAACCAAGTGAAAAAATGGTTAAGGAATGAAAAGATGGTGAGAAATTTAAGTGTTCCTCGGCCATTTTTGGTAGGATTTGCGGCGAATTTTACGCTTTTCCAGACAAATACACTTAACGTCTAGATACATCTGTTGCAAAATGGTGATATGTCACCTTCCTGTTTACCTCCTCTCACGAAAGAGTTCGTCTGTTTGTGGCGGGAAAATATAAACTTTATTTGAATCAATATAGAGGAAAATTGTGGATATAAACGATGAAGCAGTATTAAATTAATATGTTTAATGTTGTGACCGTTATGTCGAGTGCAATTGAATATATTTCTGGATGCCATTAAATATACATGTTTAACTTAATGGTCATTTGCAAAATTATTTTGTAAAAAAAAAAAAAAAAAAAAAAACAACATTCTGGTTGTACAAACAAGTAGTACTCTGAAGTAGATATTAAAAGATGCTTGAGTTTCTTCAATAATTTTACTGTTCTGTGGGCTTTTTATCTACTGGAAATGAGATAACAGGTGCGTAGTGTTGGGGGATGGGTCCCCCCCCCCACTTTTCCAAACATTACCTTACTATTGAAAATATTCATTGAAAGGCTGGTCCCCCTTTTTTTGTTGCAGCATAGTTATATATAAGATTTGTTTGGTAATGTTTTAAAAAAAAAATTGCTTGTGAATGAAAGTCAGTATATATTTTGCATGTACCGTATAGAACGGGATATAGAAATTTTGTCTCCGGAGGCAACATTTAATGGTAAAAACTCTTTATGCATACATGTATTGATGTACACAGCATATAATCAATAAAGTTGTTAAATAAATCTTTATTGCATTAGAATATAAACTACAGACAGCAGTTATTATACTTGTTACACATACACTAAAGGCTTTACGTAGATCCTCCAATATTTCCACATCTAATACTTGCTAGAGAAGTAAGTTCACCTTATATATGAAATTAATATTTTAGTTCTGTTATAACCATGATTATAAACTGCTTCATTTTTAAATAAAAATGATGTGTTTTTGTTATTCATTTAATATTATGATAGATATATCACGACTGATATGACTTTGATACAAAAGATTTACTGCGTGCGGATATGGTGTTAAATTCAACAATTATAAACTTCAATATCCAAGACAGAAGCATCGTTTTTCAAAAATAGGTAGGGGTATAGCCAGAAAATAATTCAGTGACAGGTAAAACAAAATGTCTCCGAAAAAATTAACAATCAGAGAAAAAAAGGGAAATATGGAAATTCGAAAATCTTATTCCATGGGAAAGGGGAGGGGTCTCCTTTTGCCAAGGAAAAAAAATTATTTTTATTATACAAACGATTTTCTAAATCATATAAACGATTTTAAAAAATCGTACAAACGAATTTTTTTCCAAAAAAAAAAAATCATACAAACGCTTTTCTATGGAATTCCATATACGACAGCCAACTTCTTACTGCCACTGCTTACTAGCAACTGCTCACTGCTTACTGTCAAGTGCTATATATACTGCCTATTGATGATATTGCCTATATTTTGATATCTAAATATTTTTACTACGCATGCTTGAATAAATCCTATGGACATATTTGAATGATTTTTTTTATATTTATGTAGACATTTATGTGAATTTTCATAAAACATAACTTATTTGGAAAAGCGAAGAGAGTTAAGTTTACAATTTTGGTAAAACTTGTGTTTATCACTATACAAATGAACGAAAACAGGATATTTATTTTCACACCCCCCCCCCCCCCCCACACACACACACTCCGTGAAACAATAATTTCTTTTTACAGGTATTATGAATTGTTATTTCACAAATTCATACCAAAGGTTTTTTCGGGGGGGGGGGGGTATGTTTACAGACAAAAGCAATAAAAATAGTTACATGTATTTTATTACTAACTTCAATTTCAAATGAGATAACAAGTGAAAAAAAGTAATTTGTCAATCTGATATGTTGAATTTTACATAAGTTAAACAGTAAGGGTCATTTATCCATTTCCATGAAAATTTGAAAATCTGGTGATGTTTTGAATTAATAAATTTTTCTAATCCCCCCCCCCCCCTTTATGAAAGGAGTTGTAAATAAGAGCAATTAACTTTTTGGCACTGGTTTTAAAATTATTAATCCATTACTAATGAACTTTTCTTTGCATTCAAACAAGTTTTAATGGCCAAATTCCCATTAATATTGAATCAAATGGACGTAAAATGTAAACGGGAATTAGCTTTAGCGTGTGTAGTTCTTACAATAATAAAAAAAAAATTGCTGATTTATGAACTTTGACGGGGAGGGAGGAGTTAATTGAAAGAATTTGTATTTCCTCTTAAAATTAAAGTAATTAATTTCCACATTTTCTTGCTGGGAAATAATTGAATAGCTGTTTTGACGGGGAGGGAGGGGGGGGGGGGTCACATACGACAAAAGAGCAAACCTTTTGTAGGGTCTTAATAATTTGGAACTAACATTTGTTGGTATAGATTTTTATACTAGAAATATTACTGAAAATTATAATAAAATAACTTTTGTCTAGAAGAAAATATCTTGTAATATCTTTTGTTGTTTCTTTTTGCCCTATAAAAGATATCTGTATTTGTGATTTTTTTCATATTTGTCTTAATTAAATTGTTTATTTAACTCTTGATTTATTTTAACAATTAATTCGTTAATCTTAGATCTTTTAGAAACATTGCTGGTGGTGGTTGTGGTGGGTTTTCCCAAAAACATATAATATACAGTATTGCTCCCTTAATAATAACGCCTGTGAGCTTTTTTATTACTTGTAAAGGGATTTCTGTTGGGTTGTGCAACTTGTGCCCCCCCCCCCCCCGCACGGAAATTGATTCCTTGCCTGAGGTCAACTGTTTTTACATGGAGTAAAATTAATGTATTGTATTATGATTTTTTATTAGTATTATGATATAAATGCTTATACTAACAAATGTTACTCAGGATCCTACTGAAAGCCCCCCCCCCCCCCATTTTTCTGACGTTAAATAAGCCTGCAATCTCTCCCCAAAAAAGCTATTGTATTATTTGCCTGCACGGAAATGCGGAAATTAAATGTTTCGCATTGAAGAAGAAATGCTCCTTCCTCTTATTCAATTATTCCTTCCTCGCCTCCACCGTTTAAAAATTCCTGAATCCGCCAATTTTTGTTATTATTTTAATATTCTTGCTATCATAGGATTTATTCAAGCATGCGTATTAAAGATATTAAAGATAACAAAACAGGCAATATCATCTATGAACAGTGACAGTTGGCATTAAGCAGTGAGTAGTTGGCAGTAAGCAGCTGGCAGTTGGCAGTAAGCAGTTGGCTGTCGTATATGGAATTCCATACTTTTCTTAACTGTAAAACGATTTTCTATATCGTATCAACGAATAAAAATTCTACCAACGATTATATTTTTTTTTCTACAAAATTGACGAATTCCTACTAAAAGTTATCTTTACAAATTAAAATTAATTGATTCACCATTATGTTCCTTCTGTGATACTGATATTGAAACTATTGATCATCTTTTTGTTGACTACTTCTGTGTTAAAGAACTTTGGTTGAAAATTGAGAATGGATTTCGAATAAACTAAACCGGTTAGTTTATTTCGATAAGAAATCAATCTTGTTTGGTAAAATTACAAACAAAGAACAATACAAGTTTGAGAATCTTCCTATTATGACTATCAAACAGTATAATTTTTTCAAGTAAGTTCAAAAATCCAATAAAATTAAGCATTGAGGAATTAAAACATGTAACTACTGACAATTATAGTTGAAAAATTTTTACTGTTAAAAAACTGTAAATTTGAGGAATTTACAAGACACTGACAGGAAATTGTTGAAAAATTGTAAGAACTCAAAAACCAATTTTTATTAACAATATTTTGAAGGTTCTTGCCCCTCCTTTCTCATCACTCTTCCCTCCCCCTCTTTCCCCTCTCCTTTTCTATCTTTTCTTAATCTCCCAAAAATTCTTTCACACATTTTTTTTATATAACTGTGACTGTTTGTATTTGTAGGCAACGTGTTGACTCAGGACCTCTGGCTTGCGAGGATGGTAATTTGTGTGATTGAAGAATTAAAAAAAATGACATGGCACGTATACACCGTCGTAAACTAGGATTAAACTTTTTCACAGCCACATCTAATTTTTTTTCGGAATTTGTACATCATTTCCACTCCTACTACTATACAAAAACCGCGGGAATTCGTTGTCACCGACTACAATGTAAACATCAATGGCGGCATATGCAATGTGACAGTTTGTTCAATAGTTTATTGAAATAATTTTTTTCCAACAGGTACTTGTGTATTCGATCATGCCTAATCAGTATCCTTTTTCCTTTCCTAAAATAATTATTTTACAAACTTACATTTATCATTTTGCGTCGGCTTAATTTGAAAGATTAAAAAAAAACACACCCCGCGTTTCCTCTAACGAGACGCTTATAGGTCTAGTCAGAGACATTATACGTCTCTGGTCTAGTGCAATCACTGCATAACTACGTAGCTTTATTCAGCTATTAAATCATACTTAGTTCTTAAATGTGCATTTTTTTTCAGCATTTAAATATCGCGTTTTGTCGCAAGCAGTAATATAGTTTTCAACTTTGAACTGTTCAGAAAACAATGCATGAAAAAAAAAATCGCTTTTCATGATCTATCTCCTTCAGAGAAATTGCTGTTCTAAAAGTTCTAGGGCCATAACAACAGTTGATTTAATTATGACCAAACAGTTATATACTTCTTGAATGAAATGACAAAGAAGACCAGTTCTGGTTAACTTAATAATTGATTGGTAATAATTATATAAAGCACAATGTGAAGTAATAATACGTTCCTATGTCACACTGTACACAAGGTGTTGTACAAATACTCAACCAATGGAAATACATCTTTTTCTTAAAAGTGTTCAAAAAGCAGCATTGTTTAATTACATGTATCTTTGCTCTGTGGTGCTTTTTTTAAAAGTCCATGGTACAGATAGTAGTTTAAGTCACATGTTTGCAAATTTTTATCTGTTTTCATTAATAGGGAGTGCAGCAAGCAGCTGCTTGCAATGCGAACTCTAACGACAACGCCTGGGCGAAGAGAAAATTCGGACTTACACATTGATCCAACCGAATTTTTTTCCACAGTAACTTTTGGACCCACAATGCATCGCTTGTTTAAGCTATGTTCTTGCGAGAATAACAACAACAGTTTAACAAAAAATAAACTCGCCTTGATTTAATGGATATATTGCAGATAAATAGTAAATAAAACATTCGTCATTAAAGTCGACAATGTTCAGGCTTCGGTTTGGTAATGCAACTTAAATACGACGTCAAGTGACGTCAGAGCCTAGACGCAACAAATGTCACATGCAGTTTGACAATCAAGTCTGATCTAAATTAAATATAAATAAATATCTGCGCTAGCCCTAACGGTCACACCATCAACATATTAAGCAAACTTTGAAAACTTGCATTAGAGTAGCTCAGTAAAGCTACTTTGAGTAATTATAAATAAATCTGATATACCTAGATAATTCAAGTAGTGATTGTACTGGACCTGGCAAATATTGACTCTATAAATAGGATACATGTATGTACTCTTTACCATGAATTATACATGCTTTAGCATTAATTTCAATTTATCATATTATAAATTTTTCTTTAAGCTATGAAGAATTTAAGACATATTTGATAAAGAAAGGCTGTAGAATGGATAACAAAAAGAAACGGAAAGGAAAGGTTGCTCCTACAGGAGAAGAGAACAGCTCTTTTGAACTAGACATACGATCTGATATTCAGAATAATAGGTAAACATTTTTTTATAATGTGATCGACATAATTGTATAAATTCTTGCATCTGATAAACCCATGTGATTTCTATAATGAATCACAGTTGAGGGTGAATGCATGTGTGTGTATTTGTGTGTAGGCATAGGCCTTTCAAAATCTGCTGGCACCCGGTACTTTTACCTGGCTTAAATCATGATTGTATTGGCCAAAATATTTAATGGAGAAAAATTCAATGACATATACTGTATGTATACTTTAAAAAAGTGGGCTTCATATTTTAGCGACTTTGGCGCAGACAATGATGCGCTAATTTATAAATACCACCAAGAAATCATTTATAAATACAATATAGGTACAGCAAGGACATGCATAGTGCTAATTCATGATTTGCCAACAACTCCATACCCAGTGATTGAGCTAAATTTTGAATACGCCAATTTATGTACACAAACAGCAGTTGGGACTGCCATCTCACTTTGAGATATCCTTTATATTCAAGATATCTGTTTTGAGATAACAAAGTTCAACTCTCTATTGATTTTCTGAATTTTCTTAATAATAATATACACGTAGCCTGCAATGCAACTTTCTTCAATTCAGCATATGCAACTTAATTTCAAAAAAAAGGTTGCAAGCTCTGAATACCATTTTAAATGTATGGCACTTACTGAAATATATATGTCATTTAAATAAAAGCTGTTAAAAATGTATTTAAAATTAAAAAAAACAACTTTTTTTTGTAACTGGGTATGATGATTGAATCATGATGCTAAATTTTTCAATATAATTTCTCTGCTTTACTGTATTTGTCTGTAGTTTGAACATAGATTGTGCTGCTCTTTGCAATTACTATGAAATTTTCTTTCATTTTTTACTTTCAGCAAACTTATTAACACATTAAAGAACAAAGTGATGGAAACTACAAACAAGCAAAATGCATTGTCTGCCATTGTTGGTGCAAAAGGCATGGCCTCAAAGTGGAAGCATTATGCATCAATCAAGCGGGTCATGAAGTCCAAAAGTATGTATTTAATGCATGTTATATATCTACTACAGTTAATAAAACGGTCTTATTACAATGAAAAGAATTTACAAGCCTAAAATATATAATTATGATTTACATTATTGTCCTTCAACTCATTTTTTTGTAACATTCTGTTAGTCCTTTCAATGTAACAAAAATGTTTCAGTAGATTTAAATGTACTAATTTTTAGGTAGTGAGATTAAATATAGAGTTCATCCTCTATAAGTTCTATTTTCTGAGACCTGCATGATTTTTCCACTGTAAATGAACAATATAGTATACTTGGTGAAAGTACTAATATTTCCCTCATTAACTCTTTTCCTTAAATTGTTTTTGATCCATTGAATATTGGAATGATTTCTACACAGAGAAGAATGGTAAGATCTATAGAAGTATATGCAATTACTACAGATATAGAAAACAATACACATGATATATTATGTACATGTATAAGGTCATGCTAAAATGTTCCACAGCTTGGATATTTTGTCCTGTTTAATTTTCGGACATTAATTTTTATTTTTTTATATGGTACCTAATTATGTATTTAAATCTGTTTTATAAACTTTTAAGATTTTGAAGTCTCAGTTCTCTTTCTGATTTTACAAATTTAAAGCACATTTTAGTATGACCTTATTACATGTAGATATGTATAGATAAACATGGTCATAAACACAAATACATATGTATGCAGCATGTTTTTTGTTTATAACTTCCTGTATAAGTATGCTTCAGTTCCTTTATAATGTTGTATTTGTAGTACAATGTAGCAGCATTGGGATGCATGTTTTTATCCTGCACTGATAATTATTGTACATAACACTATTAAAATGACAAACATGATTAACAATGAAAAATTTTCAAATTTTAAGTAACCCACTATATATCCAGTAATTTTACCAAAGTTTCTTGGCAGATCATATTTATTGACCAAAAAATTTCCCTGTATACAGTATATGGTATTTCTTCCACAGAACAATAGAGAACAACCGTGTAAGAAAAAGGAAAACAATGATAAACTACACTGAATTAAAAGAGAGGAATAAAGTAGCTCTTATACTAAACTAATTAGGATAACTTTATATTTTTATGTTTTTATGCACACCAGTATGTATTCTTTAATTTTATGATAGAGTCAAGGTATTCGTGTCGGCATACATTGCACGTTGTAGGTGAGGTTTACTGTGTGTAAAGCAGTTTTTGTTAGCATGGCTTTAGTTATTGATAGTGTGAGGCAAATTTTCTAAATCTAGACTGGGAAAGGAAAGTGCCGTTGTTTTAATGCCGTGAAATAAACACTTACTTATAAGGTTTTATGTGAATTTTTGGGTTTTTAAAAAAATTTATTTGTATATTTTATTTTATTTTATTGATTTACTGATTTATTTATTATTATAATTTTTTTTTTGGGGGGGGGGGGGGTAACAAAAGCCAGAAATGAATTCTCAAGGGAGTAAATATAGCTATTATACATGTACTACTCATTTATGTAAATAAGTATAACTTATGATCTTTCAAATTATGTACAATTTGATTGTCAATAATCATTGTAATATGAAATAGCTGATTTTAATTCTTTTGAGGGAAAAATAAAAGGTCATTTTTAGTCAGTTCATGGATTCAGTGCTTTGTTAAACAATTTATTTACTAGTGGTTCTTAATTTCTTAACATACACCCAACTAACTTGCTTTTATGATGGTTATTTTAACTGGTCAGCTTTGATTTGTTCTGTATAGTGGCTGGGGATGAAGAAAAAACGTTTATAGGTAACAACGTACTAGTTTGTCTCCTTCTTTATGTAAAAACGGAGAGTTGTGGTGTAGTTTGCATTGCTATAACATATATATGTAATCGTATACATTTTTCATGTGATCATTACCTATAATCACTGCAATCACGTGTTGAATCGTGCAGGTATTTTGTTGCATGTAAATTGATTGTATGAAGCTAATTTCAAAGTGCGTGCCAGCTCTGATTTTTAATACTTTTTTATTGTATTGATAAAAACACCCTTTCAAAAGCACTATTTGACATAACATGTATTTTGATTTGGTTACATACTCTTAAATTGTAATAAGTGAAAAACTGCTTACTAGTATATGATGGCTAGGCACTAGCTGCATTTTAAATTCAGGGGCATTTTTGAGAATGTAAGTATTTGCACACATATAATGTTGATGTTCACAATTAAGTTTCTTCGTGTTATGAAATTCTTTAAGTATTGTATTGAAACGTGATATCTTTTGAAAGGTTTTTATTATAATTTGATATGTATTATTTTTAGTTATTAAATTGAGTGCTTTTTAAGGCAAAAGATTTCGGATGAATAGAAGCTAGTAGCCTAAAAGTAACTAAAAATATTTGCAGTAAATTTACTAAAAGTATATTACAACAAATTTGTTTTAAACCAAACAGTATTGAATCTTGGGTGATTTTAGATACATCATACATGAAAAGAATATGCTATAATTATTCTTATTTATAATTATAGTTATAATTATAATTATGAATCATTATGTAAATTTCTCACGATATCTGGAAACATTTTAGACAAAACTCAATCCATAATTGCTGTCGCTATTTCCCAAGTGTACTCTCTGCAACAAACAGTTAAAGATCATTATCACTTTGTCATCCTAGATTTTATTTTACAACAGTGCCAGATCACATTTAATTTAATATTAACATACTGTGTGGATATTGTCTCCATTTATTAAATGTTCTACCCGCATATTTCATTTCATAACATTGATTGAAATTCTTTACTTTAATCAATAACTTTGCCATATTTGCTATTATGTTAAAGTATTTATTTCTGCCCACTAGGATTTGATAATCTCAGTTTTAGAACAGCTGACTGTGTAATTTACAGTACCCAGGACACCTAGCCATAATGCAGGTTGAATTAAGAAGAACTTTTCATGAATTTTATAATGTCTCACTGTTACAGATACACAAGATGATGAAGAAAATGCAGCCATTAAGGGGAAAGGAATAGACCAGATGGAAGAGATGGACGCTTTTAAACCTTTTGGCATGAAACAGGACACCAAAAAGAAACTCCGCTCAGCCAACGATAAAACACTGATTGACTATTTTTATCAACTGGGGCAGTCCAGGGACCCTAATGCCAAAGTGGACCTGGATTTTGTTGATTCATTAATTAAGAATGGGGCTAACATAAATTGTTCAGACAAACATGGACAGACATTAATGCATGAGGTATAGAAGTCAGGGCACTGGTAAATAAAGTAAGAGATAACTTGCTAAGTAATATTATAAATGTATTATATGTTCATAGTATATATGATATTGGTATTTGATTTTTCAACAAGTCAGGGGAGATTTGATGTAGCTCTCTGTCTCTGAATGTGCTAGATAAATGTGTACTTTAATGATGTACTTTATTAGCAAAAGCTGTTTTTCACAAAAGGCCACACTAAATACAATAAACAAACAAATGTAATATGTTTATAGTTCCAAGGGTACATTTTTTCTTCAAAGTTCATGAGGATAATATCTAGAATTTTGAAGATATCATTTTGTATCGACAGGTCTGTCGCACCTGGCATATTGATGTAGCTAAGTTTCTCTTGGAACTGGGAGCAAATGTGAACCAGGCTGACAAATATGGCAGAACACCATTACATGTTGCTGCAGCAGTAGATTATCCAGAAATGGTGGAAATACTCATTAAAAATGGAGGTGTGTATTCTGACTATCAGTGCCATTTTAAACTTTTAATTAATTATCCCCTCATGATATCAGATTACATTTGCTGGAGACAATTATTATTTTTTTAAGAACAAGGAAGATACAATTCATGTGTTTCTTTGGGACACTTGCTTGGAATTCAAAATAATTCTCTGAACTAGAAGGCATTTATTTCTATCAAATTTCTATGAGATCTCTTGTCAATATACTGTAAAAAAAAAACATCTGCTGATAAATTTCTGGAATTTTTAAAATGCATCTAAGTATCTTTCCAGTTTTTGCATGCTTACTCAAAATTTAAAATAGAACTTGAACCACTGACCACTGGCTGAGAATCTCATCCACTAACTCATGACTTGCTTTGGGTCCATGTATCTAATACTTTGTGATAGCTGTGGAATTATGGTATTTTTTTTTTTTCAGCTGATAGAGAATCACTTAGCAATGAAAAACAAACACCAGTCCACTATGCTGCCAAAAATGATGCATGTAGTTCCCTGAAAATGTTGCTTAAAATGAAGTGCAAATATAATGATGTTCGAGATTACAAGGGCAGGACACCTCTGTTTGTGGCAGCAGAACTGGGTAAGAACTTGGAGAATAAAGGTGTAGTACAGAACTTTTGTAGAAATTAAAGTTATTTATCACTGTAAAATAGGTATATTTTATAATGGGAAACGTAAATTTCAATTTAAACCTTCTTTACAAGTTTTTAACATCTAAGGAGATCACATTGGACAGACACAAATTCAACACAAAAATATTGTACATATCAAAGAATACTGTCATTTTGAAACTTGTAGATCGGAGTGAGACAGCCAGTCTTCTGTTGGAATATAAAGCAGATGTCAGAATTACAGATGATAGTGGAATGAAGCCATTAAGTTGGATGATTACTAAAATGCCCCCTGTGGTAAGTACTCCCTGTAACAAGACAGCAGATTATGCTGAGTTAGCTCCTGTTAAATTTGTAGAGTGAGTTAGCTCCTGTTAAGTTTGTAGTGTGAGTTAGCTCCTGTCTAGTTTGTAGAGTGAGTTAGCTCCTGTTAAGTTTGTAAAGTGAGTAAGCTCCTCTCAAGTTTGTAGATTGCAGTTTATGCTGAGTTAGCTCCTGTCAAGTCTGTAGAGTGAGTTAGCTCCTGTCAAGTTTGTAGAGTGAGTTAGCTCCTGTCAAGTTTGTAGAGTGAGTTAGCAACTGTCAAGTTTGTAGAGTGAGTTAGCTCCTGTCTAGTTTGTAGAGTGAGTTAGCTCCCGTCAGGTTTGTAGAGTGTTCACTGTAAGTTTCTAGAGTGAGTTAGCTCCTGTAAGTTTCTAGAGTGAGTTAGCTCCTGTTAAGTTTGTAGAGTGGGTTAGCTCCTGTTAAGTTTGTAGAGTGAGTTAGCTCCTGTTAAGTTTGTAGAGTTGGTTAGCTCCTGTTAAGTTTGTAGAGTGAGTTAGCTCCTGTTAAGTTTGTAGAGTGAGTTAGCTCCTGTCAAGTTTGTAGTGAGTTAGCCTCGGTCAAGTTTGTAAAGTGAGTTAGCTCCTGTCTAGTTTGTAGAGTGAGTTAGCTCCTGTTAAGTTTGTAGAGTGAGTTAGCTCCTGTCAAGTTTGTAGAGTGAGTTAGCTCCTGTTAAGTTTGTAGAGTTGGTTAGCTCCTGTCAAGTTTGTAGAGTGAGTTAGCTCCTGTCTAGTTTGTACAGTGAGTTAGCTCCTGTCTAGTTTTTAGAATGAGTCAGCCCCTGTCTAGTTTGTAAAGTGAGTAAGCCCTTCTCAAGTTTGTAGAGTGTTCACTGGTAAAAAGATTGCAGTTTATGCTGAGTTTGCTCCTGTCAATTTGTAGAATGTTCGCATAATTTACGGTGATCATGGTTAGAATGAAAAGGTTGGGAGGGGTAAAATTGTAAACTTACATCCAAACTTGCTTAAACTGTTAAAATCAGATAGAGAAAGCATTAGGGGCAGCCAAAATCAATTATTATATCTCTGTTTCATCAAATCCTTCTGCTATTTCTTAAATTTTTACCTTTTTTTCCTACTCTAAGTCATCATTACCAATATATTATGCATGCATTCGCTTTTTGCATGTTTGCTAGATACATGTTGTACTGTATGTACTAAATGATAATTATTCATCAAACAGGAGATTCACTCTATGTGTCTTTTTGTATGATGATTGGAGGTCAGTGATCTTTTAATAACAAAGATTGATGTTTTAAGTACAAGATGAGTGTTGTACAGATAATATGAAGACCAAATTAAATGTTTTCTTTCTTTTTTTTTAAATCAACTGAACAGTTAAGTTTGTGATATTTGATTGAGATTTGGTATCACTGTTTAGGGATGGGTATCGGCAAAAATTTCGTATCCTGATATATCACGATTTTTTCCCAAAATATCACGATAAATCGTGATATTTTTACACACAGTTTTTACTACAATTTCAAATGAATTTCCATAATATTTCTTAAAAATATGTTATAAAAACATAACTTTACTTTTTAATTTTTTTATTTATTTAATATAAAGCATGTTTGAATGTCGTTGTTTAACTGTTGTCAACATTTTTTACACTTCCTGTAATTGTCATTCAATAGTTTGAACAAATAAATGAATAATTTCCGGAATTTATAGTTATGTACCAAATACTGGTATTTTAGTCTCTGTATCACGATACGTATCACGCAATAAAAAATCACAATATACCGGTATACCGATAAAATCGCGCATCCCTATCACTATTGTGCATAGCAGAAGTGCAGATCAGATATGATTTCTATGTGACAGGTGATTTCACCTTTGCTATTTGTTTTAAGTTTTGGTCTTTTAATGGCTAAAAATTGAAAAAATTCTATTCTTCTTTCAAAGTTTTTATTGAGAGGGGGTGGGGGGTAGGAGGGGTTAATATTTGGGATATTTGGTGCAACTGTACTGCCATAGGCAACACAGATTCAGAAATTCAGAAATTGTTTATTTTTGAAGAATTTCAACCCTGACTGACTAAATAACAGCACTCCTAGTACTGAATATCGATGACTATTTGTTTCAGGAATGCTTTTAGACTGCTTGAATTTAAAATTCTAACATGAGAAAATCAATGTTGACAGTAATTATTTTTGTTTGAATTTTGCACAGAATGAACCCTTCTTTTTGTTTCAAGATCATCAATACATGTACAAAACAAATGATTTCAGAATAATATGAAAATACAGGTGAAACTAAATTTTATATAAACTATTTCAGTATTCTGATGTCCCACTTTGGAACAATCGTTTCTCATCCTGTAAAAAATGTTCAAAGAAGTCCAATGTAAGCCAGTAAAATCCAAACCTCAATTCAGACGTTACATTTTGTATTTTTTTTACTATGAATCATTTTGTTGTTGCTGTTTCTTTTTCCGCTATGAATGCATCAATTTTCCCAAGGACTTGTTCTTATGCTTGTGGCTTGTTTTATTAAAGCATGTATTTCATGATGGACATTGGTATTGTGGTAGAGATTGCATTAGAAGGGGAGGCACTTGTGCTCTACACAAATTGAGTTTTTATACTCCACCATATATTATATGGATGGGACATATAGTGTTTGTCATGTCTGTCTTCCGTCCTTCCATCTTTCTGTCCTTCTGTCTTTCCATCTGTTGGTCTATCACACTCCGTTTAGCTCAGTTTCAAAGAAATTATTCAAGATATTTTATTCAAAACTCATACACCAATACATATTGGTGGGAACTATTCAACTGTTTCATAATTTTATGACATTGACCTTCCCTATGACCTTGACCTCACTATTCCTCATTTTGCATTTTTCTTAGTTCCAAAGAAACTGTTCATTTGGAGATAGGTACAATTATTTGAAGATAGGTACAATTATTTGAAGATAATTATTTGAAGATAGGTACAATTATTTGAAGATAGGTACAATTATTTGAAGATCTCTTAAAATTTCATACACATATACTGGGGTATGTATTGGTAAAAGACATACAATCTGTCATAATTTTCTGACATTGCCCCAGCCTATGACCTTTACTTCACTTTTTTCTTTTACACATGTTTATCATACCATGTTCTTTTTTTTTTTTTACAATATAGCATGTGAATCCAAAAGTATAAACTGCAAACAGTAAATATGCATTCAATTTGAGTATTTTCATTATTGTTTGTTTGTTTTCAGGCTTTGGATGCTTTAAAGCAGTTCCACTCTACAGATCGCCCTAACAGAAGACAATACTTCTACCTTAATGACCTCATCACTGACAGAGGTGGGTCTACTGTGTCTCAGGAAAATAAACTCAAGTACACAATTTGAATTACTTTGCTTGATGAATTTAAAATGAAAGTAAATGTATGGACTTATTTTGTTTTGTTCATATTTATTGAAACAAAAACCCGGTACATTATTGTACATGTACTTCATGTAAAGGTTCTCAGACTATAGAGTTATTATAATTACGGTAACTGTTAGTGTTAAAGCAAAATACATGTACTGTTTAGGAACTAATTGATTTCCATTTATTTGTTTTTAGCTAAAGATCCAAAAGCACAAAGTTTAACTCCTGTAAGTTAATTTCATTCAATATGAGTAAGATAGTAATTTTCATTTTGAGATATATTCCAAAAAAAAAGAAGAAAAAATTGACAGAGCTTTTAAAGCCAGTAAAGAATGTGTAACATTTGTAAGAGATTTGCACAGCTTTTAAATGATTTGAAACAGAATGTTCAAGTCTTTTTGACTTTTTCATTTCAGCTGCAATGTGCCACTCACTTTAGGCAGTATGATCTTCTCTCACACAGAGTCATGCTTGCACTTATAAATCAAATGTGGGTCAAGTTTGGAAGGTGAGAATCAAATCTATTATAATCAAGTTTACACATGCGTATCAAGTCTAAAAAAGTGCATGTTGGCCACTCCTGCATATATCACCTGCTTGCCATTATCTCGGCTGAGATTCATCTGGGCTGAATACTGTAGACGTACTTTTGGTAATTTACTTTACTCACAAATTTTTCACAATCGGAAATTTGTCACAGTGTACATAAAGTACATTGAAGACGTATACAAAGACAGTCCAAGAAATGCACGTAATTTTATACCCGCGGATTAAACAGAAATCATGATTCCACAGAATTTATAACCCCGTGGAAAAAAGTAAGTTAACAGCATTTGGACTGATGCCTTCACCAAATCTCAGGGCATGCAGTCCTTCATAATTCATGTCTTGAAATTCACACTCAACGAAGTCGATTCTGAAGCTATATTAATGTGCCCTTAGCTTCAAATAAATGATTTTAATGTTTAACTAACTCTATACCTATTAATACAACATTGCTTAATGTAAGTTTATATTCATGCTGTACTTTGTTATTTATTTTCAGGATCCGGGCATGGTTTAATCTACTTCTTAACTTTGCCTACATCATGATATGGACTGTGTATGGCCTGTTGATAGAGTATGATGTCCGCTACAAGTATGACCTTCCAGACCAGTGGTGGAGGATAGTACTCCTTGTAAGTGATGTTTGTAAAGACTCATTTATCATTACATTTATTTTCAGTACAATTCAATTTTTGTTGTTGAGTTTTTGATGTCAGTGTCTTTTATTTTAGGTGGCAGCCATTGGGTTTACAATCTGGCAGATTATAGAGGAAGTGTTGGAATATAAACGGTCTCTCCAGTTCCATAATGTGAGAAGTGCCACAAATAATTCCATTATATAGCAATAGAAGCACATGTAAATTTAACAAAGTAATAAACAAATTGAGTCAGCATACTTGATTCTGAGGATCCAGTGCACCCAGGTAGCACCAGGGATAACTGGTGACACACTTGATTGTGAGCCGGTATTGTGCAAGTATCAAGTCGGGTGATTTGATTGAGCTGAAAAAATTTGATAGGCTCAGGCAGCTTTAACATGGCATTCTTGGAGATATTAGTATTAAAAGTAGTTTTATTCCATGACATGAAGGTTTTTTAACAAGATACTCTGGTGAAATGAACTTAAATTGATTGTGTAAGTGTAGTCCTTTTCTATATATGTTAGGTAACATTTTACCATAGAAATACAATGTTTCCATTACTGTACGTAATCCAGGTCGCTTGATTGTAAGCACGTTACCGGGTTTACCTGGCTTAGTTCAACTCAGCCAATTTCTATTAGAATCAAGTATGCTAAGTGGCTTAGTTGTAGCATCGTATTTTTCAGTCCTTTGTGAAGTTTAAATGTACAATATTTTTACAGTTCTGTATTGTTAGATTGATCATGAAGCCTGCATATTCTATTGTGTCTCATTTGGTGTTTTAGAACTGGGTTAATTATAGAAGAAAGCAGATAGAGGAGGACCTTAAATATTGTCACCCCAGGTGGACCGAGGAGAGTGATTACCTCAAGAAAGAACTGGCTAATCTAGATGAAGCAAGACCTAGATACTGGTCAGATTTCTGGTACGTAAAAGTCAGTCTACAGGAACATCGAAATAATTCAGACTTCCGTTTTTTTTTTTATAATATAAATACTGTATTTTATAAAATATGGTAAGGAGAATGTGTATTCAATTACATGTTGATTCATTTATGTAAGGAATTTTAAGCTTTTTAATCAATTTCCAATTTCAAAAAAAATTGCCTTTCAGTTGAAATGACAAAATTTTTTATACATTTTACAATTTAAGACAATGGGGAAATGACTGTCTGATGTTTGTTAAGTTATTTTTTTTCTCCAAGGTAATATTATAAATTTTATTTCAGGAATATCTTTGACTGGATCTGCTACGTTTTTCTTATTGCCAGCATTGCTACGCACATTGTGGATATTTTTGTCCACACAGATGATTTGGCTCGATCACATATCAGAATCATGTCCGTGACAATTATATTGTTGTGGCTTCGTTTGATGAAGGTTGCCAGGGCATTTTCTCTCTTAGGTAATGGATGCTTTGATTAATGTTAATCTCAGCCATTGCGGTTGAACTAAGGGAACAACCACAGTATGAGAAACCTAGGTGGTGATATTTGTTGATAATTAATAAGCTAAGTTCATCTTGTTGTTCAGTGTAATAAAATCAGAAGGAAAAATCATCTGTAAGTGCTCATTAATAAAAACTGGAAGTTTATTCTGAAAAAAAATGGAACTGTGATGTTGTTATCTATTCTATCCTACGGGGTTACAGGTACATGCATTTATGCATTTAGCACATTTCCTGGACAGGTATTATAACTAAACCATAGTGAATTTCAGAACTTATAAATTACTATACAATGCTGAGTATTTATTTATTTAGGATCCTTTTCATTGATGAGGATTAATGGACAAACTTATATGATGTTTCCCATTGATTTAGTAGAGTGACACAATCTTTCTTTTGTTGTATTTTTTTTTTATATGATTCCAGGACCTTTTATTGTGATGCTGTCTCACATGGTGAAGGATCTCCTCAGATTTGCCTTCCTCTATCTAGAGTTCTATCTGCCATTTGGTAAGAAAACTCCTGAAGCAGTTCATTAATTTATGATTAAGTATGTTCCTTACCAGTGATCATGTATTATTGGGGCCATTTCTGATTTCTTGCAATCATGCTAATACACACAGTAAGTTGGAACTGGCTGAATTTTAAAAATACTTGTAAAAATTCTGTCTACATTTATATTCCAAATTTTTCATATCAGTATTATTTTGAAAAGGAATCCAGATTCAAATAACTGTTTTGTTTTTTTTTTGTTTTTTTTGACAAAAATAGTCTCTCCCCATATCTAATATAGTGACCATGACCTTTGAGATGATAGAGAGGAGAGATTCTATTGTTCTGTTTCATTTCTGTTAACAGTGTGTGCATTTTGGATGATATTTGGAGGCAGCAAGAGAGACTACTATGATTATAACAACATAGTAAATGTGGAAGGGTATGGAAATTTTGGGGATGTGTTCTACAGTCTGTTCAGACTGACTCTAGTGGATGAGTATGACTTCCCTGTGAGTGCCTCTATATGAATGATACACTTAACTTGTTCGATAGTTTTTCAATGGTCATACTTAAACTGTTTTGACACTATTTGTAATTTATAAATGCATCTGTCTCTGTCTATCTATTGATATTTTTAGGTCACCTGAGTCACTCAGGTGACCTATTGCTATCTGTTTTCGTCCGTCGTCGTGCGTTAACTTTTGAACATTTTTAACTTCTTCTCTAAAACCGCTCAACCAATTTCAACCAAATTTGGTATATAGCATCTATGGGTGAAGGGGAACATAAATTGTGAATTTCATGATCCCTGCCCCCCTGGGGCCTGAGGGGTGGGGCTAAAACCACCAAAATTAATGCAATCTTTAAAAATCTTCTTCTTTACTCCTGGACATCAAGCAGTCAAACTGTTGGCATCATTGTAATAAGCATGGAGCCCTCTACCAAAATTGTGAAATTCATGGCCCCAGGGTCAGGGGTTCTGGCCCCAGGGTGGGGCTATATAGATCATATAGTGAAAGTGCATTATTTCTTTGAAAATCTTCTTCTCTGCTCCTGGGTATTAAATAAAGGAACTAAGTACATAGTTATGATGAGCAAGAGTGCCTCTTTCAAAATTGTGAAATTCATGGCCCCAGGGTCAGGGGTTCTGGTGTTAGGGTGGGGCTATATAGATTATATAGTGAAAATGCATTAATTCTTTGAAAATCTTCTTCTCTGCTCCTGGGTATTAAATAAAGGAACTAAGTACATAGTTATGATGAGCAAGAGTGCCTCTTCCAAAATTGTGAAATTTATGGCCCCAGGGTCAGGGGTTCTGGTGTTAGGGCGGGGCTCTATAGATTATATAGTGAAAATGCATTAATTCTTTGAAAATCTTCTTCTCTGCTCCTGGGTATTAAATAAAGGAACTAAGTACATAGTTATGATGAGCAAGAGTGCCTCTTCCAAAATTGTGAAATTCATGGCCCCAGGGTCAGGGGTTCTGGTGTTAGGGCGGGGCTCTATAGATTATATAGTGAAAGAGCATTAATTCTTTGAAAATCTTCTTCTTTGCTCCTAGGTATTAAATAAAGTAACTAAGTACATAGTTATGATGAGCAAGAGTACCTCTTCCAAAATTGTGAATTTCATGGCCCCAGGGTCAGGGGTTCTGGTGTTAGGGCGGGGCTCTATCGACTATATGGTGAAAATGCATTAATTCTTTGAAAATCTTCTCCACTGCTCCTGGGCATTAAGGTGATAAACTAAGTACATAGTTAAGATGAGGAGGTGGGCCTCTTCCAGAATTGTGAAAGCCATGGCCCCTGGGACAGGGGTTCTGGTGTTAGGGCGGGGCTCTATTGATTATATAGTGAAAATGCTTTAATTCTTTGAAAATCTTCTTCTCTGCTCCTGGGTATTATTTAAACAAACTAAAAACATGGTTATGATGCATAAGGATGCCTTTTTAAAAATTGTGAATTTCTTGGCCCCAGGGTCAGGGGTTCTGGTGTTAGGGCGGGGCTCTATTGATTATATAGTGAAAATGCATTGATTCTTTAAGAATCTTCTTCTCTGCTACTGGAGATTATTTAAACAAACTAAGTGCATGGTTATGATGCATAAGGATGCCTTTTCAAAAATTGTGAATTTCATGGCCCCAGGGTCAGGGGTTCTGGTGTTAGGGCGGGGCTCTATTGATTATATAGTGAAAATGCATTGATTCTTTGAAAATCTTCTTCTCTTCTTCTGGAGATTATATAAACAAACTAAGTGCATGATTATGATAGACAAGGATGCCTCTTCCAAAATTTTTAAATATATGGCCTCAGTTTTTGGGGTTCTTGAGGAGGGGGAGGGGGGGCTCTATTGATTATATAGTGAAAAAGCATTAATTCTATTAATCATTAATTAATCCTGTCTGCTCCTTAGTGTTGAGCTGATAAATAAATTGCTTAGCTATGATGAAAATGGGAGCTTCGAACAGAATTTTTAAATCTTGTGGTCCTAGGGTCAGTTTCTGGCATAACGAGGGGGGGGGGGGGGGGCTTTTGATAATATAGTGGAAAAGTGTTAATTCTTTGAAGTCCATAGTTATGATGATGAGGGTAACTTTTCCAAATTTGTAAATTTCTTGACCCTTGGTCTTGGGTTCTGGTGTTAGGGTAAGGCTTTGTTGAATCTGTAGTGAAAATGCATTGTACCTGTGAAATTCTTCTCTGCTTCTGGGCATATTGGAAGCAAACTGAGTAAAAGTTTAAATGATATGAGTAAGCGTATTTCTACCAGATTTTTAAACATCTGCACCATTGGTCTAAGCATTCTGGTCCTGGGCAGGGCTCTATTAATTTGTATTCTACTGAGAGAAGTTATTCCCCTTTTCCATTCACCTTTGATAATTAATCACTGTAAATAATGTATTTGAAAAGTTAATAGAATAAGATAATTATGCAAGAATGTTTATCGTATAATTAAAAAAGTACTTTCTTAGTTTTAATAAACAGGTAGACCTGTAAGTAATAGATAAATAAAAATGAGACAAAAACAACTTATCTTATTAAAAGTTCTTCAAAGACCATAAGAGAGGTCAATGCTAGAGGTCTTAATATGGGTTTAAAAATAGTACAGAAGCACTAATAGTTTGTTAATAGTCTGCATAGTGTTAAGTGGGGGACAGATTAGAACTTAATTTATGAGTTGATACTGAATACTAGACTAATTATTTTGTTGATCCTGATCTTCTTACTTCTCTTGCTTTAGGGCAACAAAGCTTCAACTATCAGTGTATTTAACTTCTAAATTGTTGTATTATACTCAGGTGACCGTTAAGGCCCTTGGGCCTCTTGTTGATGTATGTAATCTGTAAACTCAAATGATTTTATTTTTTAATGAACTGACATTTTTCTTCAGAACATGGAGAAAGTGGACCCAATAATGGCTAAGATTCTAGTTGGCTTTTGGCTGGCTCTGTCTGCAGTTCTCTGTCTGAACCTCTTCATTGCTCTTCTGTCTGATACATTTCAAAGGTATGTATATATATAACTGGTTTATTGCAATTAAGACTCGATCACAGAGTGCGTAAGTAGTTACATACAGTGTTATAATAATTGAGTGTAACTGGGAATTTTATGTTTTGATGCTTCTAGCATGAGTTTTATCACATCAACAATATTTCATTACACTATTAGAGAAGCATATATCACCTCTATCATTTTTATGAAAGATTATTTTTTTTCATTGATCAATTTTAAAAAACTTAACTATAAGTACAGTACACCCCACTCATGCAAGTTTTCTAGCATTGACTAAATACTTAAAAAAAAATCTGTCCTTTGTTTTTTTAGTATAGATATCTTTTGCCTAGCTATATTAATGCTTCTTCAATCTTAATTGTTAAAGAGATATACATCGGTAGGTAAGCATGAAATCTGTTCCCCATTTTTATGTGTAATTGTTCACCACTGTCTAAGTTTATGAAGAATTTTGGCACATTGTAGGTAATGTTCCCCCTTTTCACAGAAAATTTAAGAAGACCTTAATAAACTTGTATCAGTGTGGGTTTACATATTTCTAACTGAAATGTGTGATTTTAAAATAAACATGGAGTGACAAAAATTTAAGTTTTAAAATTTAAGATGTTTACCCAAAAGTAGGTCATGGCAACCTACTTTTGACTTTTGGCCTACTCTTTGACTTTTGTAGCTATTCATTTTCAAATTGATTAAGAAGCATATATCTTGGACTTTGTGAAGTCTAGAATCATCAAACCTTATCAGCTGATATGTGTAAATCAAAACTTAGTCACAGTGACCTATCTTCTGTATTTTACAGCTTATCATTTAAAATCACATTGTCCTACCTTTTGTATATTATTATTATTCATTGTAAAATATTTAAATATCTTTGATACTGAAATGCTAGGATCATCAAACCAGGTCAGTTGATGCATCTAAGGACCTCAGGATATGTTGACCCTAAACTAGGTCTCAGTGACCAACTTTTTGAATTATTCAATGTCAAATCTTAATGTTTGATACTAAGAGGCCTAGAATCATCAACCCTTGCTAGCTGATGCATCTTGGTCCTCCTAGATTTGCCAATTCAAAAGTAGGTCACAGAGAAACTGTAGTGCAATTTATCAGAAGAGGATTCTAGGCCCTTGGGCCTCTTGTCATTAGATTTGTATTCTAAAAATCATGTTTGTCATTAAGACAAAATGCATATTGGAAATAAAAGCTTCAGAACACCAATGTTACAGGTAGCTTTAAGTATTCACTGAGACTAATTTATATAAGATAGGATATTAAGACACTCAGAAGTATAACTCTTCAGGATTCAATGCTCAAGAGTAAAGTAATGAAATTTAAATGCTAGGATAGGATAAATGAAGTTTATGTTTAAATTTTTGTTGTTTCTTGGGAAATTGTATTGCTGTATTATACAATCAATAGGTATATCACTTCATTTTGGCTTTGGTTTTCCTTTCAGAGTCTATGATAATGCCCAGGCTAATGCAGTGATGCAGAAGGCACTCATGACCCTTAGCATTTGGGAAAATATGTCTCAATCCCGACGCAATACTTTTTATGATTTCATGAAAAATACCTGCAATCCTTGGAATGATTACTACGACGATGACATGACTGAAGAGGGAGAGGAGGACATGAAGAAGGTCACCATGCAGATCAAGGTCAGTGATCAAGGTCAAGAAAATATTTTCATCACATAAGATATTTTTTCATAACATGTATTCACAGATAATTTAAAATATTTTATAACACGGAATAGGAAGTGTATGTTACTTTTTTTTTCAATTTTAGGATGACCTAGATGACTTAAGAGAAGCATTTGATTCAAAGTTTGGAAAGCGGAAAGAGGTAATATGAGTAGCTTTAATAAACATGAATGAATTTTGGTAAATTTGTTGTATTAAGGGTTTTCTTTTAAAAAAACAAAAAACATTTTATGTTCTTTATTAGTGTTGTGAATGAGAAGCACATGATTTTCTGTAGAAGCACTTTGTTTACTCTTTTGACTCTTCAGTTATTTAGAGATGGACAATCACCAGGAGGCGGGGTAATTTTGACCTTTTTTAGTTCCAGTATAGGAAATCTCCCTAACAAATCACAGTCTGTGGGTGTCACACACTGGTTCTATAACATGTTCGCTAGCCAAGAGTTTCTGATCCACTACTCTCCTCACAAACCCTTGGCCTACGATGTTAAAAAAAGTTGGGATTTTTTTCATGAGTTGTGATTGGAGTTGATTGATATTGCTCGCCCAATCAGCAATTGTTTTTGTAAATTACGATATCTGCGTTCAGGGTATATCTTGACTCTTTAGTCTCGGGAATGAAAAACACAAGTACGGTAAACAAAGGTCCTTAAGATAACATGCCATTCTATAAATATCTTTGGTGCCATCAAATTTTAAGTTGATGTGCAAATAATTTGATCAGAAATCTATATTGCAGATGTAGAATTGCACCCTAAATAAAATATAAACTTCGCTTGATAATGTCTTGTTAATTATTCTCTAACTTTAATTTTTAAATTCGCTTTTTATTTCTGTTGATGATGCAGTTTGTGGGTATGTTGTAAGATTGTTGTATGAGATAAACAGTCCTAACTTTTGACAGCACCATAGGCCAATTAAGGGTTTGTGAGGAGAGAAGTGGATCAGAAACTCTTGGCTAGTGAAGATGGTTCTATAATTGATGATACATCTACATAATACATGTTTATACCATATATATATATACATTTTTTTTAGGTAAAATCTTGAACAAAGCAGTCTTTTATTTTCATAATGGAATTTTATATCATTAGAATTCAAGGATATTTGCATTTTTTAAATATACATACAAGAATTATAATTTTGGCCACAGGAAACAATGAATAAAGATCCTGTGTATCAAAGTCTGAGATATAATTCTTCTATATTTACATTTGCCGAAGTAAAACGTGTACATATGTACGCTTATTTGCTTAAGATTTGTGCTGATTATGGAAAGCTCTTAGATCCTGTTAGTTACAAATATCAAAAATTGTGTTTCAAGAATTATACCCACAGTTATTTCGCTTTAATCTGTGCTTTACAATCTTTAGCATCAATATTAAAAGATAAAGAAATTAAGGGAATATATATTTCATATTTTAAAAAATTAATGACTTTCTGTTGAATTGGATGTATTTTTTGCTCAGTGCACTATTATTATGAAGTTAAATTTAAATTAAATCTGTGATTATTAATGCATTTAATGCTATTTCTGTTAACTGATATTTGTTCCAAATATAATTTTGTTATCATTTCTCTACATCTCAAGTACCAGTATATGTGCTTCACAAATAAACTGCAATTTTTTCTGTGGAAATGATCACAAACCTGAGTTTCAGAAGTGACAGGGTGGTATGTTTAGCCAACCAGTTCATTTTAAATGACAAGTTGTTTATAGTTGAAATTGATGTAATTAGTACTGGGATATTGGTTTGACTATAAGTATTTAGAGACACTGATGCCACAGAACAGATCTGCTTGTCACATCCTTAGTAATATTAAATGATTACAGTCAGTTTAGATTGATATATGACCCCATGAAATGACAAGAGACTTTGTACCATAAAAGACATAACACAATTACTTTGGAGGAAAAGAGAAGATAACTTTCTATGCATTGTGGAATACTGTATTGCACAACAAATAATATACAAATGATAATTTTTGAGTGATTTTTTTATTCATATGTTGTTGTTTTTTTTATTAAATACATGTGCTAAAATCATAAGACAGATATAAAAAATGCACTTTTTCTTAATTTAGCAAACTTTGGCAGAGCACTCAATTTATATCCACAGAATTTTCAAATTAACCAATAGAATTTTTTGTTATTTTGAATTGGTAGATTAGTCTTTTTTTTCTTTCATAGAAGTTTTTAGAACTTACTAATGAATATGTTCACTTCAAAAATTTCACTTCATAATGTATTCTATTAATAAAACTGATGAGAAGTCATTACATTATGAAGAGCAGTTCTCTGCCTGTATTCATTGATGCTTTAAGGAATATGCTTTCCTAAATTATTGTAAGGCAGCGAAATCAAAAGGCTTATTAATTTATATCTGTATTCACTTGAGTGGCTTTTTTTTAAAATAGATTTTCGAGTAATTTCATGCTGAATTTCATTCAGAACTTCGAAAATAATAAATATAATGAAATGTGTAACATAGTAACTGCACTTCTTAATATTGCTTTAGACCTACCAATGCCATTATATAAATTTTCGATGTTATTTTTCTGGGGAAACTTTTTTTCCTAAAACTATTAATTTTGGGTTAAGGATGAAGAGGAGGAAGACCTGAACAACAAATCTCGGATGGTTGATGTGGAGAGATTTGAGAATGAGATCGGAATTCTGCGAGACAGTATAACTGAATTACGAGTTAGACAGGATGATATGATGGAGAATATACAGACAAGCGTCAACACCATTACAGGCCTCTTAAATCAGTTGCTTGGAAACCCACCTGAAGCCAGTGGTTAGTTTTTTGGAAGAAAAAGTTCTTCGTCATCAATAGAGGGGGGAGGGTTTTTCAGTTAGGATGTTTTCAAACAAGAATCACTCCTTTTTCCACATTTATAATGCACAATTTATCTACAGAAACAGTTTTGTGTTCAGATTTGTTGTAATTACTTCAAAACCTCAAGCTTTTAGAAATGAAGGAGAAGGGAATGACATATTTTAAATCAAAGAAATATGGCATCAATTAAATTTATGGTAATTGCTGAAAATTTTTTATTGCAGAGGTTGAGCTGGAATTAGAAACTAGACAAAGATCGGCAAGAGGGTAAAAATTAGTTTAACATGTATATATATTTGTAGCATATTGTATTTTAAAATTCACAAAGAATAAAATTTTACTCACATGCACACCTTAAATGTTCTTGAATGTAAAGCATTTTTAGCTCTTCTGAGCCAAAGGCTCAAAGAGCTAATGCTATGGCCATTTGTGCGGTGTGCATAAACTTTTTAGAATATGGGCTATAACTCAAGAACCCCTTGGCCAATTACTGTCAAATTTGTCACAGAGTATCCTTGGCCCAAGGACTCCCTTTTGTACTAAAACTAGGGTTGTGAACCCTTAAACAAGGGGAGATAATTAGGAAAATAGAAACAAAATTACTGGTTGCTAAAAAATCTTCTTCTCAAGAACCACTGTGCAGATTATCACCAAACTTACAGAAAAGGATGAGGATATGGTGTAGATTAAAATTTGCACAGGGATTTACCCCGGGGCAAAGGGCATGGTCTTAAGCTCACTTCAAAGTTGACGAAAAATTACATTTTATTAAAATGTTGATATTTTGCTTGCTATAAGGACTAGGATCATCAATCTTGTCAGTTGGTGCATCTAAGGACCTCATATCATGTTGATTCAAAAGTAGGTCAGGGTGACCTACTTTTTATGCCCCGCCATGAATATGGCCGGGGCATATAGTGTTTGTCATGTCCGTCTTCTGTCCTTCCGTCCTTCTGTCCTTCTGTCTGTCCTTCCGTCACACTTTGCATTTAGCTCTCTTCAAAGCTCAGTTTCAAAGAAACTATCCAAGATATTTTTATCAAACTTCATATGCTGATAGATATTGATGAGAGCTATGCAACTGCATCAACATTTTTTGACCTTGAACTTTTCTTTGACCTGACCTCACTTTTCTTAAATTAGTGTTTAGCTCAGTTTTAAAGATACCATTCAAGATAGTGTAATCAAACTTCATATGCTGATACATACTGATGGAAGCTATTCAACTGCATCAACATTTTATGACCTTGACCTTTCTTTTGACCTTGACCTCACTTTTCTTAAATTAGTGTTTAGCTCAGTTTTAATGAAACAATTCAAGATATTTTTAATAAACTTCATATGCTGATACATACTGATGAGAGCTATTCAACTGCATCAATATTTTTTACCTTGACTTTTCCTTTGACCTTGACCTCACTTTTCTTAAATTAGTGTTTAGCTCAGTTTTAAAGATACCATTCAAGATAGTGTTATCAAACTTCATATGCTGATACATACTGATGAGAGCTATTCAACTGCATCAACATTTTTTGACCTTGACCTTTCATTTGACCTTGACCTCACTTTTCTTAAATTAGTGTCAAACTTCATATGCTGACACATACTGATGTAACCTTTTCAACTGCATCAACAATTTTTGTCCTTGTCCTTTCCTTTGACCTTGACCTCACTTTTCTTGAATTAGTGTCAAACTTCATATGCTGATACATACTGATGTAAGCTATTCAACGGCATCAATATTTTTTCACCTTGACTTTTCCTTTGACCTTGACCTCACTTTTCTCAATTTGTGTTAAAATGTTGCATTACTAAATATATACCCTCGGCGGGGCATTCATGTCCTATGGACATATTTCTAGTTAAATTTTGCAGCCATTCTTTTTCAAAATGATTTAGAGGCATATTTTGAACAATTTAAGGCCTTTGATCATCAAACTTTGTCAATTGATTTATCTTGGGTCCTCAAAGTACATCAACTAAAAAGTAGGTCACCTTGACCTACTTTTTGAACTTTATGGCTAATCTTTTTTCAAAAACAATTAAGGTCATTAATTCGAATACCGAGAGGTTTAGAATCGTTAAATCTTGTAAGATGATGCATCTTGGGGCCATAAAACATATTTATTAAAAAGTAAGTCACAGTGACCTACTTTTTGAACTTTGCAGGCATTCAATTTCAAAGCGTTTTAGAGGCATAATTTGGACATTTTAAGTCCTATGATCATAAAACTTTGTAAGTTGATGCATCTTGGGTCCTCAGAAAAGGTCAACTGAAAAGTAGGTCACCATGACCTACTTTTCTATTTATTTGACTATAATTAAATATTTCAGGTACTAATTGGCTTAGAATCATCAAACTTTGTCAGTTGATGCATCTTGGGTCTTCGGAGTAGGTCGACTGAAAAGTAGGTCACCGTGACCTACTTTTGAAAATTTATGGCTTTAATTAAATATTTTGGGTACTAATTGGCTTAGATTCATCAAACTTTGTCAGTTGATGCATCTTGGGTTCTTGGAGTACGACAACTGAAAAGTAGGTCATGGTGACCTACTATTGAAATTTTATGGCTGTATTATATATTTTCGGGTACTATTTGGCTCAGAATTGTCAAAATTTGTCAGTTGATGCATCTTGGGTCCTCGGAGTAGGTTGACTGAAAAGAAGGTCATTGTGACCTACTTTTGAAAATTTATGGCTTTAATTAAATATTTCAGGTACTAATTGGCTTAGAATCATCAAACTTTGTCAGTCGATGTATCGTTGGTCCTCGGAGTACAACAACTGAAAAGTAGGTCACTGTGACCTACTTTTGAAAATTTATGGCTTTAATTAAATATTTCAGGTGCTAATTGGCTTAGAATCATCAAACTTTGTCAGTTAATGCATCTTGGGTCCTTGGAGTACAACAACTGAAAAGTAGGTTACTTTGACCTACTTATAAAATTTTATGGTTATAATTTTAAAAAATATTTTAGGTATTTATTGGCTTAGAATCATCAAACTTAGTTGATGGGTCCTCAGAGAATGACAAGTGATAAGTAGGTCACCATGACCAACTCTCAGGTACTAATTGGCTTAGAATCATCTTGGGTTCTCAGAGTGTGAATTGGAATTTCAAGGGTTTATCTAAATATACAGGATACTTAGAGGCTTCAAATAGTAGTGATAGGTTGTACAGTTTATCAGAAGAGCGATTCAAGGCCCTTGGGCCTCTTGTTCAATATCGGCAGAGTAAGGCTTTATGAATTGCCAGAAATTTAAATTTTATTTTTAGATTCATAATATAAGAAACATACATGTGTTTCAGTGGTATACATTGCAATTATACAATGAGCCTGGCTTGAACAGTGCCAGAATATGATTATAGTTAAATACCTGTACAGTATCTAGTGTCCTTGCACTCTTTATCCTTCATCAAATTTAAATATTATATATTGTAGCCATCCAAAGAAATCCAAGAAGAAGAAGACAGACAGACAGCAGATTATCCACGAGGATGACAAAGCTTTGTTAGAACCAACAAGTAAGACAACTGTGACAATTCTTGAAAAACACCATTCTGGGGACTCTCTTGTCACTGAAATTCTGGAGTTAAAAGAAGGAATATTTGGATTAGAATTTTTTTAATTTTTATTGGGAGAAGGGGAAAAAAAATCATGAATTCAACTTGTCAGGCATTTGATTCATGTGAAATATTACACTGAATTGCCAACAAATTGCAAAATTTGATTTCAAAGCATCTAAATTTCCAGAATTTTGGGGAGCATATCCCCAGAAACCTTTTAAGATCTGCTTTAAGTGGTGTACAGGTAGTTGGCATATTATAAATATTGTAGAAGTGAAATATCATACAGTTGTGTTTCAATGATTTTTCTTGTCTGTAATTTCAGCCCCTCCTACCCAGTCTCAGGTGCTACAAACACCTCCCACTGTTGATGTTTCCATGGCAGATTTCTCTCCTCGAGACTTCACTCAACTGTCCCAACCAACATTTAGTCCCAGAAGGCCACAGGTAAAATATTTAATGTTAGTCACAAGGCCACACATAAAATACTTAGTTAAAATTAAGTCAGAAAAGCTACACGGAAAATATTTAGTTTACATATAGACACAGAAGCCACATGTAAAATATCTAATTAAAATTTAGTCACAGAAGCCACGGGTAAAATATTTCGTTGACATTTAGAAAGCCGCAGGTAAATCTATTCTTATTAAATTGAATTATCTGGATCTCATTTTAATATTTTTTTAACTTTGAGAAAAAAGATGGGTGCATTTTTCTCTTCTGTAAGTCATAAATGCTGTACATGTAGAATGTATGTGTTAAAGGATTAATTTTAATTGATTCTAAAATTATGTGTTTCAGGATGGTCATGACCCTTCCACAGAATGCTGAATTATTATAGGCATTGCAAACTATCTGTGATATATAATTCTGAAATATTGTCAAGAAAAAAAGTTATTTTGATTTAATAAGAATTTCTGTACCATAGTTTTCTAGTGATTAAAAACTTGAGATACACCAACCACATGTACAAAGTATCACATTTTATTTTTTATAATTTCTGAGTTGTTTATGTAATGCTAGATTTTATTTTACCTTAAGAACCATTAACTTGTTTAAGAAATCCAGAAGGTTTCAAGGAGAAAAAACTTTACATTCGGTGATTTAAGTTTTATATTAAGTTTTAGTTGTGATTTGTATTAGACAGTGTCCGTCCATTTATTTGAAAAGAGTTTTAACTAACAATTCTTTTATGTTTTATTTTTATGAAAGCATAAATGTATAGAGCATGTTATATTTATATTTTTAAATATTTAACATGCCTCATGTCTTCTTTACAAATTTAAGTGTATGTTCTAGGTGCTATAGTATGCTTTCCTTTTTTGTTATTCTAATGTACTCATTTCCCCCCATCTCTGTTGTGAATTATACTGTGATATATTATCTGTAAGTACATGTAACATTGCTCAGTACTAAAAATAGAAATGTGTACAATGTACATCTGCACCTAACGGACCTTTTACTGTGTTGACGTACAATGACTATATATTTAGATTTAATATAATTTGTGCTGGGAGTGCATTGTATCTTCCTTTATAGCCTTCAGAATTGTCACCTTTAAAATACCTTTTTATTTGTATATTCTGAAACTTATGTATAGGATAATAACAGTTCAATAGGATAGATTCCAAAATACTTTACACATTTTTCATGAGGCATTAGAAGTAAGCATAGTGATCAAACATTTATCCAACTTGTTTACATGTAATACAAATGTAACTTTGAAGAATTCCACACTGTATATTTGATGCATACATATATTTTTGATGTATACATATTTTTATTTTGGTACAGAAATGCATTTTTATGAACCAATTGGCAAATACTAACATGTTTACATGTAAGTATGCATATTTTGGTCAGTCACTCTCCAAGCCTTTTTACTTGATCATTTAGGTATAAAAGTGACATGCATTGTATATTTAAAAATTATGTTATACAGTGTATCTTTCTTTTTATAGACTTCTAATGAGTGCCAAATAACTAAGGTCTATTTTACCATCATAATTGCTAACCACTGGTTTTGTGTCCATTCTATTTCCACAAACAAATATAAAATAAAATGGACACAAAACCTGTGGCTTGTGATGATGTTCTTCCCTGTGTTTTTATTATAATCTCAGAGAAAACCAATCAGACTTATATTTGTTTGTATTGTGGAGAAATATGCAGGTGCTTAACAAAAAAAGATCAGACAAAAAGTTGTGACATTCATAAACTTGATTTTATTTGATTAATTCTTTCATTTATATTCTCTTAAGAAAAGAATCAAATGTTATATGTACCCTGTAGTGTAGTTTATACGGTGTAAGTTTTCTGGGTATGAAAAAGTAGGATACTAACTGGGAAATAAATGACAAATGTAAAACTCATTTGCCTTCTTTTTTCTTGTTTTGAGCAATAAATGAACTCTCTACAAACAATAACAGTACATGTGTGGGGTGTTTTGATGTGAATTTTGAAGTATAGAATTTTTTTCAAAATACGAGGGGTTATCAAAAAGTTCGTGGACTAGCGCCATAAAATTAAAACCGCTTTAGGTACATCATTGAATTTGTACACATTTAGTTAGCATCGTCTTTTCTATCTATAGAATAAACAACAATTCATAAGTTTTAGTCTTTAATAAATTAGTAATGTTTTTATAAGCAATGGCATGTCCAGGCGGCGCAACCGCGAATATGACGTTTTTTCAACCTGAGTGTAACTAAGAAAAACTCTTTTGATATGAGCACTTGACATCCAAAAAAAATTCTGTTAATTCAGGCATGTAATTGGACACAATTGTTCTGCAAAATGTGCAATTTTTACCCCATTCTGTACGTTCTATAAAATTTTATCATATATTTTATAAAGAGTGTCTATACAATTCAGGGCTTGAAAATGACGTCAAAAAGGGGGAAGGGTTTCTTTTTCCATCATTCTATAAAGTTTTGCCCCTGAAAAAACTGGTATAGACTTAGGGAAAGTTTATACTGGCTACAGAGAAATAAAATGCATCCAGAGTACTTGTTATTAAATGCCAAAAGAGATTCAGAGAGATTAGAGATGAGCAGTTAATGCCGATTTGTATTCAAGGTGTGAAAAGTCAATATCTTCTAAAAGTGACGTTGATCATGTGTGTTTTATATTGAACTCCAACAAGCAAAATATGCTGGCATAATCAACCGAGGACCTTTCCCTAAGTAAAATTCATTTACAATTTTATATGCATTGAATCAGCTGTTCACGACATTGTTATGTTATATAAACAAGACAGGTTTAAGGTTTTACTGAACTCCAGGGAATCTCATTAACATAAGTATATTGAGACAGAAGGAGCGGGCATTGAGAAATAATGACGTCGGACGTCATGAAACTAAACGACGACAGCGCCGGGTGATCATATAATGCCTTTTTTATTTTATAATAATTTGGCAAATTGTCAACGTATCAAGCTAAAATTTTAAGCACTTCTTAAACTTTTGTTGTTTAATGTTCCTTACAAATTTTGTAAACATAAACTACATGGTATTAATTTTCTCGCATCAGTCCACGAACTTTTTGATAACCCCTCGTACTTATGTGATTTACAGTAAACAATAGATAGATTGTTTACCTTCAAACAGTAGAATGAATTTAGGCAACCTTCCACCTTTCAGTACAACAAATGGTGGACCGCTGTATTACTATAACCACAGAGCTTTCCAGGCCAATAATTTAATGGTCCATATACATGTAGCCCAAATTACTACTAGGTAATATATTAATACTTTTCAGATGTGTATCAGAATCACTTCTCCCCAATTTCACATTTCATTTATATTTTGAAATATTGTCAGGAAAACAAAATTATTTTTGTGTATTAAAAAAGAACAGAAACAAACAAATCCAAAGAATTGTGGTCCCCTGCTTTCGGAGTCTTAGTGCATGGGATGCCATTATTTATGGCATATTGTAACTGTCTTGTATGTGTTACCTGTGTTGTGTGTGTTCATCATACAACAAGATGTGTTTGTGAAACACTGATGCCCCAGTATGGCAAGTTATAGCAAAGTTTAAACTTTCTCAAACACAAATCAAGTATGTTGGTACCCAAAGTAACGTCTTGTCTCCAAGAATATACCTGTGAAATATGAAAGCCCTAGCAGCAACCATTGAAAAGATATGGAAAGGTTAAAGTTTTTTTCAAAAGTGAGTCAAACATCAAGGTCATATTCAAATGGTCAAGATTAATGGTGCCCAAGGAAAAGCCTTCTCACAAGAAATACACATGTGAAATATGAAAGCTGTTGCACCAACCATTCAAAAGTTATGGCCAAGGTTAAAGTTTTTTAAAAGTAGGTCAACCTCCAAGGTCAAAGTTTTTGGTATCCAAAGTAAGGTCTTGTCACAAGGATTACACATGTGAAGTATGAAAGCCCTAACACTATCTCTTCAAAAGTTATGGCCAAGGTTAAAGTTTTCCAAAGGAAAGTCAAACTCCAAGGTCAAAAGGATCAAAGTTCTTAGTATCCAAATGAAGGTCTTGTCACAAGAATTACGTATGTGAAGTGTGAAAGCCGTAGCACCAACTGTTCAAAAGTGATGGCCAAGGTTAATGTTGGATAAAATTTTGCAAAACTGGGTCAAACTCCAAGGTCAAGGTCAAATATGACGGTACCCAAAGAAAGGTCTTGTCACAGGGAAACCACATGTGAAATATGGAAGCTATATCATATATATGGTACCAATCAAAAGTTATGGGCAAGATTAAAGTTTTTGCGGGCAAACAGACAGCTAGACAGACGGACAGCGCAAAATCTATATGCCCCCGAATTTTCGACTACGGGGGCATAAAAAGACATAAATTATTGAATTAATAACAGTTATGGCAGAAATTAAAGCTTCTTACGACTGCATCAAACTTCAAGGTCAGTGTCATGAGATCAAATATTCTTATACAATCCGAAAGATCTTGTCACAAGTAATGCACTTGTGAAGAAAAAAAAAATACAAAAGCCTTATCTCTTCTGGAGCAAAAGTTATGGCCAAAGTTAACATTTTTGATAAGTAGTTCAAAAGTCTAGGTCAAGGTCATGAAGTTAAATGATATATCTTTCTGAGTTTTGTTATAGGTAATGTACATGTAAAAATATGAAAGTTGTATCTTCTATATTTCCATTTCTATTTGTTTTCTCTGTGATAACTCTTTGAAAGTTAGGAGAGTTGATTTCTTGATCATTCTAACGGAATGCAAATTTTGCCAAGCGAAAGGTCAATAGCTAAGAAGGCATAATATGCATGTAAATCTCGTGCGTCTGTCTTTGTGTTTGACGTCAGTGGGCGGGGACTATTGAAATTGACACGTGAGGCCTCGTGTAATTTAAATCTATTGGTCTACATTTTTAAAATCTAAATTTACAATTTTATTTCAAAATGAAATGGAAATATAAGGAATCACTGTCTAGTTAGTAGAGTATGCCAGGGACATCAACGATAGTTGGAAACGTGGGATAATTTATGCATAACGGGCTTCGCCCGTTATGCAAATTATCCCACGTTTCCAACTATCGTTGATGCCCTGGCATACTCTACTAACTAGACAGTGTCATTCAAAAGTTATTCCAGTGTAAATTAATTTGAAAAAGACTGTAGGTTAATCTTCAAGGTAAAGGTCAAAAATCAGAGTACATTCAGAAAGGACTTGAAACAGCTAATGCATATATGTCAAATGTAAATGTCCGAATCTGTTCTCAATTAAAAAAAATATCGTCAATGTTAAAATTTTTTGAATATTAAGTCAAACTTCAAGGTCTTGGGGTTAAAAATCAAAGTACGTTTGGAAATGCTTGTCACGGGTAATGCACTTGACAAATATGAATGCCCTATCTTCGCTTCTTTAAAAGTTAGCAGCAATTATAAATGTTTGAAAATTATGTCAAACGTAAAGGTCACAAGGTCAAATTAATAGCACACATGGAAACATTTTGACAGAGCTTATGCACTTGTCAAAAATGAACATCATATCATCTCTCATTCAAAAGTTATCAATAATATTAAATTTTTTGGAAATTAGATAAACTTGAAAGTCAAGACCACAGGGTCAAATATATCACACTCGGAAACTTTTTGTTACAGGTAATGCTCAGGTTATGTCAAATGAGAACACCCTATCATTTCTCATTCAAAAGTTATCACCGATGCTAAAAAAGATTAGGTCAAACGTGAAAGTCAAGTTCACAGTGTCAAAAATGATATAATGTCAAACATGAAAGCCCAATCTTTTCTCATTCAAAAGTTATAACCATTGTTAACATTTTTGAAAATTAGGTCAAGGTGAAGGTCAGGGAATAAAAAAATCATAGTGTACTATAATATTGGAAAGATCTTTTCACAGGTAATGTATATGTGAAATATGAAAGCCCTATCTTTTCTCTTCAAAAGCTATGATCAAGGTTAATCTTTGTTAAAATTATTTGAAAAGTAGGTCAAGCGTCAAGGTAACGGGGTAAAAAGTCATAGAAAATTTGGAAATGTCTTGTCACAGGTAATGTATATGTGAAATATGAATTCCCTATCTTTTCTCTTCAAAAGTTACGACCAAAGTTAAAGTCTGTTAACATTTTTGAAAAGTGGGTAAAAATTCAAGGTCACGGGGTAAAAAGTCACAGTATTTTTGGAAGGTCGTGTCACAGGTAATGTACATGTGAAATATCAAAGCACTATCTTTTCTCATTCGAAAGTTATGACCAAGATTAAAGTTTTTGTGACAGATCGACACATTGACAGATGAATTAGATTTAATGTCCCTTCGCTTTCGCGAACGCAGGGGAATAAAAGAATAGAACCAAGATCTGGAAAATAAAAAGGGGGTAATTTATATATATCTCATATATATGTTAACGTAAAGGTGATTTTTAAGGTAAAAAAAATCTTTACACTAGTAAAATGACTTGGTAAACAAATACCTTCAATTGGAATAGCTGCAAATCTTGCTATTAAGGACATACGCAACGTAGTTCGAACTTTATTGTCTTTTTCCCTGCAGTTGAAGAGTTCCAATACTTATCCGAGCTGTGTGCTACATTTTATTGTTTATATATGCTGTTGTGCACTTCTTCTAGAACAATCTTGGATAAACAAAACATCTAGAATATATGTTTAGTAATTTTTGTAAATTTTTCTTAGAATTATACAAGAATTTTCATCATTTGATATCTTTTCAAAACCCCTGGTAATGCATGCTGATTTTTTGTTTACAAACATCTGATGGCACTATAATCCTAAATTAAGAATATCTTGAAAAATTATCAGTAGGTAAGGTACGTTGCGTATGTCCTTAAATCCAATAATGTCAATAATTACTCAGTACATTGTATATACAAAAGGCCCATTTGCCTAGACATTCACTTTTGAATCTTAAGTTTTTCATGTTATTTATGACCAGCTCAGTATGTCCCACCTGCAAATGGAACTCTGGACTGATGTGACATGATTGGTTGGAAATAAATAATCCGTTCTTGAAAATTTGAAAATTTTGAAAAGTAATATTCTGTTTTAATTCCTCTGGGAAGAAAATAAATAATTTGACCTTGACTTGTGGTACCTACCTCCCCCCCCCCACCTTCCCTGGACAGGTGGTAACTAACATCCTCTCCCCCATTTCCCGACAAAATACAGGGAAGAATATACTGTAAACCAACTATTATTCGCGTCAACTTTTATTCGCGATTCGTCAGTTTGAAATCAATCGGCCACGATTAATTTTCGCTATATATAGGAAATATTTCTCGCACGCAAATAAAAGTTGGTTTACAGTAAAAAAAAATCTGTTTTTCGTAATCTTGAAAATAATTTTTTTGTCCTGCGAGGACATGAAAATAAATAATATGACCCAACAAGTTTTGCCCCCCCCTTTTTTCTTCAAAATCAAATCAAATTTTATTAAATAGGCCTAAATATTCAAAATATGAGTAACAACAATCACTTTGGACCTAAATCCATAGAGCATTTACATATATAATGTTAGATGGCTATTTGTCAATTGTACTAATACATATTACATGCAGTGATAATATATAGAGTATGCATGATCTTGCAAAAGCTCCCCCACCCCCTCCGCATTCACGTTTGTCCGAAATTAATGATGAAAGCAAAATTAATGAATATGTTAGGAAAAATTAAAATGACAGATTGCTTTTGTTTTAGAGATATTTAGGGAAAACAGAAATCTAGAGTATAACATGACAGTTGAACCATTTTTGGATCGAGCTAATAGATTAGTAGAACTCTCCAGTCTCTGAAGGTAATTTCTTCTGTTTGTGTACAAACTTCGAAAAGATCGCAGTAGTCAGCACTAATTTTCATCTCGTTCGGCTGTTGTGATAATCAGAATATTTTTGAAATTTTAATATGGAAGCAGACGATGAAGATACAAAGCCAGAAGTGACTGTGGCGTCTAAGGTGTCATTTGCAGAACTGTGTGGGCTCTTAGAAAAAATATCTAAAACTCATGGTAATGATAAAAAGAAAGGTATTTTAGGGAAATTCATAGAAAAATGGCGTGATTTCCATAAAGAACTGCACAAAGACAACCCAGATACTGTAAGTTTTTTTCTTAACTATTTATCAATGTATTATAATTTTCTCATCTTCACTAGCCAAATGTTACTGATCCACTACCGGGCTACACTCTTCACAAACCTACGGAATCATGCTATCAAAAGTGTGGATTTTTACGAGTTGATGGTATCAACTCATGTTATGTGACTTGTAAGGGATTCCCCAATGTATCGAAACTTATCACATTTTCATTTGAGTATTTTGCGTACGGATTCTTGTACAATATTGGTTTATTTACAGTTTTCATAATCTACAGAACAAGAATATGTTTCCTGATATGTTTTGAAGTGTTTATAAACATAAAATATTTATTATTAATTTTATTGGAATTTGTGTCCATCCGCAAAAGAAAATAGTGTTAGGGACAATAGTGACATGTCGTGCAAACAAAATTTTATTTTATAAATCAATAAATGTTTTATATAATAAGAAGTAATTTGAAAACAGATTTTAAAAGAAAATTCACAAAATTGAACATTGTACAAACCAGGTTATTTTTAAAAGACTGACGTACTGGTTGTATATAAATAAACAAATTCTTGCGCTGTTATGCTAATGAACAGAGCAGTTTTCCCGCGGTAGTGATGAATCGTTCAATACAGAGAACACTGCCGATGTTTGTAAACAAAGCGAGAAGTTTGCAGTGAAGAGGGTAAAAGTAAAACAACTACTAATCTCAAACGGAAGCAATGAGCTGTACCAGTAAAAACAATTTTGAAATTAAAATTCTTATTTCTTGTGCAAGCAATAATAGATTTCGATTGCTTCAAGGTTTAGGTTTTTTCAGCAGCGGACAACTCCGTGCTCTAATTTCTTTTTCCCTGTTAAAAAAACTGTCTTCCACAATCTAGAGCTGTTTCACAGCAAGCTTTAAATACAGCAATGGACATTTAACACGCCTGTGATTCTTATCTCATTAATTGTCGGCACTACACTGGAAAGTGGTCTCCTTTAATATGTCCAGCTGTGTTTTGCTATCAGATGCTGGCCATGTTATAAAGTGAATTAATAGTACTGAAGGCAATAAATAAAAACAAAAACAAAAAAAAATTTAATGGGGTGTTATTGATAAATTAAATGTGAAATGCATATTTATAAATGTGAAGAGATCAAGAAATCAAATTAATTCAAGAGTGGATAAATCATGTAAATAGTCAGTATCATGCCATTGTGATGAATTTATAAAAGTCTTCAGTCGAAAAGCCGAAAGAATTGAAATATTAAACGTGCATACATGTATCAATGAAAGTCAAGTAGTTGAATTTCAAGAAAGGCTAAACTGAGAGAAATGATGTATAAAATGTGCATATCAATTAAAGTCAAGTAGTTATATTTCAAGAGTGACTAAACCAAACGCAATGATATATAAAATGACCATTTTAGTTAAATGTCAAGAAGTTCAATTTCAAGAGTATAGCGTAATCAAGAGAATAAATTAAAACATTTATTGCGCATATCAATGATCATAAAAGACAGGGGGTTGAATTTCAAGAGTGGCTAAATCAAGAGAATTGAAATATCAAATGTGCATGTAAATTTTGAAAGACAAGGAGTTGAATTTCAGTAGTACCTAAATCAAGAAAATTGAATTATGTAATATACATATAAATGAAAGTAAAAAATATGAATTTTAAGACTGGCTGAATCACGAGAATTGGAACATATTGATATGGATTGAAAATGTCAAATTGTTTGTCAATTTAAGAGAGCAGTGAAAATATTCAATGAGCATGTTAATGAAACAATTCAATTTGTGCTATTTGTAAATAATAATTCCCTACTTGTAATACTATTGTAGGTTTGGCCTATTACTTTGAGATGTGTGTGTTTAAAACTTTTTCTTGTTTTTTTCTACTTAGTTCTTTTAATTCTGTATTATGATTTTACAACACTTGTGTCATTTTTCCCTATTTTAAATTTCTAGTCACTTGATATATGATATTTCTGTCAAATGATATGGAGTGTCCCGAAACTGTTCTTGGTATTTTTAACGATGATAGTCTGTGCTCTGTGACCATTTCAATGATGGTATCCTTTAATGTTTTGTAAAAATACAAATTACTTTAAATGCAAGCTATATTGTCATTTTACGAAAAATCCCAAAACTAACTTCGTAGTATTTGTTTTCTATGTTTAAAGGTTCGATTTGTGATAAATTATTATACATTCCAGTAGATATTAAAAAGAAAATAAATATACATGTTAAACATACATGATGGAAAAGGTGTAAGTAGAATGATATAATTTTATTTCTCAAAGAAAACAAAAAGAAAAGATTTTAAAGTGACAGTTTTCATCAATGCACATAATATCACATAATCCATATATGGACTAGAGACCTCAACTCATTTAAACATTATATAATCAATACCATCAACTCGTAATAGTTCTTTCAGTACTTTGATTAGCTTACCTTGACGAAGTCAAGATGAGCTTATGCTGTACCCCCGGCTTTAGTGTCAGCGTCCTGACAGGTTCAATTTTTTTGACCAGGTCCATTCCTAAGTGACTATAAGCCCTACCTGGACCAAACTTGCATGGATGATACATCTAGGGATGGACACTATAAGACTAGCGTCAGATGCTGGATCTTACCTACATTTTCCAGACAAGAGATCCACTTAAAGTTTTGGAGCAGGTCCATTCCCAAGTAACAATAACTATAAGCTCTACCTGGACCAAACTTGCATGGATGATGAAAACTACCAAACTTGCTTCGGATGGTGGATCTAACCTACATTTTCCAGATGAGTGAACAGGTGAAAGTTTTAAGAGCAAGCTAGTCCATTCCCAAGTAACTATAAGAAATACTTGGACCAAACTGGCTTGGATGATGACAAGGTCTAAAAATGTTGATGCAGTTCAATAGAGCCCATCAGAATGTATCAGCATATAAAGTTTGATAAAAATATCTTGATTTGTTTCTTTAAAACTAAGCTAACACAAATTTGATAAATGTGAGGTCAAGGTCAAAGTAAAGATTAAAGTAAAAAATGTTGATGCAACTAAATAGCCCTTATCAACATGTATAAACATATGAAGCTTGATAATTATATTTTGAATAGTTTCTTTAGAATAGTAAAACTAATCAAAGTGATGTCAAGACTAAAGGAAAGGTACTGGCCAAGGTAAAAAAATATTGATGACATCAAATAGCTCTCATCAATATTTATCAGTGTATAAGATTTGATAAAAATATCTTGGATAGTTTGCTTGAAACTGAGCTAAACATTAATTTAAGAAAAGTAAGGTCAAGGTCAAAGGAAAGATCAAGGTAAAAAAAAAATGTTGATGCATTTGAATAGCTCTCATCAATGTGTATCAGATATAAAGTTTGATAAAAATATTTAAATAGTTTCTTTGAAACTTAGCTTAACATAAATTTATGGAAAGTGGGGTCAAGGTCAAAGGAAAGGTAAAGATTAAAAAATGATGATGCAGTTGAGTAGCTGTCATGAATTCGTATCAGCACATGAAGTTTGGTGGACATATCTTGAGCGCTTGCTCTGAAACTCAGCTAAATGTGAGTGTAATCATTGTAATGGAAAGACAGATAGAAGGACAGAGAGATAAAAGGCCGGAAGATGGACATGACAAACTCTATATGGCATCAGCCATATTCATAAAAATGTGTAAAATATGTTCTTAAAATATCATTTGATGCCTATATTGAATATTCCTAGCATATAATTACATCAAAATTTCTGTGAGTAAAAAATATGTAGGGCCAAAGTGTTGATTAAAACATATTTGTACTTTTAATTTGTGAATTTTCCTTTTAATATCCTTCCACAACAAGAAATAGTCCCCAATATATCATATTTCTTGCCAATTTTGAGAATTTTTTTTTTAATTGAATGTTGTACAGTTTGCATAATGATTTTTTTTTAATTCAAACATGTTATAAAATTTAAATTGTAATTGAAAATGGCTCTGGACAAACTTTCCTCAAAAGCTGACGAGTGACAAACCATGTGTCTGTGTAATAACACTAGGGGAAATATTGAAACTGATGATGTTTGACAACTGATTAAAATATGGAATTGTCCATCTGACTTGCATTTCATGCAAGACTAGACTATTTTAAGACTAGACTATTTTATGTATCAATCAGTGTACAAATTCCCCATCGCAGTTCATTGTTTATGATATTTGCAGAGTGATTCCTTTTATTCAGCAATGAGACTTTTGTTACCACAACTTGAAAAACAGCGAGCTGCCTATGGCATCAAAGAGGTATACATTTATTTGACACATTATTCTTAAAAAATGAAAAGAGTATTTTTTCATATTTAGAATAATTGAATTTTTAAATATTTGATTGCTCACTGAATATGCAATAATAGTCATTGTATTCAATTTTACAGCATATGCTGGCAAAGCTGTTGATTGAAGTTCTGTGTTTGGGAAAGGATAGTGCTGATTCAAACCGACTATTAAACTTCAAAGCCCCAAAGGCTGCCAAAGGAGTATGTATAATTGATATGTTGATATTCTCTTTAATTCGGGTCGTGAAGAGATGTATTATGTCCTGAATCTTTGTATGGGGAGGGTCTTACTGTATATCAATTAGCATGGAGCAATCTGAAAGAAAAAATTGTGTACATTTGTTTTCCAAAATTTTCAATATGACAATATGTTATTGTTCATTAATTGTTCTTGAATATTGAAACAACTCTTAAAACCAGTACTGTCATTGTAATGTATAACACATAGAACACTTTTCAGTTGATCATTACACAAAGAGATGAAGTGATTTAATGCATCCAATTTAGATATTGCTTAGTGAAAAAAAAATACTAAAACTTGAAAAATAGATAATATAGAAGTAATTTATTCCACATGGTTTTCGATCGTCATCTTCCCTTACTTATGTACCAATATACCCTTATCACCTGCATATGGGGTTTATGTTTCTCAGTTGATTCGATACGCAAGAGCATGCTCTACATATGAACAATTTCTAAAATGAGGCAAGCTATTGACAAACAAGTTGATGAAACAAGGATATCAACAGCCACATTTGAAGTCATCATTTCGGAAGTTTTATGGTTGATACAATGACCTTGTCAGCACATACAACCTATCATTAAGTCAAATGCTGACTGACGTTTTTCATACTAATTTTTAGGTCATTATTTATACACTCAACTATCTACAGATTTTTCTGTTTTGTATTCCGATCATGACAAGGAGCGCACGGAGGGGAAAATTTTTGATACACATTATTACATGTACAATGACTTGTGTTCATGATGACATATACATGTATATTTATGACCAAGGAGCTGTTGTAGAATTCATAAGACAAGTACAAATGCTGAAGTAGCATGTTATCACATCTCTTTATTTATCATTAGGATGCGGGAGATTTTGCAGCTGTAGCTTATTTTGTGCTGAAAAATCGCTGTCCAGAAAAAGGAACATTGACTATCCAGGAAGTTAATGATTGTTTGGACGGCATCGCTACAAACAATGCAGCCAAGAAAAAAGACCTGGTTCGCAAGAACATTCTAAAATTATTGACCAACATGTCTGCCATTGAACTAAAGTGGCTGATTAGGATGATTGTGAAGGAACTGAAGGTTGGACTGAGTCAGACCTCGGTGTTCAGTGTGTATCACCCTGATGCAGAGGAATTCTACAATGTCAACAACAACCTGGAGAAGGTTTCTAATTACAAAAAAAAAGTCATTTATGATATAGATTTTATTATGTTCCCCAAACGAAGTTTGGGAACATATTGTTTTTACTCGGTTTCTTCTTATTAAGGTCTTCCGTTTCAGACGGAAGACCTTATAGTGATTCTACTGTTTATTATTATTATTATTTTTTTCCCGTTTTTTGTCCAAGCAATTTCTCAGAGATGGCTTAGTGGATTTTCTTGAAACTTTCAGAGTTTATGACAAATATAATAAACTTAAAACATTTTGAAGGATTTTGCAAAATTCACTTCCGGTCGTCAGATATGTCCGATTTCCGTTTTTTCAAAAGAGATCATGTCCGGACGAGATCTCAGAAACGGTAAAAGCTTAAAATACCAAACTTTCACGAGTGATAGATCATGACAAGTAGGTTTGCAGAATTGGTTTAGATCTGTCAGTTGTTACTTCCGGTCGTCACAGGAAGTGATCAAAGAAATCGAAAATTTCAACTTTTCTTATTTTAATTAAATCTTGAATCACATTATTGTATCTGTTTTGCAGTTTCGAAATATGTTGGTCCCACTGGAAACAAAAGCGTCAACTTCCGGTTATAAGCGAAAAAGTACATAATTTTAGTATTTTACTTTCCAATAAATATCGCTTATGGTTGAAGTATTTGAAATGATTTTTAGATATGTTATTTAGACTGCAAATGTCTAGAGTAACGTCAAATATCTTGTTAAAATTCACTTCCGGTCGCGTGCTTTACTGTCCGCAAAATAAGAACATGTCAAAGTGAGATCTCAGAAACGGTAAGAGAATAAGACACTACACTTATAAGAGTAATAGAACTTAAGGAGTAAGCTTAACCCTTTGGGTTAATAGCGTCAGCCGTCACTTCCGGTCCTTACAGGAAGTGATCAAAGAAATTAAAAATTTCAACTTTTCTCTTTTGAAATAAAATTTGCATCATTTAATTGAATCTCTTTCACCGTTTCTGTATGTGTTGGTCTCACTGGAAACAAAAGACGACAACTTCCGGTTATAAGAGAGAAACTTTGTAATCGGGATTTTTAATTTTCTCAAAAATATCGCTTATTGATAAAGTTTTTGCAATGATTTTTACATATGTTATTGAGACTGCAATTGTCTAGTGTGAAGTCAACCATCTTAGGAAAATGCACTTCCGGTCGCGTGTTTTTCTGTCCTCAAATTGAAACTTTGTTCACCTGATTGCTCAAAAACAGTATATGACTGAAGTCTAAAACTTTCAGAACTGATAGTCAGTCACCAGTTTATCTACATCATGTAAAAATCGTACGTTGCCGTCACTTCCGGTCGTGACAGGAAGCGATGCAAAAAAGTGAATTTTTAAAGTTTTTTACTTTTCACAGAAATGTTTGGCTAATGCAGATGTAAGAAAGACCATGACCATGCAAATTTCATCGGAAGTGCCAACCGAAAAACCAGAAGTTGTCTCAAACATGAGTAGTTTTTCATGGAAACTTTTAGGGATGATCAGTTGTGAATAATTTAGGTGTAGAATGAACATTTTATTCATTTGGAGCACTTTCGTTCATGACGAAGTACATAAAGAAAACAGAAAAGTAATTCCGTTTGTTTTTATCTGTATTTACATATCTTTGGAAGCCTTGAGATAACTTTTATTAATTATTTAGAGTAATCTTTTTGACAAGATTGTTTTTTTCCAAAGAAGTCAAGAAAACGGAAGACCTGTTATTGCCTAAGCAATAAGTATCTAGTTAAGGTCTTCCGTCTTCACGGAAGACCTTATAGTGATTCTACTGTTTCTTATTATTATTATTATTATTATTATTATTATTATTCTTATTTTTTAGACAAATTTTGTGCACGCAATATCTCGAGAACTATTCAGTGGTTTTTCATCAAACTTTCAGGGATAATGCGCTATGAAATGCCATTGTTACATTTGAAAGAGTTTTGGAGAAATTCGTTTCCGGTTCCAAGTTATGGACATTTTTCTGATTTTGAAATGACATTTTATCCGCGCGAGATCTAAAGAACGGCTAAAGATATGAACTGGAGACTTGTTGGAGAGCATAGAACATGACTTCTAGATATGCGGGTTTGCCTTTTCGTGCGTCGTGAGTACTTCCGGTCGCTACCGGAAGCGAATTTAAAAAGTCAATTTTTTCAACTTTTACGTTTTTCAATATTTTTCTTCGATTTTAATAGGGTTAATAGAGACTTTCATTGTAATGCTTTATATATAATTTGTTTTTAAAATTGTCTACCAGAATACATTTTAAAAATAGATTTATTACACAAATCTTGTGCACGCAATATCTCAAGAAGTATTCAATGGTTTTCCATCATACTTTCAGGGATAATGCGCTATAAAATGCCATTTTTACATTTGAAAGAATTTTGGAAAAATTCGTTTCCGGTTCCAAGTTATGGACATTTTCTGATTTTGAAATGAAATTTTATCCGCGCGAGATCTAAAGAACGGCTAAAGATATGAATTGGAGAATTGTTGGAGACCATAGAACATGACTTCTAGATATGCGGGCTTGCCTTTTCGTGCGTCGTGAGTACTTCCGGTCGCTACCGGAAGCGAATTAAAAAAGTCCATTTTTTCAACTTTTACGTTTTTCAATATTTTTCTTTGATTTTAGTAGGGTTATATTCCTTTATAGATGCAAGTTACCGAACATAATAGGTATCAGATTCCTTGAGCGTCATATGGCGAGACGTGTTTTGTTGCAAAACATTCAAGACTTTTCATTAATGTTTTACTAAATGGAATAGTCCACTTTGGGGGTTAAGAGGAATATAAAATGTGTAAGAAAACTTAGCGCTGCCTTTATGTTACTTGCCCGTATACGATATGTTATATGTACAGTGTGATAAATAAACATTCTTAGGCTCGAAAATCAGGCTATAGCAACATATTTTCTTTTTAAATTTCATTGAAGCTATCACTACACTTATTCAATTGAAGACACATTTCAAAGAAAAGGTGCGAAGATTTACTCGTGACGTTTGGCGCGAAATAATGTATCTTGACCCGCCTTTCACAAATGGTCTGATGAAGTAGTGTAGAAGTGCAGAAAAAGATTACACGGACATGTCTGTATTTGGAATTGCATAGAATAGAAAGCTGAATGCATAAAGAATAAAGGAAGTAAACACAATAGTTTTTTTTTTTTAGTTTTTATCAGTAACAGATTATTTTCTCTGCTATCAGTTATTGTTAAAAATCAAGTAACAAATCCCATGTAAGTCTACTAGCACTTGCACAAAATTTAGCTGGCTAGTTTTCATCCTATAATTCGGCACTATAAGAAAACAAAATTAACCTGCCTGACACTCGTTACTTCAGGGAATGAGTGCAAGGTAAACATCGATGATGGCTGGTACATTGCGCTAGTGTAGTGGTTTCAATATTAAAGAACAAGGTTCTCTTAGGACCTTTTTTGGCCCTGTGAATTTCAGAAAAACTGAAACTGCTTGGTTTTAGTTGACAATGCATTAAATATCATTTAGACCTTTGATGACTGCGTATCTATCAAAAATGATGTAATTTTCTGGCTAGCCTATGCATTAAGACGTCATGAAATGCGTCATTTTCCTCGTATCCTGAAAATTTCTACAAAACAGCCAACTTTTAAAGCTATTTTTCGATATTTAATTTAGGACGTAACCTCTGATCTTAAATATGCAACAATTAAATGATAGAACTATTTCTGAGGATTACAAAACCTGTTTTATTTTTTTTAGATCAGAGGATGTGCTCATATTATTTCTCTTCTTTCTTTTTTAAACTAAAACTTGCATCACTTTATTGCATCTCTTTCGCTGTTTTAAAATATGTAAGATTCCACCGGAAATAATCGTCAACTTCCGGTCTATTGCTCGGAAACAGTAAACGACTGAAGTCTAAAACTTTCAGGACTGATAGTCAGTCATCAGTTTATTTGAATCGTGACAAAATCTTGTATCGCCGTTACTTCCGATCGTGACAGGAAGTGATGCAAAAAAGGGAATGGTTAATGGTTAGCACGTTGGATTTTCAGGCTGACGACCAGGGTTAAATCTCATGAGTGTCTGAATTTCTTTTATCACTTTTCAGCTTGAGTTTTCTTTTTTTTCAGAATCGGACGGAAGACCTCTCATTGCTCGCAATGAGTTTCTAGTTATTATAATTATTCTTTTTTATTCTTATTTCTTCTCCGGTACTTTTTTGTCCGCGAGTGTTCTCGGAAACTGCACATCCAATTGAGTTAAAACCTTTTTAGGGTTACTAGGTATGTTATGTAGATTTGCGGAATGAAGGTCATTTTGCGCGCACGTGCACGCACGTGCGTGCGCGTGCAATGCGTAAAATGACCAATATACATGATATAGCTGTAACTTTTATATTTTTTGATGAAATGCTTTGATACTCAGAATACAAGGATATATTAAAAGTGTAGACAAGATGACATGGTCAACATGCACATGCATGCACGTGCGCGCACGCGCAAATCGTAAAATGACCAATTTACTTGATATAGACGTAACTTTTATATTTTTTGATGAAATGATTTGATTCTCAAAATATTTATATATATTAAAAGTGTAGACAGGATGACATGGTCATCATGCACATGCATGCATGTGCATGCACGTGCGCGCGCATGCAATGTGTTAAATGACCAATATATTTAATATAGTCGTAATTTTTATATTTTTTGATGAAAAGCTTTGATATTAAGAATATACAGATATATTACAAGTGTAGACAAGATGATGTGGACATCATGCACATGCATGCACATGCGCGCACGTGCAATGTGTTAAATGATTAATATACTTAATATAGCCGTAACTTTTATATTTTTTGATGAAAAGCTTTGATACTAAGAATAAACAGACATATTATAAGTGTAGACAAGATGGCATGGTCATTATGAACATGCATGCAGGTGCGCGTGCGCGCAATGCTAAGATGACCAGTATACTTGATATAGCCGGAACTTACATATTTTTGATGAAATGTTTTGATACTGAGAATATAAAGATACATTAATAGTATAGATGGGATGACATGGTCATACTGCACATGCATACACGTGCGTGCGCGTGAAATGGAAAAAACGACCAATATACTTCATTGCCTTATTTAATGAAGCTTACAGGAAATAAGACACCAAAAGGGAGTTGGGGAGCGTTTGGGGAACATCTGTAACGGTGCCCGTTACAATTATAACTAGTTACAGCATGTATTTACACTGTACTGGAATTTTCTGCTGCATTACTCTGTGTTTCCATTTAAGAGGATAATTACAAATCATTTGACTTGCATATGTAATTTTTTATTAATAATAAATAACATTTTAATTGCACTGAGATATCTGCAAACTGAATGAAAATTTTGCCAGTGATTCTGTGCCTTTATGATATTCAGTACAATATTTTCATGGTTTTACTACTGGAAAATACTGTTTTTATTATCAGGAATTAATATTTTAAAAAAAATTGGACTTTTGTAATCTCTTGCTTTCTGTGCAGGTTTGTCGGATGTTGAGGGACAAAAGTGTGAGAGTACATGAGATTGGTATAGAAGTATTCTTTCCCTTTACTCCAATGCTGGGTGAGAGGGCAGCGCCAGATCAGGTGGGAATAATTCATCATTAGCCAAACCTGAAAAGTGGTCAGAATGTAGGATTTCCCAATCATTTTTTTTTTTTTTTGCAAGAAGGGAAATAAGATATTGAAAGAAATATATTTCTACCAACTTTTAAGTCTACTCTATTTACCTAATAAATATATATTCAAATTTTCTTATGGCAGGTTGAAAAAGTAATGGATGGTAAGCCCTACCTTATAGAGACAAAATTTGATGGAGAGAGAATTCTGCTGCACAAGCAGGATGGGGAGTACAAGTATTTCTCCAGGAGGTAAAACTTGACTTTAATTTGTGTATGATGATGGATCATTTAATTATTCTTTGACATTATATCAGTATATTGAATTTATCAGACTGATAAAAAGAATTTGAGATTTCTGAGCTTGATTTTCCAAACTAGAGAGCACATGATATAGTCAGGACTTGGACTCTCTTAAACTTATCCCTTGTCTTTGATGCATCAGTGTTTAAGCTGCAATAGTTTGGCTTTATTAAATATTTCAAACTCGTGATATATTTTAAAGTTCATGTAATTATAAATCAGATACAGTTGAATTTTTTTTTATCTCAAACACCAATATTTTGGATATCAGGGATTGTTAAAGTGAGTTGGCAGTCCCAACCATCTTCTACATTTGCTTTTTATACCCCCCGCTAACGAAGTTTAGGGGGGGTATATTGGAATCAGCATGTCCGTCTGTCTGTCCGTCTGTCTGTAGACGAGATTTTGTCCGGACCATTTCTTGGAAACTGTTGCAAGGATTTGTCTGAAAATTTATACACTTATCATTCGCCATATGAAGGTGTGCACCTGGTATTTTCATCATGATTGGATAATTTTTTGCATTTTACAGGTGTTTATTTCATTTTTATTATGTGGTTTTGTCTGGATCTGTTCCCAGAGACTATTGCATAGATTTATATGAAAATTTGTACACTTATTATTTACCATATGAAGATGTGCACCTGATATTTACAACATTATTTGATAATTTTTCAGCATTTTACAGGTGTTTTTTATTTTTTTATTTTTATTGACTTAGTCATTTCAGGTTCATGTCTAAGGTTTGAGACATAGAATCTAGAACATCTGTACAAAAATGTGAACTACAGCTTAAAACTACTCATTAGAACTAAAAAAAAAATCACAAAGTATTAAAAACAGTTTTTACATTACACAGCAGATAGTGTAAATCCATTTGTCCCTTGGGAGTAATGAGTGGATATGCATCCAGTTAAAGATTAATTAATGAGTTCAGTGTGGGAAGCTGTTAGGGCATCTCTGATCAAGCAGGTCTTATCTATATCTCCGGGGAATTGGGCAGAAAGAAATAAAGATCTCTGTTGTCTAAGTCTCTTAATTGTAATTTATGTCTGTCAAAATACATAGTTACTGGAACCAGCCTTTTATTTTTAAAAGGAGTTTGATATAAAGGTATTAAAATCAATTTGATTTTGTATAATTAATTATGATTTTTTTTTTCAACAATCAATTTGCAGAGTGTCATGTCTCACAAAGATGGCAGATAGTTGCAAACTATTTTTTCAATGTAATAAAAAAACACTGTAATTATTAGTATTGATGTTTTATTAGGCTGCACCTCAGTTTCATTCATTAAATAAAGTGCCCCAACACAGCATGGTACGCCCATCAAATATTGTTGAATTATCATAAACAGTTTAGATTCAGTTGTTCGAATGACATCTTAGCGAGACAAGGCAGTCTGCAATTTGTTGTAAAGATATAAAAATTAAAATAAAAAATGTACAATAAATAATTAGTTTAAATTATTTTATACAATATTATATAAGTTTTAATTATTATATACAATATCAAATTAGTTTTAATTACGTCAAATTTATCTTGAAAGTAAGACTAGCCAACAAGAACAATTCAATACAACACAAGCAATTAATTAAGAGACTGATTCCTTTTGCCCGATTCCCAAGAGATGTAGATAACACCTGCTTGATCAGAGATGCTCTACCAGTTATCTCCTCACACTAAACTCATAAATTTATCTCTAATTTGACATGCAATTTTCTGCTATCAAAATTTTCCTTGACCAGTGCCTGATCATTACACCCATGGGAGAGGTGGAATTTTTCTTGTTACAGATTGCTGTAAAGAACATAATGAAAAAAATAAGACTAGTATTTTCTTGATTTAACACTTTTTTAATAAAGATACTGCAATACTCTGACATCTTTTGGGATTGTGTAATTTAAAAGTTAAAAGACATAGTTTTTTGATTCTAAGTCTAATGGTTTTCTAGTTATGATTTTTCCATATTTGGCCATAGCATCTTTATTAAAGGTCAGAGCGACCTGGTTTTAATGTGTGACATACCTTCTACCCTAGATGTATCAGCTGACAAAGTTTGATAATTCTAGGCCTAATAGTATTAAAGTTATGAGCCGGACATGAAAAAGCTAACAGATGGACATGAACGCTATAACATAATACATCCCGTCTTAAGATGGGCGTATAAAAAAATATAATGAGTAATTAAATTTTCACTGTAAATGTTTAAGCAAATTGTGAACACCTCTCACATCTAGAAAACATTAGTGATTTGGTACTTTCTCTGAAAAACCCAGCGGGGGGTATTTGTCCCTTTTGGACAGTTCTAGTTTATGTCTGTCAAAATGCATAGTTACTGAAACCAGCCTTTTATTTTTAAAATGAGTTTGATATAAAGGTATTAAGATCAATTTGACTTTGTATAATTAATTATGATATTTTTTTTTCAACAATCAATTTGCAGAGTGTCATGTCTCACAAAGATGACAGATAGTTGCAAACTATTTTTTTCAATGTAGTAAAAAACACTGTAATTATTAGTATTGATGTTTTATTAGGCTGCACATTAGTTTCATTCATTAAAAAAAAATATAATGAGTAATTTATTTTTCACTCTAAATGTTTAAGCAAATTGTGAACACCTCTCACATCTAGAAAACATTAGTGATTTGGAACCTTCTCTGAAAAACCCAGAGGGGGGTATTTGTCCCTTTTGGACAGTTCTAGTTAACCTTGTTATTGCGAACCCTTGGAAATCTTGGTCCCAAAGAGATCAAGCTATCGAGGTTTGACTGTATTTCAAGCATGCACTATTTTCTTTACTTCCCAATTTAAATTAAAATACATGTATATGAACAATTTTGTGTAAAGTCTTGTGTGAAAGATCTTTGTGAAGAAGTTCAACTTATTTTGTTCCTAATACATGTAATTATTTTTTGTTTCATGTATTGGGGACACTGGTTTATATTTTTCAGTGGTAATGAATACACAAGCACATTTGGATCCAATCAGTATGATGGAAACTTGACCCAGTTCATCCACGACCACTTCCAGTCATCTGTTAAATCGTGTATCCTAGATGGTGAAATGATTGGATATGATGCTGCCACAAAAACATTTGGTAATACTGTATACGGGGTTATTTTCACCCTGTATTATTTTCGCCCTTTTACACTTGCAAACAATTTTGCCCTGTTAAAAATTCGCCCAGTCACAGTTCTGTTTAAGAAATTATACTGTGTTCTATGAATTTGCCCCGTTTTAAATTCACCCACCTGTGAGTAGGGCGAAAGGGGCGAAAATAAAACGGGGGTGAAAATTTCTCTGTCTACAGTATTGCATTCATACATACTTTAATATATTTCATGCAAAAAATTGACTGAAACCACGCCAACAGACAGGGGAAATCCTCTGTGTTAATTTGGTTTTATGCTTAGATAACTTTATCCAGATCCTAGGTTATGAAATGTTAAATAATGAAACATTTACAATTTCCTAATCCTTTATTACATGCATTTGAAATTCTGTGATTTTTAGCTCACCTGAGGAAGACTAAACTGAGCTTTTCTTATCACAATTTATCCATTGTCTGTCGTCATCATAAACTTTTCACATTTTCATTTTCTTCTTTAGTTAAACTTATATCATACATTTTATATATATTTTAGCAACAAAAGCCATGAACACTGACATAAAACATCAGAGGGAAGAAGGTTATCAACCATGTTATTATGTTTTTGACCTCATTATGCTAAATGGGCGTGTCCTGACTAACCATCCTCTCAAGGAGAGATTGGAATTATTAAAGACTGTGTTTACAGAAGAGGAGGGGAGATTTCACCTCAGTAAGCACACTGAAGGCATAACAAAGTAAGTTATCTCAACCTCTAAGAAAATATTATCAGTCAATCTTGTTCCTGTGTATACCTGTGTAGAATTGTAAATTCTAGTTTAGCACTTAACAAAAAAATAATTGTGCTTGTACTCATTAATAATTCATTCTATAATGTTTATGAAAACAGCACTGTCTTTATCAGACAGATATTTTTAATTTGCACCACAAATGTACATGTAGCAGTTACCGGGTAGATAAGTGTCAGTCAGGCAGTACATGTAAATGAACATTCATATATCTTTATATCAATATGTTAGTCAAGACTGTGCAGAGGCATTGAATGAAGCTATTGATGGCAGAGAAGAGGGTATAATGATAAAGAATCCAGACTCGGTGTATCGACCAAACACCAGGAAGGGAGGCTGGTTTAAAATCAAGCCTGAGTATGTTGGAGGTCTGATGGATGAGCTGGACATCTTGGTGGTGGGTGGCTTCTTTGGAGTGGGTCATCGTAGTGGGATGATGTCACACTTCCTGTGTGCTCTGGCTGTCCCTGAGGAAGATGGCAGTCATCCTAAGGTCTTCCATTCTTTCTGCAAGGTAATCAAACTTGTGACATCAATTTTGTAAATCAAAATAAATCAGAATAATAGATTTTGTTTTAAAAAACCAAACATAACTTTCTTCTTATGCTTACATGTATTAGACAGTGTTTTGTTCATATCCATTGATGGAGCAGTTTTGATTGATGTGTTGGTAATCAAACATATACATGTTTATTCATATTAAATGTGATAAAGCAAACTCGTTTACAGGTTGGGTCAGGTTACTCAAAAAAGGAATTGGCAGAATTTAATAAGAAGCTGGCAGAGCATTGGAAAGTCTTCAACAAGAAAAACCCACCCTCTTCTATTATTTTGGCCTCAGGTTTTAAAGAAAAACCAGATGCTTACATTGAGCCTGAAAATTCATGCATTATTCAGGTAACAGCTTTACAATTCCTGGAGCTTGTTTTTAAAGTTTAAAATATTTTTTTTCCTAGAATGTTTAAAGTTTCAACTTGTTTTCTACCAATATGAAATGTACTGTAAATGTACTTTTTTCCCACTTAGTCATAATTCTGCAGAATTGCAATTTCTGTTCAGTCTGCGTCGGAGTAAACATTTTTAATTGCTATTGTAAGTCTTAATGCACTGTGAGTAAACTATAAAAAATTTCTGCAGAAAATTTATATGCATATATAGCGTAAATGAATCCCACGTGGAAAAGGTATGTCTATGGAAAAGTTAAGTACAGAACTTGAAATAGCTTTTTTAAACAAGTTTAGCATAATTAAAAAGGGATGTCATTCTTTATGCTCGGTGTAATGTGCACAGCCCACTCCTTGGTCAAAGATTATTGGTTAAAATGTTTACTATGCATGCAACATTACAGTTACATTTTTTCATTGTTGTTGATAAAAGCAGGTTTGATTTGAAAATTGTTAATATCATCTTTGTGAGCAGGTCAAGGCAGCAGAAATCATTGACAGTGACAGGTTCAAGACAGGGTTTACACTGAGGTTCCCACGGGTGGAGAAATTCAGGGATGACAAGGCGTGGCATGAGTGTATGACGGTGCCAGAGGTCAAAGAAATGAAGGATGTTAGTATCAAAATGACCCAAATTTGTCTCTTTTAAAGAGCATAAGAAATTATCCAAGAATCTTTTTTTTTTCTTGTGTACTGAAGTGTATACAGTACTTTACCTTTGGCTTTTCATTGGAAACTTTTTTTATGAGGTATAATTTCATATGTAGCTTTGTGACAGGATTATCTATAAGTGAAAAATTTTTAGTGTCATTTTCTATTTTCAATTATCTTCACTTTTTAAAACTTTGTTTCTGTTTTCAAACAGAAGCATGAAAATAACGTCATTTTTATGAAATAAAATCTGCCTTGATTTTTTGGGGTCACCTGAGTCACTCAGTCATCTGTTAACATTTGAACACTTTCAAAATTGTGAATTTCATGGTCCCTGGGCCAGGAGTTCTGGTGTTTGGGCTGGGCTCTATTGAATACATGTATGTAGTGAAAATGCATTTATTCTTTGAACATCTTTTCCTCTGCTCCTGGGTATTAAGCCAATGAACAAAGTGCATGGTTATGATGAACAAGGGTGCCTCTTCCAAAATTGGGAAATATGTGGCCCTAGGGTCAGGGGTTCAGTGGGAAGGGCTCTTTTGATTATGGTGAAAATGCATTAATACTACGGAAATCTTCTACTCTGCTCCTTGATATTAAAGAAACAAACTAAATGCATAGTTATGATAAGCAAGGGTGCCTCTTCCAAAATTGTGAAATGTGTGGCCCCAGGGTCAGGGGTTCCTGTGGGATGGGGGCTCTACTGATTTAGTCTAAGAGTGAAAATGCATTATTTGTTTGATAAACTTCTGTTCTGTTTTGGGGTATTAAGTAAATAAACTAAGTGTATAGTCATGATGAGCAAGTGTGCCTGTTTCAAAATTGTGAATTTCATGGCCTCTGGTTTAAAATATGAACCCAATTCAATTGTTGGGAAGTTGTTACATGATATTCATGTGACCTGTAAGGTCCGTGGGCCTCTTGTTTTTTAATACAGTTGAATGTGTTTATCAACAAAATAAGAAAAAACAAAATACAGTTGAACTTGGTTTTCTCAAACTTTGATATCTTGAATACCATGGAAATGTCAGAGTGAGTTAAAAGTCCAAACCATTTTTCTTTATATATTTCAAACTTGATATCTCAAATCATCAGATATCTCAAAGTTTTTTTCTTGGTCCCATTTGGTTTGAGTTTATGAGATTTCACTGTATAACTCCCAGATCAGATGAAACAAAATATAAGGTTTAATCCTGAGGCACATAAAGCATGAAAGTGCTATGGAGGGTCTGACAAATTTCTGTTTTTGCAGAGAGCAGGGGGAAAACTTGCTGGAGGAAAAGTGGAATTAAGAGAAGAAGAGGAACCAACAAAGAAAAAGCGGAAAATCACTACACATGTGATCAGACCAACGCTGGGGGCTCAATTCCGAGGGGCAGATCTATCAGATGTAACTCAGGTAATTTCTTTGCCAACACAGCTCTTACTTTGCTTGAACAGTCAATACCAAGGAGAATATAATAATCCCTACAATTTGCAATGAAGTTATTTGCATAGGAAGTAAAATATTTAAGCGATTTGAAGTGATGTAATCTGAATTGAAAAGGTAAAGAAATTTTGGAAAAAAATTATGCATCAGTGGTGTAAGTTAACCATAAAGTATTTTTCAAATGTATTTCATTTTAGACATCAAAGATTTTTGAAGGAAAAGAATTTTGTGTGATTAATGGTCCCCCATCCCTTGGTAAAGCTGCAATAGAGAAAAAAGTGGTGGAATATGGTGGTACTGTAGTTCAAAATCCAGGTAAAAATGTTCAGCTGATTTCATCAGTGTTGAAAAAGATATCACTAAATGAAAATGTAAGAATATTAATTTTTACGTACCCACAGAGAGCGTTTTTTTATGCCCCGCCATGAATATGGCCGGGGCATATAGTGTTTGTCATGTCCGTCTTCCGTCTGTCTGTCCTTCTGTCACACTTTGTGTTTAGCTCTGTTCAAAGCTCAGTTTCAAAGAAACTATCCAAGATATTTTAATCAAACTCCATATGCTGATAGATATTGATGAGAGCTATGCAACTGCATCAACATTTTTTGACCTTGACCTTTCATTTGACCTTGACCTCACTTTTCTTAAATTAGTGTTTAGCTCAGTGTTAATGAAATCATTCAAGATATTTTTATCAAACTTCATATGCTGATACATACTGTTGAGAGCTTTTCAACTGCATCAATATTTTATGACCTTGACCTTTCCTTTGACCTTGACCTCACTTTTCTTAAATTAGTGTTTAGCTCAGTTTAAAGATACCATTCAATACAGTGTTATCAAACTTCAAATGTTAATACATACGAATGACAGCTATTCAACTTCATCAACATTTATTGACCTTGACCATTCCTTTGACCTTGACCTCACTTTTCTTAAATTAGTGTCAAACTTCATATGCTGTTACATACTGATGTAAGCTATTCAACTGCATCAATATTTTTTGACCTTGACCTTTCCTTTGACCTTGACCTCACTTTTCTCAATTTCTGTTTAACTCAGTTTTAAGGAAAACATTCATAATATTTTTATCAAACTTCATGTGCTAGTACATACTGATGTAACCTTTTTTTGAACTGCATCAACATTTTTTGACCTTGACTTTTCCTTTGACCTTAACTTCATTTATTAGCTCACCTCAACGAAGTCGAGATGAGCTTATGCTATACCCCCGGCGTCGGCGTCGGCGTTAGCGTCGGCGTCCCGGTTAAAGTTTTAGGAGCAAGTCCCATTCACAAGTTACTATAAGCCCTACCTGGACCAAACTTGCATGGATGATGCATCTAGAATGGACACTGCCACACTTGCTTCGGATGCTGGATCTGACCTAGATTTTCCAGATGAGTGACCAGGTTAAAGTTTTTGGAGCAGGTCCATTCCCAAGGAACTATACGCCCCACCTGAACCAAACTTGTATGGATGATGCATCTAGGGATGGACACTACCACACTTGCTTCGGATGCTGAATCTGACCTAGATTTTCCAGATGAGTGACCAGGTTAAAGTTTTTGGAGCAGATCCATTCCCAAGTAACTATAAGCCCTACCTGGACCAAACTTGCATGGATGATGCATCTAGGGATGGACACTACCACACTTGCTTCGGATGCTGGATCTGACCTAGATTTTCCAGATGAGTGACCAGGTTAAAGTTTTTGGAGCAGGTCCATTCCCAAGTAACTATACGCCCTACCTGGACCAAACTTGCATGGATGATGCATCTAGGGATGAACACTACACACTTGCTTCGGATGCTGAATCTGACCTAGATTTTCCAGATGAGTGACCAGGTTAAAGTTTTTGGAGCAGATCCTTTCCCAAGTAACTATACGCCCTACCTGGACCAAACTTGCATGGATGATGCATCTAGGGATGGACACTACCACACTTGCTTCGGATGCTGGATCTGACCTAGATTTTTCCAGATGAGTGACCAGGTTAAAGTTTTTGGAGCAGGTCCATTCCCAAGTAACTATATGCCCTACCTGGACCAAACTTGCATGGATGATGCATATAGGGATGGACACTACCACACTTGCTTCAGATGCTGAATCTAACCTAGATTTTCCAGATGAGTGACCAGGTTCAAGTTTTTGGAGCAGGTCCATTCCCAAGTAACTATAGGCCCTACCTGAACCAAACTTGCATGGATGATGCATCTAGGGATGGACACTACCACACTTGCTTCGGATGCTGAATCTGACCTAGATTTTCCAGATGAGTGACCAGGTTAAAGTTTTTGGAGCAGATCCTTTCCCAAGTAACTATAAGCCCTACCTGAACCAAACTTGCATGGATGATGCATATAGGGATGGACACTACCACACTTGCTTCGGATGCTGAATCTGACCTAGATTTTCCAGATGAGTGACCAGGTTAAAGTTTTTGGAGCAGGTCCATTCCCAAGTAACTATACGCCCTACCTGGACCAAACTTGCATGGATGATGCATCTAGGGATGAACACTACACACTTGCTTCGGATGCTGAATCTGACCTAGATTTTCCAGATGAGTGACCAGGTTAAAGTTTTTTGAGCAGGTCTATTTCCAAGTAATTATAAGTCCTTCTTAAACCAAACTTGTATAGATATTGATCTTGGGATGTACACTAACTAGAAAAAATATGATGTGAGATTTGCCTTACTTATAGATAACCTTCGTCGAGGTGAGCTTCGTAATCTTTGATTACCTATGTTTTTAAATTAGTTTTTAGCTCAGTTTTAAATAAACCATTCAAAATATTTTGTTGATACGTATTTGTGAGAAGTATTCAACTGCATCAAAAACATTTGACCTTGAACTTTCCTGTGACCTTGACCTCACTTTTCTTAGATTTGCATTTTGCTTAATTTTAAAGAAACCATTTAAGATATATTTATGTAAGTTTATGCACTTATACATAATTTGGCGAGAATTTATCATCTATATCCAACTTTTTAGATTTCAATTTCAATTTTAAAGAAACTATTCAAGTTATTCTCATCAAATTTCATACACTAATACAAATTTTCATGTTGCATTACTAATACATGTATACCCTCGGCGGGGCATTCATGTCCTATGGAAATATTTCTAGTTTTAATCAAGAAACGTGCCTGGCATACCTAGCACATACATGTAGGTTGTTTGTGACTCAGGAGTGTACCTTGATCTTGAATCAAGACCATGTACATAGATTATGTTCAGAATGATCAAAATCGAAAATTCTTGTCCCAAACATATCTTTATTATCTTTATTATGCAGAGACTGTAGAAGCTCATACTTGACATTAGGTTTGCTCATAAGTCATATGACAGTAGTGACAGGACCCTGATCACAGGTCATTGGACAAAATCAAGTGCACAAAATATTGAAAAATTTTTGTTCATGTAAAAGCTGCAGTGTTGACTTTATAGAAGCTCATATCTGATAAAAGGTTGGACATGACCTATGGTAAGGTCATTGTAAATTCTTTAAAAGTTGCCAAGTTTATACATGTATTTTTTTTATGTGCTCTCCAAAGTCCTGTTAAGACGTAAAGTTCATGGACAGCAAGGTTGCATGAAATGTGGTGATGGATAATAGATATTTATTTATATTACCTCTCTTATTCTAAGATTTACCACAAATTAAAGAGGCATTAAACAAACAACCACAAATTAAACAAGCATGTTGATTATGTTTAGCATTCTGTTCACTATTATTAGAACATTTTCTTTATAGGTGCTACCACTTTCTGTGTATTGGCTGAAAAGGTTGTAATGAGGGTGACAAACTTAATGAAGCGTGACCTGTATGATATTGTCAAGGTTGACTGGTTCAAGAGATGCATTGATGCACAAAGATTTATTCCATGGTATGAACAAATCTGCAATCAAGATATAACATCTCTGTGGTATAGTAATGTAGATTGCCAAATGTTCATGACATCCTTTATTTTTGTGAGATTTTAAATTGGTATATATAAGTGAGAAGAAATTTTAAAGAATTTTATATAGTGTTCGGTATGATTTTTAATAAAACAAATAAATGCAAGAATATGCTGTCATACGTTATTAGCACAAAAAAGATTTATGGTATATCTTAAAAATTATTCAGCTGGTGCTAGATTTACAGAATGTATTTTAAAAAAGTGTAGAATACTTGTTCTGCCATATAGAAATTGAATTCATTTTCATAAATCAGGGCACCAGCAGACATGATTCATACTTCAGCAAAAACACAGATGACTCTGAAGAAGGACTATGATGAGTTTGGAGATAGCTACACACAGGACACATCTCCAGAGCAACTCAAGTACACCTTCCAGCACATGGAAAATGTATGTCAGTGAACTGTTTTTCACAACCCTTCAACAAGTTCATGTAATACAGTTTATATGGTGAGAAAAATTACTCTTGAAATATTTTTTTAAAATTCTTTTTTAGTGTGATATGTCCATCACAGCAGAAGAAATGGCTGAACTTGAAGAGAAGTATTTCCCTGATGAATCTCCATATGGTTTATTTAGAACATGCAGGTGTGAAATTTGATTTAATGGAAAGGGTACAAAATATTCTCAGTGTTTTAAAGATAATACCGAAGAAATACATTGTATATATGTACATACAGTGTAGTACAATTATTATGTAGTGTGAAGACTGACAGCCTTATAAGAATGGCTTAGTATACTGCATTTGCATAGTATGTGTACCTACATACCTTTGAGAGAGAGAATTTAACTTCATCTGTGTTTAAAATAATTGAGGCTATGGATATATTTTGGATATGGAGTGTTCTGCTTGAATTTGGATCATACAACAAATTGTAAGAGGTTTTAATGATTTTTTTGCTCTCTTCAGATTTTACATGGATAACAAACTAGCAATTGGGGACACATCAACGCAAATAAAAAATTCCTCCCTAGATTTTCTGGCTTTGGAGCTGAGATTTTTCGGTGGAACAATCTGTGATTCTCTCGATGATCAAGTTTCACATGTAGTGGTTGACAAAAGGTAAGAAATAATATGCTGTATTACAGGGAAATTTTCGCCCCTGTTTTATTTTCGCCCTACTCACAATTGGGGAATTTAAAACGGGGCATTTCAAAAACACAGTATAATTTCTTTAAACAGAATTGTGACAGGGCGAATTTAAAACGGGGTAAAATTGTTTTGCAAGTGTGAAAGGGCGAAAATAACATGGGGTAAAAATAACCCTGAATACAGTAACAGAAAATTTTCTTCCATATACATGTACCATAGATCACCCCTTATTTTCACATAAGAAGTATTTGGTATTTATAAGTGTGACAAAATTTTCACAAATTCTGGTTATTGCTGTTAATAATCTAGAATAATGAAAATGTACACGAGAATAAAATTGTTGTGAGCAGACCATCTCTCGTGATTTCGCTGAATAAAGTAAATGACAGTGTAGTATTGGTACTTGTTATGCCATAGACCTTTTTCCAGCAGGGTGTGAATTTCAAATTGGTTTGAAGACAAAATATTTTTTTGATTAAAATGGCATTAATAATGTTTCCTGATGCATAATACACAGAAATTAGACAAATCTTGTTTTCACAAACTTTCTAGTACATGTCTTCTACTTACATAATACACATTCATTACCGCATATTGTTTTTCAGGGATTTAAGCAGAATGCAGGAGCTTAAACAAGAAAGGAGGGAAAGAAGAAAAAAGTTCCACATCGTAACAGAGGAGTGGTTAAGGCAGTGTATAGAGGAGGGAAGCTTGTGCTCAGAAAGACAGTTTGAACCTTCTTAATTATCTCCCTTGTACAAAGGACATTAAAAAATTCCTAGAATGTAAGAGACACCAGGATGTAAGTTTGTTATGATAAAGATATGCTTTTATATTTGTGTTGTAAATATTGAGAGAAAGTTGGTATTTTTACCAATCATGATTTACTCATCTAGTGCCATGCTATCAAATGTTTACAATTATTATTTTTGTAAATTTTTAGTGTGTTACATGTGTGTTTTAGAAAAGATAAAAGGTTCACTCACTAAATCTGAATTTAAATAAACAATATTAGATTATAAGCTCATGTTTTCTTTAAATTTAAAGTACATCTCAATATGTACAGTATTGCATGTTAACGCACAGAATATACCACAGAAAACAATTTGACTTCACAATTTTTTTTCATATTTGAGTCTTAAAGGTCACAATGATTACCTAAGTCACCTTGGCCCTTTTGTTCATTTTTCCTTTTACATGTATATTCTCATAAAAAAAATTGACCCCATATTGTTTGCATATCAGTATGATTTGGTGTCACCCTGCCACTGTCAAGAATTATTTCCTGTACACATATGTATATGTGCATTGTATTCTTTAAATACGTAAAAATTTACCTAGTTTAGCCCCATCTAAGCCTCAGGGGCTGTGATTAGAACAAATATGGACCTGCACCATATTTGGATGGTTGTTTATTTTGAATAACATTTTGATTTTTAGTGCATCTGAGCCAATGGCTCAAAAAAGCTTTTCTGATAAAAAATTGTCTTTTGGCATAATTGTTAATCTTTCACATTTTAATGTGATTATCAAGAACCAAGGGCCAATTTCTGTCAAACTTGGCACAAGGTATCCCTGAGTGAAGGGAATTCAAATGGTATGTTCATTTAAAAATTTTCTCCTCAAGAACCACTGGGCCAGAAAAATGACACTTGTGTGGAAGCTCCCTGACATAAGTGTAAGTGTGCATCATCCTGTAATACTAAGAGTCTAATGTTCAAGTCATTTTAAGCCTTTTTACAAGTAATCTTTGTTGCCTTTAAGGCAACAAAGATTACCGGTACTTGTAAATATGTTTCTCTGAACTCATGACAAATGTCTAAATAAAGGACAAATTCCAGGAACTATATATATTTCATTTTTGGGAGGGGGTAATAAATAACACAAATTCCAACAATAAATAAATTTTATTAAACGTTCAACAATTTGATTCATGATTAGAAAAATTATCATAACTATCACAAACATAGATAGACAAAGATTACAATTCAAAGCTCACCATAACAAATGCAATATCCAAAATGTAAGGTAAAGCACTATTCCAAAAGAATGTTCATTAGACCCTTATATGTCACATTAAGGTCACCATTAAAGGACTCTTATTTAACAACTAAAGATTTATGCAGCTTTGGTCAAGGTAAGGATTATAGTTACTTTGGATTTAGCCTATTCACTCCCATTGAAAATACAGGTTAGATAGCATGCAAAGCAAACACAAAAAACCCAAGCAAAACTAAAAATCTTAACAGTATTGCAAGAGGTATCATACATACAAGTTTTGTTCAGGTAAGGCTTCCAGTCAATGGGAATGAACTGGTTTCAAAAACTTTAATCATCACTCATCTATCTAGTAAATGTAGGTGAGATGCAGTAACTGAAACATCCATAAATGCCTTGTTCATGCAAATTTGACCCAGATTGGGCTTCTAGTTACCTGGTTATTGGAACTGCTTCAAAAACTCTGTAATGCCAGGAGCATACCTAACTCATATCAACTTTGTTGAGGTGAGCTAGAATAGGACAGTTTATTTTTTAAATAACCTTTGAATATTAGCCAACCTGTGATTTTTTTTTTGTAAGAAATCTACTGAGCAATGAGATTACACAGAATTTATGCACTTACTCAAATGTTATAGCAATTCTAAATTTTAGACACACCTCAGAGTTTTTTTTTTTTTAAAGAAAAGCATACATGTATTTTTTTCATGAAAACTTGAAAAAGAGGTTCATTTTATTTGTCAGGTGAGCACAACTACATCTAAAACTTATAAAAAACATACAAATATCTTTGGTCCTTATATACCTGCAAACCACATGGAACTTTGTATACACTGTATAGCATTGTTCCATTTTTTAAAGTATTAAAGCTCATAACAGATGGCTAACAGATAATATTTATTTATCTCTTCTCCCATTATTTTACTACAGCCACTCTAAAAAGACTCAAAGAGGCACAATCAAAATAGAGCAGAGAAAACTTATTACAAATTTTAAAAGTTTAAAAAAACTGCCACATTATGTGGCATCTACCTAAACATACATGTAACTGTTTAAGATTATTACATCCTTTCAGCATTAGCAAATTTGTATTAAAACTAGAGTGTTCTAAGGAACATGTGTCACCTGCTTTAAATAAATACATGTAGTAGTTGCCTGCTGTATATAAATCTATATGAGCGGTCGGCTATTTTTTTTAGTCCCCTACCGGTGAAACCGGAGGGGACTATAGGTTTTTATTACTAGCATGATAGTTCATGCACCTGTCTGCAAAGAAAAAAAAAGCATTCAAGGATAGTATAAGACTGTAATAGAATCCGACAATCAATTCAACAGTATGATATATACCTAAAATACTTGTCAGAGTAGCTTTAAAATAACATTTCAGAGATTATTAATGCTGTACAAGGAGAGTGTGCAAAGCAATAAATGGAAACATTCAGCAATATATCAACCATGCTATTTAAAAGTGACCCAACATAATATCAAAATATTCCTTAAAAAATCCCAAAAGTCCCTTTACTGGTACATGTACCAATCTCTATGGTATGGGCAACTCACAAATAGGGACATGTTAAAACCAATAAAATACTGCTTATAAAATAAACTTTAAAAAAAAAAAACAGTCAGTTGTATATATATTTCTTTCGAATCAAGTAGATTTTACAAAAATATTTTCCTTGAAGTAACACACTATAAATCCATGTTTTGGATTGGGTGAAATGTAACAAACAAAAGAATACATCATTTTGCATAATGCTTTAAATATCAGAAAAACAAGTCAATAAAAATAACAAAAAAATTTAAAAGAACAATGGAAAACTATTTCATATACACTATATAATATTCTTGTATGTTAAGAAAGTTTTGTTTGTTTTGTTTACATTTTGCATTGGGGGGGGGGGGGTTAAGAGGAGGTTGATCCTATGCAATACAGTATAGCAAAAATTCTGGCACATCAAAAGTTAGTAAATTCAATATAAAGATTTTTACGCAAAATTTAAAAAATGCAAATAATGTATACTTGAACATTTTTTAAAAAGGTTTGAAAAATCCCAAAATAATTTTGTGGAAAGACACAAAAATGTATACAATGTATACTCCTCATCACAGCACAATTCTTCCAAATAAAGACATATAAATTTGTTAACTTAATAAGATGTAAGATTTCAATGACAGCTAGTCAGCTAGATGACCATTGATCCTATGCAGGTTGACGTTTAGGGACTGCCTTTTGGTGAGATAAGTGCACTCTAGATAAATTCTGTCCGGCCTGCTTTGCTACCACTTTGTCATCCACAAACTGTTTCACATGCTGCATGGCTACCCTTGGGTCTTTGGCTGATAGTCTGGGACAGTTACATTTCTCCCTAAGTTCTGTCATCTATTTAAAATACAAAAAAAAATCATGTGATTGAGGTCACCCACACTTGATAATTTTACCATTTACATTCCCTTGGCACTGATCAGAGCTTAATTCCCTTAAGATGTGGTCTTCTAAATTGAAAAAAAGGTGTTCTCTTTAACTAAATGTGCCAGTAAGACAAAAGTGCTCAAGCCACATGCAGAATCCTTTTTCCCTTCAATTTTTTTCATGTTCAAATATGAACATACTACTGTCCAAAATGAAATTAAGCCTGAGATGATATGTAATAGAAAAGATCAGGAAAATATGCGTGTTCTGTAGTTTCCTAAATTTTCTATTTTCAACTTGTAAGTTTTAGGTTTTTGTTGGCCGTGGTTATTTATCTTTGCACTTGTCCAATTGTGATTTTTTCTCATACGTTTGAGGTAAAATCTTCCAATGTTCTCAGTCACATACTGCATCTTGAGATTGTTTTAACATCAAGTCTCTTTAAATCTGAAGAGATTTTTATTCTAATACATAAACAAGATGTGTTTGTGAAACACTGATGCTCCCATATGGCAACTTATAGCAAAGGTTAAACTTTCTCAAATGCAAATTAAATATGTTGGTAACCAAAGTAAGGTCTTGTCTCGAGAAATATACCTGTAAAATATGAAAGCCCTAGCAGCAACCATTGAAAAGATATGGAAAAGGTTAAAGTTTTTCAAAAGTAATTCAAAGATCAAGGTCAAATGGTCAAAATTAATGGTGCCCAAGGAAAGGCCTTCTCACAGGAAATACACATGTGAAATAGGAAAGCTGAAGCACCAATCATTCAAAAGTTATGGCCAGGGTTAAAGTTTTCCAAATGTAGGTCAAACTCCAAGGTCAATGGATTACAATTGTTGGTATCCAGAGGAAGGTCTTGTAAAAAGGAATAGACGGGTTAAATATGAAAGCCCTTGCACCAATCATTCAAAAGTCATGGCCAAGGTTAAATTTTTTCAAAACTAGGTCAAACTCAAAGGTCAAGGTCAAAGGGTCAAAGTTGTTGGTATCCAAAGGAAGGTCTTGTCACGAGGGTTACATTGTGAAGTATGAAAGCCCTAGCACCAACCATTCAAAAGTCATGGCCAAGGTTAAAGTTTTTCAAAAGTAGGTCAAACTCCAAGGTCAAGGTCAAAGGTCAAGGTCAAAGTTGTTGGTATCCAAAGAAGGTCTTGTCACAAGCGTTACATTGTGAAGTATGAAAGCCCTAGCACCAACCATTCAAAAGTCATGGCCAAGGTTAAAGTTTTTCAAAAGTAGGTCAAACTCCAAGGTCAAGGTCAAAGGGTCAAGGTCAAAGGGTCAAAGTTTTGGTATCTAAAGGAAGTTCTTGTTACAAGGATTATATATGTGAAGCATAAAAGCCCTAGCACCAACTTTTCAAAAGTTATGGCCACGGTTAAAGTTTGGTAAAATTTTGCAAAACTGGGTCAAACTCAAAGGTCAAGGTCAGATATGATGGTACCCAAAAAAGGTCTTGTCACAAGGAATACACATGTGAAATATGAAAGCCATAGCTCCAACCAATCAAAAGTTATGGGCAATGTTAAAGTTTTTGCAGACAATCAGACAGACAGACACAGCAAAAACTATATACCCCTGAATCTTCAATACGGGGCATAAAAAATAACAATGCAATTTGGGGAGGGAGGAGTATCCTGAGATTATAATAGTTCATGTATACATACTTTTGGTATCAAGAAGTCTCTGAGCTCCACTCTAGCTTTATTTGAAGGGGGAGGGGAGGGGGGGTTATCCTGAGATTGTAACAGTTCATGTATACAAACTCTTGGTATCAAGAAGTATATAAGCTCCAATCTAGATTTATTTGAAGGAGGGGGGAATATCCTGAAATTGTAACAGTTCACATATACATACTCTTGGTATTAAGAAGTCTATGAGCTCCACTCTAGTCTCATTGGAAGGATGAGTTGACATGAATTCTGGGATGCTCGTTCCTTCCACTGTGTCCTTCACCTGCATCAAAGACCACACAACACTGGCTTCTCTCACATCAAAACAAGCCTACAACACACAGGACACAATACAAAATCACACAGTATTTATAGTTTTACCTGCAAGTAACTTTGCTAAATTGAATGTTACGAAATAATTAACTATTCCATGAATTCTCAGAAAATTTCATTGGGACATAACTCATGGGAAAAATATTCTTACAAGCCACTGTGATATACAGGTATAAAGATTCCACAGTTCTTAGATATAACAGATTATGGATAAAGTGAAGTAAGTTCTGTTATTCCTGAAGGTTTTTTTATATCTATATTTCACTGAACAACACTGATCTAATACATTTTATGTATCATAACATGTCATAAATAATCTGGCTCCGGGGCCATAAAACTTAGACGAGCTCACTTTTGATCTCAGTCTCACTTTTACAAAAGGAATATATAGTGGAAAAGTGAGACTGAGATCAAAATTGAGCTTGTCTAGGTTTTATGGCCCTGGGGTATGGTACACCAATGTATGTGTACATTTGCTTGTATACCATTTTACTGTCTGATTAAGACAGACCTTTGCTGCCAGCTGAAGCCCTACTTTATCTGCTTCCTTTTCCAGTTCCCTGCTGAATGGTAGATCAAAATACTACAAAGTAACAAACAAATATCATTGAAGGGACCATACCAAACAAGAGGCCCAGGGGCCACATCGCTCACCTGAGCACTATGGCTAGGAAAAAGCAGAAATCACTTCAATCTTGAAAGGTTGAAAAGTTTAAATATAAAAGTGGTTGGGGGGGGGGGGGGGGGGGGGTGTCATGAATTGAACAAATTTGAATCTACATTATCTGAGGATGCTTCCATTTAAATATGACCAATCATGGCTTTGCTGTTCTTGAGTAGAAGATTTTTAAAGATTTAACCTATGTATTCCTATGTAAAACTTTGATCACCCATTGTGGCCCCACCAGACCCCCAGGGGTCATGTTTGAACAAACTTGAATGTACACTATCTAAGAATGCTTCCATATAAATATGACCAATCATGGCTTTGCTATTCTTAACAAATAGGTTTTTTTAAAAAGATTTTTACTATGTGTTCCAATGTAAAACTTTGATCGCCCATTGTGGCCCCACCCGACCCCCAGGGGTCATGTTTGAACAAACTTGAATGTACACTATCTAAGAATGCTTCCATATAAATATGACCAATCATGGCTTTGCTATTCTTAACAAATAGGTTTTTTTAAAAAGATTTTTACTATGTGTTCCAATGTAAAACTTTGATCGCCCATTGTGGCCCCACCCGACCCCCGGGGGTCATGATTCAAACAAATTTGTATGTACACTATCTGAGGATGCTACCATATAAATATGACCAATCATGGCTTTGCTATTCTTAACAAATTGTTTTTTTTTTGTTTTTTTTTAGAATTTTTACTATGTGTTCCTATGCAAAACTTTGATCGCCCATTGTGGCCCCACCCGACCCCCAGGGGTCATGATTTGAACAAATTTGAATGTACACTATCTGAGGATGCTACCATATAAATTTGACCAATCATGGCTTTGCTGTTCTTGAGAAGAAGATTTTTACTATGTGTTCCTATGTAAAACTTTGATCGCCCATTGTGGCCCCATCCGACCCCCGGGGGTCATGAGTTGAATAAATTTGAATGTACACTATCTGAGGATGCTTCCATGTAAATATGACCAATCATGGCTTTGCTGTTCTTGAGAAGAAGATTTTTAAAGATTTTTCCTATATATTCCTATGCAAAACTTTGATCGCCCATTGTGGCCCCACCCGACCCCCAGGGGTCATGATTTGAACAAACTTGAATCTACACTACCTGAGGATGCTTCCAGGTAAATATGACCAATTATGGCTTTGCTGTTCTTGAGAAGAAGATTTTTAAAGATTTTCCTATATATTCCTATGTAAAACTTTGATCGCCCATTGTGGCCCCACCCTACCCCCGGGGGTCATGATTTGAACAAACTTGAATCTACACTACCTGAGGATGCTTCCAAGTAAATATGACCAATCATGGCTTTGCTGTTCTTGAGAAGAAGATTTTTCCTATATATTCCTATGTAAAACTTTGATCGCCCATTGTGGCCCCACCCGACCCCCAGGGGTCATGATTTGAACAAATTTGAATCTACACTATCTGAGGATGCTACCATATAAATATGACCAATTATGGCTTTGCTGTTCTTGAGAAGAAGATTTTTTAAAGATTTTTCCTGTATATTTCCTATGTAAAACTTTGATCGCCCATTGCGGCCCCACCCTACCCCCGGGGGTCATGATTTGAACAAACTTGAATCTACACTACCTGAGGATGCTTCCACATAAGTTTCATGTTTTCAAGCACAGTGGTTCTTGAGAAGAAGATTTTTTAATGATGCCATTAATTTTTCACGAATTCTTAATTATCTCCCCTTGGAAGAAGGTGTGGCCCTTCATTTGAACAAACTTGAATCCCCTTTACGCAAGGATACTTTGTGGCAAGTTTGGTTGAAATTGGCCCAGTGGTTCTTGAGAAGAAGTCGAAAATGTGAAAAGTTTACAGACGGACAGACAGACGGACAGACGGACTACAGACAAAATGTGATCAGAAAAGCTCACTTGAGCCTTCGGCTCAGGTGAGCTAATAAAAAGCATGCCTGTATTACATGTATATACAACAATCTGAGCATCTCTTAAGACTTTCACCTTAATAACACGGTTCATGAACCAGGAAGTTATTGTAGCAATTCCATCACTGGGGATAATCATCCAAATAGCAGCCATGATAACAATTACAAAGAAATCCCATTTCTGTCCATAGCTCAGTTGCTCTGCCTGTTAAAATTAGAAAACATAATGAAATTTCAATATCATCAAGCAAGCATTTCTCAAGAAGTTAACATTCATGTTTCTTTTTTTTTTTCTAAACAGACAATTAGGTTAGTATATTCTGTACATACTGCATGAGACAATAGGGCATGAGCCATCTCATGTCCAAGGATGGCAGCCAGTTGGTCTTCATTTGTCACCAATTTGAAGAGTCCTGTGTTTACAAAAATCTCCCCCGTCTAACAATAATAATGAGATATACAGTGTACATGTAACACAACACTAAGTTTCAAAACATTTCATGACTTGCTCCCCAACTTAATCATTATTAAGCTTTCAATGAGAAGTCATTCATGTTTATTTTTCACACCATCATTGATCTATAAATAATTTAATGAGAAACCAGAGAAAAATTCATTAAAATGTTATTTGCTAATTAATACTAGATTGCAGATTCACAATAATGAATTATGATGGGTATTGAGAAAACACAAAAAATGTCTGCTTACCGGATAAACATTAGCATTGAATGTACTCTCATTTACAATGAATACTTTCCACTGTATATCTTTCATCTGTTGTATGTCTAAGTTATTTACACAAAGTCTTTCAGCAACTTTAATTACAATCTTGTACAGTTCATGTGTATTGGGTAGGATGCGATCTGCATTACTTCGTAAAACCTAACAAGATTAATTTCATATTAGATACTATAAGTACTATTATACATGTAAAATTTATAAATTTGTACCCATTAACTTATAATTCAAGTCTAGTTGTGAAATTAAGAGTTCGACACTATACCATATGAATTACAAAATGATAAAATGAAAATTGATAAAGTCTTCCCATCTAAATAAGCCTGACCAGCAATCGGTGGAATAATTTAGACTAAAAGAACAATATTAACATGTTTATTAATACATGTACCTTTTTTGAAAGTCATGATCATTGTATTTGGTTACATTTGTCTTTCAACATATTAGTGTAAGAAGAAATACATACATGTATATTGCATGACTTTAACATGTAACTTATTTCTCTGAAAATATAATGAACAATACAAAATGATAGACACGACAAACACATCCCTACTCACTTCCTCGACTTCTTTCTGTACAATTTTAATCATTTGATCATGAGTTATAAAGATGAAGCGCTTTCTGCCTGTTATGGGGACTGTTTCTGTGTGAGCCATTGTGTACAATGTTAGCACTAAAGCTGTCACTCCCAGCAATGTAGCAACAGTTATCATTTTATGTTTATGATGAAGCTCCTTCCAATGATTTCGAAGTTGTCTGAAAACATACATAAACATGTAAATCATTATCTGATCAAATTCAATTTTGAATAGCAATGAGTTAAAAAGTAAGTACAAACTTATATCTGATCAAAGAATAACTTACTTAACAGACTTAGAATACACAGTCTCAACTGTTTCTTCTTTTTTTTAATCAAGAAGGGGTAGTAAACAGGAAACAAATACAATTATACATTTTTCATTCCACTCAACTTTAAAAACTGGGTGAGGCAAATACCATGAATTGAATACTAATCAGATGTTTTCAGTTCAATATGTGATATTTGGTAATAAAAGAAGTACCTAAATACTCTCTAAATCTAAATAACTCCAAGCATATATTTCAATATTGTGCTGATAATGCAATCCAAGTGCATGTTTGTGTTTTAATAATTGATAATAAGTACATGTATTTAACATTAAATAAACTTCCTTGTTAATGAGTGTGTTGTTCTAAATGACAGGTGTTGAGGAACCATGCAGCTAGTCAGAAATTGGGTGCGTATCATTACCGCTACATTTTCAAAATGTTCATTACCGCTACATGCACATTACCGCTACAAAAATGGATACATTACCACTACATTTAAAAGTATACATTACCGCTACATTGCCTCTTGTTAGCCAGCGCTTTATGTGTGTACAGTACAACATATATATACATGCATAAGACCTGTTTCTCTGCATCTCCACACTCTGGAGTGTATAAAAGTCTTATTTATATGAAATTTACATCCATTGATAACAAATCCTGCGATTTGTCACAAACTTCTCAATAGTAGCCATGACATTCATGTCATGCTAAATCGACTACAGACTTATGTATACTCATTTTGATTTGAATTCACTTCACATGTACTTGAATTGTACTTCAGTACATGGTGAGTGAATTATATTGAATGGAACTCATATCCTGTGCCATTGCTGGCTGATTCAGTATGTAGCGGTAATGGCAATGGACCAGATAAGGATTCGAACCCGGACCCCCTGAATCTCTAGTCAGGTGCTCTACAGATTGAGCTATCTGGCCACTCAGGCGATCAAACCATCTGTCCGCCACATATGCAACTTTACAGTAATATTTTCAATACAACTTCATTTCTATACTCTAAAGTTGTGCTTGGGCATATTCACTCTATTTTACTATATGGGATTGTGATGGAGGCCTGTTCTGAAACATTATTCTAATCTTTACCTTCCAAATATTAACGCTGATAATTTTGTTAAGGGTTTTCCAAACACCCACACAAGTGGATGAATGTTAAGTCTGTGAGTGATGTGAAAGTTTCGATGTTGTATTAATTTGATTCCTGAGCTCAAAGTTCGCGTTAAGCTTGAATCGTTCTGATTGCAGAATGATGTAATCAGTTTGTTTGCAAATCCACTTCTGTTTCCTAAACACATTGTCAATGGGCGTAATTTGGCCACCGCCAAAGAGGATTTACATCTGAACCCATTTTGTAAACATATATTTCGGCCAGAAATGCGGTGACTCGCTCTTAAAATACACAACATCTCCCTTCTCGGCCCTGTTTAAGGCTGTTAGGCTGCTGTTGACAACAAATTCATGCAGGAAGTTCAACTAACCTCAAAACCATTAAAACCGGATTCGATAACAGGTGCAATGAGAAATCCGAAATAATTATCATTTGTTGTGACGATACGTGAGGATAAAAGTCGTTTAAAAAAAAATTAAATTATTATTTTCTTCTCTTTGTCGATTGAAAGAAAAAACGATAAACAGAAAACTCGAGCGCATATTGGTTAAAATCAGGGACCTATATACTAGGTCCCTGTTAAAATTTAAGAAAAAGAGATCTAAAAATTATATGGAACTGTTGTCCATATCATTTTTATTGACTTTTTAAAGGGAATGTCAGTAAAATTTATACTTGCACACAGTAGCAAAATCAATTTTAAAAACATTACTTTGGTTACGTGAATTCAGACATTTATAATAACCCGGATATATGGGATTCAAGTGATTGGTTTTTTTCTTAATGTATAAAATCTAACTTCCGCAGCGCAAGTGAAGTTTCAAAAGAATTTTTTGGAAGAGACAGTGTTGTCTGTCTCGTGGTGAATTGACTCCGCTAAAATCACGAAAAATGGTATGAAATGGAAAATTTAATTATTCATAGAATTATTCATATTATATTATTTTGGCATCTCTGATTTTAAGTCTTTAACGTTAGACACATGCATCATGAAGGGGATGTAAATGAATGTTTTAAAATATACCTAATATATACCGGATAACAAGAAAAGGTCTTTTTTGATGTTATTTATCTATTACCTTTTGGTGTAGTTTTCGAATGTGGACTCTTGAGAAAATTCGGGTATAGACACTGATACCTAAATGTGACGAGTATTTTGGAGGGTTTTGTTAAATGCACTGGAAAGTTTATAAATAAATATTATGCAATACAATTTTAATGTTAAGAAATGTAATGCATTTGTAATTGCTTGGGCCATGGATGTTGCCCTGGATAGCTCAATAGAGCACCTGACTTAGTAGTGATGCAGGGGTCCGAGGTTTGATTCCCAGTCCATCGTCTCAAGCCACGGTTCAGAGTCCGCATATAGCTCTCTCCTACCCATGGCTGCTTGATCACATAAATTGTCATAATCTTGAATATTTACACCTCTATGCTGTGATGTCATGTTCAGCCAATGATAATATTTATTTCCATCGCAAATGAAATCAACAATTGACATCATCAGTAAACATACTTCGTAAACTGCGATTGGGTATTGAAAGATCGCGTCAAAGTTCATTTTCCGACTATGCTTTACTCACATTGGTCAATATTTTAATGAGCTACGAAATATTCTTTTCTCATTCAACCACGGCCAGAATGGGAGAGGATCGTACATTTTGGCCATGGTTTGTGATGATGTTCCCAGTCCAGCCATAAATTTTCTCCTTTCCTGTTACATAATTTGGTGGAATGCAGGTGGTTACATTCCGATTACTTGTTTGACCTGAGTGTTTACGATCTGTTTACGTATTCAACCCAGGCAGTTTCTGACTTTCATTTCGAATCAAAAAGATAATCAATAAAAAATTTATTTTGCAAACGAAAACTTTCATTTTTACACTAAAACATATTCTCAATCATAAAGATAGTGTTAATTATCTGATATTTATATTTTGTATTCAGAACAATTATTTTTTCTTTGTACCATTCATAATTTGTAATTTCGAGGTGAAAAAGGTTTTTGATCTTTCAAAAAAGACTGTAATTGTGAATATGCTAATGCTGTTTTCCGTTTTTCACACATTTGATAATAAGGTATGAATTGTGTTTTGTCAATTGATAGCAATTATAGTCTAATATGAAAGAAACAACCTAGCATTGACACATATATCTATATAGCCATTTGCTCCCTAATGATACTGTACACCAGTGTGTTTACTACACACCTGTGTACTTGTTGGCTTATATATAAGCAATACGAAACCACTTGGGTCATAATACGTGAGTCGAACATGTAATTTGAATGTTACCACCTGACACCATTTGGACTTGCAAGTGAAAGTCCTGCTATCATAGTAAGATTTATCAAATTATATATACACATAAAATACAAAAAGAACTTAAGTTGTGTCTTCGAGGGTGAAGACAATTTAAAGAGGGAGGAATGCAATGGTTTGGGCCATAGATATCAATTTGGATACCTCAGTTGATAGAGCACCTGAATAGTGATGCAAGGGCTCCAGGTTCAACTCCTCGTTCAGCAATACATTTTCTCCTTTTCTGTTACACTGTAAAACATTAAGTCAACTTAGTCTAATGAACACGGAGCATACCTGTCAAGATGGCAAATTTTGGGGGAAAAAAAGGTGCAGGTCTTTTGTGAATGCAAAATGTTGTTTGTTTATGGAAAAGAAAATAACATTTAAATTATATTTTCAGAATAAATGATCAAACAAAGCTTATTACCTTACCCAAATGTTAGAAGTGAAATGGTGATAAAAAGCAATTTTATGGCGTTTTATTTTTCTGATGTCGATGCTGCTTCATGCATGAATCATGAAGTCATTCCATTTACATATTCTGCAGAACTTGATAAATTATTCTAGAATGTTTCATCTTCTTGATTGGGTAGAATTGACACGTATGATTAGGCCTGAACTCTTGATGATGATCTAGTAGCAGTACTAATAAACATAATAAATGTCACAATATGGGGGAGGGGGACTAAAAGTAAAGTGGATTAACCAAAAAAATATGCATCTGAAATTCAGAATTGTAAGATTTAACTAAGCCCCATTATGGGCCGGTACCAAAATTGAAGGGAAAATGCTGCATGAATTCAAATCGGTTCTATGTCTCAGTAATGGCCTGTTCTGGGAAAAATCTGAAAACCAATCAGAAATTAGTGGTGTTTGTTAAGTACTTTTTAATTCAGAACTTGTTTAGAAATGTGTTCTATCCATTTAGAAACACTCTAAAGAGGGTCAAAAGAAAAAATCAACAACACCAAAAAAGAAGAGCTTTGTTTCCTCCAAACTATCCACTGCTAGAACAAGTTGTGAGTCAAAACATCAGCTTGAAGACAAAACAAGTAGAGTTACTTTTGATGTCAAAGAAAATGGCATGGATGTCTTGGCTGGAGAAGACAGAAATGCTTCGTGTACCATGGATACTGATGATGATCTTCCAGCCACACAACCTATTGATGACAGAGTTTTGAAAGGTTGAGAATAAGATACATTCAATTTTTTAAAAAAAAACATAGAAGGAAAAAAGTAAATGATTTTATACAAACATTATAAATATACATAAAGATCTCTCATGATAATGAACAATGATGAAGTAATTCTTCCTAGATTATATCTGCTTATATTAAACATAATTGCGTAATTTATTAAATCATTTATCCTATCAGGGACACCTCATACTACAAATGCTTTGGTGCGCAAAAATAACCTATTATGTTCACAGATGTTGTGGCCTATGTGGAAGTTAGATCCACCAATGATAATAGAAGTAAAGCCATCTGTAGAGAGCTCGTACAGCTTGGTGCTGTGGTAGCGAAAACATTTTCAAATGATGTGACTCACGTTGTACTTAAGGAAGGTAGCAAGCGCACAATCACCAAAGCCACAAAGAAAGGGGTCCACCTAGTCTCCGTTCTCTGGGTTGACAGGTAAGATATCAATTAGAATCTGTCGTCCCTGAAGTTCAGAGGAAATAAACTTTGCTTGGTATTAATTTAAGCAATTATTTTCTTTATGATATAGAGCATGGAAAAAAAATACAAACAAAAAAAAATACTGCTTTTTCTTTGAATATGATTTTCTTCAAAGTTACAAAAATAAATAATACTGTATTTTGCTTAGAAAATTTATATTTGGCAGAAAAATAAAATGATTTTCTTAAACATCTCTATGTCAAAATACAGCTGAACTTTGGTGTGTCGAACATGGATATCTCGAATACCATGGATATGTCGAAGTGATTTGTAAGTCCCAAGCACTTTTTATTTAAGTATATTTACCTCAGTGTCTCGAACCCTTGGATATCTCGAAGTGTTTTCTCGGTCCCATCGAGTTTGAGATAACAAGGTTTGACTGTAGTTTGTTATAAAAGGGTATATATTTATAATTTTGAATTTCAGTCTTACAGAGGAATATTTTTTACAGAATTTTCAGCTGAGTGTAACAAAATTAATTTTAATATTTTCAGCTGTAAACAGAACCAACAACATGTATCTGAGAGGCTCTATCCTGCAATGCTTCCTGACCAGAAAGGCACACCACTTCTTATTGCTAAGCTTAAAGTAAGTTTAGACTTTATTACATGTAGACACATGTCACATGCTGAACGAAAAAGTAATGAAATTCAAATCAGACGCTGAAGACTTCATATGGTACTTGTGTTAAAGTTGTAAATTTCTACATTCTGTAGAAGATAAAAAATGTGTGCAGTGTTCCAATCAATTGACCTTTTGATATTTTTTAAAACTTATACATGTAAATGGAACAATACCTGTCAGGTGATGGATCACTGTTTAACATTGCTGTTACAGAAAGCTAAATCGATGCAGCCCAGGGACTTTGAGGATGACTTGGCATCCAGTGCTGAAAGGTTTGCTAAGAAGAAGAAGAAACAAGAGATAGATCGTTTGAAGTCAACAGAATCTACACCCTGTAATTCACCACTGCTGGGAGCCATTCTTGTGGAGGATACACAACCCAGAGGCTCCCCCCTACCTGTGAGATTCTGTTCTCCTTTCAAGGAAAAGTAGCTTAAAAAATAACAAGGAGGATTAAGACAAAAAAAATTTAATAAATAAATAATCAAAGATATGTAATTTAAGTTTCCCATTCCGTATTCACTGAACTCAGTTCTTCAAAGATTGTAATTTAGGTCTTTTTGTTGTTTTTATATCAGAATTCTACTGGTGAAATCCTTACACCAATCAGATTAGCCATCCCCGACACACCTCCTAGCATGAGAGCTAAGATGAAGGAACTTGACAGGCAGATGGGGGAAAATAATGGTAAAGCAATAAACCAAAAGCATTATACTTGTACTACATGTATATACATGTAGTTTGGATGATTCCTTAAAAAAATAATTCAAAGAAAGTTTGAAAGTTTCAATGCAATCAAACAAATTTGCTTTACTGCAATTGCAGAAACAGTATTTTGATATAACATTTATTTAATCAAATATATAGTTGGATCCTTATTATTTTGTGTTTCTTCAGATGATGAAAATGTGGCTGAGGCTCAGTATGACAAGCCAGAATTTGATGAACCTCTCCAAAGAAGACTTTTCAGTTAGTGCATGTACTATAGAACAACTCAGAACTCTTCAACTTGGACAATTCAGTACCAAGTTAATATTTAAATGTTTAATTCAGAGAATATCATGCTTTATCTTCATGGAGTATTTTGCTATGCAGTATATTTTCTTGATATATTGTAATTTTTTTAAATTCAAAATACAGCAGGTATGGGTGGGCAAGATTTAAATAGTCCTGAGACAACTGTCAAAGATGTGAAAGTTACATTCAGAGAGGACAGCCCTCCAGTGACATCCTCAAAAAAAGACCCCAAGGTTAGAGCCAGCAGCAGACGGAAATCAGTGGCATCCGTCTGCTTCAAAGACAACATTGAGAATTTTCAAAAGAAAAAGGAAGAGGAATCCAGAAATTCATTGCCAGCATTTACAAATGTAAAAGATACAGGAAAAAGGAAGTCTACACAGAGAAGGAAGTCTATGGCTGCGGTAAGTTTCACAAGCACAGATGTACAAACAAATGAAGAACCTTTAAAGAGGAGAGTTAGCTCTAGAAGGAGGTCTGTTCAGGTGACATCACTGAGGTCTGAACCAGAGATTGAGGAACAATCGTCAAAGAAATCATTGGAAAAGATTGAAACATTTCTAGAATCAGACAGAAATGCAGACAGTGAAAATTTAAAACTACCTGTAGAACATGCTAAAGTGTCAGGAATTCAGTGCACAGAAAATATATGCTCAGACAGTGGTAATGCTTCCAAACAAGCTGACATTAGTGTGACCAGCAACACAAATTCAGTTGATGGGAATAGGGATTCCAAAAGTTTTACACAAATTAAGAATAAGAGAAAATCTTCTGTATTTGCTGCCAATGAAATGGAAAACCGCTTTCATAGTAATGATAATACTGATTGTGAAAATGTAGATTCCTCCTCTAATAAGGGTCAAACTGAACCAAAGAAACAGAACATCAAAATATTGAAGCCAAAGAAAAGACTTCTTGCAGCCAGTGACATGGAAGTGCATTCGTTTTTGATAGAGCCTACTATGTGTTCAGAAAAAGTCTTCAGCAAACTTTTAGATAACACTCCAGATAGTACATCAACACAGATCAAAAAGAAGGACACCAAAGGTCAAGGTCAGAAGAGGAAGAAGCATTCTTTAGATGAGGCGCCTGACACCCCAAAGAGAAGCAGACAAGATAAATCTGAGAGTTCATCTTTTAAATCTCCAAACAGTAGAATTTCCACTGGTGAAGACAGAGTCTTATTGCAGCATGGAAATACAGACCATGATAACAGAGATGTGTCAGAAAATGAGAGCACACTTGGTTCCTCAATGTCAGTAGTTTTCAGTGAATCCACTTGTTCCAATCTGTTTGGTACAGCTCCGCCGAGGCAGAGTATCGATGAATTTAATCTACGTACTAAATTCAACAACAAGAGGATGAGAAAGAAAAAGAAGGCTTTGTCAGATTCAGCGTTCTCATCTCTGAACAATGAAAGTGATACTAGTTCTACCAGTGAGGAGGGTAAGAAGATAAAAAAGATGAGAAGAAATCCATCCTTCACCAAGACTAGTCCCCAGCGACCATCACTAGTTATGACAAGTCTTCACTCTCAGTAAGTCATCCAATGGCCTTATATTTACATCCACTGAAAATTTTCTCCTTTATTTCTTATGAAATCCATTGTTGAAAATCAGTCAGTAAACACCGCTAAGCAAGCCACTTGTATAGATTTCTTGAGCAGCAGCTGTTCCATCAGTGAAACAGACAATGACATACATATCTATGATACAATAATTAATGTACTTAATTTTACATTATATGATTATTTACACAGATGTAAATGTCTTTGTTTGTTAGTACAAAAATTAACGTTGCAGCTATTGCAGAAAGAAATTTACATAACTTGCTTACACTGGTTACGTATTTTTATCTGCAACAGCTGCAACATTAATTCCCGTACTAACAACCAAAGAAAGCATTTTATTGTTTAAATAAAGGTTACAGTATTCTGATTTTGAAATAATGCCATATTGAGGCTACTTTATCATCATGCAGCAGAGTTAGCTAAATATACAACATAATAACATGTTTATATTACATGTTTTTGAAAAAAAAAAAATTTCATTGCAGTGAACAGGATATTGTGATTTCAGTGGTGAAGAGATTGAAGGGTTTTACTATAACTGACCATGTAAATGATTTCACTACTCATGTAGTATGTGGGGGCCCTCGTAGAACACTCAACATTCTCCATGCCATTACTCGTGGGTGTTGGGTCTTGAAAAAGGAATGGGTTAGTATCCAAATGATATTATTATTCTACAGGCCTGTTACAATAATGTGACATACATTTAAGTAATTATCTTAAGCCAAACAATTATGTTTCTTCCACTTTGCTTATAGTTTAATGCACCTTGCTTAATATTTGAGTTACTTATATATGATATAAAGCAGAAAATTTCTTTTTGCTCCATCAGACTTGGATACCCATATCCAATCATTTGGAAAATCATTTTACAAGGCTTCAATTATTGTAGATTGCATGGGTAACCCTATGAATATATACAAATAATATATGTGAAATACAGGTGAGGCCTTCATTTCAAGACATCTGTCTACAAAATTACATCCACTTAAAAATTCAGTTTCTTTTGAAATCCACCAAAATTGGCCTCTATAAATTGATTTGTTTCTATGGAATATTTTTAAGACACAAACACAACTTGACAAGTATACATGTATTTAAATTTGCCTAGTTAAAAATGCTAGTTTTTACAACAAATTTGAATTAAAATCCATGTAAACACATGTATACATTACCACATACACGTAAATGAAAATCAGATTGAATGGCATACATGTATTTTTATTTTATAGTTTACATGGATATATTTTTATCAAATAGTGCTTGCACCTCAGAAAATTGGAAAATCATACATTGAAATAAAAAATTTTCATATCATAACAAATAAAATATTCAGCCTAAAAGAAATGATCTGGTACTGTACTTAAGCATTAAGAAATATTTCCTTTCTTCTCCATTGGTAGGTCATGGAATCATTAGATGCTCAGAGGTGGTTGCCAGAGGAGGGTTATGAGGTTACAGACTGGTTCCCCTCAGCTCAGGTATCAATAAAGAGTGATGACTGATAATCTGAATAATTTGTCGATCTCCAGTTTTTACATGTACATTAGTTTATAAATACCAGAAAGATATAAGGCACTGAACATGTGTACTGACCAAGAGTGAAAACTAGTTTTTGTCTGGGTATCTCCCCTGTATTTATATCCATTATACTTTTAATAGTTTTATGCTGTTGCCTTGTAATTATGGGGATCAAGTTGTTCGTCTGTTCAGCATCCAATATTACACATTTTATTGAGGTACAGGGAGTTCAATGCTTTTAAATGTAAAAAATGATACTTAGGTGTATTTATTTAAAAAGTTAATGACAGTATGACTTCAGAGTCTTGATACTTTTCGTACAGGCATATTTCACAAGTACATCAGTGTTTCTAAGTTCATATTATCCCTAATGAACAAAAAGCATTTCGTAAATGTTCATTTCAAATGATGACTTTTTATGCCCCACCATGAATATGGCCAGGACATTTAGTGTTTGTAATGTCTGTCTTCCTTCCTTCCCTCTGTCTTTCTGTCCCCCTGTCCTTCTGTCACACTTTGCAGTTAGCTCAGTTTCAAAGAAAATAGTCAAGATATTTTTATCAAACTTCATATGCTGATACATATTAATAAGGGCGATTCAAACATTTTTAGCTCACCTCAACAAAGTTGGGGGAGCTTATGCAATACCCTCGGCATCGGCGTCCCAGGTTAAGGTTTTTGGAGCAGTTTTCTTTTCAAGTACTTCTATGGCCTATATTAGTCAGAGATACATGGAGGATGCTTCTAGTGTGTTTTATTGTACCAGTCAAGGTTTCAGATGCTGCAATTTCAGCTAAAGAATGACCAGGTTAATGTTTTTGGAGCAGGTTAAAGTTTTTGGAACAGGTTAAAGTTTTTGGAGCAGGTCTCATTTCCAAGTAACTATAAGCCCTATATTGACCAGACTTGCATGGATGATACATCTAAGGATGCATACTACTGAACTTGCTTCAGATGCTGTATCTGACCTACATTTTCTGGATGAGTGACTAGGTTAAAGTTTTTGGAGTAGATCTCATTTCCAAGTAACTATAAGCCCTATATTGACCAAACTTGCATGGATGATACATCTAAGGATGCATACTACAGGACTTGCTTCAGATGCTGGATCTGACCTATATTTTCCGGATGAGTTACCAGGTTAAGGTTTTTGGAGCAGATCCCATTTCCAAGTAACTATAAGCCCTATATTGACCAAACTTGCATGGATGATACATCTAAGGATGCACACTACTGGACTTGCTTCGGATGCTGAATCTGACCTATATTTTATGGATGAATGACCAGGTTAAAGTTTTTGGAGCAGATGTCATTTCAAAGTATCTATAAACCCTATATTGACCAAATTTGCATGGATGATACATCTAAGGATGTACACTACTGGACTTGCTTCGGATGTTGGATCTGACCTATATTTTCCGGATGAGTAACCAGGTTAAAGTTTTTGGAGCAGATCTCATTTCCAAGTAACTATAAGCCCTATATTGACTAAACTTGCATGGATGATACATCTAAGGATGCACACTACTGGACTTGCTTCAGATGCTGGATCTGACCTAAATTTTTGGGATGAGTGACCAGGTTAAAGTTTTTGGACCAGAGGTCATTTCCAAGTAACTATAAGCCCTATATTGACCAAACTTGCATGGATGATACATCTAAGGATGCATACTACTGGACTTGCTTCGGATGCTGGATCTGACCTATATTTTTCGGATGAGTGACCAGGTTAAGGTTTTTGGAGCAGATCCCATTTCCAAGTAACTATAAACTCTGTATTGGCCAAACTTGCATGGATGATACATCTAAGGATTCACACTACTGGACTTGCTTTGGATCTGACCTACATTTTCCGGATGAGTAACCAGGTTAAAGTTTTTGGAGCAGATCTCATTTCCAAGTAACTATAAGGCCTATCTGAACCAAACTTGCATGGATGATGCATCAAGGGACGAACAATCTCAAAACTTGCTTTGGATGCTGAATTTGACTTACACTTTCTGGATGAGTGACTAGTTTTAAGTTTTCAGATAAGTCTATTCCCAAGTAACTGCAAGCCCTATCAGACCAAAATTGCATAAATGTTGCATCTAGGGATGCACACTCCTAGATTATTAGTTTAGTGTGGGACTTTGCCTTACTTAAAGACAACATTCATTGAGGTGAGCTTTGTAATCTCTGATTACCTATGTTTTGACCTAGACGTTTCTTTTGACCTTGACCTCACTTTTTTTAAATTTGCATTTAGCTCAATTTCAAAGAAACTTTTCAAGATATCAAACCTTATATGCTGATACATACCGATAAGAACCATTCAAAGTCGTCAATATTTTTGGACTTTGACCTATCCTTTGATCTTGACTTCACTTTTCTTAATGTGTTTGGCTAAGTTTCAAAGAAACATTGTCTGGTTCTGACATCTACACCAATGTAAAAAGATTTAATGAAACTATTATAAAACATGCTAGAATTAACATTTCTAATAAGACAGTGACAATTAGAAAATCAGATCCTCCTTGGCCAACTAATGCAGTTGGAACACTTATTCATAGACGGAAATGACTACATTCAATTGCTAATTGAACTGATAATCCTGATAAATGGTCTGAATTTAGAAAAAGAAGAAGATAGGCTTTTCTTTGATTACTTTTATTTCATGTGTAGGAAACCCGCTTCAGTCGACAAACGTCAAAAGAAAATGCACCTCAGCTGTTGTTTGGTTCCATGGGTGTTTTCTATATTACACCAAAGGCTGTTCCACCTCGGCATCATTTAATGGAACTGATCCAGAGGTGTGCTGGCAAGGTACTTTAAAGCTCATAAAAGAATTGTAGTTTTCCAAGCCCGATTTTGAATCCAAAAAAGTCATAATAGTTAAAGTTGTATCTTTTACAATTGATGAGACAGTTTTACTCAAGATATAAGGCATAGCTTTTCATCCACATTGAAACTGTTAACAATAATCTAGTAACTTTATTATACACCTGACAGGTGACAAGCTCTTCATCTAAAGCAGATATCTATGTGGGATCTGATTTCCTGCCAGAGAAAACCAGTGTCAACCCACTCTGGATATTAGGTAAGTTTTACAGGCCAGGTGTATACTGAATTTCATAAAGGTTCAGTGTGACATTTATGGCTACAGAGTCATTAACCTATCATCATGCTTTATCACGATGCTTCATCAGAAGTTAAAACACATTAAAAGGCTCATAAAAATTGTATATGATGAAATATTTTGGACCTTTATTATATATATGATAAAAACTATCAATATCGTGCCGAGATGATCTTGATTTTGTTTTTCAGCCATTCCAACAGTATAATAGGGTGTTGCTTTTCTTTTTGTAGATTGTGTGACCCAGAATACTCTTCTTCCAATGGATTCATATTTACTTGGTAAACCAAAGAGAGAAAGTAGTCCAGAATATTAGTCCCCTCTATTAAATGAGAGACAGCTTGTTTGACAAAAAGAGGTTCAACAGTTCAAAGACTGGTGAGAACTATGGAGTACGCTGTTCCGAGAGGTGTACTTTTTGTCATACATGTATTGTGCATGGAGTTGAAATAGGAAAATTTCAGAAACATTATAAATTATATTTGACACATGCAAGTAAATTACCAATCTTCCCTGAATAAAAGTTTCATTAATTTAGCTAATTAATTGTAATAGTATTTTAATTCAAAGATTGGCATATTAAAAATTATACTTCTATTTGTGTTGAGTACAGTCAGTGGGCAATTTTTTTTATACAAAAGCCTTTTTTTTAAATTTGCATATACATCTCTTTATGTTTACACTTGTATGATATTTAGTTTCTCAAATTAGTACAAATAGAAATTAATTATAACTTTTCATCAATCATGATGCTAATGTTAAATATTTAATGGTTGTACTTAAGTATTTCCAATAAATTTACATGTATTTCAGAATTGGTTTTCTGTATTTTCTTTAAAGTTGGATCAAGTCTATTGATTTCCAAGAAACAAGTTTAATGTATCTACTTGGACCAAACTTAAAATACAGTATTTTCTCAAAGATGCACAAAATTTTACCCAGACATGGAATGTCTTGCAGCTTGTACTTAAATAATTATGCCCTGCCATGAATACGGCCGGGGCATATAGAAGTTTGTCATGTCTGTCTTCTGTCATTTATCTCAGTTCAAAGCTCAGTTTCAGAGAAACTATTCAAGATATTTTTATGAAACTGCATATGCTGATAGGTATTGATGAGAGTTATTCAACTGCGTCAACATTTTTTGACCTTTCCTTTGACCTCACTTTTCTTTAATTAGTGTTTGGCTCAGTTTTAAAGAAAGCATCCAAGACTGTGTAATCAAACTTCATATGCTGATACATACTGATGTAAGCTATTCATTTGCATCAACATTTTTGGACCTTGACCTTTCCTTTGACCTTGACCTCACTTCACTTAAATTAGTGTTTGGCTCAGTTTTAAAGAAAGCATTCAAGATTGTGTAATCAAACTTCATATGCTGATACATACTGATGTAAGCTATTCATTTGCATCAACATTTTTGGAGACCTTTCCTTTGACCTTGACCTCACTTCACTTAAATTAGTGTTTAGCTCAGTTTTAAAGAAACCATTCAAGATGGTATAATCAATCTTCATATGCTGATACATACTGATGTTAGCTTTTCAACTGCATCAACATTTTTTGACCTTGACCTCACTTTTCTGAAATTTGTGTTTAGCTCAGTTTTAAAGAAACACTCATGAATTTTTTTTATCAAACTTCATATGCTAATACATGCTGATGTAAGCTTTTCAACTGCATCAACATTTTTTGACCTCAATCTTTCAAGAGACCTTGACCTCACTTTTTTTTAAATTAGTGTTTAGCTCAGTTTTAAATAAACCATTCAAGACATTTTTATCAAACTTATGAATATGCTGATAAGTATTAGTGAGAGTTATTCAACTGCATCAAAAACTTTGACCCTGCACTTTCCTGTGACCTTGATCTCACTTTTCTTTAATTTGCATTTTGCTTAGTTTTAAAGAAACCATTTAAGGTATTTTTTGTAAGCTTATGCACCATAATTTGGTGAGAATTTCTCATCTATGTCCAATTTTTTTAGATTCAATTTCAATTTTAAAGAAAGTATTCAAGATATTCTCATCAAACTTCATACACTTAGTAATACAAATTTTCATGTTCCATTACCAATATATCCTCGGAGGGGCATTCATGTCCTATGGACATATTTCTAGTTTTGGATGAATGACCTTGTGAATTTAATGACCAGACATATCCATTGGGAACAAACTCATTTTTAACCATTACAGTTTCCTGAGACCACTGTTCAATTACAAATATTGGTACATGTATCTTTAGATGAATATATTATCTGTATTGAACTAGCCACGCTATTTTTGTACACATTTTCAAAGCTCAAGTAATTCTGGATCCACTTTAATGGTTGAACCTTTGTACATGAAAAATATTTTAAAAATCTCAAAAGTACAAACGAAGGAAAATATTATATTCAACAGAAGGTTCATTTTCTTTTATGTACATGTAACTGCATGTGGAAAAATTGACTTGTATATTTATTTAGTTTACAAATCTATAAAGAAAAAATGGAAATTTACATCAACATTCAGATTTTATGTTCCATTATCTATTCTTTGATTTTTTATGTTCTTTGTCAGGTGTCAGGTAATCACTTCTATATTCCCCTATCTTTGTTTCATATTCTGGATACACAGGGAACTCCTCATCTTTAAATGGATTTGGTGAACTAGGCACCGATCCTGAACCAGACAGTGCCCTCTCCTTTTCCTCTAATTCCTTTGCTCGTTGTATAGTTCTTAACTTGATTGCTTCATTTTTTAGTATCTCCTCTATCAATGGAGGCGATTTCCTTTTTTTCTGAAGCCACGATTTCCATTCCACTGGAATTTCTGCGTCAGCAGGAACGAAAGGAATTTCCTCTTTTTGAATGTCCTCATCTGTTACACCATAATATTTAATCCATCGTCTTGTAATACGTACACTCGCATCAGGAGAGGGTTGTTTTTCGTAATATCTATTTCCATGCTGATCTTCGCCAACAAAGAATTGTTCGTCAGATTCTTTTTTACCTCTAAACCTTTTCAAAATATTTCCAAACACCCCATATTGTCGCACGCATAAATAATTGGACAATAAAACATTGCTTCTATAAAGTTGACGCAAGTTGTTCATTTTAAGGTTGTTGATTGAAATCGAAAGTAAAAGATTGGATAAGTCGAACCTCGATTAGATCCACCGATCTCTGCTGATATTTTGCTTTTTCAAAACAACGCCTACATAATTTGATCAAGCCCTATTGATATTATAATTTATAAATTAAATTACTTAAATCATATTTGTGAGTCGATTCGAAAAATGCATGAAAAATTTATATATTAATAGCGTCATTCCGGAATAAATCATGTCTATACGAAAAATTCCGAATTTAGACAGAGTTAATCATGTGAAAACAAGTGTAAAGACGGTGTCAAAAAGAGGTAAATAAATGTCAACTATAACAATTTGGAGTTATTTCAAAGCAAAATAATGATGTGAGATGAGTCGTAAAACTCCTCAACGATATAATCGCCGGGTTTCTGAAGATGTAGCTTCCCTAGATTCGTGGAGTGAAATAACCGATGAATTAACGGATGTGTCATCAACAGCTAGAAATGACAGAAGAGCATCACGCGTCGACACTCCTGTAGAGATAAAAGAGAAAAAGAACTCGTCAAACCAGCTACTTTTAAATCCAGCAAATTTATTTTCAACATCTGTGTCACGTAATACTACTCCAAGTAAAGCTAATGGTCAAGATCAACGTGAGAAAAGCCACCAAGCTGGCCCTCCAGGGGATCGCCCCCCAGTGCCTGGAAGGAGTGCTACAGGGAAAGTTGTTGGTGTTCAGTTTGACATCAATACAAGTGACCCATTCGATATTGACGATGGATCATTTGATCACATAAGTAGTGTGTATTTGTCTTTACCAGAAGACCACTCAGCTTACCTAAAGGAGTCTTATTCCACTGTTAGTGCCTCAGAAAATAATCTAGATTATGAAGACCGAAGTGATTTTCATAGCTTACCTGATTTGACTGCAGTCACTTCAAAGACGAGGACATATCCTCCACATTATGTACATCCAAAATCTGTGCAATTTTCTGAACATGGTGAAACATCAGAAAAAGTAAAAAACAAACTTATGTCCATGTGGAATAATGTGAAATATGGTCAGTATGTTTATGAAAATGTTTTAACACAGTTTCATTCAGGAATTTATATATTATACATGTATATTGAAAATCATTTTATCTAAAACATTTTTATTTTTATTTGCTTTTGAACTTTATTTCGTAAATATTAACTAAAGATTATAAATAAATGGATTTTGCAAACTGTAAATGACATAAATGTACTTTTCAGGATGGACATTGAAGACAAAGACAACTTTTAGATTTGACAGCCCAGTCTGGCTCTTGGGAAAATTCTATCATATAAAGCCTAGTGGTGAGTTATCAAAATAAATCTGTTGTGGGTTTTCTAAAGGTAAAAGGTTGCATAACTGCATAAAAACAATATTGATTTCATGGATTATATAAATTAATGATAATTGTTATGAATCATCATTAGCGAGTTGCTTGGCATTCAAAATAGTTTCTTACTGCTTACATTTATAACAATGATTTATATGTGGAAACATTTCAATCTTATCTTTTTATTTTCCAAAGATCTCTTAGATGATGATAATCAAAGAGGAAAGAGAACAAGAATGGTTCCAAATCTTGAGAGGTTCAAACAGGATTTCTCAAGTCTCCTTTGGTTCACATATAGACAAGACTTCCATCCCATCCCAGGCACCAAATTAACTTCAGATTGTGGTTGGGGATGTATGTTAAGAAGTGGCCAAATGATGCTTGCCAAAGCCTTTACCATACACTACTTGGGAAGAGGTTTGTTTGTAAAAAAAGTTTGACTACATGTATAAAGCATAATTAAAATAAAAATCAAATGAGATAGAATTGATTTCAATTACTTGCATAACAGATGATGATAAAGATCATAAAAAATATTATCAAAATATTTGACTTCTGTTTAAATAGTTGCTATTTAAAATTGATGTGCCACTTGCTTGTCCATTTAGATTGGAATGTCTTCAGTGACCAAACAAGGGAACAGGAGACCTACAGAAAACAGATTATCCGCTGGTTTGGAGACTATCTCTGTGATGAGTCTCCATTCTCCATGCATCGTTTAGTTGAGGTGGGAAAAACACTGGGAAAACAGCCAGGAGAGTGGTTTGGTCCAGCTTCAGTTGCTCACATACTCAAGTAATTTAATACTAACTACAAAATCTTATGTATTATCTCAAAGTGAATGCCTTTAACTTTAGAAACAAAAAAGAGCTGAATGTGAAAATATTGCTGGGGGAGGGGATAGTATTGACAGATTTATAATTAACAGTTGCTTTTATTTCTACACCCTGGAGAATTTATTGCCATAGCCTTACATTTTACATATTTAACTTGAAGAGATGCTAATGAAGTGAAGCCAAGGCTATTTAAACAATTCAAAACCCTCAATCTCTTTGTTAAAATTGTGCATTAATACTCAAAAAATTATTTATATGAAGTTTTGCATTTTTTACAACAGAGAAACAATGATAAGAGGACAAAGAACACAGACAGTGCTCAATGATCTCTGTATTTATGTATCTCAGGACTGTACAGGTAATTCAAATATGCACAAAGATTCAAATTTTCTTTATATTTTAAACTTGGATGAAATGACTGGAAGAAAAATAAACATGATGCTCTATTTACAATGTAAGTGTGAAAAATTGTTTTGTACTACATTTGATGGTACTGTTTTATAGTGCATTTATTTCGTTCAGTTTGTTCAGTGTAGGAATAAAACAATGTTTTTTACATTTTTTTATTTGTTTCAGTATATAAGCAGGATGTATATGATCTCTGTTGTACACGATCAAGGACAGCTACTAAGTTCACCAGTTCCACAGAGTCAGAATCTGAATCGAATCCAGACTCGTCAGATTTGGAATGGAAGCGAGCAGTTATAATCCTTATTCCTGTCCGGCTCGGAGGCGAACAGCTAAATCCTGTATACATCCCATGTGTTAAAGGGCTGCTGTCCCAGGACTCTTGTATTGGGATTATTGGTGGGAAACCCAAACACTCGCTCTACTTTGTGGGGTGGCAAGGTAATTTTTTTTTTTATGAATGTTACAGAACACAAATATTTTTCCTCATTCATGTAATGGAAGTTAAAAGAGCAAAATATTACAATTTGATAAATGAAACTGTAAAAGAAATGACCTTGAGGTGCAAATGTTTCATGTGCATGTATGTCTATGAGTGAAGGGGCACACACTTTTGCCTATATTTTGTCTGTTGTGTCTTTCTAATGGATTCTTATTTGGTGAAGTAAAGATTAAGCTTAAATCTTCAAGTCAAGAAGTTCACTCATGAAATTCTTCAGTGTCAGTTACTAGGGGTGAAACGATACACCTCCTTCACGGTTCGATACGTATTGTATAATTTTGTCTTGGTTCGGTTATTTTCGATACGATACATTTTGATAGAAGGAAACAAATTCAACGTTGTTTTATGCTTTCTTTTTCTAAATCTAGTCACATATTTTACGAATTTTATTTGCAAATTGACTAGAAGAAATTGACTAAAATTATTTGACTGTCAAAAATTATTTTACAAGCTATCAGTCATCAAAAATTTACGTTTTCTATACTTATTTATACTGAGTAACGTGTTTTACCTTATGCCAAACCCGACTGAATAACGATCCCGACCAAAAAATGAACCGAACCGAAAATTAGAGATTTTGCACCGTGTATCAAACCGAGAAAAAAATACCGCGGTGAACCGTTTCACTCCTATCAGTTACACTACTGGTTTGAAAAGATTGAATTGAAGTGATATGTATTTTCTCAGTACTTTCTTCCTTTTTTTACTTTCTTTGTGTTGTATTGTAAACCTGTATTCAAAACAAATGTACATGTTTATAATATTACAGAGAACAAGTTGATATATCTAGACCCACACTACTGCCAGGATGTGGTTGACACAAGGGAAAGGCAATTTCCAATTCAAGTAAGCTCATAGGACATCAAGTACAGTAAAACTCAGTGATAGCAAAGTCCTGGGGACCTTTGAATTTACTTTGCTATATTCTTGCTATATCCATAGAATAAATTCTTTAAAGTACAGGGTTGTCCCTAAGAATTGAAAAAGTTGGGGACATTAAAAAAGGAGAAGGGTGTCTGGGATTGCTCCCATTATGGGGGTTGAGAGGGAATACCAGAATAAGCAGGGGATTACATCATTACAGGCAGGAAAATTCCCCAGTCCACAGGTCTTAGGGACAACCCTGAGAGTGTATATATACGAATTCACAAATATACATGTACATTTTTTCCTTCAAATATGACTAACTATTATGTTCAGGGAAGCATTAAATACAAACTTACCTTGGGATACTAAAGTTTTTTGATGAATTGAATTTCAGATACAAATAATTTTGTAATATAATGGCAGTTCTATATTTTATATTTTGAGATGTTTAAATTTTGTTATAGAAGATGTAAACTTTGTTATTTTTAACCTCCTCAGGACACAAAATCATTTCTCTATATTTCTTAATTAGTTATATCAGAGTTCCTTATAACCATTAAATTTTACAAGGAATTTTATCGGGGATCCCAGAAAAACTTTGCTATATCCTTAAATTTCCCTTTATTCCGGTTCCTACTAAACTAGTTTTACTGTACTACTGAGTATGTCTTTATTATAGCTGGGCTTTTGTGTAGTAGTGTTAATACACATTTTCCTTTTACAGTCATATCACTGCATGTCCCCGAGGAAAGTATCTATAGAGAAGATAGACCCTAGCTGTACCATTGGCTTCTACTGCAGAGACCAAAAGGAGTTTGAGAAATTTGTACAACAGACAGAGGAGGTAAAGAAATATATAGATACAAGATACTCATGTGATATACCGTAAATCACTTTTTATTCGGGAGAACTTCATTTTTGCACAATTACACAAGACTGTCTGCTTAATATGAATATTTCATTCTCGCGCATATTGTTAACATTAAAGATTATATAGAGCAATGACTAAAATTCGTGAAAATTTTGTCTCACTTATAAGTAAATAACAATCTCGTGAAAATAAGGTGTTGCGAAAATTACGTGATCTACAGTATTGCAAAATTTATGTTATAAGATATATAGGGAATTTATAAGATTTGTACATGTATCTTTTTTTTCCCATATGTCTATGATTGGAGAATATCAGCAGTTGCTTTACTTGTTTTTGAAATCTCAGAAGCTGAGGGATATATATTTTCTCTCAGCCTTGATCCCCCCCCCCCCCCCCCCCCACCCAATACACACACACACACACACAAAGCATGAATCCATCCATTTTAGTATCCATTTAAATTTTCTTGCCAATGACTGTCCTCACCTGTAGTAAAAATTCTTTCAAATACATAAATTTGTTGTTAACAATCCAGCTTATTAGTTAATGAAGAGATATTCCACAAAACATACCGGTACTTGTAGCCATCTTGCCAAAGGATATACATGTAGTATAATTAATATTTCATTTTCAGTTCTGATAAGAGGTGTTCTACCCTTGGCTTTTTAGAGATTTAGCTGGCATATTTTACAAATATTTGGTAATTTGATGTTTTGAGTATGTGCAAACCAATATGCATATAAAGAAGGGACAATTGATTTTCTATACACATTGTGATCTACATGTACATTTCCGTGATATTTTGATGATTTATTGTAGATGGTGGCACCACCTAAGCAGAGACTGTCATATCCAATGTTTGTCTTTAGTGAAGGCCACAGTTATGATGTTCAAGTAGACACAGCAGAAAAAGACAGATTATTAAGGGTAAAGCATGTGCACATGGACCAAAATGGACGTGTGCGATCACAAACTCTGGACTCTGAGGAATTTGTTGTGTTATGAATGGAGTTTTTCTGTCAAGCTTTATTTCCCTTCAGTCTGATATTTCTGACATTTGAGGATGAGATGTATATCATGTTACATGTATGTTTATGAGTATGTGGACATGTGTAACTTTGTTTTTGCATAATATGGCATATCATGTTGTATTCAGTCTGTTGGAATAAGCAGTTCCATACTTACTGTTGTTTGACACTTACCTGTGAAACCTAAGGGAACTCTAGGTTTCCTCTCCATTTATCTGTCCCTCTGTTAAGTTCATCTGTCCTACTTGTTTTCCCAGACTTTTTTTTCTAAGAGCTTGAATATATTGAGCTGATTTTTTGGTATGAGTCTTATCTTGATGAGTTACAGATCAAGTTAGCATTTCTTTCAGCTTTGATAATTTTTGACAGAATTATGGCCCATACTGGTAAGAGACTCTGTGTTGCTGATGCAATACTCCCAGAATGCTTGTAAAATGGTTATACATGGACATGTGCTCTGTGTTGGTTTGACTTTTTTCAATTACTCATTTTATGGTCTGTTAACAGTGTTTTCTGTAATTTTATTGTGCAATAGTAAAATCTTCTGTTATAAGACATGTCGATCATAAGGTGTAGAAGATTGGCCATTCTTCTTTACAAGTGTATTTATTTTAGAAATCAGACGGTAGGTTTTTCAATTTGTATTGTGAAAATGTTGCATTACATAATCAAAGCCTTTTAAGACAGTTTATTTTACTGGAATTAATTTCACATACAGTACTTAAAAGTGCAAATCGTTGTCTTAATTGTGTTAGAAACCCAGAGTATACATGAGGGAAGTTCCTCTGAAAATTGATGACTATATTCTACCCCAGTATGCACAATACATGACTGTATAATTAAACTTCATTATTTTGAGCTCAATAGGATCAGAAAAACTGAGATTTCCAAGAATTCAAGATATCAAGGGTAATATACGTACAGAAAAAGTTGTTGGGATTTCAAATTCACTTCAACATATCCATGCTGTTCGAGATGTCAATGTTTGAGATACTGTATTCATCTGTATATGAATGTAAACTGAATGAAATGATACAAAATATACTACTTTTAAAGTTTTTAATACTGGGGCCCATTTTACAAAAGAACTTACAAACTTAAGTTGATTGTAAAATTTTGCAAAATTAATGATTTTGTTTAAAATTGCTGGTGTAAAAATATCTTACTACATTCCTTTTAAAAAGATTAAAAAAAAAAAAACATTTTCAATGCATGTATAATTTGGTCTTAATGATAAGTTCTTTTGTAAAAGGGCCCCAAGGATTTTAAAAGCAGATTACATTCAATAATTAACTGTGAATCTAACTGGGCTGTCTTTTGAATTCAATGGCTATCAAACGTAGACAGAAGATGTTATTGCTGTATGTATACATGGATTATAACCTCTGATGAACATTATAAAATCCCATGCTCTTTGTCTTTTGAACGGAGTTTTATTTTAAACTTGTATAATAAATGAAGATATTTATTATAAATAAATATATTTATGTAAATTATTTATCGTAAAGTAACATTTATTGTCACTTGTAAAATTGATAATGATGGCAGTACATTTATTGTCAATTGTAAAGATGATCATGGTAGTACATGCATATTGTGCAGTTTTTTGTGCACTTCCCACAGGAATTGGTAATTGTTAGTGTTTAATTGATTATTATGTTGTTATTTGTTAACGAGTTGGAAATAAATTACAATCCAAAACTTTTTTTTGAGTTAGAATTTACATGTAGCTATGAAGTTGCAGATGTCAAATTCATTATATTTCATAATTAAGTTACATTAATTTAATGAAAATCATAATATGTATAGCCGCAACTAAAATGCAAAGTATTCCGTTTCCAAGCTAGCTATGGCCTGGATCCAGATCAAAACACCTTTGGGTCATCTAATGTGAATTCATTGTAATAAAGGGTTTAGAGCTATGGCCCCGACCCAACTTCTTAAGCTCAGTGGCCTTGATCTTTAACATGAACTTGAGTTAGATCATAACACACCTATAGAGTCATTGAGTACAACATACTGTAGACACTCTTTTCTGTGAGGAATTAATTTACTCCATGTACCGGTACAAGGTCACAAATTTTCCATGAAAATTTGTCACAATATACTTAAAGTGCATTTAAGAAATACAGTGGCAATCCAAGAAATCTGTATAATTTTTTACCCACAGATTGAACAGAAACTGTGATTCTTTGGATTCATGACCCCCATGGAAAATGATGTTTACAGTATTCAAATTTAATTGAGCATTTCAGTGTTCTAGCCTGGAGACCATTACATCTCGTTGCCCTTTGACCTTAGCATTTAAGATACTGTAAACCAACTATTATTCACATCATCTTTTATTCACAAATCGTCAGTTTGAAATCAATCCGCGACAATTAATTTTCGTGACTGAGGAAACATTCTCTACAAATACAAAGCAAAATAATTGGTTCGCAGCGAAGTAGCTTGTGAAACTCGTGAATATTTCTCGCACACGAATTAAAGTTGGTTTACAGCAAGACCTTGACTATGACAGACCTACAGGTCATAGGCAACAGCATACTGGAGTTAAAACCCATTCCAATCTTGGACCTGAGAGTTACATGAATGATGTTTGGCTTATAGTTACAATTTTGTAAAAGTCAACCATTCCAAAACCTGGGTGATTTTTCTGTACTAAAGTGCAGGAAAGCAAGGAACTGTCTATTTCTCTCAAGGACACATAACATGAGGGCTTCTCATTTCTAACTTCATCTACCTGAAAAACTGCAAAAACATAACTTGCTGTGCTTTTCCTTGGAATAAATTAAGGTATGTCACTCGTCAGCTTTTAAGAAAAGTTTAGTCAGAACCCTTAACTTCAAAACTATTTATTACAATTCAATTTTTATAACATTTAAATTAAACAATGCAAATTATTCAACATTCAATGAAAAAACTGCTCAGAAATTCATAAAAAAGCAAGATTTATGAGGGACTATTTCTTGTGGTGGAAGGATATTTAGAAGAAATTCTTCAAGTCTCCACATTTGTTAAATTTAATGTCTTGGAACTATAGCACCAATATTTTTACTTGGAAAAAAATTTCCGTTATGATATGCTAGGAATATTAAATATAGGTCTCAATTTATATTTTTAGAATAAATTTTACACATTCACTCAACAGACTTTGCCAAGAAATAAAGATATATTAAAAGAAGTCAAGATAAAATTTACACCATTTTCTGCCTGAAAATCGCAAATTTTGACCAGTATCTCAAAATTTACATCACTGACCCCAACTTTTTCTTTCATAATTTTAAACAACACGATACTTCCAACCGACCAGCACTAATTTGCATGATTTGTTCAATGATAAATATCATTCACACTATTTTACGTAAAATAAGATTATATTTATTCCCAAAATTACATCTGATAAAATATGAAAAAGATTAAAGTGATTGACCAAAGAGTTAAAATTTAAGTGCAAAAAGGTCAACTTAATTGCACACTAACTCGGTAGGATGCACACTGACCCCCCATTTTCTTTGCAATTTTGAGTCATGCTATATGAGTACTTATAATATACTTCTCAAAAAATCCTTGATATAACTAATTTCACGAGTGATATAACTTAAACAGAGAAGATACTTTACAAATACTCTTAAGATATAATAAACACACCAGATTTTTTTTATATTTTAATATCATAACCTTATGAATTATAATACTCCTGTAAATATTCTGATTTTGGTTTCAAAATTTTTTTGTCTGCCAAATTAACAATCCATCCCGGCTGAAGTCCAAAGAATATTTGTCTAGGGTCCTTCCTTTTTAAGAACATTGATAATATGTCACTTTGTGATAAATCGGGCAGTTCATAACCATACTTCTGAGCAAGTGCCACTCTCTCCTCTGCTATTTTCTCTGGATCTGCAAGGTAACCCCTTACTTTTGGGTCCGTATAGTACTCAACTGCATCTGTTGGGGGGAGTTTGCATTTTGGAATAGGTTTTCCTGTTTTGAAGTATGCCTCAGGATCTTTCAGGGCAGTAAGGCTTAGAGGATCATAAAACCTTGTCATAATGACCCCGCCTAACTTTTCGATTGTGGCTATTACTAGTTCTGATGCCCACTGAACTTCAATACAAACTGGTGTTGCAAATATCTCAGCACCCTGGAAGTATAAATAATGGCATTCTATTTGAATTCATTTGGTCTGATTGAGACACATACTTTTCTTTCACAAAAGAGGTACATGTATACATACATAGAATATGTACATAAATAAATCATGCAACTGTTTTTTTTCTTTCTTCTTTTGGTTAACAAGGTCGTGTGTTCGAATCAAGGGCTGCAACTGACCTAAGTCGATAAAAAATAGGTAGCAACTGTTCCTTTGCCAAGCTCTTGCACTTTGAAGTGAAAGTTGCGGGTCCTTCGGATGAGACCTTAAAAACTGAGGCCCCATGTAATGGTAGGCCTTGGCACAATAAAGAACCCTCACTGCTCAATGGCCCTGAGTGCCGAGTAAAGGTCTAAATTTATGTCCTAAACAGGTTTATGGTGACATCTCTATATGAGTAAAAAATACTCGAACGGGAATTAAAACAACATACAATCAATCAATCAATAAATTGCAGTTCAGACCTGGCAATTCCCTGAGGTACTACCCTTGTGCCTTTCCTATATAAATACACTGCTTAAGGTCTTTTTTCAGATTTTTTTTTTCACTCTCAGAGTCAGATATTTTGGAGAACAAAATGTTGGTTTGACTTCCATTGTGCAATTTGATTACAAAGCCACTTCACATGCACATGGTTTGCATTCTCTCTATTTTTTTGTGTGATCCAAAATTACTTTTCAGAATTTAATATATCTTAATATCACTTAAAAGAAACTGACTCTGAGAATATAATTTTATGAAAATGGAAACTCTCTATTGAGATTTAGTTTTCACAAACAACCAGAAATATTTTTTTACCATAACAAGCAACTTTAAAAATAAACTCTTATGGCATGTTTGTGTTTTATAGAAATAAGAACATTAAAAGTATAATCTACCTCCTCCGTCAAATTAATTCCATAATGGCGTTTGTCAACTTCAAAGTTGTAGTGGCCAGTCATGCATATTGAGGTTAAGTCAATGACCTCCTCTGTGTTGACACAACCCAGATCAATCATTCTCTGCAGTTTCAGTAAAGATAATGGGGGGTACTGCCTCTTTAAGCTGCAAGCAAATCCAGTATGTATCTTTAACTGTCATATATTTGCTTAGTTTTCATTTTTCATCTAGTACTTTTTCTAATTAAGCCAGTAAATTGAAATATTAGCATCATAAAACTTGTGAAATAAAACAGCTCTTACTGTATATACTCGCCTATAAGTCAATTGTATTTTTTAAGCTTAAATTAGAGTGATTGACTCGCTAAAATATCAATCTTTTTATAACTCGCATATAAGTCGGATAAAGAGTTTTGGACCAAAGTTTAACTCCCAAAAAATCGACTTATGGGCGAGTATATATGGTACTTTTATTATAAAAGTTTTATACTGCAGTTAAACCTTTGAGGTATTCTTTTGTAATCTACTATTTTTTAATAAAATTTACACAAATCATGGATGAAACACATGATTATAACTATATACCGGTATGAATATTTATTTATGATGTCCCAGTTGATGATACATACGCATAGTAACAAACCTTTTGTGATTGTGAAACATCTGTTCTAATGAAAATACAATATATCTTATTCATGCTTAGATATAATTATCTGTAACCTCAAAATAGGCTATTCACATAACACCAGTATTTCTTTTAAATAAAAATTGTTGATTAATTGTTCTAGTCAAATATCAAAGCACAATGTATTCTCAATTTACATAGTTTTATAATGTATATGATATTAAATGCTCTATGGACCATGGATATCAGAGTGGATAGCTAAGTGGTCGGAGCACCTGACTGGTAATGCAGGGGTCCTGAATTCAATTCCAAATCCAACCATACACTGTCTCATTTCCTGTTACAATAATATTTCTCATTTTTGACCTTGTCATTTAACACAATTTTTAAGTAACAACACAAAGGAATTGGAAAGTGAACATTCCCTTGCAAGATTTTGTTCACAGAAGTTTTCACACAGTGAATTGATGTGATGTTAACAAATAATAAACACAAAGTCCTTGACCTTTGATCTTTTGGCCCTGAAATCAACAAGTTTCTTCATCATGCATCTCTGTAGAAAGTTTACACCTATCACTATATTTGACCTTGAACTTTGGCCTTTTGACCCTCAAATGTATCAACTGTTTCTTGTCACCAACCTTGTATTAAGTTTGAGACTGAAAGGTAAGCAAGTTCAAAACTAAATGATCCAATGGCACTCTATATATTGTTTCAACTACATTGGTAAGAAGATACCATAACTCTATTCTTAACCTTTAACCTTTTAAGCCTCAAATATAGAGCACACACCTCCAAACATGTACCACTTCTGTGGAAAGTTTGAGACTAAAAAGCCATGTAGAACTCAAGATACTGTAAATGTGGAAATTTATGTGTGTGGGGGTTAATTTAAGCTAAATATGCAATAAGAAAGCTTTTATTCAGTTTTAATAATACATAATCCAGGTATCATGGAAATAACCCCCACATGTTATGTTCCTGCTTTTAATTTGTGTAAATTAACAATGTGTGTAAATATCCATGTTTACAGTATCATGTCCACAATTTTATTTGGGATACACACTTACATATTCTATATATTAACATTGTGGAAGGAGGGAAGGGTGTAATTATGCTGAAATTCTAAGATAATACATGTACATGAATTCATGCCAAGAGGAATCAGTGCAGAGAGATGCAAGTACTTTTCTAAAGTAAGTTTCCAAACTCCTAACTGTGCCATAAATAATGTTGATCATTAAAACCTACTGATGTCCTGCATAATAGTGTTCCTGTGGAACTCTTTGGTAAAATGGTTTGTGTCCTGTTTCAAATCCTAATTTTGGTAAGGTCATCCTCTGTCCCTGACCCTTGTGACCTCTGCCATGTGTTTTGTTTTTCCCCCAACCTCTCCGAAGATCAAACTGCATGAAGTAAAAATCACTTTCAGATTAAAATATTTGAATTCTTATATTACCTACTCTTTGAAATTTTCCACATTAGAAACTTCATACATGTTCATTAGAAAAGAATATGTATATTTACACCAAATCATTGTCATAAATCATGCTTTTTAATATGGGTATTTTTTTTTCAAATTCTAGTAACTGCCAAACTGTAGCTCTTCGGAAAAAAAATATATTGACAGACTGGAGAGCTACAGTGCCACCTATGCAAGAACTGTATATTTATTGCACACGAAAAGTTGCATTCAGTTCTGGATTTATTTCTCCAAATTTTTACCTCAACTGTACAAAAGTTCGATTTCAAAAAAATTCTTAGACCTCTGTCAACTACTCTTGTAGTTGATATCTGCATGAAGTGTGTTGGACCAAATTATATTGCCACCAAAAATGGTAGTATAAATAGGTGAAATTTTCGATAGTCTCCATTACAGGCCCAGGAGTAGTCCGAAATATCTGACGTTTTCCAGGCTTTTTTCACAATTTTGATATTTAACGTGCCAGGAAAACGTCAGAACCGGCGCTATTACGAAAACTGGGAATTCGCCGCCTCCAACCAGAGGCAGCAATCTTGATTGATTTTCGATACTTGCAAAGCGAATGAAATGTCAAACTAACAATTTATCAATAGAACAATGCTTTTAGTACTCACCAACATCGTTTTTATGGGTTGTTTAAAAAGTATACAATCAGATGAAAACATTTTATCTGACTGTCGAGATTTGTTTTCATTTCGTGCATTTTAAAATCTTTTAAGTCCTGTATCGAAATGATGAGTGATGTTTTCTTTGATATTGGTGAGTACTAGAAGCATTGTGCTACTGATAAATTGTGGAAACGGCATTTAATTTGGTTCCCAGCACAGTGAGGTATCGAAAATCAACTCCGATTGGAGACAGCAAAATTTCCAGTTTTCCTGGCACATATGAATCTTTAAAATAGTAAAAAAGCCATGAAAACGTCAGATATTTCGGACTAGCCCATGACAGCTTTTAACAACGGTTATAAGGATTTTTTTTATTGTGGAAATAGTAAAAAAAAATATGCTAGGAACACAAGGTTAGTATTATTTTGAGATGGCAGTTTGAACAATCTAATTAAAATCAGACTTCTTAGATCTGCACCATAAACACTCTGAGTGAGACAAGCTAATTGACTGGTGATAATTCAGCCCATTGTGAGATAATTATACTTATCCCTGCCTCATCACATACAAGGTGGTGTTACCTAAACAATGAACAGATGAACATACATGTTTTGCTTAAAAATGTATAAAGGCAGTATGTTTTAAACTAATCTATTTGGCATCTGATATGTATGATGAAAATTTTGATCCTAATTTTTGCCTCATAAATAGGGAATATACCCTGGGTACAAAAGTATTACCTAAATTTCAATAACAATGTCATACCACATGAACACGCCATAAATCATTAAATGTCTTCTATTTTTTTAAACTGTGCGTACCGAATTTCCTCAATGGGATGTAGTCAGATTTCTACTTAAAATCAAACAGTTTAAATATGTTTCTAAAATCTCACCTTTTTCTTTTGATCCATGGGTGAATTTTTAATATTACCGAGAGACACTCTCGGTAAAGTTCTAACGAGTTTTAATGCTTTTTCGATTCCCATTATTCACTAATCACTACACTGTAGTTACTTTACAATCCCATAGTACTTCTTTCCACAGCTGTTTCGTAATATTTGGAGAATGATATTGGATAGAACCTGATAATATCCAGAGGAAATAAGTTGTTATAAATTATTTGAATGCATTCAAAAATGTATAGTTTGATCTAATTATCAATAATTTACTGCGGTGTTGCATGTGTATATTCGAGGAATACCTGGAACAAACTACCAAATAAAATTTTTAATCTAACAAACGCTTTTAATTACGAAAGTACAGTTCCTTTTAACAAAACTTTGTTTGATGAAGAATCCAATCTTTGTTTACGTTGGTGCTTGCACATTCCTGTTTTCAATTTCATAAAAGAACTGAGATTTGGAAAATGGTCCGAAGTAAGTTCTTTGGGTGAAGTAAATGGTTGGTAAATAGACGCTTCCACCAATGCTTGGGGGCGTTTTCGTTACGACATTTCGGACAGTTTTCTACAAATTTTTGTCCAAGCTTAATGTATTTTCGATTGTCCAAAATTAGGGGCACGTTGACTAAAATTAGGGGGGATCTTTGACTGGGAGAGGTTTGTTAAAGGGTGCTTTGACTGGCCCCTCTTTGAAAGATTTTACTATTTAAGCAGTACTAGTATGTACATTGTACATACTAGCTGCAATAATGTAGCCCTTTCCGATTTTTTTTAATCTGATATTTTCAGGAGAGGGCTACAATTCCACTGCATCTCCGTAATGGTGCAAATATATTTTTTAGATATGGGCGACTGCAGGCAAAATAAATTGTTTTTGCATTCAACTTACTTCCAATAAGATGGAATTTTTATTCACTGTCAACATCATAGCCCTTTATACGCGAAAACCAAGTAAAATAAATCTGCGTGTTTACCGGTCGTTCTCCTCAGCAGCCATGACAGATCTCGCGTGATGTAAAATTTAGAATCACTTGATAAAGTAAATATTGGTGTTGATAAATGTTTGTGTTGTATGATATCACTAAACATCGATAAATAAAAGCATTCCATGGGATATTTTTTTCGTAAACAGTGATTATTTATGCTTAAAATAAGGGAAATCCTAAACGATCCTCTCCCCTAGATCCCGAATTCTCATTGGTTGTCCCAAAATAAAATCGATCAAGGTCAGTAAACATGGCAGATAAATTCAAGTTGTGATGTTGACATACACGAAAAATAACCAATATACGGATTGTTCTGTATATTTTTGGATCAATTCATGTCTTGCATGACTACATTTTATGAGTTCAGGTAAGATATGTTAATAAAATACCCACTAACTGATACTTTGAGCCGAAATCTGTGCGGTAGTGAATCACTCCCACACTTGCACCATTACGGAGATCCTAAGGAGTTGTAGCCCTCTCCAAAAAAAAAAAAAAAATCAGAGAGGGCTACATTATTGCAGCTATGTACATACTAGTACTTAAATAGTAAAATCTTTCAAAGAGGGGCCAGTCAAAGCACTCTTTAACAAAACTGCCCCAGTCAAAGATCTCCCTAGTAACATCTAGTTCTACATAATGTCATTTTAATACTTAGTAGAGATTCTGGCATATCTGTATATATCTTTCTTAATAATTTTTACTCATCTATTGATACCAAGATTACCTTTATTTTATAACACAGTCACAGAAGATCTTGTGCGTAAACGAGCAGAACATAACAATTTAGAAATTTCAACACTGGAAGAGGTATCTCTTCATCAACAAGACATAGAAAAGTAAGATTTTATTGTTACAGTAATGTATCAAGAGAATGAAAGTAGTTTCATTACTAAAGAAGATTTTTTTAACATTGTTCATTTCTTTTAATTCCTTTAAAATATTTGAAAAGGACATTAAACATGTTGAACATAATACTGTTGATCAATCACTATAGTCAGATATCAGTTGTTTGTACATAGATATGCATGTAAATTAATGAAGTTTTTCAAAATGGCATTCCTTTGTTTAAGATCACCATAGGGAGATTTTAAAGAGAGATTAAATATTGTGTAAATGATGTCTCCTTGTTGCATATGGTTTACTTCTTTCATTTACTTTTTTAATTAATAGATGTGTTGTGCAAAGAAAAATGCAAATACTTTTTTTCCATTGGCTATATTTCAAAATATCATATATAATTGGACCCTTTTTTTCATTATTCATTATAATAATTATTTATTTATAGTAGTAAACTTATGCACATAATTGATTAATTTTACAGGATTGAAAACTTGGACAAATGGTGTAGAGACCTTAAAATTTTATATTTGCAAAGCAACTTGATCCCCAAAATTGGTAAAAGAGATTCTTTTTTTAGAACTGCATTATTTATTAGTAATTACAAATGATTATACATTTCAACAAAGATATCTCGGTGAAGAAACTTTTCAGTTTAGCAAAGTAAATAACATTTTCTGCAGTTTGCAGTTATATATATTTTTTCATTATTCTAAAATGTGTACATGTATCCACAATTCATGTTAAATTTGATTCAATTTACAGAAAATGTGAGTCGCCTCAAGAAACTGGAATATTTAAATCTAGCTTTAAATAATGTTGAAAGAATTGAAAATTTAGAAAGTAAGTTTTTTTAAGCATTCATTTTTTTAAAACATAAAGGAAGAAACCAATAACTTTGTTTGCCTTTTACAAGATGGTTGGTAAAATTTTACCAGTGCTTTTCTTGAAAGATTCTCTGTGTTCTTTTTCTTGTGTAGACTGTGAAATGCTGAAGAAATTGGATCTAACAGTGAATTTTGTTGGTGAGCTGACCAGTATAGAGAATCTCAAAGATTTAGTGCATTTCAAAGAATTGTAAGCAGGCAATAATTAGAATATGGACTTGCAATAGAAATTTAAAGTTATGACATACAATTTATTCTCTCAAATATACATATTAAAAAAAATCACTGGAACTTTTCATGATTTAAAAATCAGTGAGGTATACTTGTTGATATAAAGAGAACAATTGCCATTCAATATTACATGTATAATGAAATTTATTTACATGTATTTCAAAATGTAAATTTTTCCATTTATTTTAGATATTTAACAGGAAATCCATGTACTGAGTATGAGGGTTACAGAGAATATGTAATAGCCACATTACCCAGACTTCAGGTAAAAAATATCTAAATGTAAGAGAATATGTAATAGCCACATTACCCAGTCTTCAGGTAAAAAATATCTAAATGTAAGAGAATATGTAAAAGCCACATTACCCAGACTTCAAGTAAAAAAATACCTACATGTAAGATAATATGTAATAGCCACATTATCCAGACTTCAGGTAAAAAATATCTAAATGTAAGAGAATATGTAATAGCACCCAGTCTTCAGGTAAAAAATATCTAAATGTAAGAGAATATGTAATAGCCACATTACCCAGACTTCTAGAGAATATGTAATAGCCACATTACCCAGACTTCAGGTAAAAAATATCTAAATGTAAGAGAATATGTAATAGCCACATTACCCAGTCTTCAGATAAAAAATATCTAAATGTAAAAGAATATGTTAAAGCCACATTACCCAGACTTCAGGTAAAAAAATACCTACATGTAAGATAATATGTAATAGCCACATTACCCAGACTTCAGGTAAAAAATATCTAAATATAAGAGAATCTGAATATGTAATAGCCACATTACCCAGTCTTGAGGTAAAAAATACCTACATTGTACAAAGAATATGTTGCCATATTACCGAGGTTTCAGGTAAAAAATACCTACATGTACAGAGAATATGTACTAGCCACATTACCCAGTCTTCAGGTAAAAAATAAGAGGAGTGATCAAAAAGTTCGCGAACTATCTCTATATTTACAAAACCACAATTCAGACCAGAATGAAATTTGGCATACATATAGTCATACACATGTTCTATAAATAGCATATCATATAAAATGTATTATTCCATGTTTGTGATGTCAATGTGAAAATGACGTCAATATGTAGATGACTTGTGACAAAAAATGGTTGACTCAATCGTACTCGAGCAACAAATGGCTGTTAAGTTTAATGTATATCTTGGAAATTCCTTTGCAGTAGCATATGATAACTTGTACAAGGTTTATGAAGACAACAAACTTGCCAGAAGTTCAATCATTAATTGGATTGATTGTTTAAGCTGAGGAAGGAAGATGGTTAAAAATGATTTTTGTTCTGTTGCGCAGTGAAAGCAAGCTGGGGAAGAGATGTGTTCTTAGTTGAGCAATTTGTTATGAAAGATTGCCAAGTTACAGTTAGAAAAATAGTAGAATATCTTAAGAGCCAGTCCGCGAGAAAACCATGCAAAACTGTCCAAATCGAAGGTTGTCATATCTTGATGAAATTTGGTGGGTAGTTAGACTTCATAACATGTAATTCAAAAAAAGCAAAAAATTTTCCCATCATCCAACATGGCAGCCGTAGGAAGCGCCACCTTCTTTTTGCACATTTTAGTGCAAACGCACTTAAATAATTCAAGCAAAATGGTAAAAATTACATTTGATTTATTTTACTTAAAACTAAATTTGTATTTCGTTTAAGGTATTTTAAAGTAACATATGACTATGTTCTTCTAAAACTGATATTTATCATAATCAAATATGCAACATATCGAAGAGTAGATAACTCTTAAAAATTGGCACAATGCCAAGTTTGAAAAATTGACAAAATTATTACATATTGAATCGCCAAAATCTTCCAAGACCAAGCTACAAAATTACAATTTTTGATCTTATTATCAAAATATAACTCTAAATATTATCTTTTCAAAATATTAAGCTTGGGATTTCATAATTTATTGAGATATAGAGATTTACAAAAGCCAATTTTCAAAAAAATTCTTTGAATTCCAATGGATTACAAAGTCTAATATAGAACTTTAAATTATAAATACCTGTGTTAGATAAGAAAAAATGTTACCATTTTCTTTATAACCATAATCAAAATTGAAAAAAAAAAATTATAAAATTGAAAAAATATATATAATTTCAAAAATTAGCCTAATTTGAGGTTTGGCATTTTGCCAATTGTTTAGAAATGGAATGAATTCATGATAAATTGCTCTGGCTTACTCGTGAATTTTCAACGATCATATTGAATATTCATGTTTCTTTCATTTTTGTAAGATAGTTTCTCTATAATTAAAAAAAATGGAATTTACATGTCTTTAAATTTAGGAGGACTCTATTACATCACGGTTCACCATACATATAAATTATGAGACTTGAACACATTTGAGCCTCTGATAAGTTGTTTGCATTCTGTCAATTTTAAATTCACACTATTGTCAAAATAACAATTCTCAATTACAAAAATACTTACATGAAAATGATGAAATGCTATACAAAATACTCTATAAGGGAGTTTAGCAATTTTTTTTTTCATATCATAGAACTTAATTTTCATACATCCATGTAGATACAATATGGTAGAGTTCTGAGATATGAGGAACATAAGTAAAAATCAAAGAATTGTTTTTATTAAAATCAGTTTTTTTACCTTACAATCTTACTAAAATGGATTTTGTAAAATGATATACTGTTAAATCATTTATATTTTGTAGTTTGAGGAAAAACATTTGGTTCTGGGGATTCGTTTTATGGCTCTGAGGTGTTTAGTTGTTGCATATTCCAAAATTCACATTTTTAATAAGGGACTCTTTATACCACAACAACAATGACCCCCCCCCCCCCCCTTTTCCTGTTTTAGACTCCAAATCTTTTACTACGTTATTAATTGTGTTAGCCAGTAATTTCAACATACCAATGTTTTCAACATTCACTTAAAAATTGTATTTGTATAAATATTTTTGTAACAATTTTCTACATATATAGTCCAATTACACAAAGGTTTTCATTTCAATCACAGTGCAAGTACTAGCAATAATATTTCACTAAGTTTGCTCTTTGAACACCATAATATGGTACTTTCTTGATCATCTAAAAAAAACCAACATATTACATGTATAAGAAATATATGTCAGTGCATGCAGTTTTACATTATACGTGCATGTATATATTGATATGCTAGCATTTTTTGGTTATCACAAATTCTAGATTTTTGATTTGCATTAATGATGGAAAAAATTATAACTATGTTTTAGTATGTGTACATTTTATTGTAAAAGTAAAATTAATTTGTTAGCAATATTTTGGTCGCCCGAGTGGCGCAGTGGTTAGAGCGTCTATTAGAGTCACTGAGTAAGGAGATGATCCTTACGTCATGGGTTCGAATCCCACTGTGGGACGTGGAGGCCGGTCCTTCGAATGAGACTGTATAAACCAAGGTCCGGTGTCGCAGTAGGTGCTGGCACGATAAAGATCCCTCACTGCTCAGTGGCCCTGAGTGCCGAATATAGGTCAAAATTTGTAGCCCTCCACTGGCAAGTGGTGGCGTCTCCATATGAGGGACGTTAAACAACAAACAAACAAAAAAAAAAGCAATATTTTGACAATTTTAAGTCACAATATCTTTCATCCTGACAGTCAGTACGTGTTTTCCATGCACTTTCATTTTTTTTTCTCCAAATCCTCATCATATACCAAATTTGCATAAATTTTACAAAAGAACTCTGTTTAAGTTTGGATCTTAGATTATTTCACAAAATCTGAAAATCACCTCCTGATCTGAGAAGAATTAAAATTCAACCATTCAATTTCCTCTGTTTCAAACATTTCCTTTTCTGTCACATTCAACATATATACTGTTTAAGACTTCTTTCACTTTAACACTAAGTCTCTTTTAATAAGAATTTTGATTATTTTAAGGACCTATCCTTCTGATATACATGTATCTGTACTGCATAAACACATGCTGCACTACATTGTTACTGGTTATAGGCATACAAAATGTGTATATTTAATAAGTAATGAAAAGTTTTACCAAAATTATATTTATGATCCTATGTACCTACATACGTATCGGGATGTATGTACAGCTAATAAATTTCTCAAAGTCAATTCTAATCCACACATACCTTATTTTTTTTATTTTGCTCATTGAAACTGGTATAACCGTCCTGATAAACAATTACCACTATAAATTTTTATTATAACATCCATTTTCTTGGGGGAACAACCATTTCAATTTCACAATTTCCATTTCTACACACCGATATAGCATAAAAGGCCTTAGCGCAGGGGCTATTTGCCTGTTCAAGCTGGATTGTTTTTTTTCCTTACATTCAAAGATCTTAAAAATGAGTTTTTCCACTTTCATAGTGCATTGATGCTCCACAACAACTCCCTAGGTTCATATAAAATGATCATACATGACCTTCTTTATTCCATGTTGATATGCTTGTCATTTTTATCCAATAATGCTAAAGAGTTCCAACAAGGGGAGATAACAATTTAACTCCAGGAAATTAGTTGCAGGGGGCTAAAATAAGCAATAGAAATTTAAATGAAGTATCTAAATCAGTTATTCCTATTTTAAAAAAATATATTTGATTGAGAATCTCCTTTTTTCATTTAGATATTTAAGAAATAGTCCATTCATATGGTAATAGACTGTTATTTAAAATATGTGAAATTATAACAAAGTATGGTATTTCAAAGTTAATTTTAAACATGTAGATATTATTTCCCAAGCTCAATATTTTAATATGTAGTAGACCTATGACCATTTTAAAGATTACACTTATTTCAATTTAATTTTTTACTTGGTCTTGAGAGAAAATTGCATCTAAAAAGTGGCTAAAAAATCATACTCATTGATTTAGGATCTAAAAATAGACCTTTAAAAAATAAAACATTAATTTGAATTACGTTTTTCTTCATTAATTGTATAAATAAGACCATGATTTTGAAAAGAAAACAAAATTTGGAAATAAACCGATGGCAGAAGGTCACTTTTTGAATTAATCAGTTTGTATGGTTTTTCCGTATAATTTTGTGTGATTTTCGACAAATATGCAAATGAGCTGTTACTAAAAATAGATGCGAGGTTCGACAACTTTTTTGTAGATATTTTGACTTCAACTTATATGTAGAAAATTTTAAGCCACTAAAAAATCCTATGTTGCAACCTTCCATTTGACGATTTTTTTTAATTTTGCATGGTTTTCTCGCGGACTGGCTCTTAACGAGGTTGGATCCTGATATTTAAAGTCTTAAACTTTTTTTGTCAAGTATATTTTTAGTTTCTACACATATAGGTTAATCAAAAATCAGAACAAAAAGTGGGGGTCAATATGCTTCTTTTGGCGCTACAGTACATTTAATATGACCTTTCTGCACTGAAATTTGTGTCTTAATCAAAAATCATATCTTCGACGTTTACCCTCCAATGTTTTTATCCAAAAAAATCATGGGACAAAATAAACTATTAGTCTATTTAAAAAAATACACATTAAAATTGTGACTAAGAAAAAGTTTCAAATTGCTTCGCATAATCAATTATTTGACCTTTCTGCACTCACAAAATGTGATTTTTCTAGCATTAAAAATTTAACAAGCAAGAAAATTATTTTAAAGTCTTTAACTTTTGCTGAATTTAAGCAGATTGATCAATGTTATCTTATATATTCAGAAAAGAAAAACAAAAGTGGGGGTCTATGATGTAAATTTTTAGATATTACTAAAAAAGTGTTTAATTTTATGCTAAAATTGGCTCAATTTTTTCCTGGACTTTCAGAATATATTTACTATATTTGTCACAATACAATAAAAGAATTCATAAGAAATAATTTAATAGATATTTCAGAACCAGCATAAAACATTTCACTGCAAAAACAGCTCTGTGTGCAACCAGCATGGAAAAATAGGAATCTAAACTTAACAGTACTGTATATATTTCAAAAGGGAAAAATTGATCATTTTCTTCTTAAAAACCTTCCACCACAAAATATAGTTCCTGGCTTAATCCTATTTGAATGGAATTTAATCGCGGTTTTTTCATTGGATATAATTTAATTTGCATTGTAGAATCCAGATTTAATGTTAGAACTTGAAAATGATGCAGACTTTTAGAAATAAAGGTCCAGACCAAAATCTGCTCAAAAGCTCAGGATCGAACCTCACAATAATATGATTATTAAATCCCTAAAATATCCTTCACTTTAGACTTTTTTAAAAAATATTAGATATGATAAAAAGAAGGCGCCCATATGTTATCCACATCGGATAAACGACACTCTTAAGACAAAAGACTCGGGTTGTTATCTTCCCCATGCTCTTTCTGGGAAAAGATATTCTTATTCACCCATACTATTGCCGAGATTCGGCCATTTCTGACAAATGGACTGTTCTTGTTTTAAAAATAAATTGCATGGTTAGAAATATAAGACTCGGAAAAATCTTTTAGCTTCTGTGAACAGAACGTTATGGAGCATGTCATGTGACCGCCTGGATCATGTGATTCATGGGCAGAACGGTTTCAGTTGTGCATTAATATTGGAGAGGACTACTTTAAAATAAAATGAATACTGAAACCTAATTTTATTTCTTTTATGGAAGTAATTCAATTAGTTCGTAAACTTTTTGATCACCCCTCGTAAATACTTGTACAGAAAACCTGTAATAGCCACATTACTCAGGCATCAGGAAAAAAATAGTTACATGTACAGAGAATATGTAATAGCCACATTACCTTACCCAGACTTCAGGTAAAAAATAAATACATGTACAGAGAATATATGTATTAACCACATTACCCAGGCTTCAGGTAACGATTAGCTACATGTATAGAGAATATAAAAAGCCACATTACCTATGATTTCAGTTAAAAAATACCTACATGTATGGAGAATATGTAATAATCACATACCCAGGCTTCAGGTAAAAAGTAGGTACCAAATTCTGCCAGCTACATGTATATAGGCAGATGTTGATACAATTTTTATTATTTATTTAATAGAACAACACATTGATTATCACATTGGAATGAATTAATGTGATGTGTTCATATAATTTAGACTTCTTGTTAACCAAAGAAGATTTGGGTTTTGAATACCATTTAGGATTCCAATTTTTTTTAACAAACAGCTAAATGGATACACATGTTCTTATATTAAATACAGATGAAGTTCAGTAAAGACAAGCAGTAGCAACCATTGTATTTATACAACAATAAAGCAACAAAAAAGCAACAAAAAGAACAAATACCTAGGAATGGAGAAATGTAGTGTATTCTGTAAAAAATGAAGGCTATTTAAATGGTTGAGTGCAGTGGCATATCCATGAATCTTCTGATGAGTACAGTAAAACATCCTTATAAGGAAGTACATTGTACCTGGGACATGAATCTTCAGTTCATTATAACCGAATTTCTTTATATCCATATAGGAAAGTCTTAATGTGATGATATGAGGAATGTGGAAGAGATATAATTCATTATAACCAAGATTTCCTTATATCCTAGTGCATTATAAGTGGATTTTACTGTAATCATTTTCAAAATATACTGTATGTATGTGATGTAATACATGTAACATATAAATATGATATTTGTGATTGCAGCATCTTGATGGTAAAGCAGTAGAAAAGTCAGAGAGAATTAAAGCAATGCAGGTCAGAATGGACTTCATTTCACTACATTTGTACAATATATGTAGATGTCATATAGTTACAGATACTTATCCTTAAATTCATAAAAATTACAAAGAGCTATTATTTTTTTGTTTATGGGGCTACTGTATACAGGGTTATTTTTGCCCCATATATTATTTTTTGCCCTTTCACACTTTCAAACAATTTTAAATTCACCCAGTCACAGTTGTGTCAAAGAGATTATGGTGTTTATTTTGAATTAGCCCCATTTTAAATTCGCCCACTTTTGATGAGAGCAAAAATAAATGGGGAGCAAAAATTTTCCTGTATACAGTGGTAAGCAGCACTGCATTTTATCTTGTTGGATGTATTGCCAATTTGATCCTCCCCCCCTCCCCCCCCCCAATTTCTTCCCTTTATGTTCCTTATTAGCTCACCTGAGCTGAAAGCTCAAGTGAGCTTTTGTGAAACCTTTATTACATAGAGTAGATTCAAATTTGTTCAAATCATGACTCCCAGGGTAGGGTGGGGCCATATTGGATGATCGAAGTTTTACATAGGAATACATAGGAAAATTTTTTAAAAATCTTCTTCTCAAGAACAGCAAAGCCATGATTGGTCATAGAGATATGGAAGCATCGTCAGGTAGTGTAGATTCAAGTTTGTTCAAATGATGACCCCTGGGGGTAGGGCAGGGCCACAATGGACGATTACAGTTTTACATAGGAATGCATAGGAAAATCTCTTCTCAAGAACAGCAAAGCCATGATTGGTCAGATTGATATGGAAGCATCCACAGATAGTGTAGTTTCAAGTTTGTTCAAATCATGACCCCCTTTTGGGTAGGGTGGGGCCACAATGGACAATCAAAGTTTTACATACTAGGAATACATAGGAAAATCTTTAAAAATCTTCTCAACAACAACAAAGCCATGGTTGGTCATATTGATATGGAAGCATACTCAGGTAGTTTAGATTCAAGTTTTTTCAAATCATGACCCCCTGGGGTAGGGTGGGGCCACAAGAGATGAGCAAAATTGTACATAGGAATCATAGAAATAATCTTTAAAATCCTCTTCTCAAGAACAGCAAAGCCATGATTGGTCATATTCATATGGAAGCATCCTCAGGTAGTGTAGAATCAGATTTGTTCAAATTATGACCCCCATTGGTAGGGTGGGGCAACAATGGATGATCAAAGTTTTACATATGTTCATATTTATATGGAAGCATCCTAAGGTAGTGTAGATTCAAGTTTGTTCAAATCATGACTCCCCTTTAGGGGTAGGTTGGGACCACTTATGTATTTAAACTTTTCAATACTGAATTGATTTCTGCTTTTTCTTAGCCACAGTGCTCAGGTGAGCGATGTGGCCCATGGACCTCTTGTATATAAGAGAGAGAGAGAATTATTCAGTTTGAGATTAATGTGATACTTAAATCACTGTTATTTATTACCAGAATGTTGGAGTATTAAAAGGATATATTATAGAACAACAAAACAGACACAAGAAAAAACGAGTAAGTCTCAGGAATTTTCATTGAAATTCCACTGTTTTAGCCAAAACTTCGAGATACAAGACATATATATATAAATTGCTTAACATCTATTTTGAAGTTGGAGGAAAAAATAAATGGTAAACTGTCTATTTTGAAGTTGAAGGAAAAAGTAAATAGTAAACTGTCTATTTTGAAGTTAAAGGAGAAAGTTAATAGTTAACTGTCTATTTTGAAGTTTATGGAAAAAGTAAATGGTTAACTGTCTATCTTAAAGTTAAAGGAGAAAGAAGAGATCAGGAGACACGAGGAATCAAAACAGAAACCAAAAAAAGGCACTGACTGGTATACAGATATTGAGGGGTAAGTAACTTTATTGTTATCCAAAGGTACAGACTGGTATACAAGTATTGAAGGGTAGGTAACTTTATTGTTATCCAAAGGTACAAGCTGGTATACAAATATTGAAGGGTAGATAACTTTAATGTTATCCAAAGGTACAGACTGGTATACAAATATAGAGGGGTAGGTAACTTCAATGTTATCCAAAGAGACTGATGTACAAATATTGAGGGGTAGGTATAACTTCAATGTTATCCAAAGGTACAAACTGGTATACAAATATTGAGGGATAGGTAACATCAGTGTTATCCAAAGGTGCATAGATAGTAGCGTTCATATATGTTTAGCTCACCTGAGCCGAAGGCTGATCGAAATTTGTCCGTTGTCTGTCGGCGTTGTCGTCGGCGTTGTCGTAAACTTTTCACATTTTCATCTTCTTCTCCAGAACTACTGGGCTAATTTCTATCAAACTTGGCACAAAGTATCCTTGGGTGAAGGGGATTCAATTTTGTTCAAATGAAGGGCCACGCCCTCCTCCAAGGGGAGATAATTACGAAATAGCAAAAAATTAATGGCATTATTGAAAAATCTTCTCCTCAAGAACCAATGGGCCAGAAAAGATGAAACTCAAGTGGAATTATTGTCAGGTAGTGTAGATTCAAGTTTGTTCAAATCATGACCCCCGGGGGTAGGGGGTCATGAGTTTTACATAGGAATATATAGGAAAAATCTTCTTCTCAAGAACAGCAAAGCTGTGATTGGTCATATTTATATGGAAGCATCCTCAGGTGGTATAGATTCAAGTTTGTTCAAATCATGACCCCCCAGGGGTAGGGATGATCAAAGTATAACCTAGGTGTGTATAGAAAAAATCTTCAAAAATCTTTTTCTCAAGAACAGCAAAGCAATGATTGTTAATATTTATGTGGAAGCATCCTCAGGTGGTGTAGGTTCAAGTTTTTCAAATCATGACCCCTTGGGATAGGGTGGGGCCACAATGGACGATCAAAGTTTTACATAGGAATATATAGGAAAAATCTTTTTCTCAAGAACAGCAAAGCTATGATTGGTCATATTTATGTGGAAGCATCCTCAGGTGGTGTAGATTCAAGTTTGTTCAAATCATGACCCCCCAGGGGTAGTGGCCACAATGAACGATCAAAGTTTTACATAGGAATATATAGGAAAAATCTTTAAAAATCTTCTCAGCAAAGCCTCTGTTTGTCATATTTATATGGAAGCATCCTCAGATAGTGTAGATTCAAGTTTGTTCAAATCATGACCTCCAGGGGTAGGGTGGGGCCACAATGAAAGTTCAATTTGTAGTGAAAAATGTCACAGTCAAGAAATTATGTAGGCATCCTTAGTAAGTGTAGATTTAATTTTGTTCAAATCATACCCCCCACTCCCTTTTAGGGGTAGGTTGGGACCACTTATGCATTTAAGCTTTTCAACACTAAACTGATTTTTCTTTTTTCCTAGTCACACTGCTCAGGTGAGCGATGTGGCCCCTGAGCCTCTTGTTTTCAGTTGTATGTAAAAAGCCATATGTATATATACAAACCACAGCAGAACAATCAAATGTCCATTTCAGTAGTTATTGGCTTCTGTGTTTTTAGCTCTAATGGTCAGAGACCAGAAGAGCTTATGCAAAGTAAGGTGTCTGTCTGTTTGTCCAGCTGTCTGTCTGTTTGTCTGTCTGTAAACAATTTTTCAAAACGCTACTCCTCCTAGTTTTGGTCTGATTTCATTATAACTTGGAACACAAGTAGACTACACTTAGATACATAATTCTGTGCATGGGTTTTTGATTTTTTTTTTAGCAATGTTGCCATGGTTACTAAAAATACAAATTTAAATGAAATTCTTTTAAAAAGCTACTTCTTCTACAGTTTTGATCTAATTTCAATAAATCTTGCCACAAAGAGTACATAATTTTATATCAGTTTTTGATTTTGATGAATGGTCATGTCATGGTAACTAAAAATAGAAATTTTTGTGAAATACTTCCAGAAAGCTACTCCTCCAACAGTTTTAATCTGATTGCAATAAATCTTGCCACAAAGAGACCAAACCAAGGATCATTATTCTATTTATTGCTGTTGCATAGTTTCAAGTGCAAGTGCTACTTTTTGCTTCCTTTGTTAAAGATACAAATTAACCAGTAGAGCTACAGTCTCATCAGAGACTTCTGGTTCTAATAATGCTATTGAATTTATGGATTTATGGATTTATCCTAACATGTGGATCACAAAGGAAAAAAAATTGAATAAATGATTTAAAGTGCAGTGTTTAATAATATTATTTATCAGTTATGTTTAGTGTCTTTGGGTACACTAAACACTTCCCTTCTGTTCAAAGGGTTGACTGATCTTGTAGCATGATTATTATGAATGATATCTTAACTTGGAGACATCTAATTTTCTGTATTTATTATGAGTGATGATTTAATCAAATTAAAATGCACAAAAGTTTCAATTTTTTGTGACGTCTATTCGTTCAACATTTTGTTAAATTTTTTGTTGTTGTGATTTCAGTGGTGATCAAAGAACATCACAGAATGAAGGGGGTGACACTAAATCTGGGTCACCTGATGAAAGTGAGGAGGAGGATGAGGAAACATTAGCAGAAAAGGACAAAAAGTGGGTCACGTTTAGTTATTGTTGTGAGACTATTAGTGAATATAATTCTATTTATATCTACATGTACATGTAGATTGCACTCTTAGCATATTATAATGATAAATTTCAGATGGACATTATTTAATATGTACATATATGCTTACTATAAAGATAAAACCTGATTAACTGAGGGGATGTTCAGACCTATATCATCTATGTACATTTATTTTGATCCTTTTAAATTTTTTTTTCTAGATTTTGGGAGGAAGAAGTTCCCTTCACACCTGAGTCACGAGTGGCTGTCCATGAACACATGAAGAAACTCAAACAAAAAGAGGAGCAAAAAGAGTATGCACTCCAAAATAATCTCATCTTCATATGTAAAATTATGAACTAAAAAAAATTCTGTCCTTATAGCAAACTCTCTTTATTTCATAATACACATTGATTTCTCATTCAGATAAAGAAGTTCAACTGGTTTTTTTTTTTTTTTTATTTACAGTAGAATTTTCAAATAGCTAAAAATTGTCATATTGTGCTGGATTGTCAGCCATTTACAAGAAATTCACAATATACAATTACATTTTTAAAAAAGTAAAAAACAAAATTTCCTCTACAATAGTAAAGCCCCACCCAAACAACCAAGACGTCTCTTTGCAGAGGATGGGAGACCACTCAATGTGAACGAGGCCAAGTGAGTACATATAAGCTTCTACAGAATTAATAAGGAAAGTACCATGTATGAAAGAATATTATTCATTCCTATTTCTGCTTTTTTTTCCTAATATGAATGTAAGATTTTTTTCTATGTAACTTTAGTGGATACCAAATGTAAGTACATGTATTATCTATATTTTTTATTGTTAGAATTGACTTCACCCTTACCGAGGATGAAAGTGAGAACAACATTTTACTGGACGTAGCGTGCTTTAAGTAAGTCTACCAGTTTTGAAATGATACTTATATATATGTATACTTTTTAATCTTTGCATTTTTTTTATATTTCTTTTTTTGGGGTGGGGGGGGAGGAGTATGATATTTTTTAAATGCTTAATAACGGTGAAATGAAATTTTGACTGAAAATGTTCAATATTAATGTGCAATGTTTTATAAATAAAACTGAGGTAATATAGTGCCCATTCTCAAATAATAAAAAAGTTTATTTTATTTGATAGGTAATGTATGTCACCTAATTTTTGTGATATACTTTATTTTCACAAGATAGTCATCTGGAATTTATAAGCGAGATAAAATTTCCATGAAGTATTGTTAATTGTTGTATGTAATATTTAATAATTATGTGTGAGAATGAAATTTCAGCAAGCAGACAGTCTTGCATAATTTTGCAAAATTTAAGTTTTTGTGCACATTCTGTATACTACATACATGTATTTGATCATGTCTATCATCCAGTCTGGTTTAAGTGTGCCAATTCTGGTTTTCCTGGCATGTAGATTACCAAGGTTACCAAACAAAACCAGCTATATGTCAAACTGACTGGTTGTGAAAAGTAACCAACAAAAATATGAAGGCTTCATTGTAGTGTCTCACTGTCGTACACGTATCCATAATGCTGATTTTAACATAAAAATGTCATAGGTGCAAAGGGAAAAAACTTTAAGAAAAATGTTATCATTTTAACTGGAAATGTTGATAGTTACAAAGTAGTTCTATGTAATGGTTTTTATTTACTGTGTGCATTTTGTTAAAATTGTTATCATGAATCTTTATTTTGTCAGATACATATGCAATTAAATAAGAATGCCAGCTGATTTAGAAATTTCTTGATGTTCTTTCAGACATATGGACACTTCTCTGATAGATTGTGATGTTCAGCCAAATTATGTCAGAGTCACCCTTAAAGGAAAGGTAAGAATCCATAGTTGTTTGTTTTTTTATTTTGTATAAACAGCATTGTTGATTTGAAGTGTGAAAAATTGCAATTTCTTTTGGCTGTATAATCTTAATATAGTATATGTACCAATATTTTGAGAATGTCCTTATAAAATACCCAGACAGCAGATTTTCCTGAAACTTTTTTTTTTACACAAAAAGCCAATTAAAGTCTGCCTCCTTTAAGAATTCAGTATCTTATAAATTGCTCAGTGAGATTTTGTGTACATGTACCGCTATATTTGAAGTTAAGAAATCCATGTCTTGACTTGATGAATTTTTGTATATTGTTCAGCTGTTCCAACTCTGCCTACCAGAGGAAGTGAATGCAGACTCCAGTACAGCAAAAAGGTCCCAAATTACTGGCCATCTCTTGGTCACTATGCCAAAGGTAAAATGTCATTCTAATGCTTATAAAATAATTTTAAATAGTTTTAAACTGTTAAATGTGATTTTTCAAACTATAGAGGAATCATTTACATGTGTATTAGAAATATACCACAGAGAAAGTATGCTATATCTATATGCATGCCTTAAGTTAGTGTTCTATACAGATATCTTGTAATTTAAGATTTTTGTGTCAGAGTCAAATACCTGCTGTAGATACAATATACTGTATACAGGGAAATATTTGCCTCCGTTTTATTTTCGCCACTTTCTCCCTAGTCACAAGTGGGTGAATTTAAGACAGGACAAATTCAAGAAGACAATGTGATTTCTTAAACAGAACTGTGACTTGGCGAATTTAAAATGGGGCACAATAGTTCGTTGGTTTAAAAGGGTGAAAATAACACGGGGCAAAAATAACCCTGTATACAGTAATGTGGGTAATGGATATAGTCCTTTGTTTAACTATAATGGAATTTATAAATTTTCAGGTAAAGCCAGTTGTAAAACCAATAAAACCGACTAAAACCGAAGTAAGGGATGAGAATAAGGAGAACAAACAAAAGGGGAGCAGGTGAGAATTAAAAAAAAAAATGATTAGCTCACCTGAATTCAAGTTTTTTCCTGTGTTAAATTTTCTTTTGATGTCTCTTTGTCTTTTGTATTAAGTCACCTTTTGTATTAAGTATTGAGCCAGAGGCTCAGGTGAGTTCTGTTGATTATTGTATGTCTGGAGTATGTATGTTTGTAACTGTGTGCAGGCAGGCGTGAGCATGATAGATTTTGTTATATGTGTACAACACTAGAAGCAACAATCATAATTTATTTTCTTTTGGACTGCAGTAATGCACTTTCATTGCTTAAATGGGACACTTGACTGCAGGCTATATTTCTGTGTCCAGCATATGAGAATTGATATCTGGTTATTTGGCTAACACCTACCCATCTCTATACTAGAAATCATTTATAACAATGTATATATTTCTCACATTATGGTCCTCGAGAAAAGAAATATTACTGACTGTCTAAGGAAATATATCGGTTTGAGCTATTTCATAGACAGCTTGGTTTTGCCTCCTTGCTACAAGATTGTTAAACCCCATATATTTCCATAGTTAATATCAAACCTTGTAAGTAATAGTAGCATGAACTATGTGATATTCAGATCATGAATTTCTTGAAAGTATGAAAGAAATTCATTCCTACTTCAAACTTGGCTTTATTCTTTTAATCTGGAGTATGTATTATTATAATCACTATAGAACTAAAACTCCAATTTATTTTTTGTAGTATAATACCTATAAAGAGTGAGCACATATAACAAACTAGCAATACAAATCTGTAAATGAGGTATATCTTTCTTAGGAACACTCATGAGAAATTGGAAGTGGACAAATCAGCTCGTAAGACAGTGGACATTGCTAACATAGTGAAGGAAAAAATGGACAAAGTTGTTCCACCACTCGGTCATAAATCTCGACAGAAAGCGGAGGAACGTGCTAATAGTGAGGGTTTCGTGGATGACCCAGATGTTCCACCACTAGAGTGATCATAATCAACCATGTTATATTTAAAATGAATGTTCCGTCCAGCTAATTAAATTGACATAAAAATATTTTGTACTTGTTTTCCTTTGATCATTGACTGCTATGAGTAAAAAAATCAACAATAATATGGTATTGAACCTCATAATAATTAAGTATCTGAACTATTGAGAACTGTAGGTGTCATTTTTATTCACTCTTGTTTGAAAACTATTCAGAGCATTGTAGATTTACTAGAATTTGTCAAAGAAAAAGGGCTCTTGATGTAAGTTATTTGATTCATCCTCTGTCTGTATTGAAACTCGGCATTTAAATAAAAAGAGGTCCATTGGCCACATCTCTCATGTGAGTCAACACTCCTTGGTAAATGATGAAATATGTAGATAAATGAAATTTCTTATTATCTTCCACATTAAAGTCCGTGACTTTGACAATTTAATGTAAAGTACTGTATACAGGGAAATTTTCGCCCACATTTATTTTCGCCCCTTTTGCCCTAGACACAAGTGGGCGAATTTAAGATGGGGCGAATTCAATGAAAAAAAGTATAATTCCTTAAACAAAACTGTGAACAGGCAAAATTTAAACGGGGCAGAATTGTTTGCAAGTGTGAAAGGGCGAAAATAACCCTGTATACAGTATATATAAGCTTCATGTGAACTTTACAAATTGCAGTCTTCATATTTTTGAGGATGTCTGAATACTACGATATTGACCAAATTCTGTTCAGCAATACTGTGGCCCAAACATAGTACCTGGGGAAAAAATTTCAAGGATGGTATTTTACAACACGGCATTCATATGAAAGTGAGGAAAATCGTTTCTGCATGTATTATTTCTTAAGTTAACAATTTCAGTGTAAAGTAAATAATGTGGTATCTTTCCAATTCTGGATTCAGTTAAGGACTAAGTTGTAATTATTAAAAATGTTTTTGGCTTTACATAACAAATGCTGTTGGATTAAAGGTAAGCTTCATTCTAGATAGCAAAAATGATCCCAAAAGGTGGAATTTATCTATCCTACACTCATGCACATGAATGATTCCATCTGTCATTAAAAAGAAAGAAGCATGTTGCAATACAAAATTTCTTTTTCATGTGATTTTACACTAAAAAGTGCCATTTTTTTTTTATCATTTTGTATATCTATGTAACGGGAAATGAGAAATATGTGACGAACCAGACCAGGATTCAAAACTGGGCTTCCTGAATCTCTAGTCTACCAACTGAGCTATCCAAGCCAATAGCCCAAACCATTACATTTCTCCATCCATAATTTGTCTTTGCCCTCAAAGACAAAGCCCAAGTTCTTATTTGCCCCTGACAGGACTTTCACCTGCAAGTCCAGGGGTGGTCAACAGCACCCAATGTAACAGGAAAGGAGAAAAATGCAACGGATCAGACCATGACTCCAACCCGGCCCCCTGAATCTCTAATCATGCAGGTGCTCTACCAACTGAGCTATCTGAACACCAGCAATTGAACCCACCTGACCACCACATTCCTCCCTCCTTTAAGGTCTTTGTCCCCTGAAGTCACCTACCCAGGCTCTTCCCTGGCAGGTCTTTCACCTGACACTTCCAGGGCATGGCATGGTACCATTAATAAATGTAAAGGAAAGGAGAAAAATGCGATGGACCAGACAGGGATTCAAACCTGGACCCCTGAATTTCCAGTCAGTGCTTTACCAACTGAGCCATCTGGCAACCGGCGATCAAACCCGTCTGACTACCACATCTACGAGAATGTTCAGTACTAAGTAAATGATATAGGTTTTCCATCTTTTTACTTTTACCAGCTGTACTTCCTAAATTCTGGTCTCATATGGTAGCCCCACCTGGCCCTATAAACACAGTTTAAACATAAGACTACTTCTCTACCGGGGAAAAAGTAGATTAGATCCTTTAACTGATGGCTAAACCTTTAACTGTGACAATACTGTAAACAACTGTAAACAAATTACATTTGGCTGTGTATTCTATTCAGTGCCTTTAACAGAAAGCAGCTACCCAAATCAAGTCATTGCTATATGTCTTGTATAAACAGGAAAACACAGTTATAGTGAACACCTAATGAATTCACACTTAAAAGTGAAGTATTTTTTTAAATTTTATTCCCCATGGTTAGCATGATCAGTCATATTTATATGGAAGCATCCTCAGTGTAGATTCAAGTTTGTTCAAATCAAAACCACTGGGGGTAGGGGTGGGGCTACTATGGGCGATCAAAGTTTTACATAGGAATATAAAGGGATGAAGAACAAGAAGGGTCATTGTTACTCAGGTGAGCATTGTTGTCCATGGACCTCTTGTCTCTTGGTCCCATCAAGTTAAGATAACAAAGTCTGACAGTATTTCAGTATTCTACAGACAATTATGGCCTGGAAACAAATTGGGGGGAAAAGAGGCAGGGCATGGTGTACACTGTATGTATACATCTTATCTATTTTTGCTGAAAAATAGATTAACAAGCTCTTTGATGCATAATTCTCACTTTATTCATGAATATTTTGTTTGAGAATTAAAGAATGTATAATTGAAACTAAGGCCTAACCAAAAAGAAAAATATGCAATATGGCAAATATTGAGAATATTCATGGCACCAGAGCTTCATTTCAATACCTTCATGTGAAATAACACACTTTTTCAAGTCAAAAAACTTGGAATATTAGAAATAAACAAATAAAAGTATGGTGCATTCAAATATTGTGCCAAAAATTTATCATTAGAGGTATGCAGTTAACAAGATATGCAATTTTATGAGACTAAGGATATTGTTTTTTTTTCAATCACAACTAAGAGTCAAGATCACAGCTGAATTGTGGCACAACCATGAAAGGCACGGCATTCTTTCATGGTTTTTTCAATGGTCCAGGTATTGGTGTTGGGGTCATAGCACTCCACAATATTGCTGGGCCGTGAATCGACCAATCCTCCTGTCAGATAAATTCTGTCCCCTAGAACAGTGGCCCCACTATATTTGTGAGAATAATGCAAGTCTGCTAGTGTCTGGAATGTCCGCTTCTGAGGATTCAAAGCTATCATTTTCTTAGAATCTTCCCAGATGATATAAAATATCCCATTAATCACAACTATTTGAGCAAACTGTATGGCGTCTGGTAAGATGAACTGCTCCCCTGTGGACTTCATCTTACCATTTTCACTCAGCATATAGCTGTCTATGGTTTTCACTTTCACTCCAGCTTGAAGCCCCCCAACCTCTACCAGGGCATCGTTGTGAGAGACAATCCTTGAAATACTCCTAGGAAAAAGAGAATGTCCCACTACTGTCCATGCTTTAATTCTGGAATCGTAACTCTCTATTGTATCTAAATCTTTGCAAGATGAGGTTGTTTCATACGTAATGCCACCTAGAACAAAAAGTTTTTCTTGCAGAACCCCTGATGAATGTTGAGCTCGAGGTTTAAGAAGAGGGGGCATTTCCAACCATACTCGTTTTACACTGTCAAATTTCCAAACTTCAGAAATGATACGGTTCTCAAGTATTCCTCCTGTCACTACGATTGAATTTGATACAGCACAAACACTAAAGGATGTCACTGACTTTGGAAAAGATGGAAGATCAAACCATTTATCCTTCTGGGGGTCATACATCTCCATTGACTTTGTTCCTTGACCTCCGATTACCACCAGTTTCTCCGTGGCAACAGTGGATGGACGGGGATGGACCTGGGAGTTCTGCATACTGCGTCTTCTTCGGCCATGTTGGTCATGTATGGACTCATGCTGTTCCTTGGCCTCCATCACAAGCTTAAGACAATTGGGCATGCTCCTTATAAGAGGATTGTGCTCAATTATTGTCAATTTGTTTAAATCTATGACAGGAAGTCTGACCTCCTCCAAAAGTTCACATAAATCGCGGCGTCTTTCATCAATGTCATAATTCACCCACCTCATAACAGCCTCGTATACAGTATCCTCCACCTGTACTTCGATCCAATCACTCGCAATGTATTCTTTCAGACGATTTAAACTCAAGTGAAGGAATTCATCACTCTCCACAACACTACTGAAATTTTCTAAAGCATACTTGTGAGCATCATCCTGCAATTTCTTACATGAATGGATCATGGCAAATTCTTCTATCCCTAAACAATTACTGACATGCAGTTGTTGCTTGAGAAAATCACAGCATGCTGACACAATGGCAGGAAATTCAAACAAGCTTCCCGCAGACAACAGCTCCTGAGCATTCTCTGTTGTTATTTCCAGGTTTCCCGTATAGACATATTCAATTAAACGTTTCATAGTCCACGGTGACACCTCCTGAAATGAGACTCTGTAGTCACGCCCCTCTCGTAAGTTGTGTGAAAACATGGCACGAAAATATGGACTGCTGGCTGCCAGAATAATGCGGTGGCAGTAAATCTCTTCATGTTGAACACACAAGGTGGCATCAGTAAAAACCTGCTCTTGGCGGAGGTTGTTTAACTGTTTCAAGAGTTCAGGAGCGTACTGCAAACTTTTTAAATAACATTTCTCCTTTGAAGGAGTTCCCATGGTATCTCCAGGAGAAATATATGCTCTCTGTTAATATCGCATACCTAGTTTGGTAGTTGCTTCAATACTGGTCTAATCTGAAATGCAAAAGAAAAACTGATCTGAAAATTTTCTTTTAAAATCTTTCTGATTAGGTATCAATTGAGCAAAATATTAGTAACCAAAAACTAGACAGATTTTTAATATTTTAAATTACCTCATTATTTTTTTGTATTGATGAAATTTCAAAAAACATATTCAAGTATAAAATTTTTTAATGAACCACACACAAATTACAGCAATTTCCATGATGGTCTTTAAAATGAAATTATCATAATTGTGAGAACATCTGACAAAAAAAAAAAAACATAAACATATAAACACAACATAACAAAGAATTCAATTCCATTTCATGATATATAATACTTTACCTGGACAGCTGTGAAATGTATGTAACACTTGAACTATACATGTACTGGAGCTTGAACAATAGAAAACTACTGACCATGGCTAATTCCCAAACACTAAGCAGGTCCAAATCTGGTCCTCAAACTTTGCAGACTTATAGTCATTTACACCCAACAAACAATATTTGAAAGAGGTTTGTTTGTGATTGTTAAATCAAGCAGGAGTATTTAATACAAAAAACCTCTGCCTCAGCATTGGTTTGTTTCACAGTCCTTTAAATCTGCCAACAGAAACATCATTTACCTCTGGAATTAGCCGTAATAATCTGGACAGTAAGCTGTGGCAATGAATAGAGTGGAAAGAAAAGCGGAGAAAGGATAATGATGTAGACCGATGTAGAACTGTCATCAAAATCAATAGAAAACACAATCATCGCCTATTTAACAGTTCTCGTATTTCCTGTGTATCTGTTAAATGTGATAATTACAAAAAATTTGACACATAATCCATCTGCGTCTGGTCATAATAACAAGTGATATAATCTTATGTAACTATACATGCATCACCTCAAGGATTTGTAGAAAAGAGGATGAAAAATAAAATACAAAATATCATGCATTTCTCAGATTTCATATCCTGCATAACATGTTAGAAGAAATTTTGTGACATTTGCTGACATTTTATCATGACATTTGAATTTGCCCTTTAAATCATAACTTGTCAACAAGAAGTTTGTAATTTGGTATTCATGGAGGCAAATGTCTCTTTCTGTAGCAAAAAAATATTTAAATCATCATTTTTCAGTATGATGTCTTGGAAGTTTTTCCTTTTCCCATGTTTACCTTTTTTTCATTAAAGGGAAAAACGTATGGTTTATATTGAAAATTTCAAAATTAAGACTAGGAGCAACAGTCATACTTTTTTCCAGTATACTGTAAATGATTATTGAAAATATTGTATTGCGATTTATTTTCCAAATACAGTACTTTTTATTATTCAAGAGCAGTACTTACACATAAATATTTATATTATAAATGCTTAACATATGATTTGAAAACAAGTTGAAACAATCTATTTAATATATAAAGCCAAAGGGACCTTCTACACAATGTAACACTAATGAAATATGTTTTTTGAGCATTAAGTGAATTATATCGCACAAAGGTGTAAATATTGATTCTATCTATTTCATTTTCCACATGGGGTACCTGAGCCATTTTCCACTGGGAAAAACGTTTCTAGACAATGAAGTATTATTATAATACAGGAAAAATACAAGCTAATCAAGTGTTCCGTAAATTTATATGGGCCTAATGAAATGTTAAGAATGCTAGAATTGCTTACAAATTGAGTAATATCTACAGTTGAATTTTGATATCTCGAACACTGATATCTCAAATACCATGGATATGTCGAAGTGATTTGACAGTCCCAAATGCTTATTCCTTAAGTATTTACCCTGGGTATCTCGAATCCTCAGATATCTCGAAGTATTTTCTTGGTCCCATTGAGTTCAAAATAACGAGGTCTGACTGTATTTTATTTCTGATCTAAAGGCAGATCACTATAACTGCATAGAAATACTATGGAATTCAAAATCTCTAGTCCAAAACTGTAAAGGGCCTACTAGAGAGTTCTTAAATTTACTTTCAGTATAATTATATTTATTTGATTTAAATGATCAGGAATTTTGTTGCTCTCTGATTGGTCCAGACTCTCTTTTCTAAAGTGTACCTCTGAGTGAGTTCACCTCAAAATGAAGTTCTGGGAAGTTTATTTGGTTTTTCCTCTTGACCAAGCATAGATTTGCTTACAATTTTAGTATCAACCAATCAAATGCATTTTAAAGTATGTGTAGACGCCAATATCGTTGAGTCTATGCTCCTTTTTTTAGGGGGTAAATGGTAGAGTACTGGGGGTATTTATTGTTTTATAATATTATTTTCAACTTGTTAAACAGTTGTTAAACCGTTTAGTGTTGAATGAATATGATATGTTGCTTCAAAACAAATTATGAGTGTTTATTTTTGATGGGGACAATAACTATATTGCAAAAAATGATGTAAAATTCATATTTATTTAATAAAAAGGTTCTTGGAGATTTGAGGGCGGTGGACAATAACTTGGTTATTTACCAACTTATTGTGATGCTTCAGACTGCATCCATTTGTAAAACAAAACAGTGTAATTACAGGATCAAATAACTGTCTGACAATAAAATGACAGAACCGAGGGTTAATAAAAAGTTAATTTTTGAAATTAATTAATAAGCCATGTTGATTGAAACAAAACTGTCATTTTATTTTTCACTTTTAAGGGGGCAAGTAATGAGTGATTCGGCCTAGTAAAATTTTCCCATTACTAGCCTGACTGGAATAGTTCTCATAAAAGTTTTTGGCATACACTAAATAATTGTATAATATAACCACCAGTATATCTACTATATATACCCTTGTTTCATTACAATTATACAAGAGATTTAAGAACCCTCTCTACACTGCACACTAAAGAGTTCTGATTCTATGGTATTTTTCTGCAGTTAGAGTGATCTGCCCTTAGATCTAAATTCCAATAGATAGAAATTTACAGCATATTACTCAATTTGTAATCAATTCAAGTATTCTTAACATTTTAAAAGGCCAAGATAAATTAATTGAACATATTATTTACATGTATGTTCTCCATGGAAATAAACAACAGTGATTTCTGTTCACTGATACTGTGTTGTGTTTGAACATTTTTCCTGGGGGTAAATGCCACGCACCATATATTGAAAATTAAATAGATAAGCTCAATATTTACACCTTTATTCAGTGTAATTTTCTCAATGTCCAAAAAACATTCTGCACTGGTGTAGAGAGGGTCCTTAACTAATACATAAGTAACATGTATCAGGGGCAGATCCAGGAATTTCTGTTGGGGGAAGGGGGTATATTTTCAGAGGTAAGAGGTGGGGGCCTGGGCTCTGGTGGGGGTCCACGAGCAGGGCCAGACACTAACTTTTAATGCACAACAGCTGCAGGGATAGTGTTTTTGAATTCCCATGCCTTACTCTGTTTAATAAAGATGTTGTCAAGCAGCCTTGGGCTGGTGGTTGAGTCATGAAGTGACAAGATGGGTGGGTACAGGAGGGAGTTTCTCCCCTTTGCTGATGGGTATTGGGGGCCTCCCCTGGAAATTCTTGAAAACAGACACCAAATTTTGCATTCTGGCTTTATTTTAGGGCATAATAGTTTCATCTTATACAGACATTTTGTCTCAATGAAAGACTAAAAATTCATGCATTTCCTCGGTCAATTGTCAACGATAGTGCATTGCTTGTATTCATCGTTTTCACATCTTGGTTTCAAACACTTAACTGAATAATGAAGAAATGCACGAGATTTGAATCAAATTAACATTGGGCCATAACAAAGTCAGACAGTAGGACTTATCTGACAGTGACAATTCAAACATTATTTAGATCCATTAACAATTATAACAATTAAACTATAGTGAGAACAGCCATCTGTTGGGAGATTTCTTAACAAGTGCTTTAGACTCTTCCATCAATGTAATGTACCACTAATAATACAATAATTTAATACGTAATTACACCCACTTTATACAAATACAGATATAAATATAAATAATCACGTCTGTTTCTTAATGCAGGGAATAACAACCTTGGAATTTTGTCATTGCAGAAAAAAAATTACATATGCAAAGGTTGATTCAAAAGTTCATAGAATTTCTTCTATTTTGTTCATTTTCTAATAGAAGTGATTGAAAGAAGATGGGTGAACATGACGAGCGAAAAGCCTATAGTGTGACAAACATAAAGGTGAAAAATTAAATCTCAATTATATCAAAATTTTCCTTGATATTTCATCTAACATTAAAATATACTTCATGTAAAATCTCTACAATTTGCAAAAATCTCAAAAAGATTGAAATTATTTGCTTATGAAATATTGTACACACACTAAAGAGGGCAAAGAGAGTCATTTTTCTCATACTATAACACTATTTTTCGATATGAGTGGGTCTTTGCTCCATTTTTTTGAAAGTTAATCCTCAAAGTTTGCATAAAAATATACATTTTTTGGTTTCCTAAAATATGGAGCAAAGACCCACTATACCTTATAAATATACTTTTATGACATATCATTCGCATCTTTTCGAGAAATACTTGAAGTCCATTAAGTCAAGGGTCATATCACAAACATGATTTAAATGCCACTATTCATCAGATCTTGCAAAGTCTAGTGGTTAGCGTGCTAGTCTTGAAAGAAAATGATACTCAGGATTTTTAATGCTAGGGTTCAAACCCCCATGAATATCACATTTTTTTTTTTAATAAAAGAATAAATTTTCCGACAAAATTTTCCTCAGAAAAGTTTTGTTTATCATAATTTCATACATTTCAATGATGAGAACTTTAGTCTATATACTGAATTCACAAATTGAACATGATTTTTATAAATTTGAAGCTATAGGCTTTCTGCATGCTATGTTTGCCCATCTCCTTACAGATGAAAATAAATACTCTTGTTGAATTTTTCTATTAAAAAAATCTTAAAAATTCATGATATTAACACTTTGGCAGTTGCCATAGAAATGGATGTTTGAAAATGCTATTTGTACATTATCATTCAATTCTTAATACTCTGAGTCAGTGTGAGTAAAAAACGCCCTTACCTAAGTGTCATATATGAAAGGAAAATGATGTACTCATAATTATGATTGCTTGTGTAACGTGCTTGTGCACGTCAAGGGTGGTCAACGGCATGAAATTAGGTAACAAGAAAGGAGAAAATGTATGGCTGGACCAGGAATCGAACCCGTGACCCATGCATCACTAGTCAGGTGCTCTACTGACTGAGCTACCCAGGCTGATATCCACGACCCAAACCATTACATTCAAACTCTTATAAACCTTTGTGTGAAAGTTTTATCAACTTTACTGGATATACTAAGTTTTTCTATTGATGATTTTATCATTAGACAGCGTCAAATTTGGTCAAATAATAAGTTTTGTGAAAATCTCGGGAACACTCAGACTTATATGCATGTACTAATGATACCGGCAGGACAAAAGTGCAGTAAGCAACTGGTTTAAGAAATTCAAGGAAAACAGAACTTCCATGGAGGATGATAAAAGGTCTGGCTGCCTATTGGAAGGTTGTTTTTTTTCCTCGTAGACAAATTGAGAGTGTTATTAATGGAAGTGGGCTGCCAATGTACTGTGCCAGACATTGCTACTGAAATCGGAATTTCATATGGAAGGACGAAGCCTATATTTTAAGAAATTATTGTAATTTGAAGAAAGTGGGTGCAAGATGGGTACCCAGGCTTTTCTCGAAAGCTGAAAGGGAGAAAACAATGCAGTGCTCCATAGAATTTTTAAGTCAATTTGAACATGAGGGTGAGATGCTCCTAGAATGTGACGTGACATACCTAACTTGACCTTACGTCAAAGGCTCCCCTATTTTAGCCCTCTCCCTACAGCAAGGTCAAGGTAAATAAACTGCATAACATTATTTGCTTTAATCACATCACAATAAAATTTTAGAAACTCCACAAACTTTTGGAATAACCCTCGTAACTCACTAATGCAGGTTAATTTTTTTTCTGTAATGTTAAAACCATTCTCCATGCATTAAATAAACAAAGAAAGCATTTAAGTATTTTAATAATTGTTTAGTGTATCTTTGTTTTTCAATATTGGTTTACAAAATGAATTAACATATATTGTAATTTGTTGGGGTGATGATAATATATTCTGGCATATTGATAACACTAAGTACAGGTCTGGCACAATCTCTTGATTAAGCTATATAGCTTGATTTAGCTATATAGCTTTACTAAGCTATTCAGAATAGCTTGATTTAGCTATTTTATCACACTTTTTTCTCAAATGTGTTATTTTCCAAGTATGCACAAAAAGTCACACCTTGGTGCAGTGATGATATTCAACCTTGAACTCTTATGAAAGTAATGCATGTAAAAATCACTCATCAAATTGCGTCTCCTTAAGAGACTTTGTACTCAAAGTTCTAATGGCCGGTTGCGTACCTTTGGCTCAGATAAGTACAGCTCAGCCGCTGATCCGTGGATCACGTAAGCCGGGTTTAAACCCTAGTTGAGTCAGGTTTACTTGAGACGTAGTTCTGTTGCACACTATAAAACTGAGTAAGGCTTACCTAATCTTGACTTTCTCAAATAAAAATGTTGAAGGCTAGTAAGTTTCCTAATTTTACAGCACTTTAAAACAAGTTTTAATATAACTGGTGAAATTTAGAAAGGATATATTTAAAAACAAAGAGATATATTGATATATATTGATGATAAATTGTTAATTAAAAATGCAAAAACAAACAAACAAAAAAAATTGCAATACAATTTAATTCAAACCACGGGATCTATCATCAAAATTCAAACCACAAGAAAATAAGAAATCGCAAACAGAATACACTTTTGCAAAAGACTGAAGAAAGGAAAAACTGAGAGGGGGTCTTGGGAATAGGTAATTTATTTATTACTTTTAATACTTAATTAATTTAATACCAAAACGTAAGACAGGGGTAAATAATGAAGAAACAATGTATAGATTTGACTTTTTAATTTAAAATCAAATGATACCTTTTCTGTAGATATCAAGCCATTAGTACTTAGTTGTTCATAAAGTTTAGTTTGACATACAACTAATGAAACACAGATATTATTTGGGCCTTATTCATATAGCCAGCAATCGTGAAACATCATTCATTTCGGTACAAGTATTAATAAATGTGAGTTTATTGTGATGTTCTCACTGATAAGGCTCGTAGGAAGCATTTTCAGATGGGAGGGGGTGTGGGACACAACCAAACATTTTCAGTTAAGGGGGGAGCTACCCAAGTATCCTTGTCAAGCAAAATAAAAAAAACGTCATCAGACATTATTGAGAAGGCACAAACATATAAAATATAGGGTCCGGGCCCCCCCCCCCCCCCCCCCCCCGGTTCCTATGACCATGCGGATAGCCTGCACAATAGTAGAAAAATAAACTGTTTATATCTAAAGAATTCGGCATTATTAGAAATTATTGGAATGTGTATCATCATCTGTTTGCTTTCTTTGAAAGTGTGAAAATTGTAATTTGATTTAAATTTTATATATGAGAACGTTTCTATCAAACCTCTTTTTAATGTACATTTGTGTACCCCAATAAATTCCCTTTTGAAAATTTCTAGTAACTTTATACTTTAGCTGCATCAGTGTTAAAACGGCACGTTGAAGAGTTGTGCCAAAAAAAAAGAAAAGAAAAAAAAACAATATGACCATAAAAAAATTCTTGCAGAATAGCCTTTTTAATATGGCGAAATCTATCAATACAATCATCATCACCATAAAACATTTCTGCAACATCAAAACAGTTCAAAATATCAAAATATTCTACCAAAAATCCAAGGAAACGATATCAAGCTTGGTTTAAACCACCCCTACACCAGGTTCAGAATTTACCGTAATTCTGAGCTGTACTCAGCCAAGCCTTACCTGTGTGCAACGAGTAAACTTGGATTTAAACCCGGAATCATTGATCGAAGGTTTAAATCCGAGGTACGCAACCGGCCATAAAAGTTTTCGGGCTATATATTTAACAATTGATACAGTTACTTCTTCAATGAAATTATAAAAGAGGCCAATTATGGTCAACAAGATAATTGATTGGTAATAATTCAGTACAATGAGAAGCAATCATACTTATCCATGCCTTAATGCACACAAGGTAGTGTACAGTTACCCAAACAATGGAAATTCATCTTTTGCTTAAAAGTATTCAAAAGCTGCAATGTTAGAACTCTCTTTGATTTGGGTTGTTGATTTGATAACCCATATTACATATATGAATGATCAAATACTTGCGACTTTTTGTCTGTTTTGTACAAATGACATTTTTGTGAAAACCTGCATATAAATAGCTTATCAAGCTATTTTGAATAGCTTAATAAAGCTATATAGCTATTTCAAGCTATATAGCTTAATCAAGAGATTGTGCTGGACCTGTAGTATATGAATATGCAGCTGTCTACATGAAGAACTGTCTTAGTGAGTGTAATGACTTCAAAGAAACTTTTGTCAAAAGCATGAGGACCGAATTCAGTTGAAACACCAACCAAGCAAACGAAACATCTAACACGTTTATAGTTTTTGAACATGTTGAAACAGCTGTTGAGTAAATTCTCTTACAAATTCTTATAAAAATTCTATATAAAAAAGAACCATACCAATAGTATGAAATTTCATTTTTTACAACCAAATCTTGATAATTATAATAGAAAACCCGAAAGTTAAGTCAAAAGACTTGAAGTCGTCCTAACCTCATTACTCCAGTACTGATCCTTCTTGAAGGAAATTCGAACTACGAAGAAATCTGCTATACCAAACTTGGTGCTCTAGATATTTTTACAATTGGATTTTTTAATGATTGTTTTTACCTTAATATAACTGTTTCTTCCATTTAAAACATTGCATTACCTTTATTTGTGCCATCTTAGTATTCTTTATCCTCCTCTTTCTCTCCGACGTCCGTTAGTCGAAGGGGAACAACTCCATTTAGATCTAATTTTATGAGCATTTGAAAGGGGGGGGGGGGGTTAAATACTTGCTTGTTCTATTACTGTTCTGTTATATGCTGGTATATAATTTCTTCATTATGAAACGTCACTTTGATAACTCAATAAAACGACAGGCCTATGGGCCACAAAGCTCACCAAGGCAACGGGTGGTTGTGTATTTACAGTAGCTAAGACATCATTTAATTTTTTCACTACATATTTCATAGTAAACGTTATCTGTAGCTCATTTTGTATGGTCCAATAAATATTTACATTATACATGTAACATATGGCTTTGAGGGGGGTCAACATTATACAAATATTGCTTTTTTTTTGTTATTATTTTTTAGGTCCATACGATGATTTAACCACCTGAGAAGTGTAATATTCACAAAGCCCGAATGTGTTCTTGAGAGAATTTCTTTTTCCTGTACACAATGTAACATTTGGATCTCTTATTTCAGCCTAACCTTAAGCCCATGGTTCATACTAAAAAAGAAAGAAAAAAGAAATTTGTCCATAGGAAATGAATGCCCCGCCTAGAGTATATTAGTAATGCACATGAAAATTTGAATTAGTGTATGAAGTTTGATGAGAATATCTTGAGTAGTTTCTTTAAAATTGAAATCTAAAAAAAAAATGGATATAGATGATAAATTTTCACCAAATAATGTATGCATATATAAGTGCATAAGCTAAAATAAAAATATCTTCAATGGTTTCTTTAAAACTAAACATCAAGACAAGTGAGGTCAAGGTCACAGAAAAGTTCAAGGTAAAAAATGTTGATGTAGTTGAATAGCTCTCACTAATACATATCAGCATATTAAGTTTGATAAAAATATCTTGAATGGTTTATTTAAAACTAAGCTAAACACTAGTGAGGTCAAGGTCATAGAAAATGTCAAGGTCAAAAAATGTTGATGGGTTGAAAAGCTTACATCAGTATGTATTAGCATCTGAAGTTTTAATAAAAATATCATGAATGGTTTCTTTAAAATAGAGCTATACACAAATTTAAGAAAAGTGAGGTCAAGTTCAAAGGAAAGGTCAAGGTCAAAAAATATTGATGCAGTTGAATAGCTTACTTTAGTATGTATCAGCAAATGAAGTTTAATAACACTCTCTTGAATAGTTTCTTTAAAACTGAGCAAAACAAAAATTTAAGAAGAGTGAGGTCAAGGTCAAAGGAAAGGTCAAGGTCAAAAAATGTTAATGTAGTTGAATAGCGCTCATCAAAATGTATCAGCATATGAAGTTTGATGAAATATCTTGAATATTTTTCTTTGAAACTGAGCTTTGAACTGAGCTAAATGCAAAGCGCGACGGAATGACGGAAGGGCAGAAGACGGACAAGACAAACTCTATATGCCCCGGCCATATTCATATAAAGGTGCTATACGCAGGTGAGTTAAGGCTAAGTATAGGCATTTCTATTGAAATAAACTAATTCAAGTGCCTATGGACTATATCTATTTTACAGAGAAAGTTAAAACTTATGGTCTAATACATACTTGGTACCCATGACATGAGATAGCCAGTACACATTATGACGTCATTGTTCTTTACTACACAAAATTATAAATGGACATCAACAAAAATGCTTCGGTGCAAGGGCATGCTGTATTTTATTTAACTGAAACAAGGTACATTTTGAAGCAAAATATTCCAAAGATTGCTGGTATTGCTGCACAAATATCAACAGCTCAGTTGTATAATTTCTATTTGTAAAGTTTTAAGTTGAATCAGGGTAAAAATACACAGTCCGGTATAAGTTTCCTCAAATTCCGATCAAATGAGAAAATGCCTAGGATTTGTGCACCATGCAGTTTTATTAATCTATAGAATATTCTTCTTAACATTACACAATTTCTACGTACTAAAAATAAATAGGGTAATCCCTTGCGCCAAAGCTGTTTTGTTGATGCGTTTTTTGCCTCCAGTAGGTAAGAACAATGATGTCATTATATGACGTCATAATGTATACTGGCTATAACATATCGTGGGTACTAGGTATGCATAAGAAAATAAATCAAAACTTTCTTGGAATAATAGATATATCTCTTATGCATTTTTATTAGCTCATTTGCATAGAAATGCCTATACCTAACTTTAACTCACATGCGTATAAGGAAACCTGTCTAATCCGACATGCACTGGGAGACAATTTTTTGTTGGAATAGACAGGTTGTCAAATTGCACAGTATATCCATGGTAGAAAACATTTAAATGGGAATTTAAATAAGGGTTGGAATTTATGAAACAGATTGCACAGGTGTCATTAGACATTTTTCACTGTTTCACTTGGTTCTAGAGAAGATTTTTTCATAAGTAAAACTTTAATTGCCTAATATGGCCCTACCCTACCCCTGGTGAGGGGGGATGTGATGATTTAAACAAACTTGAATCTACAGTACCTGAGGATGCCTCTATATATATGACTAATCATGGCTTTGCTGCACTTGAGATTTTTTTTCTATATATTCTTATGTAAAACTTTTATCACCTATTGGGCCCCACCCTACCCCCCGGGGTCATGATTCGAACAAATCTGAATCTACACTACTTGTGGATGCTTCAATATAAATATGACTAATCACAGCTTTGCTCTTCTTAAGATTTTTCTCATATACAGGTAGTTTATGTCTAATATAGTGGCTTAACTGTTTTTTGAGATGATTTAAAAATTTTTTTTCCTATATACTCCCACATAAAATTTTAACCCCTTGTGGCCACACCCTACTCTTTTGGATCATGATTTGAACAAACTTAAATCTACACTATGTAATGAGGCTTCCACATAAGTTTCATCTTTTCTGGCCCAGTGGTTCTTGAGAAGATTTTTAAAAGATGCCATTACATTTCACTAATTCTTAATCATCTCCCCTTGAAAAAGGGTGTGGCCCTTCATTTGAACAAACTTGAACCCTTTCACCAAAAGATGCTTTGTGGCAAGTTTGGTTGAAATTGGCCCAGTGGTTCTGGAGATGAAATTGTGAATACTGTAGAACACTAAATTTTCGCGACACCTTATTTTCGCGAGATAGTCATTGACTTTTTATTAGCGAGACAAAATTTTCACAAAATTGTGGTTATTGCTCTATAATTTTTAGAAATATTCATATACATGTACGTGAGAATGCAATTTTCACGAGCACACCTTCTCACGTAATTACACGAAAAATAAAGTTCTTGTGAATAAAAAGTGATTTACAGTAGTTTCCACTAACAACAAACAAATTTTTATTAATAAAGCTCCCTTAAACCTTTGGCCCAGTTGAGCTAATAAATAGAGGATATTCAATGTTTTGTAGAATTTATTGACAATAGTGAACCAAAGTACTTTTTAGAGCCCGCTTTTCAACAGCTATTTCTTCTAAAATTCTTTAACTTAAAGTGTCAGAAAATGTGTTTCTATTTTATTTCTAGTCACTTCATGCTCTAATTATATGAAACTGTAGGAAATTGAAAATATTTTGTGATAAAGAAAATTTTAAAAATGTCATTCAAACACATTAAAAGTGAGAATCTTTATTCTATAAAAACTATACAATATACAAATCAAAATATGGTGATTCTTGAAAACAAATTAAAAGACAATTAAAATTTCACTAAAGAAAGTGATCTTCTACAAGACACATGTCAATCAATTCTAAAACTAAGACTACTGTCACTATTAACCAGATTCTGGCAAGTTCCTACATTTGAACTTTCCATCAAATCACTTAAAGACTTGAAATTGATAATCTGGATATCATAAAATGCTGATCACAGTGTTTTTCTTGCCGTCTTCTACAGCTCGGCCAGTTTGGATTGTTTCCTTTCTCAGAGGAACACCAGGATTGTTTGGTCACCCACACTAATGTCAGGCTGAACTACCCATCAATCATTCTAAAATAAAGAAATTTGTCCTTAAGTTTTTTTTTTTTATCAATTACAGAAATCTATAATTTTCTCTTTACATAAAATTACAGTTGATTTTTTTTTATCTCAAATACCATAGATATGTTGAAATAAGGTGGAAGTCCCTACCACCTTTTCTTGTGTATTTTAACCTTAACATCTCTAATCCTTGGATATCTCTCTGTTTTTTTCTTGGTCCCATTGATTCAAGATAATGAGGGTTGACTGTTCATGTATTTTGAGGGGAAATCAAAATGTTCTATATGACTATATAAAAGATAAATCACTAATGTTTATAGAGGATGCTTAAACTCAAAAAAAAAAGAGGGCCACGGACCACAAGGCTCACATGAGTAACACCGGCCCCCTTTTATTAAGAAAAGATTTTAATATATTTTCCCTCTCTATTTACATGAAAAAATTTGACCCCATATTTTGACCCAACCCTATCCCCAAATGTCCATGTTAAAACTTGAATCCACACAACATTGAAATGCTTTAATATCAATATGGCCTTCTGTTCCACAGAAAATATTTTCAAGATTTCTTTCCTGTATACTAGGATTAGGTAACATTTGATCCCCTAATTTAGCCCCACCCTAACTCAAGGGACACTAATTTAGAGAAAAAAGACTTGTATCCACACAACTTGAGTATGTTTTCATATAAATACAATTTATTGGAACCTACTATTCTTATTTATATTAATTGCCTTTACATCTTAGCATAAAGCTTTGATTGTGGCCCCTTATCTTAAGGATGTACAACACACACACCCCAAGAAAATTTCCTGTCATTTAATTTTTGTTATTTTTGTATATTTTATACATGACTATATCTACTATGTGTATGCACATTTTGGACAAAATCATTCGAGTTGTGTTTGGACAGGAAGTTAGAAAAGTTACCCACCTTTAGCTGTGTACTATACTATAACTATAAATGTTTTATCAGAAAAGCCTTTTTTGCCTTTGGTTCAGGTGAGCTAAAACTAGCTGTAATTCCTATATTACGGGAATAGGAAGTTGGACAACACTGTACCCACCTTTGGACTGTGTGCTGTCTGTGGTTAATGGCTCTGGTTTGTCAACTCGGGATGATTCTTGTTCTTTATCTTCAGGGGAGGTAATTTCTGTTTCTCCAGATGCTATCTGCTCATTGTTGGACTCTGGTTCCTTGTCTGGGTTGTCTCCTTCTTCTTTGGGTTTCTCTTCATCTGTTCCCAACATAGTCTGTAAAAAAAATTACAATGTTTTCATTGTACACAAATAAAACTAAATTTTAGTGTTAAGACAGATATTTTATATTAATACATCGTTAAAGGTGTCCCCACGTCAAAATCTTCTATGGATTAAACTTTTTTGCATGATAGTATGTTTTGTAGAAATATCATTTAATAGTAACAATAAAAAATGTAGATTTGTAAAAGATAACAAAATGTTAATATATCCTTCAATTAATCATTTATCAAATACAATTTTAAAAAAAGGCATGAGGTTTTACTTATGTTTCTTCATTCAAGTAAAATATCTCTACCATATACAGTTTTTTCTGATATCAACAATTTAGATACATTTATTTTCAAGTTATTTGAAACTGTTAAAATTATGTTATTTTTGTTATATGTTGTTATTTTCTGAAGTAGACATGCACTTCTGTTTATTTTTTCCTTACATCTTTAAATAAGTGAAAAACCTATAAATTTTTTGTGATTGTTATAGATATCTAAATACAATAAGTGGAAATTAATGCCGTTTTTCTACTTAAACCATTAAAATGATAAGGGTGGAGTCATCTTAATAGTGTACCTTTATCTGTTTTTTTTTCATATATTTTGAAAGCACCAAAACTGAACATGATATTCATGTACATGTACATAAAGCTACTACATGTATATACATCAGATCATTTCTGCAACAGTCTCAGATCCTGTTTTCAGTCAATACCTGGATAACATCAGCAAAATAATCCGCTTTTTCAGCCATCTCTGCTAATTTAGAGTTCTCCTCTCGCAGATCTTCAACTTCTTTGTGCAACTGGAAATTTTGAGTCAAACTTAAATTCAATTATTTTTATCTCAAAATATCTGTGTTTTTTTTTTTTTAAATCTCTTTCTTTAAAACCAGTATCTAAAGAAGAGCATTTAATTTGATAACATGTGCACTGTAAGTCCCTTTTCTGATCTACCACAATACCATTTTTTATTTGTAAACTTTTAATATATTCATTTTAACACCCTGAATTCTTTTTTAAAATCTAATAGATGGCATGTACATTCATAGAAGAAAGTGTTTCCATACACACCATTTCGTTTTCGTGAAGTGAATCATTTAATGCCACTCGTCTCTGCTCAGCCAGTTCCTTCCAGTAAGACTCAGGAACTTCCTCTATAAAAAAGGAAGTGACATGTACATTGTCTTATTATCTCTCACTTGCAATTTTTTTTGAGAGGAAATATCCCATTTTATTATAATAGTTAACAAAATAAGTGCTCAAGGATCTCAACTTTAAAATACTGATCTGATATTTTCTTGTGAGTATTTATATTTAAAATTCAATTCATTATAAAACTTTTGAACTCATGAACAACTTTAGTATTTAGTACTTCCAAAAATACATTTAAAAGTCATACTTGGGGGGGGGGGGGGGAATAAATATATAAATATATATATATATATATATATATATATATATATATATATATATATATATATATATATATATATATATATATATATATATATATATATTGTGAATTCCCATTACATACTTTAACAAATTCATTATACGGATATAACGAATTAAGGATATAGCGAAGTAAACTTGCAGGACCCCAGGACTTTGCTATAACCAAATTTTACTATATATCATTTGTAAATTGTATGGTCAGATAAAATTGTTTGAAAGATGGTCCTTGTGGTATGTTCAAAGCAGGATTTATCTTTGTTACTATCAATAAATGCTTTCTAAATATCATTTCCAGAACTCTTACCGCTGACCATTAATTCATAAGCCTCATCATCAATGTCTTCATCCACAGACCCTAGACTTTTCAGCCTTCTGTTCCTCTCTGTTTGTACAGCTTTATGGTCAAATGTTCTCTCGTTTTTAGGATCGTTGTACACAGTCAAAGGTTCCTTCAGGGGTATCAGTTTTGTAACTTTTTTCTACAAGAAACAACAGATAAGATTTTTATTTTGCCTAATTAAGAAAGGCCCATATGATCTTTTATGGTGCGAAAATTAAAGGAAAACAAGATATGTGCATCTCCAATATTTATGATGTATGCACTGGGTACATAACTTAATATTATGATGGTGAATTTGAAATAAAGTATTAACGTCATGAATCTTATTTTATTACATCAACATTGTAAAACCAGTTCTTCAAATCAGAACATTAATTTGTTTTAATTTCAATTGTGAGACAGATCCTTCAAATAAATAGCACACTTCTAACCTTTGTTGTGGAGGCTTGCCCTGTCTGTCCTATCAGTTTTTGTGGATTTTGAGCAGAACATTGAAGAGTCTGGAAGATTTTTCGGCTTCCTTGCAACTGATCCTGAAAGAATATCAAGTGAAATAATTTATGAAGTTTTATGTACAGTTACAACATTACTTTAAAGGATGCTAAGACCAAACATGTGGTTAATTACTTTGAAAAGTAATTGATTAAATTACAATTACTTTGAAATCTCAAGATTATAATTACAATTAAATTACTTAATTTCTGAGAAAACGTAACCATTGTTTTATTTGCAAATAAGATTCTTTAGAATTTAAACTAAAGCATTTGCTGTTATAAAATGCATAATATGATTATCTAATAAACTATGTCAAGCAAAGTCAGGTAGAATTTTAATATTTTTAATAAAAAAATTATTTATGAAAATAAAACCCAATACTTGTGAATATTTTTAAAACCTATGGACAAAATTTTCAAGGGACAAGTCACAGGTACAGAGAATATATTACGCAATCATATTTTAAAAAAGAAATTGAAACGAAAATGAGAAATTTTGGGAAATAAATTATTTTAAAATTTGGACCATCTATGTAATTTTTTACACTCTAGCTGGAGAAATATCAAGTTTTTTACATTGATATATCTACTGTTTTTTCTTATTTGACTAACAAAGAATGAAAAGACAAAGTGTTTACCACAGTTCAGACTTAAAAATTCTGCCAATCCTATAATATTTGTTTTTCAAATGATAATATACACTGGGGAAAATCTTAATGCATATTGCTTGTTTATATAATTGTCACAAAGTACTTTGCATTAAATAAAGACTTACAACTCAGTAGACTTTGTCTTTTTTATTTTTTTTAAATGGTAACACTTTTTGTTCCAACATGGGAGCAGTCGCCAAAATGGGATATAATAGCCTGTTTGGGATAAAATACTGCATACAGGGAAATTTTTGCCCCTTTCATCCTAATCACAGGTGAGCGAATTTAAAACAGTGCGAATTCAAAGAACACAGTTTAATTTCTTAAACAAAACTGCGACTGGTCGAATTTAGAACGGGGCAAAATTGTTTGCAAGTGTGAAAGGGCGAAAATAACCCTGTATACAGTATCCTAAATGGGATATAAATTTACAGTACAAAAAATGAAAATTTTATTTTGGCTAAAAATATCATTAATCCGCATCAAAATACTTAAAAAAAAATTTAACTTTTGGCAAGCAAGTTTTTCTGCAACCCTACAGTTTGTTAGATTGATCTCTAAGAAGTTTAGGAACTTCTGAGGGATGAATCTCCTGAACAGTGGGTATACAGAAATAGTGTTAAATCCAAAGCAAACTAGCATGGCGCGGCGCCATGCCTTTTTTCCTCGCCGCCATGCCCTTTTTTCCAGCGCCATGCCCTTTTTCTGCTTGCCAAAAATAAATAATATGCCCAACAGTGGAGATTGACTAGCTGCTACGTTTATTCAGTGCATGCTGATTAGCCCTTTTGTTTATTTATGTGTACTCAAAGGTGTGAATTCACAGCAGGAAATTACTTCTCACTTGAACGCACACAGCCACTTGGTCAGGTAACATGCCTCAGACTGTTAGGGTATAGGAGATAACATGAGAAAAACATCATTTGATTGCATTGAATATGCAGGAATTAGCCCAACGTCTAAGATAGATGAACTTGTGAATTAAATGAATTAAGACAGAATCGTTTTTTTTTTTAACTGAAAGTAGGAAAAAACATAGTTGATGATGAAAAGTGTAAAACAGTCTGCTAATTTAATCTGAATAAACTCAACTTGTATTACACCAAACTGAATATTATATGAGAAATGGGCTCGGAAACAACAAAGTATGAAGTGAATTTCTTTGAATGATTTTTTTTTTCTTTTGAGTTGACACCCTGAGGGTCAATTAAAAGAATTTAACAAGATTTACAAGATTTATTTCATTAAAGTTTTATTTTTTTATTTATTTATTTTTTTGTTTAGATCAAAAATTCCACTTGATAATATTGATAGATTATTTTCCAAAGAAGGAAACTGCCAATAACAATTATTTTCTAAGTAACCCCCCCCCCCCCCCTCCCCTTGGAAAAAAAATACTTTTGTTTTTTGCATGTCATACACCAATAACACTATTCCAAACAGGAAAAAATCTTGGGATGCCTCCAACTGATAATTCTTGGTGCATGCAACAGCTAGATTCACACCTATAATGGTTTTTAAAATAACCTAATATCTAATTCCTTGTGTAAAAAATTAAATATACATTTTTTAATTGTCATGTCAGTGTGTGAATAGTATTATGCTGTTTTTCTTTTTTAAAAATGAATAATTGAAAACAGGTTTATAAATTTCATTACCTTTTAATTATACTTGTTTACAATGTAAATAAAGATTTTAGTATACATGTAATAATAATTAAAGTACATAGAGTAAAAGTTTATAATTTCAAAGGCACGTTAAAGAAGGCCCCCACGAAAACTTGTCGCGGAATCAAGTGCCCTTTTGATTTTTGGATTACCATGCCCTTTTTAGGGTCTAGATTTAACACTAAGAAAAACTTACTAACCAAAAGTTATTCCTTTATAAGTACATGTATCTTGATGCAGATTTGTGATATTTATAGCCAAAATTAAAATGTTCATTTTTGCACTGTAAATTTATATCCTATTTGGGATATTATATCCCAAACAGGCTATTATATCCCATTTGAATTCGGGTGGTTTCGCCCGTATTACCTATTCGCCCTAAGTGGTTTCGCACCGTTTCCCTGTTCGCCATGAGTGGATTCGCCTTGAGTGGTTTTCTTCAATCATACTGTGTACTTGATGTTTATTTAAGCAAAAGTCGTTTGATCACTGAGTGTTTAGATTAAAATAGACATAAGGTAGATTAACATTATCATAATATTGAGCATGTTAATTAAATTTAATTATGAGTTGTCAATCAATACTAAATAATTATTTCCAATTTTAACGACAGATGACATGAATTTTTCTTTAAAAAATCACGAACAAGGGGAAAAAAAAACAAACTAAATTCAGCTGTGTTAAAATATGTAAAATAAATAAGCTTGTTTAATCGTTTCAATTTTATTCCAACAATCTCCATCTTTTTCTCAAATTTTGATTGAAGTAGATTTACGTTATTTTAAAATCATAATCAAATAGGTGTACTGTGTAGATTGCATCGCTTTAGATACAATAAAAACCTATCCCATAGCATACACGCAAAAACCATAAAACATTGAAGATATGTCATAGCAAAATGCCAAAATACAGACAGGTATAACTGGGGCGAAACCACTCGACGCGAAACCACCCAGAGTGAACATGTAAGCGGGGCGAACCCACCCGTTACCTCCCATTTGGGCGATTGAGCCTAACTTGTTCAAGATTTAAAAGGTAACGGGTGGGTTCGCCCCGATTACAATTTACATGTTCCCTCTGAGTTGTTTTGCCATGAGTGGATAATACCTGTTACCTGTAAGTTAAATGTTTTAATTTTTCCACGTGTATTTTTGCAGTTTGCTATGACAATGTTTTATGTTTGTGCTTTTTTTGGCATATGTGCTATGGAAAAGGCTTTTATTGTATCTACTGTAGATTCTTTATTTTTCGCGAGTACTTATTATCGCGAAATGGTAAAAAAATCTACTTAGATCAAACTTTGAAAAAAAGATGGAGGTTGCTAGAATAAAATTGAAATGATTAAATTAAACATATATTTTACATATTCAACACAGATGAATTATTGTTTTTTTCCCTTTGTTCATGATTTTTTAAAAGATCTGTCATGAAAATTGGACTGGAAATAACTATTTTAAGTATTGATCAGCAACTCGTAATTGAATTTAATTAAAGTGCTCAATAATTATATTAATCTAAACACTCATTAATCAATTTACTGTTTGCTTACTGTTAAAGAAACATCAAGCAAACTGTATGTTTGAAGAAAAAGACTTGGGCCGAATCCACTCAGGGTTAACAGGGAAATGGCGCGAAACCACTCAGAGCGAACAGGTAATCGGGGTGAAACCACAATTCATTTAAAAAATGAGAGCTTAAAAATTATGAAAACTTTCATTTTTGCACCAATTTGAAAAAGTGAAACTGTTTTGGAAATGGTTTTGAAGCCTCTTAAAAACAAACAATTGCCTTTTAAATTAAGAAATGCTTTTTAAAAATTATGCTCCATAGGCCTAGCTAATTTTGGGTACCGGCTACTTTTTGATCACCCCTACACTCCCCTGTGGGGTAACTTTAAGTTTTATGCATGTCAGGTAATATGATGCGTGAGTTAGTGAAACAGGCAATGTATCAATTTTAAAAAATTAACTCTAAATTATAATAAACAATATGACAGGAAAGGTTGAAAATAATTATATATTAGACCCAAGTCATCGCGTTCATAGCAGTTGAAGTGATCGCATCCTCTCTGTTTACAAAAATCAGCTGTACATTTCGGTAATATTTCGTACCTAAATTTTAAATGTTTCACCTAGAATTTATCATAAGTTAATACATACACTATCTTTGTTCATTTTTTCTTTGTGTGAAGACTTAAAAGGGCATAAATTTTCTTGGGATTCAATGTTCCTTGCAATCTCCATCTTGAAGTTGAAATCCCCGGGAAGATATCACGTGACACGTAACTTGTTAACTCGATCATAAATATGTCGAACAAAGAACATTTGCCGAAAGTTTGAAGAAAAATTATGCCCATAAATTTTTGAATATAATCATTTAAGAATATGACCACAAAAGTCTATTTCTCGCTTTTTTCTTCACTTAAATTTCAGGCCCGTAGCAGCGGTTTCAAAAGGGGGAGGCAACTTCCAAAATAAAATATGACCCCCCCCCCCAAATAAAACAACATAATTTACTGTCCAAATCCGGAAATTTTCCAGTGCTTGACCTCTTACAACATCAAAAAGTGGGGGGGGGGGGCAAACTGCATCTATAGGAAAATTTACTAAGCAAAATATTATACTCAGAAAAAAGTGCCCCCCCCCCTTCTACGGGCCTGAATTTCTAAATAATTATTTCTACTCATAATCACCAGTGATATCTTTCCCACATATATAAGGGTTTGCCCCGATTCTTTGTTTGCCCCCATGGAGATTTCACACCAAGTGATTTCAACCCATTTTTACCGCTGATAACATATATACGGTTGAAGAGAGTGGTTCCACCTCTTTTATAAACATTGTCAATATAAATATACTGTATATATATATATATATATATATATATATATATATATATATATATATATATATATATATATATATATATATATATATATATATATATATTATATTGGATGGTGGGTAGATTGTATAACCATTTAATTTTAATGCTTAACTACCAACTTAAAAAAATAATTTATAAAAGTTTCAATACTTAAAAATAAAATAAATAAAAAATTCATATAATATTAATCATTAAATCTTAAGAATCAAAAAAAATTAATTATATGTAGTTTTCAGGAATACATGCAAGGATGCAGCTAAACATGTCAAAATGTTTTGATAGAATGATAAAATTCAGAAATAATGATTGAATGATTGACCTCTCAATTTAAAAGTTTAAGGTGCTCATCATTAATTTAAAAACTGCAATGTTCATATGACCATATCCAACAATTATAATTTAATATAAACACACATCATTTAGGCAAAACCACTCGGGGTGAATCCACTCGGGCCAACAGGGAACTGGCACAAAGAAAAAATCTCTGATTACTTCAGAGTACAATATTTATTTATAAAGAGTCTCTCCATAGATGACTCTGGATCCTACATATATAAAAACATTCATTGTTATCACATTTGAGGTCTTCAACGGCAAGACATAATTTTGTTTTTCCTTTACCACCATATTGTATAATGCTGTTAACAATAATGGCTATACATGTATTCTGCAAAATATTGAATTTATGAAATATGAATTTATCTAAATGCTTTTAAAATTAAACTAATCAGTGAGTAAAATGCTATTCTGCTATTAATAATAAATGATAGCAATTAACATCTAGTTTTCAATCATCTGATCATGCCTCAGACTGTCTCATACAACATGCCATATGCAGAGAATACATAATTCATTAAAAAGAGAAAAAGGGAAATTACATATTAATAGATGAGATCACGGGTTAAATGACTACGGGCATGTAGCTGCTTATTAACTGATTAAGCTAAGACCAATTTAAACATACATTTAATAATTTTCAGAGCTTGAATCATTTTTATTCATTTTAAAAGCCGTAAATATATGTATCTTAAATAAAAGAAAATTAGTCAATCACACTCTGTTATGTGTATAAAACAATTCATACCAGATACATGTACATGAATGCAAACTACAACAAACATGAGATTTCTGAACAAGAAATATACACACAATTTATTTACATGTCTTTATAGAATTGTATGAAGAGCTACATGTATCTATAATTATGACGGGTATAAGGATATGGGTCTATGACTGTCTGCTGTCACCCTCTGATATATGAGAAAAGTCAATTTCTCTGACAAAATAGAACTAGATGATAGTACTGTGGCTTTCAATTTAAATACAATGTATACTTAGTATACAAATGGACATGTATCAAAGCAGAAAACTAAAAATGTACAATAAATGATTGGTCCCCACTGTATACAAACAAAAAAACTGAATACATTGGTGTGAGTATATAGACATTTCTCTTAATTATATTTACTCTCAAGGTCAACAGAATCAACTATTCTGAACACATGCACTGATAATGAAAATGTATTCTAGACATTGAATGCAGTTGTTTTTTTTTTAATATTGTGCATGTATCAGCTTCAACCCTTCTTTATCAACATTAAATCAATATTTATAAGCTACATGTATTTCTAATTTTATGTTACATTTTTGATAAATATATCAGTATACAACAAGCTATCCTTGACTGCTATTTTTTCAATATCTACACATATTTTTGGCCGTGTTAAACCTGTGCTCTTGACAAACACAGTTTTGAGATAACTACACTTATCACAGTGTTTAGTTATCTTACAAAAAAAAAATAATGGAATGTGCACTCTCATAAATCTACTACTTTTCTAACTTTCACTGAATTTGTTTATATAAATATTTTTTCTTATTTTCATAAAATAGTTCGACTTGCTACAAAGTGTTAAAACAAGACCAATATCTGGCAAGTTAAATTGTATATAAAAGTTAATAAACCTCTATTCAAAATAAAAATAATTCACTTAACATGATTTAAAAAGATGTTTGACTTTTTTTTTAACATTGCTGTATTAATCTATGTACATGTATATTGTACATGGAGGCTTTTGGGGAAAAAAACAAGGATTCAATGAATGCACTTTTAAAAGAGAGCACTTGCAGTGCTGAACACTTCAACATAAGTATTACAAGAAAATGAAAGATCTGTGGACCATCCAATGAGTCCTGGGTTATGGAAATAAATATAAAACACTGCTAACTACTTGATATGTGACAAACATGGCCGGCTCGACTGAAGAACTTGCGTAATGTGGACCTCATTTCCAACTTCAAGTCAAACATGATGACATCACACATTAAGTTGTAATATGCCGCTGCATGAATTTTGAACTACAAAATATATTTCAAATTCATTTCAAAATTTTGTTCGAGAGCTTTTATATGTATACATACATGCATTTGTAAATAGGTATACCGGTAGTAAAAATTACAGAAAAGATCTGAATCAAATTTAGTTTAAACAATATTTATTTAGTAAACTGAATAGATTAAGCAACAGGCATGCAATGCCTATAAATATCCTCTCCATAAAAACATTTCCTAATCCTCACTTTTGAGTCTGTTTATGACTTACCCTATTATCTGTGACTTTGAGGAGGAGTAAATAACTTACCCTATGATCTGTGAGTTTGAGGAGATATTAGTGACTTACCTTATCATCTGCGAGTTTGAGGAGGCGTTAGTGACTTATCCCATCATCTGTCAGTTTGAGGAGGCGTTAGTGACTTACCCTATCATCTGTGAGTTTGAGGAGACGTTAATGACCTACCCTATCATCTGTGAGTTTGAGGAGGCGTTAGTGACTTACCCCATCATCTGTGAGTTTGAGGAGGTGTTAGTGACTTACCCCATCATCTGTGAGTTTGAGGAGGCGTTAGTGACTTACCCTATCATCTGTGAGTTTGAGGAGGCATTAGTGACTTACCCTATCATCTGTGCTTTTGAGGAGGCGTTAGTGACCTTACCCTATCATCTGTGAGTTTGAGGAGTCGACGGTGACTTACCCTATCATCTGTGAGTTTGAGGAGACGGGTGATAAGGAGAATCATTAGACTCCCCCAAGCTTCCCTGTGGCTGTCAGACTGAAGGGATAGATAGTACTCCAATGATTCTCGGCAAACCCTGAATAATTCAACATTTACACATCAAGATCTGTTTCAAATGAAACCAATAACGAGCATGCTAAATATCTAATTCAGTAAAATCAATTAACCTTTTATCAATAGTCATACACTTAAAATATTTTAGATTACATTACAAATTAATTTACGTCAAGGGAGAAAATACTTCAGACATTAAAAAGTTGCAAAGACCAGGATATTCAACATTATGTAACTCAATCAAAAATCTTACGTGATGAGCATGTTTTCCACATCTTTCCATGCATCCATTCTGGACTCATCATTGTACATCCGAAACAGAATCCTGAACAAACATGCCAGACTCTGTGTCTCCTGCTTCAGAAGATTGGGTTTGGCTTTTCCACGGAATCCTGAAAAAGGAAAAACAAGAAAAACATAAATATTGTACATACATCTAGATCCTCTGTTTAAAACTTTGATTTTGGTAAGGAAAGTATATTGTTCTTAAAGAATTATTTTCTTAGCATTAAGGAAGAATGCATTCAATCACCGAGTGTGTAAAAGGATTAACTTGATTAAGGAGAAGAATAAGTATAAAGAAACTTTACCTTACTCCCACAAATTAGTAACATACCCGCTTTCCAGAGGATGTTCCTCTGCTCATGATTTGAGTTGAAGGCCTTGGCAAACTTGTGGGATTCCAGGAGACAGTCAGCCAGGAGAAAGAGTTGGTCTGAGGCCAGGAACTGGTACATCCCCTGGTCCTCTCTCTGTTGACTGCCATCTTGTAAATCCTCGGTTGATCCTCCCTTATCAAAAAATAATAAAAAAAGTCAAAATGCTGCATTCGTAAATCAATGTAAACATGTATGTGAATTTAATTCATCAAATGTCTCAATTTAACCTCATCATCAGAGAATATGAACACATCCTCTATAGTACTGTCTTACTTTGAATGATGGTTTAATTTGCATTACAGATTTCTTTAAAGCTTCAGATTATTAGTGAGATACAACTACCTCCCAATCATGCAGTGCACTAGATAAAGCACACTGGAAACACGAAGAAATAAAATTTATCTTTTCTTTTTTTGCATATACATCCATTGCTTTAATGTAATACCTGAGCAGCCACTAGATTCTCAGCATCCTCCTTTCTGCTGGTGGCTGGGAAGAAGACAATGTCATCAATTGTCTGGATAAGCTCTAGTTGTACCACACACTTAATCAAAAGGCCCTGGAAAAGTTTCTGGTCAGAGGACACTTCTACGAGGTAAAAGAAATCAAAGCTATTATTCCTGGGCTCGTAAGAGTGACAATGTTTCCTAACATAGAATATAATAATGAAAGTAGTGAACAAATAAATTAAAAAGAACAAGAAGTCTGTGAGCCAATGCTCACTAATAATATCCCCGCTCTGATGTGAATACACAAGTTCGGTTATCGCCAAAGACAGTGATAATTAGGAAATTGACATTGGATTTGCAAAAACTGAATCCCAACACATGGCATGCCTAAACAAAGATTGTGCTAAAATTTGAAGCATCTGCGATGAGTAGTTGCTGAGAAAACTGCGACCAAAGTTTGTTATGTGTTGTACGGACAGACGCACGGATAAACAGGAAGTTGACATCAGATTAGTACAAAAATGAATCCCACCATATGGCATGCCTAAACAAAGAGTGTGCTACAATTTCAAGCACCTGCGATGAGTAGTTGCTGAGAAAAGTACGACCAAAATTTTTTATATATGGTACGGACAGATGCACGGATAAACAGGAAGTTGACATCAGATTCGTACAAAAATGAATCCCACCATATGGCATGCCTAAACAAAGATTGTGCTACAATTTCAAGCACCTGCGATGAATAGTTGCTGAGAAAAGTACGACCAAAATTTTTTATGTATGGTACGGACAGACGCACGGATAAACAGGAAGTTGACATCGGATTCGTACAAAAATGAATCCCACCATATGGCATGCCTAAACAAAGATTGTGCTCAAATTTCAAGCATCTGCAATGAGCAGTTGCTGAGAAAACTGCGACCAAAATTTGTTACGGACAGACAGACAGACGGACAGACAGACAGACACACAAGGGTAAAACAGTATACCCCCCTCTCCTTCGGAGCGGGGGTATAAAAACACAGAGTTGATAAATGTGTATGTCACATCAACCAACACTTCTCTACATACTACAACAATTGACCGACTGTATTACATTATTTTGTAAAATTCTGTGCTCACTAGAACGAGGAATTTTGTGGTCTCTGGAATCCTGGGATATGGTGCTGTTGACACTGTGGTTACTGTCTGCCCTTACTAGCCCCCGGCTATCATGACTGCTGTCCATTGAAACTGCATCCTGAAAATTGAAAAAAAGTACTAGTATACTGCAAGTGTTAATACGTGTCAAAACAAGGTGGAACTAGAAAACTGATAAAGTCATACAGGTTGCAGTATGATTACATCAATTATCTTGACCCTAATCAACTAGTTAAAGAAACCATGGAAGTCTATTTCAATTACGTAATGAATTTGAAATGTGCATTTTGAAAATATACTGAAGATATTTGTGCCACAAAAAATGTGGTCCTGTGTTAGCCAAAACAACATAACAGACTTTTCTCATTTGCTTTTTATCTCTGTTGCCCTATTGTGTTGAAATTTTGACTGATCTCACTATTTTTCAGACTGTTGATGACTTTACCTGGCTTTCATCAGCATCAGGTTCTGAATCTCTACTGGACACCATTGATGTTGACTCGGCTGTATCAGGTCTCCATGTCAACAAACTGTAATAGATTTAATTATGATACTTATTTTTCTTACATAATAATCACAAGATTATTTACAATACTCTTAAAATTATTGCCAGTAATTCTTATGATAAGTACAGATTTGTATTTTCTCTAAGACAACTTCTGGTTCATTCAATACTTCTTACCTTGTTGGAATTGTGGACCTAAATATATCCAGCATACAGGAGCAGGTTTGGTGCCAGACCTCAGGTGAGAATTTGGACCCATTAGAGATGACCAAGTTTTCCAGACAATTTGTCCCAGACCGGGCCAGTTGTTCGTTGTCCTGCTTCACGCACCAGTGAAGCTGATTGTACAGCTCCGTCAATAAGACTGGACTGAGGATATTGTAATATTGGGTGAAAACATCCACAATGGCATACAGAGCGTGATTACAGGTGGTCGTCATCCACTCAGCCTTCTGTAAGGAATGAAAATAATGTCCATCTTACAGAACATGACATACTTTGAGACCAATACTAATTTTGTAGGAAAATAATCCTCTGCCTACTAAAACAGATGGCAATTTCTGAACAGAAATGGAAGTTAGACATGATATTCTAGCAAAATTTAGCAGCCCAATGAGGGCAAAATTTCTGGAAAAAATCATTACTGGAGATGAAATTTAACATAGGAAAAGTCAATCAACTTAAGCAGAGGGTCATTCTGCCATTTCTTTCCAAGATAGGATGATATCAAAAATTCAGGGGTTTGGTTTTACATTCATTTTTTTTATTATAATTATCCAGAATTATACCATATGCATTATATACAGAATTTTAGATGGACTAATGCATGTAATGACCAAATGTTAGTACCATTAGATGAAAATTTACATGTATTTATAAAAGTGATCAGATTAAATTATATACTGTACTATTTTCTGGTACACATACATGTATGTCAATATATCAGCTTAAGTTTATTCATATCCAGTAATCTAAGCAATTTAACCAAATTAATATTTAATGAATTGTAAAACAATTTGTTATAAAATCATAACGGACATAATACTACTAAAATTATAGCTGGCATAATTCTACAATGTGGCATTAGAACATATTCTTTGTACCATTCTGGGTAAAGCTACATAACCAGTAAAACTAAACACTTTTCACATACATCATCAAATGAAGACAAGCAGAAAATGTCTGGCACTGTTTAATTACAATACAATTAGCTTTCTAAAGAAACTGCAGCATAAAAAAGCAGAGCATGTCATTATTCACTGGCAAAGAAATCATGACTTACATTACAGAATATCAGCAGCTGTTACACAATCACCTGATACCTGTAATCAATTTTGGTGACTTTTACCTAAAAACCTGCATTCCACCATTGCCCACACAAAATAAAGAGACTTAGCAGCTACTGCTCCAAGGTCATTTTTTTTTTATAAGTGTTTAACAGTGATGTGGTAATATCATTAATATGTAGAATATCAACTGACTTTTCAGTTTGAAAACCTAGCTAAAAGTGGAAGGCGATGAGGATTTAAATCTCAAAGTCAAAGATTGTATTTGGTATAAACTATGTTATAGACGCAATGTAATTTGTAAAGAGTATCACTTGACCATTCAGTCTCACACTTCCTGCCGAGATTCAAGATGACAAGAGAAAGAAGTGTATTCATTCCAGGGTCAAAAGGTCAAGGTTAGAGAGACAGTGATAGATGTACACAAAGTTGTGGACATAATTTAAAAAGTATTTTGGATTTTTCAGGCTCACAACTTTTACCACAAATGCAAGATGCCATGGCCAGAGGAAAAAATCATGATCAAAAGTTCAAATGTCAGGGACGGTGATTGAAATTCATTTGACCAAAATAAAATTGTGAATCTTATCAATTTATTGTGTGAAAAGATGTTTTCTGTGAATAAAGTAATTTTGAGAGGGATGCTCAACTTTCTGTTGAAATGCTACATTTCAAATATCAAACTTACATTGATAAATATACTCAATTCTAAAGAAGTTTAATTAAGTTTCTTCCTTGCCAAAAACCAAACACACACACACACACCCTCCCTCACACACACACCCACACACACATATGAATAGGCATTATCAGAACACCAATAAAATCCTTGTTTTGAAAAATTCTCTGTATAGTGATGTTTAAGGTTTGGTTTGAGGTGATCTGCAACAGGCAAACATGGAGGACTTATTCCCATAACCAAAACACAAGAGCACAGAGTAAAAGGGAAAAACGAAAGAGCAAAAAGTGAAATAATCATTGGTCCATTCACCGCAGAACCAATAATTTTACAATTTATCAGTTTTCAGATTTGCAATAATATACACAATGCTGTTTTTTAAATAAAAATAAAAACAAGACAGAATAAAAGAACTTGCATGATGCATGAAGAAAGAAAATTACCTCCTCTGCCTGTCCGGTACAAAGACAAAGAAGAAGTCCAATAAAATCAGGTAGAAACACAGTGTCATGGACAATAGACATGCATAGTTCTGCTTTCATAGAAAGGTAAATAGGTTTTTTCTTTTAACTTTTCATATATTATAAAATTTAGATTTTTTGATCATAATTCAGTTGTTCCTAAAGTATTCTCTGAGAAAATTAACTGATCATTCATATTTGTACAAATGTATCAAATAGTTAACATAGATTTTAACCAATCAAAAACTATACCACCTGACTTTGTTTAGGAAATATTAAAAGTCCTCTAATTTTCTACAGCTTTAACCCTAAGTTTTTCACCCAATCTATTTACGAAGTAATCAGAGAAACGTGAGAATAGCTACAAGGAATGCTCACTTTTTTCTAAAACATTCAGATGACAAACCATCAAATGCTAAACCTCTATGTGTCAATCAGATGAATGTTAGAAAGCATTTCTTAGTGTGCACACAGTTCCCATAACAAAGATAGACAATAATGTAGTAGTGTTTTTAGTGTCCATGCCATTTTTAGTCAGAAAACTTAGCACGCAGTGAAATGGCTACATTACCTTGCTTTTAAAGTGCTGTAATAACAATTAACTTATCTTTACATGTGGCTTATTCACTGACTACATGTATTTACCAAAAAAAAAAAAAAAAAAAAAAAAAAAAAGATCAGCAAGAGTATGAAATCTGCTCAGTAACAATCCACTTGTTATCTATTTTAAACTGCCATCTTATCAATGTACAAGTAATAATTATTGTCCTAATACTCAAGCATTTTTTTTCTTAACATATTTATTCTTGATCCTTCATCAAATTCCATGTCAATAATCTGAAATTGTTTCAAACTTTAGTACATGTAAATGTATTACATTTAAAAAGAAAATTTAAAGTCAAGTTATATACAAATGATACACATGTGGTACTAAAATCCTTTTAAATTATAATGTGAAGTACAAACTGAGCCATTTCTACAAAAATACTATTTATCTAAAGCTTAACAAACAAATTACATTAACTGGGGGAAAAAGCTGAGTCATATTTGAAAGCAAAAAAATGCCATAGGCAATTTCTCAGCTTTCAAAACTTGTTTAAGTTATACTTTTTTCATGAGGTGAATGTAAAATAAACATGTTTTCTAACAATTTGCATTAAAAAAAAACAAAACAAAAAACAAAAAGATCTTATTTATTGTTAAAAAAAATCCCCCACTTTCATTGAAATTTGTGCAGTTACATTTCGACCAATTAGCACCTGTTAAAAGTGTCCAACAACACAGATAACCCAAGAACAAAGCTGTGGTGTTGTAAGAAATCTCTACGGGGTGAGCCAAAAGCTGTGTGTAATTAAGTGCCACAAAACCCTGCACCATCAATAAGTCGTTAGTTGTCCACCTCTACCAGACTAAAACTAACTTACGCTGACCTCATTCTGTTGCTCCGGTAACTTCATGTTGTCAAAGATACGGAACACAATCTGGAACAGATCCTTCCACCAATGGCTGGCAAAGCTTTCACCGTACGTCTTCATAATCTCAAACATCACTGTTAATCCCCTAAAAGCCAGATCAAACATAGGTCATCAGAGAGTACAAAGGTCACCTTGATGTACATACATGTTTCAGATAGACAAAATCTAATATTGAATGTTTTAGTGAGATGCATAAATTATTAAATTGGTTTAGTTACATATCTAAGATTTAAAATACAAAAACCTAGATAAATTTACATAACAACTTGCTCTTACGAGTTACATGACTACATGACAGACTGAGACAAAGTCAAGCACTGAATGTACAGACTCAAAGTCATTTTCTTTACTAAAAAAAATCTACTAGTTCTTTTTCAGTTAATAACTTCACACACATTTCTATCTACACTCTCCAATAACTATACACCCTCACTTTCCATACACAGCAAGGGTACTTTGATTTTATCTTGGTCTGTTATAATTTCTTGTTTACCTGGTCCTAACATCCAGCTTACATCTGTTGATTACACAAGACAGTTCAAATAACACTGGGAACCACCCCCTCACCCACACACGATCCTCCTCTGGAATATTTAGATCCTCGCCTCCATGATCTTTGAACATCTACAACAAGAACTTGACATATTAAAAATCTGCATCTCATGCATAGAAAATTTTTTCTTCATCTATTCTTTATGATACGACACAGGTTTTAATTTCTACTTACATGGGGTTTTTCAGCAACATATTTTGCACAGTTCCTAATCAGCCTTATGGCTTCCATACTTGTATCTGGGAAGGCTGCATTACAAGCAAACTCAGACAAACATTTAACTGCATCTTGGAATGAGTCAATAATGGAAGCAAAATGTTTCTCACATATGCTGGCTGCAAATATAAATCAAACAATTATTTAAAATGCTATGTATATAAAGACATATCTGAACATTATTTTTTATGCAACATTATGCTCATAGCATATGCAAGATTGTAGTGTCATCAATTATACAATCATGAACTTTCCTTCAAAGAGAAACACAATCAAGATGCTAATGACTACACTTCAACCTCATCACTTAAAATCAAACCTGTCTATCTCTAGAAAATTATAAACAGAGTACTACAGGTATTAGTGCAAAAGTGCATTCCTAGTGTTTAGAAAAAAAGACTTAGTTTAGTGTAGGAGGAAACATTAAAAAACATTCCAGTGGTAAGTCACATATAGCTGAATTTTTAAGCTATCACTAAACTTCTGACTCTAGATTTCAAAATCAAACAGAAGCAATCAAATTTTTAAAAGCAAGAAATAAAAATCCTAGATTTTTTTTTCTTTCTTTTTTTCTTTTTTCTTTTTTTTTTTTGGTGAAGAGACGTATAATTAATGGAGCAGAAAATCTGAGGAATAAATGTGAATGGGTGCACACACTGCAAATTATACTCTGTCTTTACCTTTACAGAAGGTGAAGTCATCTGATCCCTTGACAACACCACTGCTGGCAACTGTAGTACAATGTAGTGTATGTGCAATAATAATAAACGGAATTCTACTGACTTACATACTTTGATAAACAAACTTTTCACATATATATGTGTATTCTTGAAAAAATGAGCATATTTCTGACTCATGCATTCAATGAAACAAATGAATGCAACAAAGTCATACTTACAGATAATTCTGCCTGTGGTTTGGAATGCTAGTTCTACTATGCTTTCTTCATGATCAGAAGCAGCTAAATGAAAGACCCCAAAAATATTCTTCCAACCAGAACGAATGTTAGCATGTTGGGAGTTTACCATTTGAGCAACACAACGGACAACCATGTCTCTTATAGTGGGAGATCTAAAAATACAATTTTTTTATTTATAGTGATTTTGCTTGCTAAAGTCTTCCAGTTGTGCTGAAGATTGTGAGAGTAAACAATTTAAAAGATTTTTTTTTCATTAAGGGTGATCTAATAACCTAATAAGGCAATACTTTGTAATTATTATGAATAAGCATATTGATTCACAGCCTTATAAAGATAGCATTTCCTCTGACCTGTTCCTTTTCATTATATGTTCAAATGGCCTAAGAAAGTCTTTCTGGAAGCGGAAGTTGGCAAACTCTCCTTTTTCTATGAACTTCATGGAGAGCTGCCTCAGGGAATCCACTGCAAAAAAAGCTATGTCTTCATTGGGGTTACAACCCACCTAAAAAAAAAAGTTACAAAGGTGCTCAAAGACAGTATAAAATAATTAAAAATAACAAATGAATTGCAGATTTTGTAAGGTTTTCATATCAGTATCATATTTACAGAACAAAAATACCGTGATTTACAGATTTTAAATCTCACAGAATTTTTTAGTCATCCTGTTCTCTATAGAGGGTAATATGAATTTCCGATGGAAAGAACATTGATGAAAATTATGTGTCATGAAAACATCTTTTAACACAAAATTCAAGTGAATCATATAAACTTCTTTTGTGTATACTGACCTTATTGAAGTGATCACCAATGATCTGCCAGATCCTTGACCACTGCAATCTAATACGACCCATGTTATAATAGGAAATCTCCACAATTTTTGTCAAGCTGAACATCCGTGGGTGATTCACATTGGAAAGTTCATCCATTGAGACTTGACAAAGAGCCTTTACAAACTCAACTACAAGTGAAACATGAAAAATTGTGCATCTTAGTACTGAATTTAAAGGAGGGACTATACTTTGTATACATGAAGATTTATTTCACACTTAATTTTTAAAAGCTCTTTGCACAACATTTTTGAGATAAAGTACATGGTACATAATATATTATAGATTGGATATATGAAGGCTCCTAACCGATGGCATCTCCATCAAGTTTGACAGATCCTGTGAAGATTCTATCCACAGCCACCACAACACTCTGAGAACTCGTCTCCCCCATCTGTTCCTGGAGGTTAGCCAATCTCTTAGAGTCCAAACCACCCTTTGCTATCACTGTAAAAATATACAAATATAGATGTGTATATTCTTCAGATCATCACTCTATTCATTGATCACTTGTATACCAATTTATGGACACCAGTTTCAAAAAAAAAAGTTACATGTACCTTCTGGATCAAATGCCTCTAGTGGATGCCCTGCATTATGTATTTCTCTCTCCTTGTGATGGCCTTTGTTTGACCTTGGTTTCACTCCAGTACCAATTAACTGGGCAAGTTCTAGTTGTGAAATGCATTTTGCGATCTATAATACAAAATCACATGATACAGCATTAAATTCTTTGACGCGCAAAAAGAAAGGCAATACATTGCTTTTTGTTCAGATATTGTTTGCTTCTTTTAAATAGCTTTTACCTCTAACCAGGATTTTCCCAGATAGTTGCCATCTGTGTGAGCAACAGAGATGAGGGTTTTGATTGTATCAATGTTTTTGGTTTTCATGTCTGTCAGTGATGAGGAGGCAGTGAGAAGGGTAAACCTGGCTAAAGCCTGCACATACGCATCTCTCTCCAACTAAAATAAACTACGCACATTTATTTTGAAAAAATCCTAATTCAATTTCACCTTATCTATAAAAAGTTCAAAATATTATTGTTCAGACTTGATCTTGTTATGCATTATACATGTACACACATGTATATCAATGTGTCAAGATGAGCAAGATTTTTCGCAAGAAAGACATTTGGTAGCTTAAGTAAAACATGTTTTATTTAAAAAGCATAATCCAGGGGTAGAAAAATAGCTGGCCTGCTGGTCCTAGACCTGTAAATTTTGATCAGCACTCTCTAAACATACTGTTCCACCAAGCCAGTAACTGTTTAGTAAAGTTAATGGAACACAAACAAGTACAACACTAGTAGACTAATTGTTCTCGAACAATTAGAGGTCTTTCCACCTTCTTTAAATTTCATATATTCTTCACATTTAACTCTCTACTGCTTATTTTTATACAAAAGAAACCAGAAATGGCTTGAGAGATGGAAAAAATGAAAATTTTAAAAATTTTTGAAATGACCTTGACCTTTGACCTTGAACAAATATTCAAGGTCAAAGGTCAAGAGTCACATTGCAATTAACCCCATGCTTCTACGACTTTAAGTTTTAAAGTTATAAGGTTTACTAGTAAGCGCAAAGACATTAAAGGGCGATAACTCATATAAGGGGTCACCGGATACTTTTGCACTGATTAGATTAAAGTTGTGCCTAAAGACCCTGAATACATTAATGAAGGCTTCGTGTCTCTGTGGTTTATGGTTTCGGAGGAGTGGTGATAACAAGGTTTTTTGCACAAGGGGAAATAACTTTTAAAAGGTTTAAGCTTAGGGGACAAGATTGAAATCTTTGAAATAGTTTTAAAAGTACATATAAAAGATGCAAAGATATACTGTATATGTTGAAAGACAAAAAAGCTCTAAAAAGAGCTTTATTTCTCATATTTGGAGTGACCTTGACCTTTGACCTTGACATAATCTTCAAGGTCTAGGGTTAAAGAATCTAATGCAGTTGGTTTCATGTCTCTACGACTTATCGTTTTGAAAATTTTTCATTATTTGTAAACTTCAAAAACTTTCAGGGGCAATAACTCATAAAAGGGCTCAACAAATCCTTTTGTAATGAATAGATTGAAGAGTCTTCTCAATTAGTCAAAGACATTGGTGAAGGTTTCGTAACTCTACGGTTTACAGTTTCGGAGGAGTAGCGATAACAAGGTTTTTCGCACAAGGGGCAATAACTTTTAAAAGGTTTAAGCTTAGGGGACAAGATTGAAATCTTTGAAATAGTTTTAAAAGTACATATAAAAGATGCAAAGATATACTGTATATGTTGAAAGACAAAAAAGCTCTAAAAAGAGCTTTATTTCTCATATTTGGAGTGACCTTGACCTTTGACCTTGACATAAACTTCAAGGTCTAGGGTTAAGGAATCTAATGCAGTTAGTTTCATGTCTCTACAACTTATCGTTTTGAAAATTTTTCATTATTTGTAAACTTCAAAAACTTTCAGGGGCAATAACTCATAAAAGGGCTCAACGAATCCTTTCGTAATGAATAGATTGAAGAGTCTTCTCAATTAGTCTAACACATTGGTGAAGGTTTCGTAACTCTACGGTTTACAGTTTCGGAGGAGTAGCGATAACAAGGTTTCTAGTGAAAGGGGCAATAACTGCGAAAGAGGTCATAGGTTATACGCGTTGGGTCAAATTTGTTCATAACTTTATATGACCTTTACGATGAACAAAAAGTCTTTTCGATAAATGTCGAAACAAAAAATCAGCGGAAGAAAAATAATAATAAGAAGAATAAGAAGAAGAAGAAGAATAACTAGTAGACTAATTGTTCTCGAACAATTAGAGGTCTTTCCACCTTTAAATTTCATATTTTCTTCATATTTAACTCTCTACTTTTTATTTTTATACAAAAGAAACCAGAAATGGCTTGAGAGATGGAAAAAATGAAAATTTAAAAATTTTGAAATGACCTTGAGCTTTGACCTTGAACAAATATTGAAGGTCAAAGGCCAAGGGTCACATTATAATTAACCCCATGCTTCTACGACTTTTAGCTTTAAAGTTATAAGGTTTACTAGTAAGCGCAAAGACGTTAAAGGGCGATAACTCATATAAGGGGTCATCGGATACTTTCGCACTGAATAGATTGAAGTTGTGTCTAAAGACACTGAATACATTAGTGAAGGTTTCGTGTCTCTGCGGTTTACAGTTTCAGAGGAGTAGCGATAACAAGGTTTTTCGCACAAGGGGCAATAACTTTTAAAAGGGTTAAGCTAAGGGGACAAGATTGAAATCTTTGAAATAGTTTTAAAAGTACATATTAAAGATGAAAAGATATACTGTATATGTTGAAAGACAAAAGAGCTATAAAAAGAGCTTTATTTCTTTTATTTGGAATGACCTTGACCTTTTACCTTGACATAAACTTCAAGGTCTAGGGTTAAGGAATCTAATGCAATTAGTTTCATGTCTCTACAACTTATCGTTTTGAAAATTTTTCATTATTTGTAAACTTCAAAAACTTTCAGGGGCAACAACTCATAAAAGGGCTCAACGAATCCTTTCGTAATGAATAGATTGAAGAGTCTCCTCAATTAGTCGAAGACATTGGTGAAGGTTTCGTAACTCTACGGTTTACGGTTTCGGAGGAGTAGCGATAACAAGGTTTCTAGTGAAAGGGGCAATAACTGCGAAAGAGGTCATAGGTTATACGCGTTGGGTCAAATTTGTTCATAACTTTTTATGACCTTTACGATGAACAAAAAATCTTTTCGATAAATGTCGAAACAAAAAATCAGCGGAAGAAAAATAATAATAAGAAGAAGAAGAATAATAATAATAATAAACAGAAGAAAATCAATAGGTCTTTCCACAGAAAGGTGGAAAGACCTAATTAAACTTTGTGGCCCTATTGACCAACAAAAATTGCAAATATGTAAAATTATGACCACATTTTACTCACCTCCATGTGAAATATACAAGCTATTCTAATGGCACATCGTATTCCATCTAAGCAGAGAGTGGCAATGTTAGAATCATCACAATCTTGAAGTCCCACACTGAACGCAGCTAAAAATGGAGTCCAGGCCATCTGTCATGGTGCAAAACAAGTTCAAATATTCATAACAATTAACATTTATCTTATTTATCATCAAATTTCAATAAAAAGATGGTAACTAGAATTCATGTTTGCTATCTGAAACAGAATTAAAAGCAATTAAAATATCAATGAATTGAAATGCAAAGTCCCTAAAAACTGTGATGGAGGTTCAATAAACAGACATTGCCCTATGTGTGAAGTTAAATAACAGCCTTTTTATAGGTCATCCTCTACAAAGATTGACATGTTTCATTATCAACTTAAATGTCAAGGTCAAATTTGACTGCAGCAACAAGCATTCTGAGAGTATTGCATTAGCAATACTAGTCCCCTACCAGCAAGTGTAATCTGGTTCCTGTTAAGAATTGAAAATGCCATAATTCCGTCAAAAATTAATGAAGCGGGACGAAATGCAAACTTGATCTATAACTAATCAAGGTAAGCCACATACCAAAAATCAGCTCAATATCTACAAATGTTTAGAAGAAAATTGCGGAAAACCCTTAAAAATTGAAAAGGCCGTAATTCCGTCAAAAATCAATGAAGCAGAACGAAATGCAAACTTGATCTGTAACTCATCAAGATACACTCACATACCAAAAATCAGCTCAATATCTGCAAGCATTTAAGAAAAAAGTGCGGAAAACCAAGTGGGACAGACTGACAGACAGACGGGAACAGACAGACAGACGGACGGACAGCTAGACAGACGGACAGACAGACGGACGGACAGACTCAGAGGAAACCTTTAGTCCCCTCCGGTTTCACCGGTATGGGACTAATAACAACACTTATCACCTACGTGTGAATTAAAGATGTGGATCAGAAATGGTCCTTCACAGGCATTTAACAAATTCAGTGTCAAAGTTCAACTCTCCAAGATGATAATGCCTACCAGTATCTTTTCATTTTCCTAGGATACCTGTATATCTATTACAGGCTCCATATAACAGTAAAACTTGAATTCTGACCTTAAACATTGGTCGGACATGTTCAAAGTGTGTGGCACTGGTGAAGTTTGATTGAACATGACTGACACTCTCCATTAAAGCTT